AGATTTGAAATTTATCTGAAATATTCATGTGGTCGCGGCATACCTGTAGACGTCTTTCGACAGCTAGAGCGTAAATGGTACGCTCGACTGACCTTCGAATAATAATACTTGCCTGGGATCAGCATATTGCCGATTCCGATCGGATATGTCATGTCCGTACAGTAGTTTAAGGGTACTGTAATCTTGACGCGTGGGTGGCGAGTCCCCTGCGTGTCCCGTGCGTGAACCCCTCCGTGCGCGAGGGTGGGAGACACGTGCCGAGAATTCAGGGTCGACCAAGTTGAAATAATCCGAGGGAACAAAAAATAAATATTGCCAATTCTTAAAGCACGCTTGAGCATCGTGGCGCTTAGGTATATCGTTTATTTTCGGGATACATGCGTATAGTCAATCTCTTGATCGCAGTTCCATTCTGCGTAGCTCATTAACGTACAAACGATACTCGGGGAGTCAAAGGAGCGTATACAAAAAGAGACTATATAGGACGTAATAACGCGAGAGAGATGCCATGATGAAATTTGTGTTTTTGTCAGGACGTGACGATCGACTGGAAATAAATGAAATTAATTATGTAATAATATAACGAATCTACATCAAGGCCTCTCTTATTTTTCTCTGCCTGACAATCAGACGTTATTTCGAAGCTTCTTTTTATACCTACCGTCTTTCATTGTTATCGATAGCGATCGATTTCAAAAGTAGGTACGTCGGTCATGTGGATCTTCTTTTTTTTTTTGTGATTTCTTTCGTAATATAATTTTTATAATATAACGTACCGTTTGCTCAGAGGCCAGTAGGTCTAGTTTTATTAATTATTAGAAAGCATTACCTAACTATATCCTTACTCCAGGTTGAATAATTCCTGTCACTCGTGGAATCTCATGCGCTCGAGTACATCAGTGAAATTCTTGTATATGTATGTTTTCGTTTATTTTTTTCCTCGTAGTTTTTTCAACAGATATTCGTAAAAATAGTTAGTATATGTATATGTGTGTAAAAGCATTCAAAATATTAAGATTCATATCGCGTAATTCTTTTAACGTGATGCGGTCATGTATCCAATTATAATCTATAACTTCATGTTCGATTATTGATAAAGAATCACACATGCCAGTATGTATAATCATACAAATAACTCAAGAAACCACATGATTGATTTGTCCCTGATAGATTTCTAATAAAAGGAGATACGTTTTCGCACATTGCCAACATCTATTATATTTATTTTTATTTTTATGAAACTTATATATATATACAATTTGTCAAAGCAAAAACAGCTTCGATTGTTTATCGTTTCTAGGAAATTCATCACAAATCGAATTCTTCGTAGTAATAAAAATTCTTATTAACAATCGATATTGTCAAATTTTTCCAGGTTTATCGTATAATCGATATGTCCTCTCGCTATCGCACGACATCAATACCCAATAGTTTCGTAAAATATCAGCCGTTATTGTACGATCTTTTTTTTTTGTATTTTTTTATTAACCCAAAAATGTCATATCTACAAAATCATTACACTCATCGTGATATTACCTAATATATACTGAATAAATGTCATGTTTTTTAAGATAGGAAACTATATATATATATATATATATATATATATATATATATATATATATATATATATATATATATATATATTCATTGGGCACATTATTTCGTGAATTTACACAACTGTTTTTCATCTTAAAACACGTCAGGCCAGATCTCATCGAAATGCATACGTGCCACTCAGCTTGTAGACCAACAATATATACTTCGCTTTGGCAAATATAATTCTAGCTTTGTATACACGGTTTGATACGCAGATACATACAATACACGTGACTATTCGAATGATACCATTTACGCAATATCATTTTAAGACGTGGATTACATTGGCACGGTCATTTACGTTGGTATGGCAATCCGTGTTTCTTTTTGTCTTTCTTTTCCAATTGTTCCATATTTATCATATGTTTGTCTTAGCTATATCTATACATATGGAATCAAGCTTTCTTGAACCAAGTCGATTTTTCTACGTGGGACAATTTCTACATAATTTTGTATATCGTGGACATTCCTTCGACAAGAAGAAATGCAACTCAGTTCTAAATTTGGATTAATTAGTATATGAAATATTCGACCCCGGATATCAGATCGTGCTAGGTTATCATTTTTATTTAATGAACACTTAATGGATAACGTGTTAACGTAACTGGTATGGAAGAATAATTTCTTCAGTGAGTAATTATATTTGCAAGATTCCTTTCTTACAATTGTTTTTGAAATCACTCTTTATTGTGATAGTATCGTATCTGTTAAAGGTCTGACATTTCACGTGTCAATCACTTATGCGATAACATAATTCTGACAATGATAACAAAATATAACGATATATGATATCCAAGTGTTACGTATGGTCAGAAGATTTGAATTGGTCTTGGAACCACGAAATTCGTTGAAATTTTTATTCGATTTTCGAAAAATTGTTTATCTATGTATTATATGTAACGTATATGTGTTTTCCTTCGCAGGAGGGCGACGTATCGTTATCAGGTGTGGGAGATGAAGAAGCCGGGATAATACTGGAAAACGGATCCGGAAGTGGTGACTCGGCCTCGACGTCGCCTAGTGAGTATCCAGACGATCATAAAATTATGTATTAAATAGATAAAATTAGTAGAAACATATCGGAATCAGAATTTCTGTATCTATATTTTGTAGTACTGAATTGATAATAATTTTTTTGTCAGATGCGTATTGATTTTAATGAAGTTTTAAACGGTCCACAAGTCACGACCTATTTATACGTACATATATGGAATACCATAAATAATACTTATATTTAGTACTACGATATTGTATAATAGAAATTTAAAAAAAAACATACGTTTGCAAAACTTTTTACAAAATTAAGAAATTTCTTACTATCAATTGTTTCAAACTACTCGAAATGGATAAAAGTGACGGATCACTCTTCCACGTTGTTTCGCCATTAGTATAGCGTGCTCTGTACGCTAGTACCATTAAGGTTACTAGTATACGTTTATTCAGCGAGAAGTCGACATAACGAGACGACAGTCATTTGCAAGAGGTTACTGCCGTTCAAGAGAGCGAGTCCGAACCTCTCTCTTTGATAATGTGGGTTACGAATGTGCTTTCGCGAGCCAAGTGTCACCGACCTGCAAATTTCTAACCGTTAATCGGCATTTGTTTACCAAATAGTATACAAGCTCTAGAAACAGACACGTACGTTATAGTCCAGTCGGAATAGCCGAAATTTGGACCGACTTCTATTCAAAGACCCCACCACAGCGCCAATTTTTTCGGAGTTTGTTCGGACCTATAGGAACATGCCCTCAAGTTTTCGTAAAAATCCTATTTGCATTGTAACAAATAATAATTATTAAAAATTAAAAAGTCCATTTTTTTGTTACAATGCAACTAGGATTTTTACGAAAACTTGAGAGCATGTTCGTATAGGTCCGAACAACCTCCGAAAAAATTGGCGCTGTGCTGGGGTCTTTGAATAGGTCGCATGTCTATTCCGACTGCACTGTTAGTGAAATGCTCGATCGATGGTGTTTATAGAAAACTTTGACAGTTACACTAAAATCTATAGTCCGTCCACGTGTTAATGCGTTTTTTCTTTTGACAGGTGGAAAATAAATAATCTTGTATCAGGTCGAACGTGGCTGCGCATACAATTTTTATTACAAAGCACGCACGTGCATAATTTCAAATTGAAATATATTTCAATTTTCATAAAACACGTATGTCCTTTGCTGAGGATTGCGTCATTTGCGTAGTGTCAAAAAAACATCGTACTCGAGGACCGAGTACAGATTGGTATCAATGAAATGGAATCGATAGTAGGTAATAACGGCTGTAGTTGCAGTTTAGGATCGTACTAGGCAAGAATCATTATCTAATCGGATAAATCGTTATTGGATACGATTAATTAATATCGTCGAAATTTCGAGATTAAATAGCGATCCTTTTAGGTCGTTGACAGTTCTAATTTTATTTCACCAACCGAAACAAGGTAGAGCCCGGTTTACTTTCGCAATGATAATGCTAGATATCTATGTACGTGTATAATATCCGAAGAGACTATAGGAGAGATGCGATTGGTCAGGATCAAATCGCACCTCTCCTCTCCTCTCCGAATATTCCGTCCAGTGGGAAGGTACCTCCTTTTATAATTGCAGAAACGATGAATCACAGCGTCAAGACTTTGACGTCTCGCAAAGTCGATGTACTTTCGAAGGAATTGCTCGTTGACAGGTCGTACGAGCGTTATTAGTCACGCTTGTAATCTAGTAACGCAATTACATAAGCGCCTTGCGGTAGAAATGCAGACTAAAAAGCTGATGACACAGCGTGAGCGACGGTGACTCTCGAGTTCGGCAGGTTCCGTGAGACTTCGGATACCTTCGTGGGGTAGACATAATAGCCTAAAAGTTTTTGGACTTAACCTGAAAATCTTGTAATACATTTACGGTTACTTTCTGCATTGCATTACGTAACGGTCGCTTATTGATTTACTTAATCGATTGATCTTGGAAGATTTGAGTCTACGGTTATAAAGATAAGAGGTTAGGCTGGTTTCTTTTGGCGATGCTTGGATAAAATGATCAAGGACTGACGTCACTTTTCAATTAGTACATCCGAGTGGAGCTGATGGGGAGTCTAAGAGTGGATTATATTGTGCAAATAATTTATCTCGAGAGTCTCTGAGACCGAATTACATCAGGACTGAAACGCGATTATGGAGTGGAGGAGTAAATGAAGAGAGAGAGAAAGAGAAAAAGATAACGTTCAGATACAGGAGCTGTAACGTATCACAGAGAGATCTTAGAAGTAGGGAGTCAAGAAGGAGATTGGCTTTTGAAGAGGGAGAAGGAGATGGCTTTTGACGTACATAGTTCTGAGCTGCGCAGTTTTAATTTTAAACGTAAATAAGAATATTTGCAGTCCAAGCAGATTAACCGTGTCTACCAGGGCCGCGAGAGTGAACCTAACCTATAGAAGCATACTATTCCCCCCTCTCTCTCTCTCTCTCTCTCTCTTATCCAAGAACAGTGGATCATTTTAAACTACCAGAAGAAATGTTTGGTTGCTCAATTTTCCTCGTTACAAAATTCGCCTCGTTTTATGCCTAGCCAAAAATATTAAACCTTATCCAAGAACAGTGGATCATTTTAAAAGGGCCGCGAGAGTGAACCTAACCTATAGAAGCATACTATTCCCCCCTCTCTCTCTCTCTCTCTCTCTCTTATCCAAGAACAGTGGATCATTTTAAACTACCAGAAGAAATGTTTGGTTGCTCAATTTTCCTCGTTACAAAATTCGCCTCGTTTTATGCCTAGCCAAAAATATTAAACGTAACCTCCTTCGTCCGTACTGCTCGTGATACGTAGGCGCCGCTTCCCTGCCACTGGCTGCCATGTCCGACTACTCTTACCGTACAGATATACATATATTCACCTATAGACACGCAAAACCGGTTCGTGCTGTTATTAGGGACGAGCGAGTGGTCTGCGCGTACTACGCATCGTGCTGCCTTTTAAATTCCCTTAACCTGCTGTCAGCCGGAAAATTTCTCTCAAAAATCCCTTACGCACCCTTTACTTCTTTACCGACAGACAAGTACATAGCATTTTATTAATATTAAAAAAAATTATAGACCGTGACTTTATCGACCGAGTTAAACTGAAATATTCAATCTATTTTTTCAATATACAATAGAACCCCGATTATCCAAGTTGTTTTGAAGCATCCCTAGTTCGGATTAAAAAAATTAAAATAATACAGACTCAATTTTGTTAGTAAATAAAAGCGCATTTTATGTAACTAGATACTACTAACAGCATCTACTACGAACGTGCCACTTTGAACACGTCGCACATGTCTATGCATATCTTCACAAGCTCGCGTAACACGCATTCACGCGAATCGGATGCGAGCTCGAATAATCCGGACTCTACTGTAATTGATAAAAACCAATACCGCCCATTCTATATATATAAATACTTCCCCGATTTTCTTTTACCTCCCGACGGTTCGCCTGTCATGACACAGGGACATTTGTCTTTAGCAATCTCAATGTAAAGACCGTAATCAAATGCTGTGACTTCTAATCATACATTGAATTGTTTAACTGTAGCTTCATTGTCATTCGTGCACAAGTGTACTGAATGGCGTGAGCACGTGTATTATTCATTCAGCTCCAATCGTTACTGTCGATCGGTCGTATACACGCACCGTGGGAAATTCAAAATGTACTTTCGCCAGGATACCTTCAAGGACGCCACGAGCTCCCAGAGGAGTTCAGGGAAGGGCTTCTCTGGCGTGGGTGTGGAGCCTGAGAGAAGCGATAGTGACCAAGAGGTCAGGAGAGAAGGGGTAATGGATTTGTAGAAAGAGATATCGAGAGAGAAGATTAAAGATATTGAGAACTAAATAGCAACTAAGTATGAAACAAGAGGATGACCTAATTTGCAAACTACATTATCACGAGTATTAGATAGACGTGGATATTTATGTCTGTTCTTAAATCATTTTTATCGCACACGACGATATTATGCGATTAGTAATTAGATATCTTTGTGGCTGGAAATTTAAAATAATATTATCAGTACAGCTCGTGGCTCACCGAGCAAAGCATTTTAATTTAATTGGCGCTTGTTTCTTCAGTTGCATGCCATTCTTTTTCATGGAATGTCAGTCCAGAGTCTGGAATACTTGGGGAATGACGGTGTGTCCTTGAAACAAAAGTAAATTGATAACGTCCATTTATTGGTACTGCATCTTTGTGTATCTTTACGTCTCTAATCGTACTTTCCATTACATTAGAAACAATATTGCAGAACATTGACTTGCTATACTGCAGGTCTTATGTATGTGATTGTTGCATTTTTCAAATATGTCTAAACCTTTCAAGAGCACTATATCCATTATACAATTCTAACGACACGTCATGCTCGTACCTGACTTTTATGTACTGTGAATAATAAATCCTCCGAGCACCCGGTACAATGGAGTTCCTTGTGGCTCTTTATCAAGACATCGATGACTGGTGTATTGCAAATCTCGTGAAACCTACGTCTCTGTGTGACGAAAGGTATCTCGCTGATTCGCACTGGTAGAAATCACATTTTTTCTTCTAATCTATCGAAGGCGATCTTGAATTCTGAAGGTTTTGTTTTAGAAGATGAAGAGAGAGAAAAGAAGGCCAGAGAGAGAAGATACGTAAGAAGAATAATTAAATCTTATCGTTGATTACTTTCTTTCCTGTTATCTACGTCGCTCTCTTTTAAGTGTGATAGGCAGTCGGAGGAACTCTTGAATGGACCAGTGTATTGATCGATAAAGAAATGGCCGCAGGTCTGAACTTTCTCGCCATAACCGTGGTGGAGTCCCTCTGGATGTCCAATGCATTGAATTCTAATGGTCGATTCAGGAATTCAAAACGTGTGTGTGACACACGTGTGACACTACCTACCTGTTTAAGTTTCGTTTGCGAATTTTTCATAGTCTTTCGTACGATTGCTAAATAGGTAAATTCTATTCTGCAGCTGGCATCTGACTTACGCGGATGGTCTTGCTGGAGAATAAAATCAGACCGTTTATGGTCGTGGCCTCTTGAAGTCTGAAACCACATAAAACGCGTCGTAATACAATATCGTCAACTATAACCAGCGAGTATAATCGAATGGACTATAGGCGTATTTAAAATGCCTTCTCATTGGTCAAACCGGTCGGGTCATGCGTGCCTTCGAAGCAGAGCTGGCATGGATCTCGATACTGGGTGTCCGTAACAAATTCTCAGTTCCAGCTTCTTGTATCGGTTATACAAACTCGGTCGGTAAGTCGGGTGACCTCCTGTATTCCGTTACATGCAGGTTCGAACAAGAACGTCTTTTGGTTCTTATGGCTATATGTGAATTCTAGGAGCATCAAATTCCTAGACATATTTTATGTTCAACAGTTTGATATAGTAAGTGAATAAAAAACGACCTTTAGTCGATCGGGCATGTAAGAAAGAATCGATAATCATGGACGGAGTGCTTGATCGAATATAATGAATTGTGAAAAGTTTGTCATAAAAGTAATAAGAAATATTTGTAATTAAAGTAGCGCCGTCATGACCCACACAATCGGAATACAATACTTATCTCATTACGGTCATGGTCAAGGTCTCAGGTGTCCTGAAGACTAGCTGTACTGGAAAAGTATACCCGTATTCCAGTTTGAAATATTTACCCAGTTAAATCGTCTTCTTCAAATTATCGTTCTACCGTAAAAGCGCAGCCATCCTAGTTAATCTGTTCGGTTAGGTTGCTAGACGGGTTATTAACCGTATAGCATAACAGTTATAGGATTTTCCTGGCAATAATGATATCTACGACATAATTCACATTGAACGCCAGTGTAAACTGGATAATGCTCCTATGAGAAATTCGCACGTTTTCGTGTATGCTTGGAAAAAGCTTCTTGTATCCATGGCACACAGCGTACATACATATGTATGCCGGGTGCACACGTATTGCGCACAAGCTCGCAACGCCATCATGGACGCCACTTTACTGGCTGCGCCTGTGTCTGAATGTATATAAATACGTACACTGATATATCAACGGAACCGACTCTCTCGCGTGATGTTTATACGTGGCCGGCGGCGTGCTGCGCGCGCATCTATTCCCAAAAACAAAGTACCACGCGACCTGGCGTCACTTCCGTGTACATCTGGCATGACCGGCAAATGCCAGTCGAAATAGACAAGTTTGATACTATAAAAGTATAAGCGGTTACAAAGTCTATTAGCAAAAATATTATGAATTTTATGAAAATTATACGAAACTGCATGAGTAGAAAATATCGTTGATGCGGTGCAGCCGAGTCAGCAGCGAGCGACGAACGTACGAGAGCCTAAAGTGGTTCTCATTTCTCTTTGTTATAAAACACAGTGCACGTTCCTCAAGTCCTCAGTCCACAATTCCTCCATGTAGTATATAAACAGAGGAATGAGTAATTAGTTTCTCTTCTATTATCATTGAGCGGCTTTCAGTTCAAGAATATACATATATGACTAATGTATTACCTCAGTATTATGATTGTTACCATTATCGTAATCGCTTTTATTGATATCTGAACTCTTTTTGTTTGATGAAATTCTTTCCATTTCAAGCATCCAAGAGTAGTATTTTGTTTGTACGTAAATAATCGTGTCACTATCAGAACAGTCATTCGCATATGTATGGTCAGGAAGTCCAAGTATCGTGCTTTACATGTAAATCTACTCCAAGAGACTGTCGAGTGTACCTTAGTGGTCGGAAGTTCCACGTAACTCGGTCATTTTGCATCATCCCTCTCTCATCACTGCGTATAACTCTATCTTTGCATTAGCTTGGAGTTGGCTCCACCTTCTGAGAACCACGGTGCGTACGTGACGCGGCGCGTACTGCAGAGGGCGTCGGCGAAGTCTTTCGATGCGAAGGTTGTGTTGCGGAGGGTTGGGGGACCGGAAGGTGCTATGGTGGAAGGGGAACGAACAAGAGTGGGGAGACGCAAGGGAGCTTAGTAGAAAGGCAGCCATCTTGTTGGGACCAGTCGGAAACCAACTGCCGAGCAGTGAGGGACGGTGAACGAGAGAAGACCAGATGTGCTAACCGAAGGATTTTTAATGTGCTTCCGAGCCCGATCACCGCTACGTGCGAGAGGCTATGCGATAGTGACGGAAAAACGAACACCGAGGGATTTTCACGTACGAAAACACCCAGATAGTCCTGTCGAGATCTTCGCTGTCGAGCCGACGAGGTAGCTTTTCGACGGGAATCTTGGAAAGCGAAGAGTGAGAAGCTGATAGAGGAGTTCAGAGGGGTAGATACTTGAGAAGAGTTGTCTGTCCTGTGTATAGGACAGAGAAAGAAGAAGACCAGGAAGAGGAAGAGGATAGAGCACACAGAGGAAAGGCGGAGCGAAAGAGAAGAATACAGAGAAGTGCAGTGTCAAAGTCTGTGATAGTATTTATTGGAAAGAAGATTTAAAATAACATCAAGATCATAGTCCAAAAAAGAACGTAGCGTGCGCGAAGAGACTAGATAGGCTTTATATATTTATTTATATCTGTGATACCTACGCTGATATATCGTCGATCTATCCCTTTCTGAGAACGATTCGGGTGCGATAGTCAGAGAGAGACAAAGGGAGAGAGCGAGTGTGAGAGAGTGGATAGAGAAATTGAGAGAGCGAGAAAGAGGGAGAGAACTTTGAAGAAAGAAGATCACTCGAAGAAGAATATATCAGTATCTTAGTGGATAGGCGTTTTTTGTATATACGACTGACTCTTTTTTACAATTATTGATACCGGTGCGAAGAGACTAGAAAACAGTAAAGGGGAAAGATTGTTGTGGAGAAAATCGTCTTGAAGCAAAGCTCGCGTTTTTCCCCTGTTACTTTTGACACATTGAACATTTACACTCTTTACGAGGAAGATGGTTGAGAAAATCTTGGAGGAGCATGAGGACGGACGTCAGGATGGTGGAAGAGGTAAGGACAATTATTGTTTTAGGTCCTTGATTTTAGCTTATTTTTGTGTATTTTATCTTTTTACACATTTGTTAGTTTATACCCTTGGTATATTATACATACACAGCGAATAGCACTCACCGCCATTTTACCGGTGGCCGATTCTTGTTGTCAAACAACAAGGAGTCCCGAAAATTAACAAAGGAACTTAATGTCTTCATAAAAATCCGTTAACATTTTACGTGTATTTTTTTTTAATTAAATGTATGAAATCTAATTTTCTCTTTAAAAATATCTTCGATAATTCAAGCGTCATTCTCACCGCTCATAAATTATACATATATATCCCACAGGCTTACACAGTTTTACGATTTAAACAAAAAGCGAAATAATTTCATAAATTTAAAAGTTGGCACGGTAGTGTGAAAGACATTCTGGTAAAAATCATGGGTATAGAATGTTTTAGCAAAACAGCCACATAATTTAAATAGTGTAATGAAAAAATTCTAAAACATCAATTTATTAGTGTACAAGAAAAGAGATCGTCCAAGAAAAGTACTGATTCGTAAAGTCAATCAATTCCTTTGTGTCCTTTAGTAGTATCGAAGCTGCTTCTCATTATCATAGACATTTAGACGGTCACAGACGTAGGCGAGCGATGTCACGAACAAAATTTTGCAATGTTCTTCTTGGCAGCGAGAAGAACGAACGCCTGATTATTTTCGAAAGGGGAAGTGGGTTAGTCGGTTCGACTTGGTGATGCGAGTCCGGCCTCTCTTAGGGCAGCCCAAACTAAAGAACAAAGGCAAAGGGCTCCTCTTGCGCATGTCGCTCCGCAGTCTTAAAGGGACACGTCCGCTTTAAATACACAAAGAAGATCCTGTTAGGGAACTTAATACTAATATATCTAATAGAAACTGGTATAAAAAATATATACATAGATACATACCTAGTTTCATACGAAGTCTTATTCCGTTACTATCAATAATTAATGAAATTGCTGATATTAACTCCTTTTTTGTGCAAATTTCTTAAATAGTTAATGATAATATCATTAGGAAAAGTATGAGTGAGTGATGACGATTTCTCGTTGGTCAGCTGCAAACAATTTCGTTTTCGCCTTCTGCTCTCTCAACGGCTCCCGAAGGTCAACCAGGCCTATGTTCGTTCCACGATACTTGAGAGAGCTATATAAAACGTTATTAATGTTTATACGTACTGAGCGTAACGTACATAACCTCCAAAATGATATTGTACAGTATCAGGTGTATATAAATGAACCCTGGATCACGTTTAACGTTTATGGGCTTGCGAAATTGTGTATAAAAAGTAAAGTTAATGGGTCCTCTATTTGAAGAACATTAAAGGTAACTAGGAAGAAGTCCCTTACGGTTTCCAGATTCCCTCCTGCAGTATAGAGATCGAAATATGCTTGTAGAGAATCTAGAAAGTTTCCACATTGATTAGAAGAAACTATAGTGAGTCAGATACCGAATTAATAGTTCGGATACGTGTGGATAAAATATAAAAAGTGACAACAGTGGCTAAGACGGACGAGTAAAAACGTCGTAATCATATTTTGAGACACAGCATTCGGTCCTTTTCTTTTTTAAATGAAATATTATCGCGCGTGCATATCTCCCGGTAAGATGGCGGCGTTCCTTTTCTGTGCCAGTCATTGAACTCTGCTGAGTGTCCGTTGGTGCCGGCAACAGACGCACGAAAATACATTCGCCTCAAACAAAATTATCGCTCTGCCATCAAAGAGACTCGCCAGAACCAACGGTTCGAATCGACCCATCGACTCTTCCCATCTTGGTTTCCCTTAATTTCTCTGACCATGCATCTCCAGAAATCCACAGCCACCAATTGTAATCCATGTGTACCCCACTGCGTCACTCATGCGTAAACTATTTATCCCTTATACCAGTACCGTTGTCCCCGCTATTACTCAATGGCGACTCTTCCCTTTCTGGGCTTTGTTAATTTCACGTGCGCGCGCATCCCCGTACTAACCATCGCCATGGACAGGTGGTCGGTTCGGTCGATGCGAAACCATGCATAATTTTCTGAAAATTTAGCCACGGAGTAAATACTCCGGACTTCCGTCTTTTCATTCACGGAAGTGACATTTACTTCCTGTTAGGAGTATGACGTAGATATTTTTTGTGTCCTCTAAAACTATCAACGCTTCCTTGTCGTTCCTCTACCCGTAGGTACACAATAGGTTTTCTAACGTCGATCCCTACTCATAAGCGATACGTGAAAGACAATCGTAGAAGTAGAGGCTCATATATAATATAGTCATACATACGCTTGTCAACTCGTCGTTCTCGTTTCGGCTGATTTCTCTTTAACCCACGCTAGGCCAAAGGCAGAGTCGCTTGTCGCCCACTCGCGATTCCAAGAGCGACGGCTTTAACCATACTGGCTAGCATATATATCACCTCGTTAAACATACTATATGTAGCTTTTTAATGGTAACGAAGTCCCCGTCAATGTACCTCTATGAAGTATTAGTATCGTAGAATTACACGTTAAAATAACCATCACACACTGACTTGACAATGGCGGCTTCTTTTTTTAAATCTGGATATAACGGTAATATATGGTTTAATGATGACTCATCATTCACTTTGCGACTGATGCTAATACAAGATTTTTTTAAATTGCATAGATATAAGTCCTTGTCGATGCACAGGTTAAAAATAATCATCCGTCAATATTAACTTGTCGAACTCCTTCCCGATAATCCTGGTAAAATTAAATTATAAGCGATCAGGAATCTTTTATCCGTTTCCGCAAACGGGTACGTGCGCGATCCAGCCTACGAGGGTTTTCACTGTCCTGCGCTGCAGTGCCAATTATATACTTTGGCCGTACACAGTGCGAGTAGCTGGAAAAACTGTGCGAGCGCTATACTGCCGTCCGTCTCTGTGAGATTTATGGAATACAGAAAGAGAGACACATTCGCGAATAAACTTTCTCGCCGTTAAGATCTTGCTCTAGCCTAGGCGACAGCGTGAAAGGGGATAAGCAGAGAGACCGGTTCGTTCGGATCTATTCGCGTATCCATGATCATTCCCCGTCTTCTAGCATAGGTACCACTAATATATTCCCAGCGGGTCGAACTGGCACGTTCAATTACTTGATACGGCTCAATCGGACGGTCTGAGAATTTGCCACGGGGTGTATTCACAGATTCGATTTCCCACAGTAATCCCGTATACGTAAATAGAAATAGCATTCACTTTTGGTTAGGTTTCCTGCAAGTCACGAGATTCGCGGACAGCCAACGAAGCAAATTGACAGGTAGAGACAATACTTTGCCGTACGTCGGGAGCGATATACCTACGGAAAGAAATAATCGAAATAATGTACGCGTAGAATCGCAGGGACGCGGACAGACAGGATTCGTACCAGTCTCATTTTTAGTGAACGTTACGAATAATGGAGAGTGACGTTATCGCTCAACTATGTTGCATGTATGCTATGAAATAGTTTGCGTCAACTGCTATGCAAAGTGACGCCATATTTGTCACCATATGTCGTTCTGTGCTCCGCGCTCGGGTATTACCAGGAACAAAGAAAGAGAGAGAGAGAGAGCGAAACCCCCCTTGCAGAGGGAAAACGAAATTTCTATGGAAGTTTTGAGAGGCTGATGCTTCTGGTACTTTTCCCTTGCCGTTAGGGAACAGCCAACCGCTACCTGCTATATATATGTATATACGTAGCAGAAACACCAGACTCGATACCCTCAGGCGGATATCTTATTGTGTGTATAATATGCATATACCAGATAGTCGATGGTATTGGCTATGTAACTTTGGTCCAAATATTTTACGTTTCTCCCTTGCAGTCTCTGGTAACCCTTCCTGTATATGTATGTATAACAATGCTTTTTCTATGGAGTATTCCAGCCCTGTGAATTTTCGTTTGACGATAGGAAACTTAACCCGTGAATACCGTGCACGGTTGACAGAATTTTTTCGTATTGGTACACATCTTGCCTCTGGAATATGGTACTCGCTGGTATTGATTTAGATGCTATTAGATTCCCTAGATTATCCCTTAGGTAGTCATTGATACAGGATATATTGTAGAGGGAAAGGGGTGTTTGATTCTACGTTGTGCCTCTTGAAAAGCATCGTCCTTTGATGAACAACGATTTATTAAATAGCATAGTGCCTTATTCCAATCCTGATATCCAATTAGCTTCTGTTGAAATAAATATACATGTCAACCATACAACTCGTTGCTTATTAAAAATTGTAAAAAAAATGTTTCTTGATTATTATCTTACATTTTTGTTCGCCGTCCCTTTTGTATGCATTTTTCACGCTTGTGTATACTCGATAGCGACGAACGCGTAAACATGGCCAACACACGACCTGGCGTCATTCTCATTATCCCCATTACCTCATCGGGTCACACGTGTCTGAATATTTAATTGAGATCCAGACAATTGCCTCCAATTACTTCGGTATTGTTGTTTTAATTGGGCGAGAAAAGCTGCGTCGTACGTTAAGTAGATAAAGGGAACCAGAAACCAAGCGCCACTGGGTACGTCCCTGGTGCAATGCACAGAATCAAGATACGGACCTGAAATCCATCATAATTATTGAGTTATTAGTCGATTTTCCCGTACACGATACTTCAGCCGTTACCTTGCATTTCCTCTATGTGAATCTGGCATCGTATTCTTTTTGTTTGTATCAAGCAGGAAACGCAGAGTCAATAATATTGAAATTTCCATATAGCGATAGAAGTAGTGACCTTACCACACGTCATTCCCGCTAAGGTCACATAACAGTTTTCTTGTCAAAGTCTTTGCGCGAGGACGCCCTGTATTTCCGCGCGTACGTACGTGCAATCCGGAACGTTCGCCCTTGGTTCGTCGAGCTCTTCGATTTTCAGCAGGGGTCCTCAACCGACCTTAAAGGTTTTCTCGTTGTAAAATCCATTCTGGACGCCATTTTATACACGTCGGTCCTATCCTCTGTATTGACAGACATAGGGTAGGGAAGCGGCTGGTGTGGGGACAATGTTCGGAGAATCGTAGAGAAGGGTCTAGCCGTTCGGTGGCTCGACGGAAACCGTAATTTCAGTTGTCAGGCCATGTCCATGGAATTTTCCTCTTCTCCGGTATATCGTTCTCTCTTGCGTAGTCCTCTTCAACGTCAGTCTTCAGAAGACCCTGAAGAATGTCAGATAGTCAACTAAATAGAGAAAGACCGGAGTCTTGGAGATTAAACATAGAAATAGACTGGAAAGCAGTGCGATGACTAATTCTAACAGAGTTCTGCGTTTTAATGGCGTATGTCCTACATGACAGCGATAACCTCTTTGTAATTATGAGTTGCATTACAACTTCAGGCTGTTATAAATAAACCCGCCATTAAAAGAGTTCTGTTTATTGAAAAGAACTTTACACGACAAATGCCTGCTTAATGAGCAACTTTAAATGACTCGTTTGACACGTTTTACTCGTTGTTGATAAATGATAAAATTGTTGTCAAATCATGAAGATACTACTGCTAAAAAGCTTATCCAATAATTGTCATACGATTGGTATAATTCGTAGTATGCGTGACACTGCTAAATATAATAAATTTTGTTATTTTAGGTGATGGAGGGTGCAGGGAGGTCGCCTCGACGGGCGAGTCAATGAGCGCAGTGCAGGCGCGGCAGGAAGAGGCGAGACGCAAGAGACGCAGGAAGAAACGTTCCGGCTCGTCCTTGGTTTCGTCTTGTTTCCAAGGTAATTGCGGAAGAAAGTTTTACCATGGAAGACATCTCTGACCCTTGATAATTTAAGGAAATGGAGGAGTGTTATATATATTTGTGTTTGGATATATGCAAACATCCATAACTTTTTCCATTCACGGGATGTGATTAACGATATAAGCTTGGCAACGGTTGGGGCCAGGATTTATTAATGCCGTTGCGATCTTGCATGGTGTTGTGGATACTCTTCACTGATTTACCGAATTCTCGAGGTAGGTGACCGAATTAATAACACGAAGGCACGTGAGATCTAGGGCTATTGATTCCGTGGCTAATAATAGTGAGCAAAGTGCAGTTTAAATGGGCGCGTATCGTGTGGCAGCTGTTTGTAAACACCGGATATCATTACCGGAAGAGCGATTGTATCTAATATCGTTAGTTAACACCTTCAGTGATAATTGTTAGTACATTGTCTTTTTATTTTATTTTCACTTAGCTCTTCTCGCCTTAATCTTTCTCTCCTGTTAAAAGATTATTTGGATATGGATTGAAGTTCTTTACTTATCTCGCTAGTAATAATATTGACGAGTTTCCGTATCGGCCGTATAAATATTGAAATATGAACGTCGCTGTTCTGAACGCGCGACATTTGGTCTTCGTTCGAGAATGTTCTCTAGCGGCAGCTTCGTTGCATCATCCGACTACGTATACAACGGCACGACGAACCGGGTTCGCCAGCGCGTTTACTATAGACAGTGCACTAGGCATATAGCGTTAATGTAGACCGAGGGAGTTCAGTGTCTTCGAGCGTTGCGTCATCTAGCGGTCGATTACTGAAACAACCTTCTCGGAAGTTCTATCTTACCGAGGTTCTCATCGATAGAGAAGAAAGCCAGAGTAGACGAAAGGTCTCTCTACGTTCGTTTTAATGACTATAAGCGACTCGACGAATGTTTTGGACAGTTTACAAAGTGTCACACAAAGGATTATTATTGTTTGATGTACATTATCGTGTGTTTCGAAGTTTCCACGCATTCGAGCAAACTTCTGTTCCTGATGTGTAAGCTTTCGAACGCTTTAATATGGCTTACCCAACGTCCCTCATTATTTCGGTTATTGAAGCATCGAACCCTTCGAGGAACTCAGAAAGGAAAAGGACAACGTTTGTCTCGTGAAAACTCAATCTCCTCTATATTCATATGCGTACTTCTGTTTCCTCCTGCAGCTCGTGACATTTAATAGAAATGGAAAAAGCGAGTCGAGCGTTTAACTGACGCGGACAGGATTGGAAGCACATTATCGGTTTCTGGTTGCTAGGTGACTATGGCGTTGCTAAGCGTTGGCCTTATACGCGGTGTCTGTATATGCGCACACCTGACAGAGAGCCTACAGCCGGAAAGTGGGGGTATGGCCACCGGCGGGTTAGGAACAAGATAGATGTGGAATGGTAGAAGCAGCAGCAGCTCTACCAGGGCAAGCTTACTAGAGGCAGTTGGTCACCCCTTCGACCTTGACATTGAACGTCCTACACGCAGGACACTCTGTTCACGTGATATAACATGGATAGATACTCGCGGCGCGAGACCTGGCAGCGTAACCCATTTAAATTAGATCAATTAGGCGTGTCGTAGTTGCTATGGAAAACGTGGATTGGGGGGGGACCTTGAAATCGGATTACCTTACCGAAGCGCTACGGTAACTTCGATTACCTGGATGACGCTGTAACTTCTTCATGAGGCCACTGTGCAAGAAGTATTTTTAATGACGCCACTTGGTAACAAGGAACGATTTGCCCCCCCGCATGCTCTAGTTATTAGGAAGTCTGCCGACAAATAGGATTTTTGTCTTGATAAATATGGATTCGGGCGGGGCAATGTTTTACGTGCCTCCATTATTCTTCCTGCAACCCGTAATTATTTATTAGAGGAAATAATTTGTGGTCTAATGACAATTTATCCATAAATGTTTAATGGAGATTTTACTGTATCCGGAAATTGAACACTAGAGCACTGTACGATACTTAGAGGCTTTAGTTTATAGTCGTCGACAAGAATTTCATTAGATTCTTTCTTTTATTGTTGTCTTATTAGATGTCGATTCGATTTTTGATTTTTTTTTGTTTCCTGGTATCGATCCCTGCCAGAGAGCGACGTGTCAAGACTTCGTCACGCGATCTAGCACGACCTAGCTGATGTGACTCATCGAAAAATCAGACTGTAGAAGAAAAAAGCAAATCAGTGAATGTCAATTGTTCCTTGGAGATTGATTATTCAACGAGAAATATCTTTTCCTGCTATGTATGCCGGCATTATTGTTATTATGGTATATCGAGTGTTTCTAAGATTTTCATAGAGTCACGGATACCTAGTTCAATGGAATTACTGCCGTACCCCGGTTTGTAATAAGAAGACCTTGTAGTGCGGCCCAGATTTATTTAGTCCTCTTGTCTACTATAGATGGATATATATAGCTCTTTGCCAATAGCAAAAAAGAATTGTAATTATCAGTGTAGATCTTTAATTACACGCGGAGGATATATCGGAAGATAGTTTTTTTTTAAGCCTTCAATTAATATAAACGTCCAAGATTCATATTTTATTTGTAATGCCCAAAGCTCACATTTTTCTTCGTTTATTTTTCGCTGTACAATATTTGTAAAAATTCTTTCTCTCACTGTTTTGGTATAGCGATGCTGTCGTGGAAAAGGGACAAAGGACAGTTGAAATTTTGTGCAATACTTATTGAGTAACTTTCATCGGTACATAGATATATATACGTTCGATTATGGCTTATTTGATGATCATTAGTCATCGGTGCTTTATCTTATCGGTTATTTCAGTGTCGATTAATACGCTTGATTAATTTTTCTGGATTTCTGAACGCTCAGCAACTCAACGTTATGATCATTGCCTATTGCTTGTGGTTTCTAAGCGGATGAGTTTCTCTCGTTGTTTGCACTTTTGTTATTACAGTTACGTCCAATACTTGAGATCCTTGTTAAGAGAAATTTGCCTTTGGCGGTTTTTAATGGACGAAAGAAAAAAGAAACGTATCATCGGTTGACCATAAAAATATGCGTCCCTTTCATACCGACTGCTTATTGGGACTCGCAAAATTACAAGAAAGAATCGGTTTTTTGTAGCTGTATGGTATTTTTTATGGTATTTATCATTTTTTGTTTATCACTTTATCACGATTATCCTCTCAGATGGAAAATCAATAACGCAGATTAAATATTATATTGTTCCGACGGCAATGACTGCGATTCGGAGCGTGATTTTCTCCTTAAGGTATATCTTGTTTTAGAGGAAACGAAAGGAACGAATATTGAATTTATATGGTTGATGACGTCAAGCGAGAGATTTATCGAGAATAGAATTTTGTATGGATCTTTAGATTTTCTTTTGGTTGCTGATTGACTTGTGAGGAATACTGTAGAGATTGCTTGATGCAATGTGAGACTAATTAGAATATTTTTGTTTTATTACAGAATTGTATAAACTGACCGGTGAAGTTCTTGGCGAAGGGGCGTATGCATCTGTACAGACTTGCGCCTCGCTCTATACCGATCTGGAGTATGCAGTGAAGATCATTGACAAGATACCGGGACATGCCCGGGGCCGAGTCTTTAAGGAAGTGGAAACGTTTCATCATTGTCAGGGTCATCCTAATATCATACAGTTGATTGAATTCTTCGAGGATGACGAAAGATTCTATCTCGTATTCGAGAAGATTAATGGCGGGCAATTATTGAGCAGGATTCAGGAGCGGGTACACTTCAGCGAAAGGGAGGCTAGTGAGATTGTCAGGGAGATCGCCAGTGCGCTTAATTTCCTTCACAAGAAGGGTAAGTCTTTCATACAGTTAACGTGGTAATTAATGTGTGAAAATGCGACGAGAGTTTTTATTTATATATTTTCTTTCTGTTCATCAGGAATCGCCCACAGGGATCTCAAGCCTGAGAATATTCTCTGCGTGCATCCCGAAAAGCTGACACCTATAAAGGTCTGCGACTTCGACCTGGGCTCTGGTATAAAGTTCAATAATTCGCGGTCCAGCCCTGTTGCCACGCCGCAGCTCCTTACGCCAGTCGGTAGCGCCGAGTTCATGGCTCCGGAAGTCGTGGAGGCCTTCATCGGGGAGGCCAACTATTATGACAAACGTTGCGACCTCTGGAGTCTAGGAGTTGTCATGTATATACTCCTGTGTGGATATCCGCCCTTCTATGGGAACTGCGGTACAGATTGCGGCTGGGAAAAGGGAGAGAATTGTCAGGCATGTCAAGAGTTACTCTTCACGAGCATTCAAGAGGGTAGATATGACTTCCCGGACAGGGAATGGCGATGTATTTCGGAGAACGCTAAGGATCTCATCAGAGGATTGCTGGTCAAGGAGGCGCACAGGAGACTGAGCGCCGAGAGTGTTCTTAAACATCCGTGGATCAATCCTGGACCAACCTCTATTGAGGTCGGCGAGAGGTCTTTGACCACTCCTCAGATCATGAGGTTAGTCGAAGCTCCATTACTCGGTACTCTTATTCTTCTGCACGCATCACTTGCGGAACATTGTCTTATTTATGTGTAACATTGATGTTTTCAGAAGGAACAATTCGGCGCGGGAACTTTCGGCTTTTGCGGAATCTGCTATGGCGGTGAATCGGGTGGTACTCCAACACTTCTCAGTAAACCTCGAGGAGCTCACGGAGAACAACCGAGAACCACGGCTGTCGACCTCGTCAACGGACGACGACAACCATCCATACGGTCATATGTCCGACTCCAGCAGTGAACTCTCGGAGCACGGAAAAAATTGCGTGACCCATTCGTCCAGCGAGTTTGACAGCGGTTCGCGCCTCAAGTCTTGCTCAGTTCACTCGAGCATCGATCTCAGCGACTCGAAGATCATCGGCAAAAACCGACTCACCGGCAAGGAATCGCTCAATCATCTGTTTGGGCTTTCGCCTCCGAGCGAGAGCAGATTGATGCAGCGGCGTCTTAAGGCTCGCTCGAGCCTTCTCGAGCGACAAAACGGCGCCATCGTCGCTTCCCCAAGTGGCTGAGAGAGTATAACTAATAAGAGTACACTCTCTTCGTGCGAACGTTCTCTTTCTCTTTGAGTGAAATTCGTCGATCAAGTGCGCTACTGCGACGCGTCAAACTTGCTTACAATCGTTATCCGTTAATCAAAGGTGCAACACATTTGATTCAACGGTTTGAAGAACATTCTATAATGACATTCTGTAATGACATCTGGGGCGAGTCCATTGTCAACGCCAGCTTTATGCCGCTTGTTTTCTCTTGAATATTCGGTTATTCTTTTTTTTTTGTTTTTTTTTTTTACGGGCGTCAAACATTTCTTTTTCACGGTGACAACACGCCTTTAACTTGCCCCGATCAACGAAGACGAGGGCAGGTAAAAATTGCGTGATTAATACTCACCACTACTACATTAACGACGACTTGGCTTTTTACAATTTTGTAACGAGCGACTACTTCCTCGTATCCAATAGAAAAGAAGCGGAAATATCCATTGTTATGCGATCATCCGGCTTTGTTTTTTTCACTGGCTGTAATATTGTTTAATTCTTAGGTTTTTTTTTTTCTTTTCTTTTTGTTACTTGCGATATTCGTTACTGTATGTCCATGTGGATGCAGTTCTGAATATTTGTTTCAGAGACACCCCGTACACACACTATACACTACAAACAACATAACTATACACATTTACACTACACTTTGCTCTATAATGAGAATACCTGGAATACATATTATACACTGAATACATACCGAACACTAAAATCCATGAAGCACTTAGGTTACAGGAAAATTCAGCAAATAGATACCACGGTATATACAGTGAATTAAAAAGAAACAACATAACAAAAATGCACATGACAAAGGATAGGCTTCACAAAGCAGACACCAAGTATACACACTAATGACGACTTGCAAGGAGTAGATAATAAAAAAAAAAGTAGCGTTTACGCAAAAGAAACAAAAAAAGGTCCCAAAAAAAAATTAAATATATAATGATAGCGAGGGTTTCGCTCTACGGGCGGCACAGTGACATCGTGTCAACGAAGAGGGAGACACGGTGGAGGCAACGAGAATTTTCAGATTTGCAAAAGAGGAAAGTCGGTGATTTTCCGGTGGGATGTGGATTTCCGTGTAACCATCGTGTTTCCTGCTGTACTGTAAAAAAATTCTTTTTACGCGCTGGCGACCGTATGCATTTCCGCGATCGTCACGAGCCTAATTTAAGCAGTTTAAGTTTCGCAGTTTAAGTTTCTCGCTGAGAGACCATTGCGAAGTGAAGATGTTGATTATTGTATAGGGTACTTTTCTTTTTCGTTTTGCCAAATTGAGGAAGGAGGTTGATGAATGGTTTTGTAGAAGAAAAAAAAAATATATGTCCGGCACGTACGTACATCCATACATGCATACATCCATGAATAAGCGAGAAGTGAGAAATTTCTGAACTTTCTGAAATTTCTGAAAAGGACAAAGGGCACTTGTCTGATAAGGAAAAGGGGAGTGTGTGCCCTTAACATAAAGAAGCTTGGTGACCCAATCGGTGCATGTTACATAATTTTGCTCATTAGGCAAGTAAGGCGCTTAGATTGTAAGATTTGTTTAGATGCGTGAAGTAAAATGGATACAAGTGGGTTGCGTTGTGATGAGAGAAAGAGAGAGAGAGAGAGAGAGAGAGAGAGAGAGAGAGCCCACGATCTCCTCCGCGCGGGTCTCTCTGTTAGGATTGTATTTAAAGGAACGCGAGGATTTATGAATCCGCGAAATTTTTTGTACCTGCACCGCGATGGCGGATTTGCGCGAGCTAGATTTACGGCGAGGACCGAAAAAGCACTCTGAAAAGATAATTACTTTTTAAAAGCCGAAAGAAATTCTTTTTGAAATCGTTTTTGCGATCCACTTCGAAATCGGCATTTGCACTGATGTACATGGGAGAAAAAAAAATTACGTCAAATTACGTCGAGGTGATGTTGTATGCTTCATTTTTTTTGTACATTTTTCGTGTTTAATGTAAATTATTCTTGTAGTATTTACTTTCTTCTTTTTTTTTTCGTAATGACCTTTGAACGTTTATTCGAAGCGATGACATGTTTGATCGCAGTGCCATCTTTTTCACAATGATTGCAATGATTTATTTCGTTCTTTCTGTTGTGTTTCACATATACTCGCCGGGCGATTGTATCACATTCCAAGGAAGGTGATCTCAATCTCTTCGAGAGAAGAAACTAAGATTACGACCGTGTTTGCGGATGGTACAATTTTACGGAAAATAAAGGATTTAATGAAATATCCATAAAAAAAAGTATATCTGTGTATACGCACCTTCGCTTTTTCGTTTGGTGAGAAATGCGCAGGGAGTATACTTCTTTCCAGTTTATTTTTATTTTCAAAAAGCGTCCAATTGTTAGTTGCGTTTATATGTATTTTTTTGTTTTAAAGTATTTAAGAGTGTCTTTTCGAGTTCTTCCCGTACTGTCAAGGAGGGAGGTTACTACTCAGGGCTCCCACCGAAGAGGCTGCGCAAAGATCCTTGCGTATCGACACTTTCCGTAACTGAAGGGGGAGAAATACTAAAAATTAAAAAAAAAAGTAAAAGTAATAACACGCATAAGGACACACACGTACACATACATTGTAACTTATGTAAAATAATGCGCAAGCGTCTCGACGCCCAGTGACGACCGATCAAAATCTACCCACGGGAATCGGGAGGATTACGAAAGGCTCTTTAATCAGGGTCGAGGAACCCGAACGCCGTGTTATTCTAAGAGAAAAAAAAATTCTTATTGCCGCATAGTCTCCGTCGTTCGATTTCCGGCCTGTAAAATTTCACCTTCTGTATGTTCTTTTACCACTATTAATCTTGCTATGTCACATAGTTATATTTGCGCATTGCGTCAACGTCCGGTCGAGATTTGGAGACTTTGCGGTTCGATTGTACGAATGGAGACATCGTGCATATATACATATACACACAACAGACATAAGATATCCATGTATAATAGAAGACGTGAGAAGCAATATTTTTATTTGAGTCTAAGATCGAGAATGAAAGAGTGTCAAAGAGAAAGAGAAATAATAAGAAAAAATGAAAAAGAGAGTGCTGATTCGGACAATAAAAGTTTCTCGGCGGATTGACCCCGAGGCTGAACCCAAAACCCATGCTGACTTTCTCGATTCCTCATTTTTTCTCCCCACCATAGTTTCACTTTATCTTTTTATCGTGACTCGCAACCTTTCCGCTGCCACGAAAGAATTGGTCGTAACGTCTATCCTGAGAGCAGCGGGCCTGTTGCGAATTCCGAAGGAAGTAACGATCCTCCAATTCATTTTGAAAAATCGCCCCTAAGGCCGATACGTACAAAACTTTGGTGTGCATGGGGGGATTGAGATTCGTAGCAGCCACTTTCATGTAACTGAAAGAGAAGGTAATTTTGAAAATTGAAAAAAAGAAATTGATAGAGAAATCCAAAAATCAGCAGATCCCGAAGTATCAAGTATCCGTTTCTCTTTGATCTCTTTCGGCGGTACGAAGACATGCGAGAGTGTGGATGCTCTTTTTTCTTTTTTTTTTTTTCGATTCAAATAGATTTAAGGACTCCTACTAAGCGAGTCGTTGCGCGAGTTGTAAATACGGGGATGAATGCAGAATTGAGCGACAGAGTGTTCGCGATGAGCGATGAAAACAAAGAAATAAAAACAAAAAAAAGAGACAGATGGATAGACGAGCGGAGTGGTAGCTGGTCCATTAAAATCCAGAGTGTGGTTGGGAGGTATATTTGTTAATGACGGTAAAATATGAAAACGATGCAACAATGGCCATAATAAATAAGTAATCTACAGGCGTGTACGTATCGCGGATAAAATGGAAATGAGAAACAGCGCGGAGATCGTAAGTCGTGTAAAACGGTGTGTATATATATATTACACATATATGTATATATATATATAAAAAGAAAACACAAAAAAATGAAAATGGACGAGCGTAATAACGATACGAACTAAACAATAGTTCGTAAGAAGCAGCACCTTTCTTTGTATAGGATTCTTGTAAGGCTTTGTAGATATATATATATATATTGAAAAAGTTATATATATATCACCTAAAAAATGTAGACTGCTACGCGTCATCGAATGCTCTTAATTATTGGTACGGGAAAAAAGCCAAGTTTCGACTTGGCTATTATACGTGTTATATATTACAAGCATTGTAACACGGAACATGGACAATTTCCACATGCTTATTTGTACTTTGCGTGCGAACTATACGAATGGCGGGGACCACGCGAAACCCAGTGAGTGTGAACTCGATCTAAGACGTAATACGAATTACTGTAGGTCTATTTATTCAACCGTCGTGAAATTTAAAATAAACTCAATATGACGAAGCGTTCATTACGAGCACGCGAGTATCTCGTTGCAGGTATTAAATTGTGTCGTTAAGATCAATAACGAAACGCGTGCGAATAAATGGATGGGACAGTAGAAAACCCCATATCGTGAAGGATTAAGGAAGATTGATTATGGAGAATTGAGAGATCCGGATAGATCAGGAATCGCTAATGAGAATTTCGAAAATGCGTAGCGGTCAAAAAAATTACTGTATCCTCGTTTCAGAATTTCTTGCTCACTCGTGCTATTTGTTTGGCAACAGAGATAATAATTTTTAAAAAATTCAGAGGTTAAGAAAGTGTCTTATTCGATGCCAAAGGCGTCAGTAAAAGTGATGAAGAACGATTGAAATTGGGGGATCCCAAAAATCATAAATTTTCGTTACATTTTTTTTTTAAAAGAAAGAGGGAGCCAGGGCGTATGTACATGGATGCGTGAAAAATTCTATGAACGAGCGTGTGAGTGACAGGACGAAAAGGGTTTGAAAAAAATTGAATAACGAGAGGAGTAAATTGAGAAAGGAGAGGGAATAAAAAAAATCATGAGTCATCTTTTAATAGGCTGCACCATTTTTTTTTTACTTTACTATCCCGTATGTTATGATCATTTGATGGGTCGATTTAAGATACAATGATACATGTCGACGTATCAAAGAAGGAAAAAAGTGAACCTGTAAATAAAAAACGAATTCTACTTCAATAACAGCGTCGCCCGACGCGCACGATATTGCCGAGTTTCTACAAGAATAATCGTAGTATCATCGACCACTGCGTAATGCGTATGTAAAACCTTATAATATACTGTATCGAGAAGGTAAGGTTCCCGCGATAAAATCCTCCTCCATATTCATCCATCTTCATCCAGCATTAAATCAAGCCACGCATCCGCATTATTCAGTTCTCCTCTCAGGCATCCATGCAGAGCCGAATTAATTGTTTAATATCCCCTTATTACTTTGTACCACCGTATATATTCATTGTACGAGCCGAGCGGTATTGCTAGCCGCGAGAACCTACCTCGAACCGTGCGATTCGAGCACGTCGGGCTTTTTAATAAACTTTTTTTTTAATTATTAGCCTAGAGATACGAGAGTATATATATATATATACGCGCGCGCATACAATATGAAACGAGCGCGATTACTTGTGTACATAACAAAGACTTACCTATTAGTATAGTGCCTATATCTTTAGGATAGTTTATAGTATATACATATACACGTTTACCCTATCCCCTCATTATTCAAGAAAAATGAGAAACAATCCCCAAATCCCATTTTCATTAAACGTCCTCGATATCGTCATCTCCCATCAATCATTGTATTCCTTGTATCCGATATCATCCTCGTGCATCCGCGATTTGTCCTTATCCCGTTGTCCTGTGTCCCAAGAAAAATGATAACAAAAACATTGCAAAAAAAATGGCCAAAAAATATTTTTTATTTTTCATACCCGTAGTAGGTACTATATATGATATATTTTTAACGTGACTGGCGAGCTTGTTGGAGATAACGAAGCCGAGAGCCGCGATCGTTGCGCGGTTTTTTTTTGAACTTTTCCGCGCCACGATCGCCCTCTATGCTTTCTGGTGCGAAGTCTGTTGTAGTATTAGACGCTTTGTGTACTGGGGCTGTTCATTGCGAGTGGAACTTCTTTTTGAGAACGAAGGCCTAACGTCGATCTTTCATTATGTCACATGACCTATTGCACTTTTACTTTTCGGCGCGTTTTACACTTTATTTCCAAGGTGTATCATGATTTTATCATTACGATCCAGCTTACTATTTGATCTGTCTGTACATATACTGTACAGGCCCCGGGATGGGCCCAGCGTATGCTAAAATAACAGTGGAACAACGTGACGAAATCGTATAAATTCTGTTGTCACGTTTGTCTCTATTCAATGACAGTGAAAAGTGTGTCTTCAATTCAAACTACGGGACTCAAAAATATAATATGCTTGTAACTTAATATCGAGAGGTACGTGCTGTTTCGGAAATAAGAGGAAGGTCCAAGTGCAATTGGTTAGTGGCATATGTAAGGAATGAACAAGAATGAGAGAGAGAGAAAATATGATATTGAGAGTGAGAGACGGCATCTTGATGTACTTTTGCATTACGCGAGTTAGCGTAGCGAAACATATAAATGTTGAGACTGGATTATGAACGTACAAACTTTATTATACCTAATGATAATGAATTTCAAGATTCATCGGACGACTTGATGTAAGCGACGAGACAGAATTGGAAGTGAGAGGAAATTTAAGGCTATATGCATATATGTATTTTATTCTTTACCGTCGCCATTTAGTTCTTACGCGGAATATCGAATGGATTTCAATCGGGTTTACGAATGAGTAGCTCCGTTTACTACTGTTATTACTGCTACTACCAATGCTACCACCATACCGATGTAATAGTACCGTTGTCAAAATTCCTTTTACTTTGTCAAAGAAGTCACGATCCGAAAATAGCGAATTTTGCCCACAGTATTTGCATAATTATTACGGAGCATCGTTGCAGGATCTAATTGGATCGACGTTATATTTATTGATAAGGGGATGCCCGAATACCTCTTCCATGGTTGCTAAAAGTCTTATCATAAGGAACAATTCAAAAAGTGTCCAGTGCTTTTTTTTTGCGAGATAACGATTTTTATCTTAACCTCTAGTCGCGAATCTTTTTTAAGTCGTACCACGATTTGAAAAATATTCGTTACGACAAAAAGTATCGTTCAGTTCAACGATTTTGTTCGACGAACGATCGTCGTCAGTGCTAATCGGATAGGATTAAATAATCGTCAAATTTGAAAATCGTCGTCCATCGCGAAATATAATTATATGAGTATCCATTGAAGAGAAATGACAAAAATATATATATTGTACGTATAGAAACGAACGAATATTGCCAATAAGTTAACGATAATATTATTAGTGATAACAATTGATCATGAATATCTTAAACCATCGTGCTTTAATATCGTTTGTTTCTTTTGCAAAGTTTATGTGTACATCGCGTATATGAAGTTCTTAGAGAGCACTCATCACGTGACCTAAATCCTACAGGGATTAATCCTACAGTCGATTATCGCAGTTAAACTCATCAATAAATTTAATAGTATCATCGTCATTTGGTCACAATCATTAGAGTATATAGCATGCCTGTCAGAATCAGGCATGCGAAATTTAATATCTGGGCCGATATTTTAGTCTGTATTAAGTTTCATGAAAACAGCCTTTATCGAGCCCCTATCGAATCGTGGACTTCTTTGAATATTTGAAATTTTCCAAGGATTGCCGTCTCTCGCTACGAGAAACTTTCGCTTTCGTATGAATTATGGATATGATAATTCGAATGAAAAAGACATCCTGTCAATCTCTCTGTGGACTTTTATTTGTCTATTGCTTTGTCTTTTCTTATTCATCGTTCTCGAACTCAACGAGGAACAACGAAAGACGATATTACATGTATATGTAGCGACCGATCGAAGAATAGAATAACACCGAAATTTCCATTGTGCAACGACGTGAATTATTGTATTTATGTGGAAATTCAGTGTCGGTGGAAAAATAACTGCGACACCCGTCCTGAATTCGAAATCGTCGAGTTTCCAAATTTCATGATCCATCGAGGATTGTTTCATTCGTTGCGAGAAATTAATTTCAAGATTTTTGATAATTGTCTTTCGTACGTTCGAATAAAGAGACCAAAAAATATTGAACGGGTCAGTGTTGCAAAGAATGCAAAAGGCTTTTTGGATTCGCGGACGAAACAGTTACCATTGCGTCTTATTGTCAAGATTATTTTCACCACCGTCTTTCGGCACTCGCGTAGAATGACAGATATGGTGAAGGTGGGTAGAAGTAATATCTAAATGTAATCCACCTTCATTGTCTCTAATGATAAGAAGAATGAGTAAGTTTTCAAGGTAACGGGGGTCGAAAATAAAATCCCTTAAAATTAGTGCGTAATATTAAAAAAAAAAAAAAAAAAAAAAAAAAAAAAAAAAATTTAACTTTATTCCCATCTCGTCGGTATAAGAATAAATCGCGAGGATGCTTTATTATGAAATCGGAAATTGGCGTCGATCTTCGGGCGAAGAGCGAGCGTTTCCAGAGTCGTAAGATAAATGTATACAGAGATGTGGTCCACTTTGAAGGAGTCCCATAGGTCCGGGCAATAAAAGCCAACCGAACGTAAACGAATAATGTCCAGCTGTTATTATTAAGATACAAAAGAAAGAGAGCTACGGGGTATATAATAGTACGTAACGAGTTGATGCCAGATTTTCAAAAGTCTACAGGTGTTATATTATCTATGTAAATAACATATACTTACGTAGATTGCCCAAGAAAACACGATAAAATTATGAAAAGATTATGATAAAAGGGCGTGTCAAATTCAATTTCGAGAGTTATATGTGCATTAATATGATACCTAACTATTTGAAGAAAATGGCAAACGATGAGTGACGAGTGCACATTAAAATTTTATAATTGAGAACACTGAGAATTATTCGCCTGAATGTGACGACGTGAATATGAGTATGCGCCTAAAGGCGAGATTGCGGCTCGTGATAAATCGTGAATGCAAAAAATATGGAAATAAGAAAAAAAAAGAGAGTACAGAAAAGAGCATTCGAGCGGCAGGACAGGTTTCGCATTTTGTAATTTACTAATTGACATTTAGCACGATAAGTTTTACGTGTCCCAGGATGTTTTTTGTATTTCATTTGATCGAGCATCAAAGGAATGAGAAAGCATTACTTATTAGTTCAGCTTTATGCTCGACGAGACGCGGATAAAGATGAGAAGCAGCCGACTTGTTGGCACGATGACAATTTTGTAACATTGGTGCGCCAGACTAACCATTATTAATTGTATACTTTACTCGAATATGCATTATTAATGGGGAGCATCGAGAATAAAAAAAAGAAGGAACTAAACAAATTATGAGAAAAAATTTAAGTATTTTGCTCACCTTTCAATTTCTACTCCTTTATTTATTGTGTGTAACTTTACACGCAAGCTTATTCCATATTACTTTCTTCTGCTATTATGAATACCCCTTTAAGGATGATATCGTGGCTCGTGTATACTTTCCAAAAGGACAATGAGAACACGAAGATGGAACTTTCTGTTAGTACAAGACAACGTATTTCCATAAGGATATCGATCAAATATGTGAATCCCCTTATATTCCTTAGGTGTCCCTGAAAGTATAATATGATCCTTCTTACTGTTTGGGACATCAGTCTATTTTATTCAGATACACGCACAACATTGAGGTTGTCGTACAATTTCTTTAAACTTTATTTAATTTTAAAAAATGTCTACCGATCGTTCGGATTCTCGCGGCCCACCTGCGGCGACTGGTTCAGTTTCCAGGAGAAAAATTGAGAAACCGCCGTTTAAACTTTGTTTCTCGAAACAACAAGAAGCTGGGCGTTCTGACGCTTGTGCTTCTAAGATAACAGGTATATTCTTCTAATTCTTTTTCATTGGTCCTTCTTTGGGTTATAAAATTATGTATTGTTGAACAATTTGATTTTTACAGCGAGTTATATTACGCCAAAGTTTTATTCACGTGAAATGGAGAAATGGGCTGATGTCGACGTCAGTAACACTGTTCAAGAAATAGAAAGGGAGGATAATAAAAAGCCTAAGGATCCGTATCGTTGGCCTTTACTGACCAGTCACACGTAAATACAAATATTGTAGTCAGTCTCATTATGCAAGAAATAATAGGTTTTTATTTTTATATCTGCACAGATAAATCAAGAGTCGTCTGTCATGTATTATACCAATTTACTATTTTTATTAGTCACGGTCAAGTACACAACTTCTCTATTTTTCCCTTTGCATTTTCAGCTATGGTTGGTGGCACGATCGTGGGATTAAACCAAGAGACCCGAGATTTAATTTTCATAAGAAAACTTCAGACTTGGTGAGTTATCAAATGAGAATTTATGCAGAGGATAGAAAACTAAAGGGACTCGGTCATTGAATACATATACATGTTAATTCGTATGACTTGGTCAACAAATAATATAATATATCAATTTATGTAATATTTCACAAAAAGAAACTTCCTTCGAATTATATAAATGTTAAAAATAGAATTACACAAATACACAGCACAATAACACAAATGTTAAAAATATTAAACTGTGACACACTGATGTATATTTTATGTTTTTTCTACGTTAAGTAGTTATATGAGTCTGATAATAATAGAGATTATTTATATAACACTTTGATTGCGCGTATAGAATATATAAAAGTTGTATAAAAATAATAAAAATCAATCTTTTTCAAATTTATCTTATGGTATGAAACAATAGATTACTATCGTTAGTTTGAGAATTCAACATTGAATACTGTTCAAGTTTCTGCAGCGTGTGAAAAAGAGTTGGCATCTCTATATGTAGCTCATAGTTTGTGCTTGAAATTAGTTCTGGAACTTTACGACGGAGCGGCGTCATTCAGAAGAGGAAGGATTGAGCAGATGTGCCCCACCACATCTATTTAGCTGATTGTAGTGTCAGGATCTGTATGTAAGACCGTGGAGCAGATACTTGAGATACCGTAGGAGTGCATGTAGAAAGAGCTGAAACTCGATTACGAATCTAGTGCGTCCCATTTTTAGATGACTGCTTCCCACTTTTGGTTCGAGTGAACCTTTATTTGCTCTTGTGACATGAGTGGATGTGATTGGTAGAACTTTTTTTGTGCCAATGTGATTTCTTATATACGGTCATTTACGTTCTTCGTATAGAGGCCATTCCTTTTAAAGTATCGTCCTGGAAAGACAAACTTTCGGACGTTCGTGCTGAACAGTCCAATTCTTCGACATCACGTGTGGTTTCTGCGCCAAATTTGTAGGGATGCGCTGATCTCAGTCTCTATGTGGATGAATTGTTAAATGTAAGTTTGGTTAATTCATGGGTGCATCACAAACGAGAAAAATAAACGAAGACAGTATGAGCAGGTACGTCTGTAATGATTATTGTAATTCTAATTTTGTTACATGATGTAAGTCACACACATTTTCCATACTCCAGATTTTGTCAAATTATCCTGCAATCTCTATAATATTAAATGTTGAGTCCTTTAATAGAATATTAAAGGCTGAACTTTGTATATTTTTATATTGTTGGTGAATATTAAAATATTTATTGTTGGTATTTAGGTACAATTAGAATCTTGGAGAGATATATGAATCAGAGTTCTAAACAACATATACGCATTTTATATATTATTACAATATGTCATTCTGTTATTGCTATCGATTTGTTTTACTATTCTCTATTTGCATAATTTCAGCAATAATTCCAGAACAAACAACAATGCTGACAATAGCAGTGGCCAAAGTAATATGAGACCACTGTCAATTCAAGCAGCTCGGCCTCGTAATGATCCTAATCAACCTCCTCCTCGAATTTTGGAACAACAACCAAGACAACCATCTAATTTACAAGGGCTCCTAAGATTTGCGATGGAAGCTACACGATCTGAAGATGCTCCTCATAGCTCTCAATTCCAACCATTGGACGAAGAGGTAAATTAATTATAAATAATGTTAGCATCATCACTTTATATTTTACTATATGCTAAGTAGAGGTCACTACTAAAATCATAAATTAGGTATCGGTAAAACTGCACAATCCAACTCCTTCTTGAAGCACTAGATGTAAAAAAAACTAAACAATTCATAGCTAACTTCAAGAAGGAGTCGCACTCTACAGTTTAGCCAAGGCATCTTTTTAAACTATGATTTTGTTAAAAGGCACTTTGCAAACTCATACAATATTCCATATGTTTAAATTTTTTTCAGAGAAAGAAATTCTTAGATGAGGCTCTGTCTTCAATAACAGTGAATGTAATAGAAGAATTACAAAAGGCAATTAAACTCTTAACAGGTGTGGGTGAACTCCAGCCAGGTGATGATCCATCCGAATATGAAGTGGCACTTGAAAGAATTGCAGATTTTGTTGATAATATAGATATTGCCAATGACTTTTACAAAATTGGGGGGTTTTCAATTTTTGGACCTTGTTTAAATTCTCCTCATAGTAATATCAGGTGGAGAACAGCAGATATTATCGCAGAATTGACACAAAATAATCCTTTCTGCCAAGAGAAAGTTCTGGAAATTGGCGCAATGCCCATATTATTGAATATGGTAGATTCAGACCCCTCTGAACAAGCAAGAATCAAAGCACTGTACGCTGTGTCTTGTAAGTGATTTCAAATTATTTTTGTGAATATTACTCCCAATTTAATTTCATATGAATATTTACTGTATTAATGTACTGATAACACAATGTTTCTAGTTCTTTAATCCTATGTATCTACAATTTTACATGCTGTTATATATGTTTTAGGTCTAGTCCGAGAAAATCCTATATCCTTGAGGCATATGGATGTAAATGATGGATATTCTGTACTCTTACGCGCAATACAAAGTCCTGTAGAAAAACTACAAATAAAATCTGCCTTCTTATTGTCATCTTTGTGCAACAAAGATAATTCCGATAACTTAAAAGCTACATTAGTGAGAATGGGTTTGGTAGAGCAGATTGCTGGCCTCTTAGCTATGGGAGGTCTTCTTCCAGATACGAGGTATATTTTTTTGCCGTAAAGTTATTCAAAAACAAATTGTACAAAGTTTTGTTGCACTGGCTTAAGGATATTTATTTTACAGGGAACACTTATTGAGAGTTCTGTATGGATTAACTTGTAATAATTATTTCCCTGCATTGAGAGAGTGTCGTCGACCAGAGCTGTGCTTAAAAGCCACATTGGAGCGATATTTGAAAGAATTGAAAGCCGAGGAAAGTGTTGACGAAGTAGACGTATGTAACGAGCTACTAGACAGAATATTTTCTGAGCGTGATAACGGTCAGGATAGGTAGCCTTATAAAAGCGAAAGGCTAATAAGCTGCGACAGCTAATTTCTAGCGCCGTTACTCCAGTTTACTGTATTTGCAATTAAAGTACAACAAACATAATAGTATATATTTTTTCTTCCGAAAAAAAGTACATACTTTCGGATTCTAACACTAATAACAAAAAACATTAAACATGTTCATGTTATTTTAAGAGAATGTAAAAAATAACGAAGAATATAAAGATTATCAAACGTATTACGTGCATAATATTTTATTCATAGTTCAATCATGATTTGATAGTTATGTAATTCTCGATATCATGATGCATTGTGTCCTCCTGAAATCTATATAAAACATATACATAAACTACACAAAAAAGTAAATGAATGATAACACGTTGACGGGGACTTTGCTTAATTTTTCGTGATTTCATTTTATCATATCTTTGCCCCTTTAAAAAGTGCGCACATCATTTTGTCCTCTAGTTGCATTCAGAGGTTCTCATTACTTAATAAGAAAATAAATATAGTATTCTTTGACCTGGAGCTTAAAACAGTTGATCCGAAAAAGGTAAAAATGTCTGACGAGAAAAAAGATACTGAGCAAGCTGTAGATGCTGAACTAGACGATCTGTTAGACAGTGAGTTAATGTTTAAATTAGTATGTCATATAAATCATTTTATACTTAAAACAACGTTGAAAGTTATTCTAACCTCAAAATCATTTATGTATCACAAAGTCATTGTTTACGTAATTATAATTGAACATTTAGTGAATGATTTATAAATAAAACAGTTGTTTCATATACAAGACTTAATATGAAATCTATTAAAAATGTTTATTTCATTTAGTAACATTTACTTATTTATTATGTAACAGTACGTACTATAAATACTATTTTTTGTTAGCTGATTTTGGTATATTGCTTTTTGCAACGATGATTATATTTTAAGACAAAATATTTTATAATATAGAAGTTGTGTAGTCATAACATAGGAGTCTCCATATTAAAAATTATCTTACATGCTGTTCGTGTCTCTAGAAAATTAATTTATAATCTTCTCCGTTATAACTAGGTGCTCTGGAGGATTTAAATAAAGGAATTCCAAAGCCTGTTCCTAAAAGCAATGAGGTCTCACCTGCATCAGCCTCTGACCCTGCGAAAGATGTTGTTGAATCAGCCACTGTTGTCGAAGAACAATGGTCACAAGATTTTATTAAACAAGCTGCTGATCAATTTGAAAAAAATCTACAAGAACTTATACAAAATGGTAAAATAAAATATTTTACTTAGGAACATAGTTGCTTAACTTTGTCTCTTTTTCAGGAGGAGATAGTGAAATGGGAGCTTGTTTTCAGAAAATGGCACAGACAGTGGCTAGTGCAGTGACAGGTGGTGAGGGAATTGACACTGAAAATTCAAATGCAGATTTTCAGAGTGCAATAGCTCAAGCATTAAAAGATTTGTCTGCAACATCTGAAAATCTTCAGGTAACTTGATATTCTATGAAGTCAAATTTTCTTACGTATTAGTAAGATATTTTGAAAATATGTGAAAGCTGGATTAGGTTTAAAGTTCGTTATGTTAATTTCATGTTTTATTTGCTCTTTAACATTACGCAATCGCTTATATTAGAATATGTGTTCTTATAGTCGTTCAAAATCAGCTTCATTTTTCAGAATGCTGGACCAGCTTTAACAGAAGCTGATCTAGCTGCAATGTTTGAACAAACATCATTGGACGAAGGAGCTGGTAATATTCTTCCATTTATGCAAGTGGTAATGCAAACGTTATTATCGAAAGAATCTCTTTATCCATCGTTAAAAGAGTTGGTGGACAAATATCCAGCATGGTTAGAAAAGAAAAAAGCAATTCTTCCACCTGCAGATTTTGAAAGATACACGAAACAATTGGATTACATGCGAAAGGTCAGTGAGTATTGTTTGATGTATAAAATTTGAAAGAAAAATTCCTGATATTTCCCATATTTACAACGCATATAATATCAACTAATTATAAATTCTGTACAATTAGACTTGCGAGGAATTGGAAAAAGAAAAGGAAGATGATTCAGAAGAAGTAAAGAAAAAGCGATTCGAAAAAACCTTGTCGCTCATGCAAGAAATGCAAAGTTGCGGTCAGCCACCTGCCGATCTTGTTGGGGAACAATCTATAATCCAATTCGATGGCGAAGGCAATCCTATAATGCCGTCCTTACCATCTGGTATAGATTCTCCTCAAAACTGTTGCGTTATGTAAAAACTCGTGGAATTGAATCAGTAAGGCATTTTGACCAAACGCATATGTTGTTATACATTATACGTATTGGCATTTTAATCATCATAATCATACGTAACTCATGAATGGAGAATTTCGTTTACAAAATTATTTCATATTTTTTATGAATTGTCATGGTGCAGAAAAATGGGGAAATTGATGCTTTGTGAAAGTTCCATCATGTACATTATACACCATCTCTGCCAAATTATGTTTGACTAATCACTCTGAAGCTATGCAATACTTTTTATCACTCCATCAAGAATCATACACCGATCTTTCCTCAAATCTAAAATAATTTTCGTTAGCAACGATAGAATTCTAGTAAGAAATTATTGTCATCTACATATGTTATCACTGTAACATAGTAAATCGTTGGCCAGAATGCCTCTGGTTTATTTAATTTCAGCATTAACAGTATGTAATATACTGTTTTTGTACATAAGCAATAGCATTATTTCTTACGAATGTTCTTTAGTGGAGGATAGTATAGGTAGAAACAAATAGTTAATAAACTAACGTCATATTTTATAAACGCAATGAATGTCGTATCCGTTAGTAAAGTATTGTTATCTTGTTTTAACACTTAATATATTATTTAATTTAATAAATAATAAATGGTTTCTAAAGGTATTATTTTATCTGATGAATTGATGGAATTTCAACAGAAATATAATTCATAAATGAATGATGATTTAATGAGTTAACAATATCAGAGTAATGACTTTTATTTAATACATCATCGTATGTCATACTATATATTATTCCTTTGCGTTCTACAGTTATGTGATGAATCCGAAACAAATTGTGTTTCCAATTATAACTTTGAATTTATTATGATTAGATATTAACGTCAGTAATCATTTCTGCGTTCAAACATTTCTTCATCGGACCAGAACTTCAAATTAGGAGGACCGATAATTTGTATTACCCGCGATGTATATGTGCATCAGTTACATAAAATAGAAATCCGGGTAAAATAGATAATCGTTGATAAATTCATTGCATGTACGAATTCGTTCATTGAATTATTCTCAGATTGACCACGTGTGCAGATGACAAGGAAAACATTACATTCATATTTTCAATATGGGACGTGAACAATCTAATTTCCAACACACTGTTGAATATTGTTTGACATTGTTTTTGTGCTAATGTCTTTTCTCAATGTTAGGTGTTTACCTAATTTCCGTTTAAGAAGACGGAGAAAGAGCTGCCACACCAGGAAGTACTTTTCCTTCAAGCAACTCCAAGCTGGCACCACCACCAGTACTAACGTGACTAACTTTGTCCTCAGTTTTCCATTTCGCAGCGCAAGTGGCAGTGTCACCACCTCCAATAATAGTAATCGCACCTCGGGTAGTAGCTTCAACTACATTGTCCATGAGAGACTTTGTACCTTTGCTGAAGTTTTCGAATTCGAATACTCCAGCTGGACCATTCCAGACAATTGTCTTTGCCGTTTTAACTGGTTCTGTAATAGACGTAACAGTGACTAGTAAGTGGTGATTGCGAATTTAGAAGATTATGGAATAAAAGATTAGGACTGTAATTACCAGCAAACAGTTCTCTAGATTTCGGCCCAACATCAAGTCCCATCCATCCATCGGGAATACCACTTTCTACATCAGCAGATCCTACAGCGGCATCTTCGGCAAATTTATCAGCAGTGACAAAGTCAACAGGTAAATGAATCTTAACGTTATTCTTTTCTGCTTTAGACACCAAATCATTAATGATCTTCGCACCCTCTGCGTCGAACAAGGAGTTACCAATCTAAAATAATAATGATAGCAGATAATGTATAATATTTTTAAAACGCTAGAATGCTTTCTAGATTTAATATTCACCTTCATATTTTTCGATACATTTAAGAATGTATAAGCCATTCCACCACCAATGATCATTTCATTAACTTTATCCAATAAGTTGTTAATTAATTGAATTTTGTCCGCAACTTTAGCTCCTCCAAGGATAGCTAGGAAAGGCCTTTCAGGTTCATCCAGTGCTTTAGCAAAGTATTGGAGTTCCTTTTTCAATAGGAATCCACTGGCTCTGATATCGAAACCTTCTCCCAGCATTGAACTGTGTGCACGGTGAGCAGTACCAAAGGCATCATTGATATAAACATCACCGAGCTTTCGCAGAGAAGCTCGGAATGCTGTGACTTTATCTTTATCTGCTTTAATCTGTGGAGAAAAAAGATTGAAACTAACAAAATTTAAGAGAGGAAAATGTTTCAATAATAGAATCAGACCTTACTACCATCAGGGCCAACACCCTTGCCTTCTTCTTCTACATGGAATCTTAAATTTTCTAAAAGAATAATAGTTCCAGGAGCTGGATTGGCACATGCAGCTTCAACTTCAGGACCAATGCAATCCTCCAAGAAAAGGACATCCTTCCCAAGAAGAGTTTTGAGCTCCTCGGCAACAGGTTTTAAAGTATACTTCAAATTTTTGTTTCCATCAGGACGACCCAAATGAGACATTAATACTACTGATTTGGCTTTCTTTTCAAGAGCATACTTCACAGTGTCCAATGCTGCAACAATTCTTTGATTGTTGGTGATTTTACCATCCTTCAATGGTACATTGAAGTCAACTCTGAAATAGTAAAACCATTGTAAGAGATTAATGTAACTGATCTCCAAATGATAGATAATTCTCGTAATCAAAAAAATTTGGTAAAAATGTCATTCATTTTGACATTTCTAAAAATCAGTAGTTGCCAGCGTCAATATATAATTACTAATAAATTACATAAAATGCCAAAATTGATTAAAAAGTTAATAATACAAGATATTCTCATAAGAATGAAGAATATACAGATGTGAAATAAGAAAAATTAAAGAAACAGGATCGAAATAGAGAATACGGTACCGTATGAGGACCCTCTTGTCAGTAAGATCCACTTTGTCGATGCTGAGTTTGTTAAGGGCCATGGTGTTATCTTTGAAAAATATATTATCCCTTATAAAGATCGAGGAATACTTAATTTTTTCTAATTTCGTTGAACTTCGGTTAGACCAACGATACAAAAGAAAATGTGCCGAACACCTCGAGTATCTTGTGATTCGGTAAAGTGATTTACCAATGTCAAGGAAAGGTCGACGAAGGTGGCGACCTCCCAAAAGTCCGCGAAGAGTGCGCATCTCAAAGTGCTACTAAAGAGTATCTTTTTAAACCCATGACACAGAATATGTTATAATTATCCATATCCCGTTAATCACCATACATAAATCTTATAACTTCAAAAGAAATGTCGTTCAAGAGACCAGCATCTTACTCTCGCGAATATGATAAATTCAAAGCTCTAAGCATCAGCACGTAAGTCATTAGCCGTACCAATAATTAAATATCAAATTGTACTCCTCATACGATGATATGAATGAAATGTGATCATTTGAAAAACAAAAATTATTGATCTTAATGTTGTATAACTGAATAAGTATACGGTAATGGAGATCTTAAATAATGTATAAAGTTTCAGTCAGAGTTGACAACCTTAAGTGCTTCATAAGCCTTGCAGCTCACGTGTATTCACGCATGCGCAGTAGAACAGGCTGTTGACGCGCGTGTAACTTAAATGATTTAACAGACGTGCTGCTAAGTGCCAAGAGGTTACGTTGAACTATCATATTTACGCTTGGCAAGACGTCGTTCCCAAATAGCAAATTATTATAGGATCTTCGTCGCAGAAATAAATAGTATTTGTTAGAGACGAATACCGGCATGTTCAGTCTCATTCGCTTATACCTGTACTCAACTTCCATGTCTCGATTCAACCAAGATCGCTGCTAGTTACTTCTTTCATACCTACCACTTCCATTTGCACTTTTTTATTCTCTTTATTTATCCTCTTTAATTTAACACAGTAGTGCCGTACACTCGATTTTACAGCAGACACGTATTAAACGTTACGAAAGTCAAATCAAGATTATCAATACGTGGATGGAACTAACGATACATGAGTAAGTAATACAAGTAGAAACTGTTTAAAGATATTTCTTCAATAATAACCAACCCTCTATTACATTCATTTGATGGGCGGTTGTTAAAATCATTTGAAAACTCAATTAAGAAGCATACTGAATCGTTTTATGCATTCACTGCGCGTTATTGAAGGAAATACGACTTTCATGAGTCTTCGCGTAGCCGCCTTGAATTTCCATGTGTATCTAGGTCATCAAAAGGCATAGCACTACTGTTAGTGCTATAGCGCAAGGAAACGTGTTTGCTATTCATGTCCACTTAGACGGACATAGCAACGAGTCTAGAGAGTACATTACATACTGATACTAACTATACTACTTCTTGGCGCTGATTCAAGTAATTAGGAAGATTATAAGAAAAAACGTTCAATCAAGGGAACATACGACAAAAGTGAATTTATTGAAAACTAATATTAAGTGCGCGTCATGGATATGAGACTTCTTTTTGTCTCAGTCTTTTGTCCGGGTAAAATAACCTGTAAGACACTTCATCCGCATATAGACCCTTTTGACCTTCGCACACGTCATACATCGCGCATCGGCCAAAACATCGCAAACCGTAAATATCGTTAAACCGGAAGATGATCGAGGAAGCGCGTAAAGTTAAGTTGTTTGAAAACATGTCGCTTTGCTGGTCGCGTTTAATTTCGTATGTACGTAGAATCTGTGAGAAATGTTTCAATATTGTGCAGTGCCAGTGCTCTGTGAATTGCATAAATCTAGGAGAGTGAATTTCTGTATCAGTAAGATGCACTTGCTTTACTTATACCCAGAGATATTTCACATGTGAAGATTGTTTTTACAAAGGTAATGAATACGAAGAGAAATTCACGAATGTACTAGGTACATATATAAATATATCATGTGTTAAGATCTCTTGAAAAATATTCTCTGTAAAGCAGATAGTAACTGCTGATACTATTATTTTTTTTTCACGTCACGACTGAACTGCGAATAGTACGTATGTGTGCATTAGGTGAAAACTTGCTAGCTCACTGGCGGGATCAGGTTTTCCTAAAGGCTGATTATAATCAAGACCAAGAATAATTTTCATATAAGACTCTGGGAAGCATGTAAAGATGTTGAAGAAACTTTCTGAAAAACATAAAAATTGTTTTTCTCAGCAACGATCAAAGTTTACAAAGAGATATTTAAACCCACTGTGCTCTTGCGTAAAGTGACTTGTCTGCTATGGTAACCAATGCAATAGGTCGTATCTTCAAGTATGTCCAGCATCGAAGTAGATGCAGACCCCGGTAGACGGCCCCTGCTCTATAGTTGGTATTCAATCAACGTTTGGTATCCTGGTATTCTGTCTGACCGCAGCTATTCTTGATCCTGGCCCACTAGCACACTGGCACGTTCGACTAGCTTCGAAATGGAAAAGCAAGACTAACTCGTAGAAACAAAAGGCATATAATAACAATGACAAATTGTATCAATTGTATGCTTCTTATATTGCTTATCAAGAATTATAAAAACTGTTACATTTTAGTTCAACATCCGTAACCGTCATCCACGAAGGACCTTAGTATCAAGGACAAAGATCCATGACGATTGTCACTACTCAATCGAACAGCTGTAAACGCATCCGGTCCCAGGAAATTGAAATAGAAAAACACAAGAAGCAAAGGCAAAAATTCAAGACCATCCGGGTCGAACTCGCGAGGTCAGGAAGTGCGCGTGGCTGAAGACTTGCTAAGGTGTCAGGTTAATGATGGGCGAACGATGTACCGAGAACCGTTTGATCGAATGCCAAATTGAATGTCAATGCTCGAGACTCCCGGTTAACGAAAAGAGAATTTTCGAGCAACAGGCGGGTGTTGTGGCTGATGGTCTAACCTGCCAACCAACCACCTGGGTTTAGGAGAGTGAGCGAGGCACAAACTGATCTGTCTACGTGAGAGTTAGACCCAACTCGCCGAGTGGACCACCAGGATCAAAATAGCCTAACCTCGCCAAACGCGGGGGCGAAGCACGATACGCCTAGCTACTTCTGAATCTTAGAAGACCCGACAGACACTTCAGCTACGTTTTCGGCTTTGTTCCACAGGACATAAATCCATCAGTATATATCCATCAGTATATTGACTGTCAAAATAATCCTAGGCATCTATACAAATTTGAAATTATTTTGAAAGATTTTTTATGATAGTTTTGAAGAGTTCATGAAATGGAGCTACAAATGTTTTTAAATATCTCGATAAAACGAGTAATATAGAGATTGGAGTGATAGTGGTTTTGTTGGATGACGTAATGGGAGCTTTTTTTTACGACATCGCCTCGAAGGTGACTGAACTTTAATTGATGAGATATATTTTAGGGTATTAAATTTGTCTGAATAACTTTGAAACAAATCACTTTTTGTTAAGATTTGTGTGAATATTTTTTTGCTATTCCTATTGACTGTGGTGACGAAAGCTATCTTAAGGAGTAGCCTGATATTAGTAAAATATAGTTTGGAGTATCCCGCATACAGTCATCGTCTTGCGTATAGAGGAAATTATTTTCGAAGCGATTGCTGGCTCTGTTTTTATGTGTTTAGATTACCATGTGTACATACAGCGCACCATAATCAGTTTACAGTAGGCTGGAACTAACACAACGTTGCGAAAACCTGAGCCTGTATTGCTATTTGATTTAATTCAATTTTTGTTGTTGTAGCTCGAACGATATTGCACACGTATTTTCAAATGTACGCATATTTACTATTTAGTAAAATTTTGCAGTTAAAGAAATTTATCGCATATACGTATTACAATAATATGTACGCAGTACGCATATAGGATTTATTATTTATAAAATCATTCTTTTAGTACAGGAAGAATCTCTTATTTGTTAAAAGTCAGATAGCAATACCAAAAATTTGTTATTTAATAATTATGGAATGCAGTTTTGAATGAATGCATTTTCCCGGGCACGGGACAAAAATTGCAACATGTAACTATTTGAATCGTTGCCATAATGGTATTATTTTGGATGCGATATCAACTAGATTTATTGTTAGAATGCTTTCGTAACAGATGCATAGTGATGCCGAAAGATGGTAAGATAAGACAAAGAAGAAAAGCGAAAGTTAAGAGTTTGAAATGTCTATTTGGTGTCTTCGATACCTACTTCAAGAATAAAGTGAACCTGCTATTATCCAAAGTCAATCAAAGATACTTAAACTGCAAGAGTCAAATTCACAGTTGTATGAAAGAGACTGGTATGTCAGTCGCAAACAACTAGATATAAATTCACGCATAACCTTCACTAAGAATGAATCAAAGTGAAAAACATGGTATGAATTTAAAAAATCCGAAGTAATAGCCAAGCTGAATGACCATAATAAATCATCATTTTAAAACGCATACGGTTCATAATACCAAATTTCGTCGGTAAATCTCGGAAAACCTATCACGCTCCGTTATTTCCACGAAACATGTAATTAGACGCGATGCTTAAGATTCGCGCATCTTTGACAATATCAACAAGAACGACGGAGCGGAGTAAGAGCCCTGTTGACATCTTGACACATGTTGTACCAATATGCATACATACGTCAGCTCATTAAACCTATGCATGTATATTTATATCTACTATCACGGTGAACGATCTAATTCTTAACAAAGAGATTTAGAATCTGAAAAATAAACGCATAAGCATTTATTATTATTTAACATATTTATCATATGTAGCTAATCGATTCTCTTATATTTTCTTTGTGACTCATTTTTCCTCTTCTAGACGTGTTGTGATAATTGTAAGTTTCCACGAGTTTCACACCTGCCGGAAATCGTTCCCGTTCGCAAAACGCTCCCGTGTGTTTCACGTCCTTGTCCCAAAGAAGCAGAGATACCTGAAGAGCCACGTTCTAGCGTCTGCGAACGAGGCCTGAATTGTGTTCACGTGAGCCATTCAAGGCCGTAAGGTATCCGTAAAATATCGTCGAGGATTTGCTCCCGTAAGATTGACGGCCTTGTGGATAACCGTTTAACGTAGTGAAAAAATGGCCGATTGTGTCGCACGGCTGCTGATCCAATGCCAGTGGAACACGGCTATTCAGTTTTGGCTCGCACGGCCACTACGAGGCTACCGGCTCTTTACTCGCGAGAACGCTCACGAGGATTCAGTGTGCGAAGGAGCGCAAACTCGTTCGGTCACCATAATCTGCTCTCTTGGACTTCCTTCTGCACTCGTCTTCCTCCATTTCTTCATCTGCGTCCACAACCATCTCTACGATTCTCGACCTCATCCATACCGGGCGCAAGCTATGAAGTGGTACGTTTATCAGCTGCTTGCGTGAATTTTATGTCGTTCCGCGTGAAAATATTACGGGATTTATACAGTGTGATGGCAAAGTGTAGAACTACGTTGTGAAATTTTTTAAATCTTCCTTGGGATTTCGTCTCGTGTCGGATACGAATTTATATCAGTTTTTTTATTGAGCTGGTTCTAGGAGTAATTATGAAGTTGCGAGGTAGGCGGTTCAGTTATCCTTCTGCTGCTTGAGCTGTGGGCTTTCGTCTTCGGACTTTTAACATCATCTGAACTTTGTATAACTTGCTGATTGTTAGTTTTCGAACTTCTTTTACCATCATTCTTATTTTCGGAGTGTCGGGCATAGTGTTGGGTTACATTTCACTAATATATATGTTGGCAACTTAGGAGGAGATGTGATATCGTTTGGCAGCCGTGTGCAGCTGAGCGCCCGCGCGCGCAAGATGCAACGGCAGGGAGAGACGTGAGTCTGAGAGGGCAGCTAGCTGCGAAAAGGTCACAAGACGGCAAAAAGAAAAGTGTTTAAAAAATTCAAACAGAACGATGGGTCGGCAGCGTGCTGCGAAAACTAGTAGTGTCAAAGAATTTAATATTTATTCTTGTTCAGTTAAGTTCTAAGAATGTTGCTTCTTTTTTAAATACACTGTTGTTTTTTTTTGTATTAGAAACGAAGTCAAGCCACGTGCATTTCATTCTGTTTCCCACCCTCAATTCCTATAAATGTCGTTTAAGACGTTGCAACGACCAGACAGCTAACATATATATATTTATATATACATATATGATTTTTATCAAATTACATTTAGATGTTGGGAAGTATTCTGCTAGCGGTTCTTCGGTTATGAACAAGCCATTTTGTTTTTTGATTATGTAAGTGTTATTTAACATTGTCGAAGTGTTTGTATCTATATATTATTCAGTCGAATCATTGTACAGAAATTTTAACATGGGAAAATAATTGCCTTATTTAGACTACTGTTACAGTAGGTATATCACACGGGTTACTTGTGAACTCGAATTTTCCTAAGAATTATATTCCCTAATCAATATCGTTGATTTGCGAAAATTTTTTTAACAACCGTTGTGACCTTTTACGCAAAAATTTCAATGAGAAATTTGTCGACTCGTCATAAATTACTATAGACGTGCTTTGCGGTGAAACGGAAATAACGTTCCTTTCCCACTAAGGTACTCAAACGTAATTTATAGTTTACGATCGATACGTTCTAAAAATGTGCAAATAATTTTTCTCGATGCCACAATAATTTTACACTTATCATAATTTTATTTTAATTTCATCATAATTTTTTACACTTACATATACATATATATCCTCAAATACTTTTGATCTACAATTGAAATCCTGGGGGGGGGGAGCACAGCTACCTTATATCGAAGCTTTTTGAAAAACATCCATTGCGAAATTGCAAAAAAAAATGTAAACATTCTGATATTTCAAGGAATGCAAAAGTGTGAATTTAAATTTATTTATTCGCGGAAACAAAATTTATATGTTGTCGTACAGTGGTTAGTAACAACAAAGAGACGGGTTAGGTTAGCAGTATTTCTGAAATTCATTGAGTTGACAAAAATATAGAAAACGTATTATATCATCGTGTGTCACACGTGCAAGAATATGCATTGAAATCTCATTTTAAACATAAAAAACATACATAGTGCATACTTGAATAATATTCAATAGATAAGAAAACAATGTTTCTAAAGAATATTTTAAATGAAAATAGTATTCAATGAATGGACAGATATGTTAATTCTTCGCTATCTTTTGATTTGAATTATTCTTCTTTTTCCTAAATCCTGACGCAACGTAATCCAATTCCATTTAATAGGCACGCATTAATGACTTCGTTTCAGTGACTCGTTCGTACATTTTCTTGTTTGCTCTACGGTTTTAGACTGCGCCTGAAAAAGGGGTCGGGCCAATCAGTGCTCCAAAATTAATTTCTCAGCAAGTGTTCGAAATACGTTCGGTAGTATTGAAAATCACGTGCAAAGTGTCAATTGATATTGCAAATTTATATTAATTTCGACGAGGAATACGATAACGAAATGTGACGTGTATACAGTTTATATTGGGGAATTTAGGAATGTGTCTATAACGCATTAGAAAAATATTGAGAATAAAAATAATATTCTGATCTAGGCAGAGGATTATTGACCAAATCACGTTTCCATTAAGTTGCTGTGCTTCTGCGAAAAGATACAAAACGAATGTATAAAATTAAATTTTATTTGGTGAGCCTGTAATTTTTAAAATGCTTTTCCACGAAACCTGTCTTGATAATAGTCCTCTCGCACTGCCATCTAACAGAATGAGTTTCCAGCATCTGCAGATTCTCTTGTCCCACGTCAGCCCATTTTTCAATAAGTTCACGTGTTGGCGAAATTAAGTTATTCAAAAAATAACTTCACGATAGAACTGGTCGTCGAAGACAAAACTTACCGAAATACCAGCCAAATATCCCGCTGCATATTATATTAACTTTCGCACGATAGGCATATTCGAGCTGACTTCCTCCCAATGAATTTTACTGCACGTATAAAAGCATTAGGCACTGCTGTCTTTAAAATAACGTTAAAAAGCTGCGTGTGTCAGGACTATGCAACCACCTTGTGCTCATAGATAAATTCTAAATGAAAAGAATCGAAATATCGCAGAGTCCACCCGGTCACGTAAATATAAGTGGAACATTTCGTTGAACGGGAAATTCTCCTAACTTAAAATTAGCTCGATCCAAGCGTCACTCCGCTACTCTCGAGCAATAGAACACCCAGAGAAATTTTGTCGTCCCTCGAAGCGAATCTCGTCTGGCATCGTGTCGTATAAAAATAAAACATTAAGACAAACTGCAATATTAATACCCGTACACAGCTGACAGTAATAAAGTATCGATAATAAAAAGGTGAATGGCGAGCGAGTTATCCTTTGCTCCGAACGAAACAAAAAATTAAAAAACAGCGCATTTAAAAAACTATCATTGGATGTGGAATCCTCAAACTTATTACAAACAATATGTAAATATGAAAATTTCTTTGAAAATAATTGCCCTTAAGCATATAGTTTAGATTGATATGGTAACGCTCCGTAGGGAATAACATTTTTTTTCTGTTACGTCAAATACAGACAGAACAGACGCAACATAATAATTACGTGTAGGTATTGGATCGTCAAAAATGGCCAGCTCTCAGGTTCGACGAGTTTGTTTGTCTTTACGTCGAAGGACATCTCGAACCTGACCGGTCCCATGCTTTTTTTTAGCTTTCCACCTAAGTATTGTACACAACATTACGACTAGTCTAGTCCTCAGTTAACAGTCGGCTGTTCTTAATCAGGGTATCGGTGCTTAAGAAAATTGTAGTCAATGAAATTTACGACGTGTGTTATTTACTCCTTTACAAAGTACCCAGTCGTTTAATCTGTCACTTACAAAGACAAAGATACCAGTCGCCATATATTACTTATCGCATTTTTATTTTCAATACGTCCTCCTTCTAACCAAGCTTGGAGATGATATACTAAAAATAACGCTCTTTCGGCTAATCAATATACCGGTAATAGGAGTACTCCATGCAAGGCCGACCAGGAACTCATGAATCCTCCACGAAACTTTTCGACTTCCTTAAACTTCTCTGGAAAGAAAACATCATCGTTCAATAGGTATTTAATACCGACGAAATTCAAGTGTACTTGCTACAGTCAAGAAACCTTGGTTGTTTTAAAATCTGGGTCAGTCGGTATATGTATGCCCAATTATCCATTAACGGTGTTCAATTTATAGAAAGATCCAGGATATAATTAGGCTTGTTAGCAAAGAAGGCAGAATCGTGTATTTATTTTCTTTCCTTTCTCTCTAGCTCTAACAAACAGGAAAATAATGGTTAATTAATAATAGAGCAAGGTACAACATAATAATGACTTTGATTACCGCGTATTGAATTTCTACTTTTTCTCACTGGATACGGATAGATATTTCGTATGACACAAATGCGTAACCATCTAAGAAGATGTAATTAGACAGTCTAGATATTGAACCCTGCAAAAACTGGAAACAGCTCGCAAGTCAGTATTCTTATCCCGTGAAACGTTTTCTTTTCAGTCTTTTTTCTCTTCTGAAATGAAAGTGTGTACCTGAATTGTCAGTTTTCATTCTACCATCCAAACAAACAGTACAACGATCTCCAGATATTTTTACCAGATCGATCCTTTACTCCGACGATAACTCATTAACGGATGTATTTTAGGATTGGTTTTCTTATGCCACGTAATCCAGTTCTCGGCGAACTTGATATTTATCTCTACGTTCAAATATACATAGTGCAATTTTTTAGATATCAAATCAATATAGATAATTTACTTAGTACATTATCATAGTAGTATTTGAACTATAGCATGTCGATCGATCGAGCACATTTCTTGCCATTCAATCATGTATTTGAAGCTGTTCGTATTATACATCAGAAACATATATCTTCTTATTAACATTTTTTAATGAAGTATTGAAAGTTTCCTTACTATCTTGACGTTTTTAAATTTCTGTTCGTCACATTATCTTTTATATAAGTTTGCTAGGCAACAGTGAATCACGGAATCTACTAAGTTATGGAACTTCCCCTAATAATTACTCTCAGAGATTCCTCGAATTTAGGTATCAAAATAATATACAGAATCTCCAGGCTAAATATTTCCTCGTATATTACTGTAATGACATATAAATAGTTCCAGTTAATAGTAACCTCCGTGCTGGGCCGAACTTTCTTAGAATCGACAGCTCGATTCTAAATCCGTGTATAAACGATCGGGATTTTAACGTTTGTAATGATTGCTACTCGAGGCCTTCAATAAACATTCGGAGCGATATCGGACATCGGTTACGATGTTACACGCAGAAAAATCGTTTGTACAAATAGTTCTATTAATTTTCTCGTTATTCAATATCCTACCCACATCGTTCATTCCAGTCGCATGCGAGGACAACTGAGAAATTACAAATTTATTAATTAATGATTATTCAACGGCATATGCTACGAGTTCATTATAGCAACATTATTAATTACGTATCACTTAAGATGGTGTAAATTATTCCTTATTCCCAGTAAATGGAATAAGGACAAGAGAAATTGTATGTTCTGTACCATTCAGTCTGCAATTTATTGAAAATATATCTTGCGAAAAACATGAATTATCAATAGGCATCAAGAACATTGAATCCCGAGCGTATATACGTGCTTAATTTCATATTGAACGATTCTTTAATTATTACAAGGTGACTTCCTGCTGTGACAAAGTCTGATTAACGGTGCAAACTTTCGACGGTCGGTCAAGCATGTCATGACGGGTTTCCCGTAAAGTGGATTTCTTCGATCGGGCAGTATCTCAGAGAATCAGTTATCCAGTACACGCAGTTATTCTTAAAAAGTGTCATTTAAATGTCCTTTTTAACGAATCGATGAATCTCTGACAAAAAATATGGTGTCATACACGAGTCGCAATACATAAAGTGATTATAAAATATTCATAAACATATCGTGCGATTATCTTAAGCGATTCTATCGGAATTAGAGCGACGGTTTGGTGCAGTCCAAAATGTAACTAAACGTTGGGCGCAAGTCAACGATCCTCCAAGCTTTAGGCATTTTCTGTTCTCCGCAAACAGCAGATCGCGAGTTGCCGCTTGCAAAAGCTTCGACATGTCCCAGTGAGCGTCATCGATCGTGTGTCTAGGGCGCCATCGCGCGGACATACCGTGAAATACATTCCGTGCGAAAATGGCCGTCGTATCGGCATTCCACGGAATTTCGTGGGACTTTCGTGAGTATCTCGTATCCGTCTTACGAAGAGAGTGATCGTGGGGAATACGGGAAGCCGCCGTGCAACACGAGCAATGCCAGTTTAACGAGAATAATCGCGAAGTAGAGCCGTTTAGGCGCTCTTGGAATATCCAACTACAGCGCCGAGCTACCCACCGTCAGCATCTAGCAGACGACTTTGTTAGTAAAAATAAAATGTCATTATATTTGGATCGGTTCGCGCGCGTTGGACCTTCCAGGGAGACAAGTTATCTTTTCGTGCAGGGACAAATCGCGTCTCACTGCTGATTTACTCAATAGTAATTATTTAGAAATTTGTGAAATATTGGTTATAGATAAGGTAACATTATATATAGTCGCTGGGGTTTCCCATCAGTGGTGGTGGTGGTGCTGATGGTGGTAGCAGCAGTGGTAAATTAGGCAGTAGTCTAGTATATCGTAGAATATTAGATATCTCTGTTATGGCACTCGGGGTAGTGTAAGCTCGGATGGTTGGGATGTGACGAGTTGTTCGACAGAGAAAGAGCGCAGAGTATTAGTACCCCTTGTACTGGCTGCACCCTTTGGCCGCACGCAATCATGGCTGCCTAGCACGGGGCGCGTATTGACCAATTTTATCGTGCAAGTCTTTAGGTTAAAAACCTCGTGTGTGGGCCGTAGGGCGTGTCGGCTAACGTTGACAGCTAAAATCCTATCAGTTTGGAGCACGTCGCCCGGTAATCACGAGACCGGACGACCATCCTCCTTATCCGTGTCGTAGAAGCAATCATGCCTTTAGTAAGGGGTTGCTTCAATTTTCCAGGCATCCAAATCACCCTGGGAAGCTGGTGTTAAGGCATGTAGGCGACGAGAGTACGGATCAGAACAACAATATCACCATGACTAGTGAGGACTTGCTGCAACCTGGCCATGTGGTCAAGGAACGATGGAAAGTCGTGAGTATTACTGTCAATTTTTTAAAAAAATTTTTTATTTTTCTTTGATATCAAGATTATTTATAGGTTCGAATTTGTTATGAAAATAATACAATTCAAAAATGTTGGCATTTATTCAATACTGAAATTAAATCTCTTATACTTATTTGGTAATTTATTTCTGTGCAAGTGCAAGTGTATTTACAAATTGCACTTCATTTCAAAGAATTTTCCTGCTAAATGAGTCAAGGGAATTATTTCTACGTGTGTATGGTGCTATGACATTACTTTCTTATGTACATTGGACTATATAAAGTGATGCTGATGTTTATATTTCTCCATTGACCAACATCTGCATTGTTATACTGCAGTATTTGTGTAGGATAGTATATTCATATTATCGGTTGAAACTGATAGAATTCATAGATAGATGATGACGTAAAAGTCTAATAGCTTAAATGATTTTAAATTTGAATTATTTAAATATGTTTTTAATTAAATCATATACTAAATTATTAGATAAGCAAGAAGATTAATAACAGATATTAGGAAAACAATTCTCTGAATTTTCTTTGCAATATGTTATAAAAGTTATTTTATGTTCACATATATTTAAGAATCAAAGTCAAATATATTTTCCATACGTTATTCTACAAGAAGGAGTATTATTGCATGTAACGTGAATGTACTTTTTAATATTTGCCTTATAGAATAATTGATGGACACTTCCTTATCTATTTTTCAATTTGAAAATTAAAATAATAATTGTCATACTAAAAAAATTATGAGTGACATTTATTTAAGTGTCAACAGGTTAAAATTTAGTTATCTATTCAACTTTATGTTATAATGACTTTGTCATTTTCTATCAGATAACATTGCAAATGTATACATTAGCCACTTAAGATTAGCCTTCTCATTTAAGTAAATACTGCATTGAACGCAGTATCTATACTTGTATTATTATTTCTCTATTAGGAAATGTACAAGTTTAGAATTGAATCAAATTACTGTTAACATTCAGTGACTTCATAATATTCATATTCGAATAATTATCCTTTGTATTGCATAACCTATGTAAGAAATAATATTTCATAGATCAATACAAAACGACATCTATCTTGCATTGTCGACAAATGACCTCACAAAGTGCACTATTCAATTGCATTTTGCAAATATTTTTTTTGTTACAGATGAGAAAGATCGGTGGCGGCGGGTTTGGCGAAATATACGAGGGCTTAGATTTGATGACAAAAGAACAGGTTGCCCTAAAAGTGGAGTCTGCCCGCCAGCCAAAGCAAGTCCTCAAGATGGAAGTGGCTGTTCTAAAAAAACTGCAGGGTGACTATAATTAAAAAACACCTTATGTTCTAATCCTAATATATTTAACTCGCGACAATCATTATTACGACCATTATGTAATGTATCCGAAACAGTCATGCTCAACGACAATCTTTTACTGAAAGTATGCATTCACGTGATATTCAGAGTAAGAAAGACTGGAATAATTGTTACGATTCGCAAGAAATGACGTCACATTACTTTTTCGTTGCAGGTAAAGAACACGTTTGCAGATTCATAGGCTGTGGTCGAAATGACAGATTCAATTATGTCGTGATGCAACTGCAAGGTAAAAACTTAGCAGAATTGCGACGTGCGCAGCCAAGAGGTGCCTTTTCACTATCTACCACCTTGCGACTCGGTCATCAGATTCTAAAAGCAATAGAGAGCATACACCAAGTGGGCTTCCTTCATAGAGACATTAAGCCGGTGAGTCATTACCACTCAATTAAAACGTGCTATACCTGTCATTGTCTGATCCTGCCAAAATGATGATCGCAGCGAGGATGTTCATTCTTTCGACGCTACATGTGACATATGGTTTTGTGCTTACACAAGATCCGGTCTATAGATTCGCATGACAATTGATGAATAAGCCTTTAAAAAGTGTGTCCAATCATTTAGGGGAGTCCACCAGATTTCGTGTTAATTCACTGCTCTTTTACATACTTGCAAATAACCTTTATTTTCAAATATTGTCATATTATAATTGACTATCAAAGCTGATGTAATATTTATGATACAAATGTACTGTTACTGTTAATATGTTTTACCATATTTTTAGTTAGTTTCTATTAATTTGCTATATATCATTTATAACTTTCCATTGCGTATTTTTGTATTAGAGTAATATTAATCAGTCTTCGAATTGAAATTTACGCCTGGTAATATCTATTCCTATAGTAAAGCTATTCATACTTGTATCTATTCTTTTTCATTTATCAGATTAGACGTAGTCGTATTCCCACATTAAACAAGGTTTCAAATGAATCGCAAATGCAGCTTGCCTTAGCTATTAAGATATATAACAAATGATAAATAGAAAGTGAGTAAGACGCCGGAAATTACGTGCGAATTGGCATCAATATCATCTGTTGTCACATGTCGGAAGACAGATATCGTGCTATATAACATTGTTCACCTCCAACGAAGCCAGGCATTAGATTGATCGGAATCCATAGCCTCTGTTGAAACTTGTCATCAACTCGATGCCAAATTAATAGCTTCGTTTAAAATGCCAATGCCTAATGAGTCACTCTATGTCAATGATTAACTATGGAGAAGGACAGATGAAATAAATTATCATGAAAATACTAAATCCAAAACGATGTTTATGAGTTGAAAAATTCAAAATTTATCATTGCATATACTTAAAAGTTACTGTGGTATAAAAATATATATTTTTCTTAGCATTTAATATGACGCACTATTACATTTTTTTACTACTGTTACTTTCACACTGTTACGACTATGTTATCGTAACAATAGACCGGTTATCAGTTATACAAAACCTTATTGCATCTTAAGTCGAAAGGAATTGGATCATCTTAGAAGATTTGATCTCTCGGCTCACTTATCATTTTAAACATAATTTACGCATTATTATATGGTGATATAAAAATTATGTTTACAGTCAAATTTTTCAATCGGCCGTCATCCATACAGTGCAAGGATGGTATATATGTTGGATTTTGGTTTGGCTCGCCAATTTACAACTGGTACTGGCGAGGTCAGACCACCTCGCACTGCTGCAGGATTCAGAGGAACCGTCCGGTATGCTTCCGTCAATGCTCACAAGAACAAGGAGATGGGAAGACATGATGATTTATGGTCATTATTTTATATGCTAGTAGAATTTGTCAATGGGCAACTCCCGTGGCGCAAGATAAAAGATAAGGAACAAGTAAGTCTTGCTAGATATTATTCATGTTAAAAAATCGCATATTCAGTTTTATTTATTTGAATCAAATGGTTTTGTCTCTGAGCAATTTATATACCTTGATTATTGTCTTCTTGAAAACTTCTCTCATGCCTCGATATTTCTTTGCAATGTTTAGGTAGGGCTTATGAAGGAGAAATATGATCATCGATTACTTTTGAAGCACTTGCCTTCTGATCTACGTGTCTTCTTGGAACATATTCAGGTAACATAATAAATACAAATTGTGATCGCTTCGTAGCAACTTTGATATTGCACTTGTTTCAACGTGTTGACTTACGATATTGATGACTTATTTTTTATTTATATTACAACGATTGCGCATTATTTTCTAAGAAGCGAGAAGATAGTTGATATGTCGATATAAATGCTGCAAAGTTTAACAGGGACTGACAGTTTGCTTTTGATGTAATTGTCCATTGTAATCACTTTTCATCTGTCAAAATTGGAGTTGGCGAGAATCCAACATACGTTAAAAATAATTGTAGGTCACTGGTATAGTTATAATGTGCAGGTAGGATGTTTTTAAATAAAATGGTATAAGATGATTTCCTGTAAATGGAATGATGTTAGGTAACGCGGATGCTCCCACGGATGAACTAACATTGGGCCTGCGAATTCAGTAAAATACGGGCTCCTATAACTAAAGGAGATTTCCTATGTAATTTTACATAGAATCCATCATGCCAATTTAAAAACTCAGTCACGTCACGATTTAATTATTACGACGATTAATGACCTATTTCTTTAGTAAGACTTGTTATTAATCAATATTATCTGACAATGCCTATGGAAAAAAGTTTTCCTCTAACTATTTATGAATGAGATATGCATGCGCCTACAAAATTTGGCCCAAGTTCAAAGTGTCCTCCTTGTAAAAGAGGCCAAGGTTTGCGGCAAATACTTACTTTGCATTGTTAAAGCGAACTAAAAAATGACGTTTTTTAAATAAGAAATAATGATATCCGTCCAAGAACAAGAGAAGCGTTCTACTTCTTGAATTAGGACTGACTCACATAGGAGATATTTTTTAATGGGTCACATAAATGGATATGACCCAGAAATCAGTTACCACTAAGGTATCTTAGATACGTTCGAAAGACTTTAAAATACAGGCAATTTTTTAATAACAGTTTGATACAAGAAATGTAAAAATTTTTTAACCATTTTCACGTGTAAATCGTGATCATAGTTCGTTACGCATATAAATACTTTAGTCAGATCTGCCATGAAAATTCAAAAAACGTATATTGCACGATCTATTTTCGAAACTCAAATTCACTTTCTCTACTAGTTTGATTCTTACTGCTTGGCTAAGCAGCGTCAATTTTTTCTTGAACCCTTCCTTCTTATGGCATTACTTATCACAAGCGTACTGATTCGAAAACTACGTCATAATAACATATTGATTCCAGTAAATACGTATACAAAACATACATATACTGTATACATGTGTATATATATAACCTATTCTAAGATACGGTGGTACCGCTTATTGATTCCCATCTATTTCGGTTCTTATGTAACCTTAAGAATACTTTGGTGATTTATTTAATAGCTGAAACAGCTTAATGAGTCACGTTTAAGGCATACTTTCGTGTCAACCTGGAAGTGATCTATATCACCCTTGCTTGAAATTCTTGTCCATTGAGGTTTCCTCTACAATATTGTATTTTCCTTGTAATTTTAAACCTACAAATACTTTACAGAGTTTGGGATACTCGGACAAACCAGATTACGCGATGCTGGCTGGTTTATTCGAACGTTGTATGAAACGCAGAGGAGTGAAACCAACAGATCCATATGATTGGGAGCGTCCACTAATAGCTAACGAAGGATTACCAACAACCAGATCATTACATGCAGCCGCGGTACCTCCTGCATTAACAATAGCAACTACTATTAATCAAGCACCAACCACACCGAATCTCGATACCAATAATCAAGAAAATGTTGAGCCAGACAACAGAAAAGAATTAGACGTAAGTATCTTTCCGTGATACGTTTTAAGAAGTGGACGCAATATACAACATGTAATCAATGCGTCACACAATTGGAGCATTATGTAAAATGGAATATATGTTACCAGGCGCAGTTGGACTACGAAAGTATGTGCAGAAGAAATCGACAGCGTGGAATAGAAGGATCAGCTGCACCCTTTACCTCAGCCATTAGCAATCATGGCCGAGATAAAAATTGCAATGCTACGATACCCGTCACAGACAATACGCATCAGCAAAGCGGTCAGCAAGTCGTAGCTACACCCCCTGTACAAGGTAAATGCGAATTTCCTACTAGTGAACTGTGACATTCATGTCGCATTAAAGAACTCCACACTATAATCATTATGTGTTCGCGTAATGTGCTGACTGTGGATTTAATTTCTGATACTTCTAATTAAATTGATCGACGATCATGCATTATTCTCATTATTGTTAATATAAATCAAGCATTCCATTCGATGCTCTCATAACATAGAATCGCCAAAGAAAAGACGCGCAGTATCAATGGCTGTCGAACCACAATCCCCAGCTGCACCTGCTGAAAAACAAGTAGACAACGAGGGTGATGCACTAATGGCGTCCGCTCGTTCAGCATCCGAAGTTCCTCGCAGTAAAACAAGTGCAAACACCGCGGCGCCACTTCGTAAATCTGCAAGTGGCGCTACGTTTGCTCGTTTGCGGGTTGTCGCGGCTCCGGAGACGCCGCCTGGCGAACCGCCAAGCCCCAGGATACAAACTGAAGTTGATGCCTCTTACTGCTCTTACGATGTGACTAACACAAAGCACGTTGGAAATCAAAGTCCTGTAAGTATATCGTAGTCCATGTAGTGTATATTACGTGATCTTAATACCGATAATCCACTTTGACATATGTCCCTACTATTTCTACGAAATATTATGCCAGATATGTATGTATACTATAAGCAGATCACGAGATTTATATCTACTTCACCGTTTAAAAATTATTTATGAATGCAATGCTTTTTTTCACGTTGAAGTTGAATAACTTCATGTGCATGGGTTTATTGAATTTGTTACAGGTAACCGAACAGAGAGAACCATTGAGAAGAGAACCCAGGAGACGAACTGATGGTCGTTCGCAAGGACGTGCCGCACGTACGGCGATGCGGGACTGTTCAATCACGCAATTCGCACAGATAGACGACGACAATGTTTCAGCGTTACAACAGGTGACTCGTGGTGGTGGTGGACTCACCCTGGCCTCCCAGTGGAAGTCGCAGTTCGACGACTCAGAGGAGACGGATAATGAATGGAAAGGAGAGAATTTGCAGAGTCCGGAACATAGAGGAGCTAATCCACCTTCACTGGTTCCACAGGTAATTATTAGTGTGCCATTAAAAATGTTTGAGGTCAGACGCGAATAGAATGCAAAGTTATGCCCTAGAGATTATTAAGGATTTTCTAATGTTAATGTTCTTGCGATGTGTGAAAACATTAATATGACATAACAATTTGTTGATTATTAATTATACTGTACATTGTTGACGCTTTGTTCACTTCTTTGGTATTGCATATTATTTATATATAGTTTTATAACGCTTTTTGCTACTTGTGATTAAATTTTGTGCGTTTATGCTTTTTCCTACAGTTATGCGAAACATGAGAACATTCACTTTAGAAATACTTCCATATAGCTGCTTCATCTTCATGAAAACTTCAAAGTTCATCATGTGAAAAGTCATTGTACACGTCGGGATTTTTATTGATAGCGTTATTATTTATAGTAGACTGTGTTTGATATTCTAGCCACGTCTGGCCTGTATCGACATCCTCGCTTGACACCTATCACCTGCCGATGCACTGCCAACCCGAGCTCTGACTACCACCGTTTTCAATTCTGATTTTTCGCACTAGCTTTCCTCCTTTATCTTTGATAATCACGCATAGACTTTTCATTATCTCTTTTACCATAGTATCAGAACGCAGTTATTCTTTACCGTAGACCTCGTGATTACGAATATATCGCTGATAATTAGTATTTTACGTCGCTATGTTAATTTTGTTCTTTCTTTTATTTGGCCCTCGACTGCCACAGCGATTTATGCTTTGCGAATATACTGATTTCGATTCTGTGCGAGCTATAATGATAGGGTTTACTTATTTGCTTTTATTTCTGTGGAGCACAATGGCTACTGATAACAGTGTAAAATAATTTTATACAGTGGTAAGAAACTTTGACGAGTTACCATGAATGATTCAGGGCGTTCTATATATTCTAGTAATTTTTTACGTCGTTATATAAATTATTTCAATAGTGAGACCAAATAAGAGGATGCAGACAAGTTCCGCTGATATCGCCTGTATTAAGTAGAAAAATAAGATAAAAACCAGAATAATCTGCAAAAGAGATTTCTGAAATATTCAAATTCTGTTCTTTTGGAATATTGGTCATTATTTAACTGTAATTAGAGACAAAGTCGATGCAATTGATCATTATTGATATGACTTTATGTTGAAAAGGTTCAGTGCAGCCAGATTATAGTAAGAAATTTTTATATTTCCTTCATACGACTCTTAAATTCATATTTTTCTTAATCTTGAAAAATTGTATAATTCGGCTCAAGTTGTTTCAAATTCTTGTACATATACCATGCAATGAGCTCGATGCACACGAAAAGTGCATCTATTGTATATGATGTAATTTCGGCTATAGTTACATGTTTATGTTAAGATGTAAAAAGATCATTCTAAGTATTCAAATTGCAATTATAATAAAAAAGGATATCTAATTGTTAAAAATAACGCATTAGCATACCGACATAAGTTCTTGAGGCAACATATACTTTTCTTGATCAAAATTGCCTAGTACAACAATAAATTTTCTTTGTATACAACAAGAAATACTAGAGGCTACAAATGCTGGTATTCTGTTGCTGTATAATATGATTTTTGCGAGATGCATTTATTTTGTATAGTTATATAGTACTGCGTTCAATCAAAGATCTTATATAAGATTAACTTTTCGTATGCTCTTAGACAAATTTAAAAATTATTCGCTTTAAATGTGCTTGGATTAAATTTGCATAGCGATTGTCTAGTAATACTTTTGCAATTTATTCCGCACGATGCTTAATGTAACTAAGTGCTATTCTATCGCGTGACCGCCATTAATAATACACAGAGAAAGAGTTTCTCGTACATACAATATATTTATAATATTACCAAGTTTACGTGATATTGAAACAAAGCAAGAATAGAGAATAGAAGAATAAATAGTGAAGTATCCAGTCCACAGTTGGTAGTGAAGCTGTAGCTACTGCAACCCCAACACCGGGATCTCATGAGGCAAAAGCAACAACGGCACAACCAGTATCGGTAGTAACAGCTGTATCTCAACAGCAACATCCAACTCCCACGGCACAAACAGCACTCTCGAGAATAAGCGAAGACTCGCCAAGACCGGCTGTACCTCATAGATGCCTAAATATTGCCGGAATCGAAAAATATCCGGAACTGCAGGGAGCACTTCCTCGAGCATGGAGCGTACCGGCGCTGGCGCCGCACGTTCGTGCCTATCTGGAAGCACCCTTGGTATGTAAAATGATCCACAATATTGCTCGGATTGCTCGTTTACTTAATTTAAACATTCGTTTTACAGGTCCAGCAAGCAGCATTCGACGATCTCTTATACGAAGTAGATGTCATGAGAAATATTGCTACTAGACATGACGAACCACGACAAAGTCCGCTACAGAGAAGAGCAAGTGTGCCAGCTGTTGCATTTTCACCTCCTAATACTGTACCCAGTACACCAGCTGGGGACGAGGAAGAACAGGCTGTGGCAGGAAGACTGGAAATCAGAGTAGTCGATGCTACGGGTGGTGCTACCGTCGTGCAAACAAGTGCGGACAAAGAACCTTTACAAAGTACGTGAAATATTTTCCACCAAATTAGTTGTTGAAATTTTTTTAGACAAATTGCTTGTGGCAATTTTAAAAATAGAATGCGTTCGTGATATGTGTTTGGTATTCTTGTTATAGAAAAACTAACAAATGGCACGACAGGTAGTCCTGCTAGTCCTAACCCCGGAGCAGAAGAACCTTCAGTATATTATGACGCAACTGAGAATCGCGCACCTGTTAATACCTCGTCGAATGGCGCTCCTGCTGCAACCACTGCCTCGACAACCGTTCCAAACACTGTTCCATTGCGCGAATGCAAGGACAATAAGGAAAAGGATACACCCAGCAGGCCACATAGTACCTACAGTAAAATACCAATACCTGTGAAGAGTCCTAGGTGCTCGTTATCTGAATCAACACCTGAGACTAACACACCTAATACAAGAACTGGAACTGGAAGTGAGCCTGAAAGGTCACCCGCAGGGATCATTCAATCCAAGGACAGAGATAGTGGTGAGCGAAAATTTGATTTATTAATTAAATTCTTAGTAAATTGGTTATGGTTCCTTTTTAGCAAAACAATCCTACCACCCTGATCAAATAGTTAAACCTTCTATATTGCATAACGCCGTAGATTTTATATTTATAATAGATAAAACATTTATCTCATGTTTCGCACAAGAAGAACGTGACGTACTCATTATTGCTCTATTTAGCCATTATTGTTTATTACTATCACATTTTTCAACGCTGTCCAATCGCTTGCTAGGACTTATAGACAAGTGGCTATCGCAATGGGTTTAGTACTAAAAAAAATTGAATGTAAAGCAACTGTCACAACTAGAATCATTTCACTGTTCATATTATACAAAATGTCATTATCATATCTTATACTATTTCAAATATTTCCTACGGAAAGCAGCAATCATGCGCACTCCGCAATACTGGCTGAGAATTTAAATCTTACGTTGCCTAATGAATTGTGCATTGAGCTTGTTAGCATTACTAACAGTAGCCACTTTTAGCTACCAAAGGTAAACCCTTGACAGTGCACACGGACGCGCCAGCACTACGTCGATGCGTGACATTGCCCGATGCGCGAGCGAATGCGCCCCCCTTAACATCGGCGAGTTCGACGGAAGATGAAAATCTAACCGGGTGCACGCCAGCCCTCCGTCGTCGCAGACAGAGCGAGAAATACGTGACAGATGCCAGCCAGCTAAATTTACGGTTTCAAAGACCGCAACGTAGGACAAGACCGACCTCCGAGGTATTGCCAAGATTTTACCCAAGGGGAGTTCCATCCTATCTTTTAGGAGAGGCTGGTAAGAGAAATGAAGAAAGCAGTGACAACGATTCCGATAGCAGTGGACCACCGAATGCTCAACCTCCACCACCACCCACCATGCTACCGCCTCACGTAGCAGAAAATAATGCTAGGTAGGACAGCAGTTACCTTACCAAATTAAATGAATCTGCTCTGCTCTTTGAATTCTTTGCGATCTCGCCCTGCTGTTCATCTGTGATTTATTCACGTAACGAATTTATACCTTTCTATTTGGTTAATTGGATTCGCATTGTTTAATTGGATGTGATTAACTTTGGCATGATAAATAGTTAGTACATATCTTATTCTTTCAGGCAGAGTGGAACCGAGATGTTCTATTTTTGTTTTTACTCTGATATTTCTGGATTAATGTGATTCTAGTCTTTATGAAACAATTATCAGAGTATTTTTCAGATACTTAGTGATACTTATTTTTATCGACGAATTGAAGGTAAAATTTGTCCTTATCTTTCATGCAGTTTATGCTTTATATATCGATGAATTAAGCTAAACCATTTTCAATGAAATTATTTACTATGGAATATAATTAGAAATAGGGTAACATGAATTTTAAATATAAAATATGATTGTACAGGTATTATGTGGTATTAGGAGAGTATGTATTTTAAAAATTCAATAGCATATTCCTGCTTTAAACATTTATTTTACATACATTTTTTGAGAGGTATATATTGTACATAAATTAATGTATTTTTTTTTCTGTTGTAGCTTTAGTTTTTAACTGAAAACGTATTGTACAATATGTTTTATATTATCTCTTACTCTTCTGTATATGTCATTTGTAAATACTTGACACTATAATGATTAATCTATAAAATTTTCCAACCACAGCATGTAAAGCTTTGTACTATCCCATATCATTTTTTTCAAATACTTATACCTTCATACTTAAACATCGAATGGTTGGTATTTGAAAAAAAAGGATGATTTTGTGAACTTTAGCTGATTGAAGAAATTTGATAAACCATCAGTATTTAATCAGTATTTAATCGAAGTACATTGGTAAAAGTGATGTTTCGCAGAAATATTATAATCTCTATTCGAATTGTTATCTGTTGCAGGTGCCGCAGATTTAGGCCAGTACCAGACGCAGCGGTAGTTAGCAGAGAATCGTGAGGTTTAGTGTTTGAAAATTACGGAAATTTTCGTTCACACTAAATATCAGCCAAGTTCTCCCACAGCCAACTAGGAATGTGATACCTTTTTGGATCAAATAAGCATATATAGCCTTTCTAGTAGCTGAAAGCAGTCATGAAACTCGAAAAGACTTTTGGTTCAGGGAAGAAATGTATCCCTTCGTAATATGAAAACGACACAACATTGTATTTACTTCATATGGGACAGTGTGATTTGTCATAATTTTAAGATATTTTAGAAGGTTGTCTTGTCGGCATTGCCATATTCGTAATTACTGATTTTCTTTGGTACTTCTATTTCGGTACGAGATAAACATAACTTTTTTATCTGAGCAACGCATACCGAATGAATTCAGATAATTCGAATTTGGCTGTACGTACAATTTTTTTCGGTGTACAATCGGTAAGGATTGACTGCGAGAATGACGAACAGCGATGCTTGCGAAAATAATAAATAATAGAAATGAATCTAGCCATAAATTTTAATCGAAACATACGACGTAAACTTCCATCGAATGGTACACGCCAGGGACACATGTATTCCGAGTGTAAAATGTATATTGCGCGATGTCTTGGCTGATCCATAAGTTACTCTATGTACCGTCGCACTACTCTTTGTACAACAACATTACTATATATAACTATATACAGCACAGTGATATTTAATCGAGTCTAATTTATTATTAAAAAAAACGAATTAAATGACACAGGACTTATACTACTTGAATTAACTTATTTTAAAAAAAGATATTCCATATTATCGATTAAGCTCAAACAAAAACTTGTGGCTGTTATAACGTATGAATTATTTTTATAATCTAAAGCAAAAGAGTAACACAATTATCTATTCGATATGCACGCTGTCTCTATTTTTTATCTTTTACTGTTTGTACACTGAAAATAATATATGCAGTTCAAGACCATGCAGAAGGGTGTTACATATCTAGCTAATGGCGAGAAGAAAAAGAAATTAGAAACAAAATTTACGTCGTCATCTACTCCCCGTTTGAATTTTTGGAGTATAATTATATAAAATTGAATCTACGTGTGGCCAGTCGTGTGAGGCTTCCCTAGGAATTTCTCGAGCGAACGATTTGTCTCGAACAGGGGGTAGATACGACTGTTTTATTCAAATGATATTTAAGACTCTTACTGCGATATCTTGACTGCAGTATAATATTGTGAAGAGAGGGTCTCATAGAAGACAATTATTAGGGTAGCTATCGGACCTGGGCGAGTGTGCTAGTCTTGGCGAAACCCACCATTAAAAATCAACAGAATGCAACAATTTTTAGATAGCGATTTAAAGAACAGGTTAGGTCTTGCTATATAGAAATTAATGTCTGATTATTAACAAATAATAAAATACACACCGATTACCTTCTTATACCGTATGTCATATCAAATGCAGGGTCCTGTATATCTATGATCGATTGCATAGATTATTCACTGATCATAATTTATTTTGACACTAACTAAAAGTTAACTCATATTTGGCTGTTTTTTTGTTAGTCCATATTATTTTAGTACAATTATTTAAACTATTGGTCGCCATTTGAGTTGTTTTCATTATTTTAGCAAGATTGTTTCGCCTATAAAATGGTACTACCTTGCAAATCAATTTTCATCATAGAACAAAAAGCCTGAGTCCTAAATAACAAATTAATTTTCCATTCAACTCATGAGGAATAGTGTTTAATTTTTCTTCAATAATAATTGATAATCCTAAATGGAGTTGTAGATGAATCTTCAAGTAATGCAAATCATTGTTAACGAATGATTGAAGTTTCACATATTAGTTACAAAATCCAATGATACATAAGGCTAGTCAGATGAGAGGGGGATGCGATAATATACTATTGAATTGATAATTATTGACGTAGAATCACAATGCCATGTGTATAGTAAAGAAGAAACGTTTATGTTTTATAATTTTATGAAGTAGCGTTAAGATCTCAGCGATGCGAGCGACATTATAAATAAAATATCATCATACGTGATAATAGTCAATGTTTTCGGATTAATGATATCGAATAATTCTTGATGATTGGTTGAACCATCTCTGCAATATGCCGTACGTTGAGTGGGACGTTAAATCAAAAGACTTTTAGTGCAATATCCATGTGTGTTCTTATATGTCTCTTGAACAACTCATTTACTCTCTTACCTAACATTAAAATGCTGGTCTCATGACATATTTATTCTGGTAACTTAAGAGCTTACTATTCGAGTATCTGTTATCATTTAAGTTAGATTATGTAACAGAATAAATCGACAGTATCGTTGATAATCGAAATGTTGTGTTTAGCTTGAGCTACTTTATGTCATTACAATAATAAAAGGAAATGTATAAACTTTAATTCTTTGCCATCTCAATAAGTTACAGAAACACTTGATGATATTCTTCGACTTGAGACCTTAACGTAACTTGCTAACCATTTATTGTGAGTTTCACACGAACAAGAGAAGATATTCTTTGTCAAGGAGCAATGGTAATATTGTTGTGATTCTAAAAACAATACCAAGTACCCACGATAACGCTATACCCTTTCATCAGTATTAGGATATCTCACAAAATTAGTGCAATATATTAAAGAATTGCGAATGAAACGATAGTTTTCAGGATTGACTTATATATGTAGGTAGACTTATATATATATGCCAAATTACCAATATTTATTGTATTAATAACAATTGCTTAGTGACTGAGCAGTATTGTTATGAAAGAAATTGTATGTAATTTATAAAGATAAGTACCATGCTTCCATAAGACTATACATGCAATGGGATAATGATAAACGTTTATTCACATTGCGTTGTCATAATTCTGAAGTAATGGAAGCATACTCGAGTCTCGTTATGAACGAATGCATTTTTTTGTTTATTTAGAAGTTTAACAATATGCCATTTATTTCAAATGTTTTATTAATACCATTCACGTGAGCCAGTGCCATGGTCGTTGAAAAAAAAAGTTGTCATTCAAATTTCATACAACCGAAAAGCAATAGAACGCCAAAAGAGAAATGTTGCATTCCGTTGAGAAAATAACAAAAAACCGCCCCAAAATCGCTCCACCAATTAGGTTCCTGTACATAATATATATTATTGTATCGCAAGTGAATCGATGCTAATTATTGAGGGATCGTTCGATCAGTAATAATAATAATATAATTATTGTATTTTTTCTCCGCTTCATGCTCTATACAATAGATACAAAACTCTATCGGTACATGTGTATTGTAACCATGTTTGACTACTCGTATCCGCAATCTTAAAGCAGATGAGTACTATTAATTAATTATTAAAACTACTGTAATGAAGTATGCAAGTGGTAAACAGATATTATTATCTACGAATAATAATTGTTAGTTTATTATTAAATTAAAATTAATACCAAGAAAACGAAAGATTGAGAAAGAACTATAACAAACAAAAAAATGCTTGTAGCTTACTGCGTCAATAAAGCAAGGAGAGAACGTGACTTTCATTGAGCGCTACAAATCTTGTCACAAATCCTGATTATATTTAATTTCTTGTGTTCAATTAAACAATATGGATAATATTCTAAAACTCTACAAAGGCATTTAGAACGTTTGTGCTATTTTTTTGTATACATGGAAATTAGGAAACATATTTATTCAATTTCAGCGAATTTTTTTCTTGCGTTAATAAATTGTGTGATTCTTATGTAAAAATAACGTAAATTCTTAAATCAACGTGTAATTAAATACACTTATGACGTTTACGTCAAATATTACTAAATGTCGCAAGTAAATGAGTTTCAAATCTTATCTCTAGTACATACGGTCTTGAACGTTTTCATCATTGATTAGGCAGCACTGAGCGCGCTTCAGACAAAATTATATATATATATGTATATGTAAATCTATATAACCTACGCATGAGGTTTCGTTCTTGGAGGTTTAGAAGAATTATCGTCATATGAAACTGAAAGTATTTCAATGCATGTTGTATTATTAAACTCGTTGGATGTAACTGTACTTTTTTTAAGACGGACGTACAGTTAGATTTAAAAATCTCGTAAGTAAATAACATTATCGTACATAAATTCAAAAGTGCAAGGTTATGTTAATACAGTGTACTAACAAAATTAATTTGTCTTAACGAAATATTAATTTTGTTTGCCTTGATTGTTAGGTTTAAATAGATTTCAGTGGTCTTTGACACTTTTCGTATTTTTTGTGTTATTATAGTATAGTTGTCAACTTTATTGTAGGTTGCAAAGGACATTAGAAATTAACTCAAAATACAAGCTTTAATGAAATCTTATCATTTATTATATACAATGTCTTAAAACACTTGATATACTTCAAGGTGTTTATTCTCTTCGCAGTTGAAATATCTTAATGTCAGTTTTCCAAGTGATACAACACTGGTGAAACATATGATTTTCTTTCCAAACCTTTAGATTTTAGAATTTATTTTGATATTTCTTATTAAAGCTCTTATGCTGTGTGGTAAACTTGCATTTTTTATTAGCATATCACATATATGACTTTTGATAAAATAGAATTTTATTATTAAAGACGTCTGTATTGCATTAGAACAGTGTAGAATATTGGGCTGCTTCTTTCCAGAAAATGTGGCCCATTGTAATGGGAGTTCTTCGAAGGTATGCACCATATGTGACACTTCCTTTTGCTGGAGTTATTGGCTTTTTTGGATATCACGTTGAAGGTTGGATATCCGATCGTTATACGCCTGCAACAGCACCTATCAGTCAACAGCGACAGGATCGATTACTAGACAGTATAGATACTGTATCTTCAAAGAAAAAGCATAATCCTCTAGAAGTGAATCTTTCACCTTCATTATCATAATTAAAGATTATATACTATTGGTTTTTTGTATATACATAGATAGATTAAATATATCTAATATAGTGTAATTTAGCTAAGAATTACTTGTGACTTAAAGAGAGTGTTATAGATCTTTTATAAATCCTATTTACAACTGTAACAAAGGAAGAAGATTAATGCTATCCTTTAATACCTTAAAACATTACGTATGAAATAAACCTTATCAAAATCAAAATTATCAGTTTTATTCATTTAAAGAGATTTTATTGGAATAATATGAAATACATATTTCATTCCATTACTCATTTAAAGATCTCAAAAAAATATAAATGTACATGCTTATACAAGATTTTTATATAATGGATTATTAATGTCTACTTAATTCTATTACATGCAAAACATATACTTTAACTGTTTCTGCAATTTCATAGATATAAGATTAAGTTACATTATTTTCAACTAATATATGTAAAACGTATTATTTTCAATTTGTGTTGATTTTATCGATGGAATTCTTCCATATGAATTTTAAATACGTCTTTAGTTTCTCTAAGCTTGTACGCCAAATTTGTATGTGACAACGTGGTGATATGTGTCTCCTGGCCTTAGGATACTATTAGGAAAATTGTCCTGAAAATGGGAAATATATTTACTTTTTCTTCAAACCACGACAACAAATCAATATAAACTCTCATAAGACTTACATGATTTACAGCATCTGGATAATTTTGAGTCTCCAAACAGAATGCTCCATGTCTATAATATTTCTTCCCTTGCTTTCCCATAATTCCAGACCCATTTTCCTTTGGTAAAAAATTTGATGTATATAATTGAACTCCTGGCTGATCAGAATAAACTTCCAAATATCTTCCAGAGCTAGGATGCACAACTTTAGCGACAAATCGTTCTTCCAACGAGCCATTATTCTCAGGCAAACAGAAATTATAATCATAGCCACCACCAGGAACATTATTAATCACATCGGCAAGACGTGTAGGCTTTCTAAGATCCATTATACTATTTTCAACAGCTCTAATTTCTCCGGTAGGTATACTTTCTGAATCAGTAACTGTCCAGCGATCAGCATTCAACTCAAATATGTGATTATAAAGTTCCGTGGCATTGGAGCCCTATAAAAATAATCAATTTCCACGTTATCTTTAATAAAACTACTATTAAACATCATAATTGATATTAAGTAGGAATAACACACATGTCCTGCAAGATTGAAGTAGCTATGATTAGTCAAATTAATTGGTGTAGCCTTATTGGTGACAGCTGACATTGTTATTCTTAATTTTCCTTCATCATTCAATGTAATTGTCAAAGAAGCATTTACGGTTCCTGGGAAACCCTCGTCCCCATCTTTACTAAGTAGCGTCATAGTAAGAGATTCCCCATCAATTTTTGCATTCCATACATAGGCATTCCATCCCTTAACGCCTCCATGAAGGGTATTTTCCCCATTGGTCTTGGCCAAGTTGTATTCGACACCATCAACAGAAAATCGAGCTTTGCCAATTCGATTTGCAACTCTACCGATTGTTGCTCCAAAATACGGATTGTTCGAGGAAGTATATCCTTTTACCAATAGAAAGAAAATATTCCTTTATTGGAATTAATCATCATGATCTCAAGTGATTGATTAATATCATATCAAATTATAAACAATCAAAGTATGAATATAAGATAGAATATAATATATTACATATATATATTTCTAATATCAATGCTATGAATAATTATTGATAAAAGTAATTGAATAACGCTACTGACGTGCATGAGTTATTTTTAATAATTCATAATCATGTTGTTATCTACCTTCAATATTATCAAAACCTAGTACAACATCCTCCAAAGTTCCTGTTTTCCCGGGAACTTTCACCGAAACTATAGTGGCTCCATAAGATATAACTTCAATCTCGACACCTTTTGTATTTTTTAATGTATATTTATCAACCTCTTTCCCATCAACGGAACCCCAAGGTTCCACGGTTATGACGGTTCCGCAGTCCTTATACATTTCACTAATAGATAAAAAAAATGCATTAAGCATCAGATCTCGTAATACATAAAGCCGTATAAAAATGTACCAAATATAATAAATATACGTTTAAATTTCAAAGCACTTTCGCACTTCCAGTATCAGTTATACCAGTAGTGTTTGTTTTATGATAATACTGAATACTAATTAACCCGAATTACGTGATCAGCGAAATACAAAGTATTGTACATTTAATCACGTGTAATCTTCATTTATCGATATTTACACGGGCTATCAAATTGGTATTAATCTATAAAATTGGAAGTTACCTAGCTCGTTTCGTGTTACGTACGTGAAATATGTTTTACTTGAATTTTATTGATACAGAGAACCTATCTGCTTCTGCACTCACTGCTGAACTGAATAATGGGGTCTCAGTCGAGATTGGTCGAGTTTATTACCGGCCTATTATCGTAAGTGCTCTTACACGAACACAAACTCAAATTGATACCTCGAATCACCCTGAGTAACATTTCTGAACGCACCCTAATGAGTACGTCAAACTTTTTATATTCCTAATCGTGTCAAACATAATACAAATATATAATTTCTCATTATACATTAAGTATTGTAATGTGATGTACAGGCTTATAACATTGGAATGAAGGCAATTGTGAATGATATACATGTGCTAGCAACTCTGCTGGGCATATCTTGATGAGATACGGTGAATCACTCCGCCCATAAACAGCAGTGGAAATTTTTACCCTTCTACATACGGATAGTTTTATTAAATGGGAGGCAGATGAAGCTTTATGTGATTTTAAATAACATTATGAATATTGAGAGGCAGACATACGTACAATGCTTACACTAGAATTACTAACTAACGAGAAGACAGTGAGATTATACATGTCGACATTCTTAGAATTTTCTTTTCAAGGGTTTAACACATCAGACGTTAGATGATTGATTATTATATCATTCAGTAAGAAATTGTTGATATAAAACTGTGACTTAGATGTTTCTTTTGCAATGTCAATATTCATCAGGTGAACTTTACAGTAAAAAAAATTATAATCAATACACAATCTTCAGGAAGGTCTCATTTACGTAAGTATCAGTTGAATTACTTGTAAAAGAAAGTTATATAAATTATTGAGAACTTTCAGTTTGAAAAAATATATTTCTGTATACAGAAGTGTTGAAAAATCTGTATTGTATTAATTCAGTGTTCTTTTTCTAGTTCTTTGTATGCGACACAAACAATACTGAGAAAAGTTACGTTAAGAGTCGTCACAATGTTTCTATATCGCATCACCAGTTTGATGGAAGATTTCTCAGACGTAATGAAGATTATGAATCAGCACATAAGAAAACGGGTTATAAATGCGCATTTACGTAAATCCTGTATAATGAAAGAATATAAACCAAATGACACTTCCCTATTTATTCTTAACTTTGACCCTACAACATATATCTTATTCCTGTAATAGGCGATCTAGTAGAAGTATAACAACCATTTTTAAATTATACATTTTTACTGAACGAACTGCATTAGAAAATCAATGGTAGTCAAGTTCCTTGGATTTAATGACTAGCTTAGAATTTTGGCTTACTACTCGATGACGCGGATCTGATGATTTCTAAAAATAACTCTCACATTCGCAAGAGCATTTATCGTTTTAGTATTCAAGCAACGTGTTATTAACACCTTAAATTCTTTAAAAAGTAGTCATGAAAAATGAGTTATGTCAGAAAATCATGACGTCTGTTGTCCACCTAATTTACAAACATGTATTATGGTTGCCATTATTCAGGCGCTAGCACGATGACCAGTGATGTTCATCATTTTGTTCCTGTTACCGAATTATGTTAAAATATTATACATCGGCTATACTAATAGGTATACTTCTGTGAACTAATATATTTTATGTCTCGTAAAAGTAATATTACGTAAAATCAACAGGTTATGTATTATCGATCGATGAAAATCTACTTACAAAGCGCCATTTGACATATCCTATTTTATTATTCGTTTATAAATGAATGTACGGATAATCAATAAAAAATCATAATTAAAGTGTATCTCCTTACCCAGCTAGCACAGTTGTTAATAGTATGAGGTATATTGACGACATTACAGCAGTTTTATTTTCGTCCCGTCACTTTATTTCTAACGTGGTTTAGAATCAATTTTTTCGTTTGGCAAGTCCACGCGAAATACGATGATGAATAAAATTTGAAATCGATACCTTCACACGATTCTCGTCGTAATCCCCCGGAGCAAAGAAGTAAATTGAGCTCCTACTGTAAAGAAGTGAAATGTCTGACAGAACGTTTGCTTTGACGTTTCTTTTCTGACCTTCGAGTGTCCTTAGCAACTTTATCACGGGTAATATAAATGAATAATTCATCGAAGATCATAAATTACCATTTCCTAACAGCGTGCACAAAATTCGATTTTGCGCAAAGTGCCTCATTCCCGCACTGTCAAACGCGTGTGCAAAATCGAATTTTACGCAGCTTGTTAGGAAAATAACATTACGATACAGGTGCGCATAGGTGTCTCCCGCACTCGTTTGTTGTCACCCTCGCTACGCTCGGGCGACAAACCCGACTCTTGCGGTTATCACCTACTTTGCGCACTTGTATCGTAATGTACTAATATCCCACTGTGAATATAAAACAGAGACTTCGAACTTTGACAATTCAAGAAATATTGAGTGATTATAGGAACATCGTTCATCCTCATAATACATCGATATTGATGATCTTTTTATCAAAGATCTCGTGACATGTAAGGTAATGGCCGTGGTTCATAAATAAATTATCGACTGTGTAGTAAACATAATTGTATCTTCACGTAGCGCCGCTACTGAGATTCACTTTCACATTTAGAGGCTGCCAGTACTACAATTCTTATATCGATTGATCAGTGCAATGGTACGGAACTTACCCGATAAACGAGTGTGTAGTATTACTCTCGCAATATAGTAATAGTCATTGGTAGTAATTTGTCACTTACTGAATTATCGATATGAAAAATTAATGCCTCTAGGTCCTTGTCCTACTCACTTAAATACGCAGTAGGATTAGATTAGTTAATACCCTACTGTGAATGCAGATAGAATAGGGTCAATTTAAGAAATTAATTACTCAAAAACTATAAATAAAAATCAATTTATATTTGGCTAAATGTTAATAAACATATTAGTGAATAAATTTTGAAAATTTGAAAACAAATATTTATTTATAATTTATATAGTATTATCTACAATGTTCATTTGCATTCCCATTAATAGTTTTCGAATAATTAATTTTTTAAATTACCCTATTTTTTGTGCATTAGAGTAGGGGCCCACAATAGAGTAACCCATTAATAGGTTAGAAACGTCGTACGTTGTTTATCGAGGTTAGCTCTAGAGTAATACCTGTGGATTAGAGTGTTTACAACAAAACAACTGTGCCATATCTCTTTCGAATTCATGTGACTTCCATGTAGTACCAGGTAAATAAACACAAATAACTATACGTGACAGTAATAAGAAATTTACGAAATTGTTGACGTTGCTATAGAATACATATGCGATGAAAAGGATTTTTAGTTACGAGGTGAACCATCATGTCCATTACTTACGTAGTATTGATTCGTTTGAATTAAGATTTTTGAGAATGCATTGTTTCTTGTTGACATTGATAACATAAAAAACTACGGTTCACGGCAACGTTCATTATTGCCTGTCGGGTATATAATTAATTAAATAAAAATTAAGGAGTCTACAGTGTATACTGTGACTGGAAAGTTTCTTGCATTGACGGTTTTGTTCTGATATTTTTAACGTCGCAGCGTCGGCTTGCGTTTCATTTCTCTCTTTTTCATAACAATGCAGCCAGAACCGCAGGCTGATTTTATTTATTCAACCGGATGTTGCATATGTTTCTCGTGATGTACCCACGGTCTGTTGTACCCACACAATCTACAAAGCCGCAACGTTATTTACGTACCAGTTGTGAGAATTGAAACACAGTAACAAGTTTCATTCAGCGATAACAGCATGGAAGAAATATATTGAGGTAAGGAAATAATATTAGACGCTTCTCCAAGATATCCCTAATTGTATTTAGTTTCGAGAGACAAGTCGACACGAAGTAAACAGGGTACCTAACCTTCACATAGGAAACCTTTAAACTGTAGAAGACAATGGAGGTTTTAACTGTAGGTGGCTTGCATTAAGTAAATCAAATAAAGCCAGACAGCGAGGTCGACTTATACCTGAAACTTGAATACAGTTCAAATAACAGATATACAGTTAAATTTACTTGGTATCTTGCAATAATTTTGCAAATTTAAAATAATCAACTGACCATGTATCTTTAGAAACTTAAAAATTAAAACATAATAAACAGAATGAAATCGTAATCTAATGCTGGATTCAATCTGAAAATTTTGTTTACGACATACTTATTCTTGACTGCTACGTGTGAAATAATACGTCGTACCAAGAATGGAGGCCAGACTACTATTTACCGGGTTGACACTTTACAACGCAAATATGACTGCGCCTGCTGCGTAAAAGTTGCTACGTGTATTTCTTTCGAAGAAATAAGAAAAGTTAACGAACTCTGATCAAACAGGATATGATAATGATCTACTGTGACAAATTCTATTCATGGTCAGGATTGTTGGTAATTATTATTGTACAATTAAAGTTCTCAAACTGCTATGCGGTAGTATTATTTTAACGGGATCGGAGGATCTTGTCTCTTTGTATAAGATATTTGTCATACAAATATTTATACAGGATTACAGAGGGTCGACGATATTATCTAAAAACTATTCCAAAGTTCTTTTATGCTATGTCAATAATGTTTCGCTTTAGCATTGTTGATAAGCGATTTGCAGATTAGATCGAAATATAGTTATCAAAAATAAAGTAGGTCGACACACTGAAAAAATGTTAATCCATCCTGAAACCGTTTTTCTACTTAGTGAAAAATATTTTATTTCATTGCATTAGATGATTCATGTATCTATGTAATCATAATACCTACGATTATACATTACCTTTTGTAATTGGAATTTGTTATCTTGAAATATTAGTTTTTGGGTACTGTTCTTAGATTCTGTATAGTGACGTAGTTCAGTCGGTTGAATTTTTGCGACACGTGTCCCGAGCGATAACGACTCAGCGATAAACATTTTTACGTTATTCCATCTGATTCGTGATTAACATTCCTTTATGCTATTTTTTTTAAATCTATACGGGAACAATGTTTTTGCATAACCTAAAATATATAATTAAATCTCCTAGGCGAGTCGCAGTAGAATGTAACTTAAATAAACAACATTGTAGTATATACGGGACAGTGGCAAATGAATTGCATAGCAAATAACACTGTACTTATGATAAGAACTCGATAAGCTCGTGCCAATGAAAGAAAAATAAAAAAAAAATGAAAATACAATATGTTGTGACCATTTGTTATATAAGATTCGTTGATCAGCAGAACGTTGACATACTTTCTTTGAAAATGAATGTCAAACGGTTTGCTGGTTGATAATTTAATAACGAGTAATAAAAAATAAAAAATTTGTGATCTTCAAAATATAACTGACGCATAATTAGCTAGGATTAAAAAATATATACAACTCTTTACTTATGTGGCCAATGATATCCCCTTTTCTCGTTACGCTACCTTTTATATTATTTATAATATGATCATCAACGCACATTCACTGTTGATACAGATGCGCATTTCATATTCACAAATGCATGTCTCAGTATATTATTTAAATTAGAAACACGTCGCCACGAGGATCTCCTTGTAGTAATAGGTACCCTTAACAAAGTATAGACCACATTCAGACTATTGATAGTTAATGGATTGTCCGTAAATCTGGTGTTAAAGGAATTTCTATTATGCTTGTGCGAAATAGATTTCAACATTTATACTGGTGTTCTTGTATTAATCAAGATACGGTACAATAAAACAAATAACTAGTTTATTAGCTTGGATTAATAAATGATACGAATGTACGTCTAAGAAGTCTTTGTACGGTTATTGAATCCACAGTGGTATCTAATATTTTTCATAGAATATAATATATTAGATACATTTCAATATTTCAGTAGTCTCTTAAATGTATGGAACATAAGGTTTTGTATGGTACCGGGAATTACTTATTACTAAGAATGCAATCGCTATACGAGATGAAACGTTAATCAAGGTTGCCTGTTAAAAATATAACGTATGAAAAGGGTATGCAGAGACATAGTAATCAGAATTGCGTGACATAATAGATATGTGAATGAGTAATCACATGGAAAATTTTAAAACCTACTGATTCAGTAACTTAAATCTCTCCGAAATGAAGAATTAAAATAATTGCAATTATTTAATATATATAGAAAATTTAGCAGACAGTCTACCACTTACAACTTAGTGTAAAATTGAAATATGGGGCCTTTATCATATATTGGAAAAATCATTGATATTATCAGCAAGCAGTGTAGTCTGAATCGCGGTGGAATTATTGAAAAATAATACTACCATACGATATACTTTATTATATATTATATGCTCTTATAAATTTATATGAATGACACATATATATTTTTATTAAATCATCTATGATACATGTTATATTAATATTAAAACATTAATGCGAAGATACGGCAAGTCTACATCTGAGAGGTTATAAGAATTGGAATGAAAATAATCTGTAATTGGATGCTGATAAAATTATCAAGAAATCGTAAGATCGTATCTAAAGTATGGTCAAATTTGATTGCTTATGTAAAGTGTGCGAAGCTGCCATGTGAAATATATATATCGATTATATATCGACATATATAAATTATAGTAATTTCGTGTTTAATATTTGTCTTGAGACTATGTTGTGGGTTGCAGATTTGTTGTGGTGAAAGTAAACGAAAACAATGCTTAGTCATTATAATTGACGATCCAGTATGTTGCAAAACACCTACATATCTTTTTGCATCAAATCATGGCCTCCTATTTAGTTCCACTGTGACCAGTATGCAACGTATATTCATCCCTACGTTTTGCATATTAGGTCAGAATAAGTGTTGGTCACAAGTTCGGAATCATTTATAATTCTAGAATAGAGTATACTAATTATTTTAGGAAGTTTCCTTCAAACTCATATTTCGCATTAACTTTGGTATTACCTAGAGTCCAATGGACAGATGGCGCTTATATTATTTACTCAGGTATACGTGAATTCCAATCATTTGATTGGTCAGTACCGGGATCCAATGTTCTAATTGGCTGTCTGCCATGAGATCGGTTATCCCCACTACCTAACAACATGACTCCCACTACAATGCCCTGTGGCAACTAACTTTAACTTCATAGCATTGCATCCAACCGTATTCATTCGGATTCTAACGGAAGAGCTATAACCACGTTTATTTCTTGATCTTCTGCTTGAAGCCTAGATCTAAGATTTACGGAGTTTTATTATTTGTTCAGCAATCAAAGCTATCGCCCAACCTTTTGGAAACGTACAACGATCAGGATTGGAAGAGAAGCTAAATTCCTATCTGCGAAACTCGTGCTGACGAGTGAACTAAAATCGTTGGACATCATAACCTTGATTAAAGAAGCGATTGCACCGTTGCTCTTTTGTTCTGTCTACAGACGTTCGACTTAATTCTATAGCCATACAAAAAAAATATTAAGTGAAAACTTTTTGATCTGTGAAAATTGTGATTAGTCTGTTCGCGGGAACTCAAACTGTACGATCGTACAACATGGGTATTCAAGATAAGGTATGTACATACAATTTGTCGTCACTCAGATGAAAGCTTCCACGTAATAGGCTTGGTATTCGAATTTCATGAAACTCTGCACTGTACATACAGCGCGTCATTTCTGCAAAATGGCGTCTGATACGCCCTAAGAGCACCAGCTATATAGTTTATTCCTGCAGGTAGAAAATGCAGTCGTGTAGAATTACACTATCTCTTCTGTAATGTTTGCGTATATTTCTTCTTATATAATAGTCATAAGTTTTAGGAGTTTCTAATTTGATTCAATACGCCGTATAAACGAAATCTACTAATATATAAATAATTAAATGGAAAAGCAAAATACATTTTACCACTAATGATTTTGTGGTACATTGAAACTCTTTTTCTTTACGGGCATCGTTGCATAAGCATTGTATTGCAAGTCTTATTCCACGTCTTGAACCATGCGTATCAATACACTCATTTATCATTGCGGGTAACTGACTTAAGTTTTTACTTTGTCAGCAAAAGTAACCTATGATTATATTTAATATTTAATGCGATACAAGATTTTTGTTAACCTTTTCTTCGAACAGTTTCTTCCGTGCCATATGTCACATGCTTGCAGTTCATTATACGTATAAAACCAAGGCTTCATATACTATGTGTTCGCAAAAATTTCAATTAGAAAATTTCATTTACTATTATTTCATAAATCCATAATGTCTATTTTATAACTCTCAATCATTAGAAGAAGGAAACTAATCAGGCCATAATTTTTAATTATATCTATGAGTTTTAACATAAAATATTGTTGTTAGGAATATTTATGATTTTCAAAGATTGCTTTCACACGATACACGCGTATTATATGCGTGTAGTCCGAAACCCACTGATACTATTACGAGTATCCGTGTATCTCTATTTGCCTACATGCAGTAGAGTGAGACCCAACTATACCTGCAGTGAGGTTTAGAATGCACCTTATATTAAATTTACTACTTCGATCTGATTCGATTCCTCCAGTATTGGTTACGTGAATGCCAACATGTATACGTACGACATTCCATCGTTAAATTGCATGGCTCACAATTTCCTTATTTACATAATCAATATAAAAGCGACTAAACCATACCAATTAAAGAAAGACCTGAAACAAAGTATGAAGTGTAATCTTGCAAGATTCACTTTGTCAATTTATTTGATTAGATACTGAAATGTGCGTACTGTCTTCGATCAGAATCTTTAAATACCAATATCATTTATTGTTACTTTGTATTCTTATCTTCGAATTTTTTTATGAATCAGTGTAGACACATGACTAAGGCTTTAAAAGTCACTTAGGTCAATTAAAATCGAATGATGTCTCAATAGAATTAAGTCACAGACATACAAATACAGTTACTTGACACGAAAGATAAAACGATGCCGCGCTTGACCAGCTGTTTTCATTTCACAGTCAACGCGCCAAATTCATTTATTAAAGATCATTAAAGTTATACAATATAAAGATAAATTATAATTGAAATATTAGGATGTACAATCATTAAAGATCTTGTCAAGTTTGTACTTCTCTAACTTAAAAACATGTTCATTTAGAGGTATGATTTTGCGCAATGCCAAAATCGAATTCAAGTTTTAAAGAATAAAAGATAAACTCTGGTAGAATATTACCATAAAAACAATTGATATAAAATGTGCCGATTCGGTAACCATAGCATTAATCTCCTGGATAGGTACATAGGAATTGATTACGTTTACACGACGGTCTTAAACCGATTTAGTTAATACCGATCTAAAGGAATTGACCAATCCCAAGTATTCCTTACAAGTAGAAATGTCTATGAAATTTGTCTATTCCTTTAGATCAGTATTAACTAAACCGGGTTAAAAACATCGTGTAAACGTAGTCATTAATTGACAAATTAATTGTTTCTCAGATATTCCAGATGTATAAGTTAGTGTAATTGTTACGCATGACTTGCATCAGTCATTTGTATTTTTCCTCTAATAAAGATTAACATATTTACATTTGGTTACAGTATCATGCTCTTTTGCCGTTATTCTCTTAATACGTAATACCTATAGAAAAATTCCTCTACGGTTAGGTCATGTGATATTTGCTTAGACGATAGATGATCAAATGTTTTCTTACCTTTACTATACGGCAAGTAGCAATGTCGCGATTTGCACCTTGCGATTGCTACCATATTTTGGTATACATACGTACGTAACATGCTATTATTGATCGTCTTGGTCGCGCATACTCGTACTACCTTTTCCATGTTATACGTCGCAGTTCACAGTAATCCAGGCCTGAGTATGGTTATTACAAGTGCTGCATTACATCGAAAGACTTAATTTGTAAGGCACAGCGCCGGGAATATCATTTCAGAACATCTACACAAATTTTGTCCACCCACAGTGTGTCGCGTATTTTCTTAATGTTAGCACTCTTCTCGAGATCACGGGCCTTTTGCAAATTCCAAAAGATGGAATTTTCTCGTGGACGCAATGTCCAGCTTGCAAGCGACGGGTGGGCTCGTGCTACACGGAATAATCTTATCGTGCGTCTTTCGTATCTTTACCACGTCTAAATTATAATTTAGTAGCGACACCAGTTTCATGGTCTCCACTATCAATTATATGCGAAAGAAATTTCAACGCTGAAGTTTTGCTGTAATTGGGGCTTTATACGTTGGTACATATTCGTTCGTATTGATTTTTTATACTGCTTTACCCGTTTGTTCTGGCTGTGTTATATTATAAATTTAATTCGCTTGATAAAAAAAATTTGTTTAACATTCATTTGTGCCTTGATTCGTATATTCACTTTTAGTTTAACAAATTGTGGAACTTTTGGTTTAGCTCAAACAAAATATTCTGCATGTGTACGATTAAAATTCTTTCATAAATTTAAGCTTCTTGCTGGTTGTTAATTCTGTTTTAAAATCGAGATACAAGGTTGGAAAGAATGTGTTAGGTGTGCGAGATTGAACTCAATGATATCTCATTGAGAAATGAAGAATGCTTCGAACTCGCGGTGGGAAAGTGGTTTTTAGATATTGTGAAAGAATCTTTTAATTGCGAGGTTATTAATAAGCTATTTCTGTACTGTTATAGATGTCTGAACAGAACCCGGAGATGAGGGAAACCGCAGCTCGTATCTGTCGTGATTACTTACATGGAGTTTGGAAGCATGTTACTGCTGACAATATTATTTTTAAACGTATCAGGTTAGTCAATTGTACTTATAATATTCTTTTGTTTTAGTCGAAGACTCTACGGCTTAGTCGTAGCTGACACCGTGCCTTTTTGTGTGTCACGGGAGTGCGTCGTGGATCTTATGTAATCTGCAATCACGTTTCTTGATCATTGAGCGTTATTATTATAATTATTTTTGAAAATAATCAGACAGATTGAATGCAGTCTATTACCGTATAGTATGTTTTTTCTGTATTTTACGTATAAGCCTTGGAGTATTTTTACATGCGTTACCTCGTGACGTTGGTCGCACACGTCATCTTTGACGTAGTTTGTACGTATCGTCGTTGATTTCGGACAGACGATATTATGAAGACATTCGTTATCTTACTGATAAATAATTTTCTTTTTTTCAGTGGAGGTTTAAGTAATTGGTTGTACCACGTGGAGCTTCCTGAAGGTACTGCACCAGTACGTGGAGAACCACGCCAGGTCCTTCTGAGATTATACGGTCAAGTTCATGGAGAACGGGCGTTGGAGGGTCTTATTACCGAATCGGTGATTTTCACCCTACTTTCGGAAAGGCGTCTTGGTCCAAAACTTCATGGAATTTTTCCCGGTGGTCGAATAGAGGAATACATTCCTGCTCGGCCGCTCCTTACCAAGGAATTAGCTGATCCTACTCTGAGTGAGATGATCGCTGAAAAAATGGCACAGATTCATAGCATGCAAGTGCCTATCAGCAAAGAACCCACGTGGTTATGGGACACGATGGCCAGGTGGTTAGATACAACTACTGAAATCCTAGACAACGTCGATGAGATTGATGCACGTCATTTGGAGAATGTCAATGCGATTAGAGCAATGGACTTGGAGCATGAGTTGTCTTGGTACAGGTGAGAATAAAAAATTGGTTAATATCAATTATTTTAAATTTATTTTAAAAATTTGACTTGATTTTATTCAATTGTTCTAACGGTGTCTTGTATTATTTCAGAACGTTTGTGAAACAAGTGAAACATCCGGTTGTTTTTTGTCACAACGATATGCAGGAGGGAAATATTCTTATTCGTCAAAATTCACGGAAACCCGAGCTGGTACTTATTGACTTTGAATATTGCTCGTACAACTACAGGGGATTCGACATCGCAAACCATTTCGTCGAATGGCAGTACGATTATACGGCGGACAAATATCCCTTCTACCACGAGCGAGTAGGCGCTGGACCAACGAAAGAACAAAAGGTAAGTTACAAATGGGGGGTTGGTAGGGTTGAAATAATTGATTGACCATGGGTAAGATATATTTTCCATGATACGATATATATATTCTTCTAAAAAAAGTGTTTCAAATCATCCAAACGAAACTTCATGACTGTTTATTATAGGATGCATAACTTATAACTGAGACGATGTATAAGAAAATATGCACTAGTATTTATTGTATAATAGTACATTTGTGGTAAAATTAACGAAAAATCATATTCCACATCTAATTGAACATGAGTTGCTTGTCTGCTCTTATTATTTTGAGTCTAAAAATTTTCCATATAACAATTTTATAGAACATTTGACAAAGTAGATTTTGAGAAATTATCTCCAACAGAGAGTCATTGTGCATACAAATGCATTATTATAGAGTAAGTGTCACTGCAAGTCCACAATCATAATTCATAATCGAGTAATTAGAAACTATCACAGCTTTTCAGCATAAAAACATTAAAAAGCCACTATATTATTATTTTGACTCTTCCTCTCTGAATATGTTCTTATTCCTCGCGTTACATTCCTTCAGTAAACTTTCGCCGTCAATCAGCATAGCAAGTTCGCTTTCAATAAGGTGTATGACAGTCTAAAGGTGCTTATATGTACCACTAGATGCTATACTGTAATACGAAAAAGAAGGGTAGGACACCTTGGCGTGTGTTGCGTGTGTATGTATTAGTTTCACAGGACCACTATTCTCTGAGACAAGGCTGAGGCCTGCGTTCGACACAAAACGGGGGGCAAATGAAAACTGCCAGTGTGACGGGTCCTGACTCCCGCTGTGCGTTGTGGTGGAACGAGAGGAACCGGTGCCACCCGACATGGCGACACCAGTCCCGCATCTGCGCCTCTACAACACTAGAGTACCTCAACACGCACTCTCAATAGTCAATCCATAACCTCCTTAACCCAATCCATGTACTGTGTCTGTCCGGTAATAAAAACTGCGGTACTTGAAATTAAGGCACACCTCATTGGATGAGCTTTGATCGTAGTACTCACGGTGGCGTGGTACGTTGGCCTAGTTGCTGCCACAACAACTAGACACATCATGTGCTCTCTTCTGAACATGTGAGATTTGCTTTCGTTTCCCCTGGAAATTTCTCTTTATTCTTTCTTTTATACGTGAGATATATACTTGAACTGTTTTTCTGACTCAACAATTACATAATTTTCTGCATCATTTTCACATAATAAAGTAGTATCGATTGATCAATAGCATTGATGCCAATGTGCATTAGAAATATTGCAAATTGTAAACTTATCTTTAATTCTGATGTTCAATGTTTTCATGACAGTCTCATTTAAAAGACATTATACTCAAAGATTTAGGATTTAGCCCTTAGAGAAATGCAAAGTAGCACAAGATAATAATACATGTCAGAAGAATATTTTTTTTGTTTTAATTGAAGATTATTAATCATTGTACAGTAGATACTTGCTTAATTGAGACTCTGTTATGTTTAAGAAAATCAAATAAGTATATTCAAAATGTATCAGACTTTTTACTTTTACGTGCGAGGAACAATTTAATGTTACAAATTATTGTGATATTGATAATTCGAATATTTTTGGGAATATATCCCTGAAACTTTATGGGCGGCAACGTTATTTCTTCGGAAAGCAATATCCTGTAAATTATTATTCGAAGCTCAGAGTATTTCCAGGGGGCACAATTTATTGAAAACGTTTTATTTTATATTCAATGAACAATGTCAAATCACTTGCCTATATTATTATACAGTGGTTAATATGAAGTGTCTCTATTTTTATATGAAAACCAATCTACATTCATATCGACGCTCAAATCTGTAAACATTTAGAGTGCCAGAAAGGCGCGAATTAATAATATCCCTCAGTGTTCTATTCCTTTTCAGTAGGGGGGGGGAAGTTTTTTTTTCAAGTTGTACTCATAGTACAACCATTTACTACATTCATTTTTGTTTAATCATTCACTCAAATATGCCTAATCTCTTAAACAAAACGTCATAATTTTACATGAAAGTTATGATTAAATGCAATTGTAAATATGCTATATAAAATTAATATTTCATTGCAAGTATTACAAGTATTTTTAAAACTAAAGTGAATTGGTCATTGTTGCTCTGAAATAAATTGTGCCTTCAAAAGATATCATATTCTTACCCTCTTTGAGGGTAGATTTCATACATTATCGTTGTATTAGTTATCATTGAGAATCACTTATGTAGTTCTTAGGATTTTAACTTCTTAGCGTACATTATTGTAATTATAGTCGTTCTTTAACAGCTCAATTTCATCAGAAGTTACTTAAGGACAACCGGAAAAGGCGATCAGGCAGAGGAAGACAGAATAATGGCAGAGATCAAGCTTTTTTCATTGGCCAGTCATCTCTTTTGGGGGCTGTGGAGTATCGTGAATGCCAAACTCTCTCAAATTCCATTTGGGTACTGGGTAAGCTTTCATAATTATTACACTAAGGAGTTTTACTAATTAACTTGATACAAGTATAAAAAGTTGTAGCTTCATTTAAAGAAGAAGCAAAGATTACTGTGCGCAGATGACACTTATATGTATACATATGTTTTTTTAATTTATTAGGATTACGCAGCAACGAGATTGAAGAACTACCAGTACTTAAAGGAAAAAATTCTCGTATCTGCACCCATGTTTCCAGAAAATGGAGTCAAAAGAAAGGTCACGCAAATGGACTGAAACATATGATGTCTCTTGTGATTGCAATACTCAATTCCTGCGTCAGGAATCACGGCCTCCTAGCTTGGGCCGCGACAAAACAAAAATGAAAAAAATGACGGTATACTCGATGAAGTTTAACCGGGAAGATGATCTTTCAAGATCAGTAGTTCTTTCAGCATCCGTGCTGTACTTCCAATTTTAAATTGATTGATTGGATCATTAGCTTATTCCATCTGTGCATTACAATCGAAAGATTATGGTGGAGAAGAAAGTCGAGAATGTGATATACAATAAGAATCTGAAAGAAATCGATTATTCGTTTACCGTAAAAATATCAAGTACATGCGACACAGTAGCACCACGAGAATTGTAAGCCGTTTGAAACCGGCTTATTTAATACCTGCACGTAAAGCACTAACCTATGCTACCTAGAGTACTCTTCTTTTGAGGTTAAAAAAATTTCCAAGCATTTGGAAAGAATTTGCTATAAAATGCAAACGTATCCTAGACATTTTAAGCTTCTTACAAATGACAAAGGAAATTCATCACGTACGTACTTATGGGTCAAACTTGAGCGTCCGGTGTACTATGGAGCATCGTACTTTACTTTGCGATTACTTAACAAACATTTACGTAAATACAAACTCTCGCTAAAGGAGTATACTAGGTCACTGGGAATGACCAAGAGAATTCTGTGACTTATTAGGAACTAATTTAATATTATTTAGTTGTTAGTTGTTTACCATTGAATATCAGCGATTAAACAGACGCTTAATTATTGTATGTGTTATGCACTTATTGTACAAGATAAGGCAGGAAGTGCTTTTTGTTTACTTCAAACGTTGTCTTGTGACATGTTTTTTTTTCTTTTTATTGTTTTACTATATATCCCTTGCGGTTTTTTACACGACACCTCAATGCAATATAAACAGTATACTTTTGTATATATAGAAGTCCAGAGATGATAGAATGGTGAAACGATGCGAATTGCAATGGTAATTAATGACTTATAGTTTCCTAACGCAACGAATTCAATCATAAACGATCAGAGGAGTGATCTTCAATATTTTCTATAAATTTTATATGCGAATGAGTAATAATCGTGTATTTTGCGTGAAATTTTAAGGTGCAAATTATCAGAACTATGACAGTATTTCAATAGCTGTGAAGTGATACAATTACAGTAATATGCATCTGAAAATGTTAAACAGTATCATCTATCTGAATGACAGCTTATCACAGAGTAGTGGGAAACAATGTCGTTTCCTGCATTATAGGTTTTTGGTAGTTACGAGTTGGCATGTCGCACGAAACTTTCTCGCCAAAATACAATAATGTAATTCGCACATTGCTAAATTTATCTATATTTAAATAATTTTAATATTGCATTTTAGGTAGGATCAAGTATTAAAAATTTCTTCTGTATAATGATATCAAAGATTATATTACTACTGTTTCTTTATTATGTAAAATTGTTTTTTTAATAAATTTTATTAATATAATTTGTCTCTTTTATAACCAATATTGTAGTTGTAGATATATCACTTCAAGTGCCTTATAATGTTATGAGCTGGAACATTTTCTAATGTGTACCTTCATTTTATTATTTATGCTTAGAAACTGAGTGACGTACTATTTGGGCTGTATACATACATCAAAGACAGCAGGCAATTACTAATTAGAAAAGAACACGGAGTTGTGACCACTCAGCTTTCTCTTTGTATCAGTGTCTATAAAATAAATTGTTATAGATTTATCCATTCGTGGAAATATTAAAATTCCTGAAAAATTAGGATCCATATCTGCAGTCGGCAGAGAAGATTTAGACTTTTGTAAACGTCTTTTCACCGTTATGTTTTGTTGAACCAGGTTGAACTACCACAGATGAGTGGGGAGATGCACAACGCTCTGGTTTTAGGTGATACTAAAAGAATATTATTTACTAAACATTTGACTCATTCGTATATTACAAATATATTATTTAGTACCTAGTATACTATGTGCTATATTATAGCGAAGACATTATATGAAATTTTGAAAATACAATTAAAATGGTGGGCTAGTACTGGATTATATAATAAGCAGATATGTAGTGACTTATGTACTTGGTATTATTAATATGATTTCAATATGTTTTGTGAGAGAAATGCACAGCACTCCTGTACTTGGCATAGTCTTTTTACACGTACTAGAACGACTCGATTGGAGATCCGTTTGCGCTGTAGCGCTTTGAATAATTTAAATACTATTCAGCCGAATAGAAAAGCAGTAAAAAATGTCCCACAAAATTGCACTTATTGATGTCGGGTAAAAATATTTCAACAATAGGCTTTTTCAACAGTTATTGAGAAGTTCTATAGTTCCCAGGCTCGTTCTAAGGGTTGCTTTGGGAAACAGCGGTGAGTAGCTGAGAACCTCTGCCCACCAAGTTACGCGTCCGTGTTCCCGTTTAGCTCGGCTACGACGGGATTCGTATTGTCGACGCAGGCGATGATCACAATATCCTACTTCCGGACTCGCCGCTATGATTTAGCGCCACGATTTTTGTATCGCCGAAAATCGTAGCGTTGTGCATCTCCCTACTGATCTCTGGAACTACGCCCGAACTCTACTTCATTTATTACGATTCTTGTTCATCGTATGAAATGTGGCAAGATCCATTTACAACAATATATAAACCTCGCAGATTGAGAGGCACACCAGCTTATAAGTTTGTTGGATTACTTGCTGGTTGTGTTACTGGTATATCCGTTATTGTTGGTTCATCTATATAGTAAGTATAAGTACAATTTTATACTTTTCTATAACCTTGCTTATTAATGATTCGATATTTACTAATTTTTCAGAATTGGTAGATTCATTTACTTAACGTTTATTATATTTACTGATGGTGGAGAATATTAACTATTTATAATATGTGTTTGATAGTTTCAGTTTCATTGGCGATAGATTAAGCTACAAAATAGAAAAGGAAGGATTTTTGTGTCGCACTGAGGAAGATCTTATTCAACGCAGTATGTTACGTGATAACACCCTCAATCGGATCTTTTCTAGAACGGGCCAAAAACCAAGTGACGATCCCTTTGCGTAATAGTCATAGTTTTCAAATATGAATTCTCATGCATGCATTGAACAGCCACCTACAAGAGTAGACTCCACAAATAATGAGAATAAACAGAATTATGTAATTATGAGTAGACTACGATTGAAAAGAAATGATAGTAACAGGTATGGTTTAATTGAATTCAAGATACAGTTTCCAAATTTGTTATGATATAGTATATGTGTAGTACATGTTCATAAGTATAAATTTTGTGGTTATCAGTACAATACACAAGTTTAGAATTGTTTAAATCATTTTCAGTTAATATGTTAGAAATAGAATGACAACAAATAGTGTTTTGTCCATTAAAATGTAAATGAACTGTTGTCGATAAAATAAACATGTAAATCATAAAATGTGTTCTTTTTTATAGCTGTGCACAAGGAACAGAGATAAGTCAAAAAGTATCACCCGTTCCAAACAACGCTGAAACTACTGATTTCAAAATGGGTTTATGTGAAAATGAGAGTAACTCTTCCCGTCATAAATCTTTATCTCCAAACAAAGAAGACAGTTTACTGGACTTTAAATCTCCAAAATTTAAGGCAGCATCTGTCATAAAGGATGCAAATATAGTGTCAAAGTCTAAGAGAAAATTAGTATTATCCAAAACTAAATCTTCTACTTGCAAAGAAAGCACATCTAATACCAAAAGATCGTCACGTACTAGGAAAGTTGTACAAGATCATAATCAACAATCTGTAGAATCATCATTTTTTAAAACTGGAACAAATATTAAAACAGCATTTGTATGCCCGTTGTGTTTCAAATCATACAAAGATGAAGCAACACGATCAACACATATGAAGGTTTGCGCAGTAAAGAATAAAGTATCGACCAAAAAATTATTGGATGCTGTTGAATTACAAGATCGACAAGCTGAAGAACGGAAAGCAATGGGTTTACTAGCTGCTCCTATTTTACAGCCTAAGAAAAATGTGTCACGAAAACCGGTATAATATTTTCGTTCTGCTATAAATGCTAAGTTCCTTTTTAAATTTATTTTTATTTAGTTTTATTTATTTTTTACTCAAATGCAACCAAATTCTTCATTTAGCTTGATAATAAAGATCCACAACTTGACTTAGCCCTTGCACTTTCCATTTCGCTACACGAAATGCAGCAGAACGAACAGTTGGAGGAAGCTGAAACATTAGCTGGTGACCCTTCACAACCTTTGCCAGATATCGGAGAGGAGAAGCGTAGAATAACTTTGCAAAACTTCGGATTTTTCACTGAAAAACCTGTAATTTCACACCCTACAACAGTTTCATCCAAAAGGAGTATGGAATTTTATTTTCAAAATAAAATTATAATTTTCTTATCCATTTGTAAATAATATCACACGATTAATGTTTTCTATAGAGAAGCGCATGGAGAAGATCGTTTTACAGATTCGTACCCAAGAAGAGAGAGATCGTATTCTAACAGAGAAGATAGCTGATGTGTTGGTGGATGATGAATCCATAACCCAAAGAATTCAAGAGGAACGATTAAATACTATATCCCATAAACAAGATATTGTCTTGCATAGCCGTTTCCTTCGTGATCTCCATAAAAAGGTAAATGCACATTGGTTCACTTACTCCAGGTATCTGATAACAATTCTGATTCTATATTCGTATCCGTCAAAAGGATAACAGATTATGGGATAGGACTAGACTGTCTCCAAATTCTAAAAACTTTTATGTTGAGGAACTTGAACCATTCATAATGCCCAGGAAACAAAGCCAGCAAGAATTGCATGTAACGGTAAGTATTCCTTTTTGATGGTATTGTATGTAATTTGTAAGCATAAAAAAGTCTCTCATCTGTGACATATTTTTAGAAACAATCAGTTCTAGAACTAACTAAATCCAACAATGAACCTCATAAGACCAATCCAGTTTTTATGGAATCTGTGGACAAAAACGATGTATTGCCAATCGAGAAGGTCAAAATTGAGATTAAGTCACCAATCAAAGATAAAAATAAACTAGTAAGCAGCATAAGCGAAATGAAGGTGTCAAAAGCAAATTATAAATCTATGAATATCTTAGCAATAAATTGGGGAGAAACTTTGAATCAAAGTCCTATGAGTGATGTGATTATATATCTGAAAGGTGATAAACACATCTGGGTTCATAAATTAGTCTTGTTTGTTCGTTGTCCGGAAATGATGCTTGAAATTATTCCTAATGACAATATAAAGTTTCAACAAATAAAAGAAAAGATCTGCTGGCCAGACGTAGCTTACTGCACAGCCTTGGCCTTTCTGGAATTTATTTATTGTGGCATTATATCAAGGAACGAGTACATTTTTAATGATACGGATACACTATCGATGTTGAGGAAGATGGCAAGAAAATATCGTGTCAAAGATTTATTCACGTATTTCAGAGAAAGAGAAAAAGAATTTGAGGCGATTGAAAACAAAGTCGAAGAGAAAGTATGTAATACTCCTAAAACTTCTGACAATAATTCTTCTGCAAGCACGAAAATCATTAACGACCATCCAAAGTCCAATGACAAATGTCAAGCTAATATAAAATATAATAGTGAATCAAAAGTGTCCCAAAGAACGCAATCTATATCAGTAACTATTGCATCTTCTAATGAATTTAAAGAAAGTGATTCTATGAAGTCCTACTTGGAGAACAACGAACCTAATGAACCAATGTGTCTTGATTCTAACGAAGATAGTAATCAATCAACTGTTATACTCAAGGATAAATTGGGCAGTGTTTCACCTGATTTGTTTGATGATTTAGAAGAAGAAACTTCAAATCTTATGAATCAAACTTCTATGCCTACTGCTTTCGCTCGTGACAATTGTATAAACGAAACTAATAATATTGATATATTGATGGAATTAATTGACCAAGACACTCAGTTGAATAAAAACGAAGTTATTGATGAGTTATCATTATCATCAGAAACTGCACCAGAAGTTACTGCAGAAACGGTATCAGATGGTGCTACTTTCAAGAGTCTGGAAATACCATTCGACAATCGTGTCAGGTCTACAACATTCAAATCTTCATTTGCATCACCTGTCACGCAGCCATGCAATATTACAAAAAAAGAAATACCCAAATCGAGAAATTTAATGTCTCAAATGATCACTGATACAAACATACCAAAACAAAAAAGTAATCTTAGCTTGTTGATTGAGAAAGTTCAAAGACAAAATGCTAGATCGTTATCGGAATCAGATACTGATACAGACTCTCCTATACTACTGAGGAAAAAACGTTCTAGAAATCCTTTCAACATAAGAAAGAAAAACGAATATTCACTTTTAGAAGAAACGGACAGAAACGATACTCCAGAAAAAGAAACTATGCAAATAAAAAGAAACGCTCTGAGTTTGCTTGAGGAAGACGTGCGAAAAGCAACGGCTGAAAATAAAAAATCAAATGTATTACATAATAAAGTTGTAAAACATACTCCAAACAGAAGTAGCAAATGCTCTGGACAAGAAAATCTTAGTATTAACAATGAAATATTATCTGGAGGTTTGTCGAGTGATAATGATGATGTTTTCTGTTTAACACAGTCATCAACCATTCGACCTCATGAGGATGCACATTGTATAAATTCTGACGCAACTACTGATGAGGAACAAATGTCAATATATTCGAAATATAAAAGGAAACATAGCCGTAACAGTATAGAAAAATATCGCTTGGCTTTACAAAACGTTATGCATCGTAATTCCAGTATTTTGGATACGTTAATTAGTAAGCAATCGTCTAGTCTTGATAAGAGTCCTAATTTAAATAAGGACTTACAAAAGAAAAAAAATATAACTGATAAAAATGTCGAATCATTACCGCCAAAAGACCGACAATCTTTGAATGATGAAGTTACCGACATGTCGGATTTGGAAATTTGTATGTCTACTTCGTCTACTTCAATTCTACAAGATAAACTAAATTGGGATATTGAAAGAGATCTAAAAAATAATAAGAATATAGACAGTGCATTAAAAGAAACCGACACTCGTACTGACGTCGAAGTTCCTTGTTCAGAATATTTTACATCGGACATACAGGCAGAATTTCCCGTACTGACTCAAATGGTTAGGAATGACGTTGAAGTAAATTTTTCTGATATGGACACGGATATAGATTGTCAGCTGGAATCAAATTCTCAGTTAAAACGAATAAAAAAGTTTAGTAAGAAGAAAAAAGATTGCGGATTCAATTTACAAAATATACATGATTTAGAAACAGATATAGAAGAACCGGAAGTCTTGTCAGTACCGAAACCTAAGAAAATGTTGAATGATAACATCAGTCCTGTTAATAAGAAATCGAGTTTGTTGAATTCCCCAAAATTAAAAAAATTTTCTTCTCAAAACTCTCAAAAAGGCATGGATAGAAAAGATGAAGAGCCTCCTGTAATTTTTGATAAGTCTGTCATAAGAAGTAAATCATCAAGAACTTCCAGCCCTAGAAAAAGTTTATTTAACATTGACAACGAAGTGGAAAATTTGTTTCAAAAACCCAGCTGTTCAAAAAGTAATAATTTCAAAGATACTGGTACAACAAATAATCCAAGTCCAATTTTCATATCGTCTAGTCCGGATCTAAATTCTGATCATTTTTCAACTATGAATTATGGTATAGACGATAATCAATTGGGAATTTCATATTTAGAATCAACAAGGAGTAAACATGAAATGGAGCAGTTGTTCTCAAGTGATATTAATATAGAAAATATTGATGTTTATGAAGAAACACAGAAACGTTTAAGCAACCAATTATCATTAATAGATAAAAAAGTAAATGTAGAGTACGAAAGTAAATCGAAAAATGAAGTGCATCACGATCTTATAGAAATTGGTTCACCATTTCATTCAAAAAGTCGGACACCCTCGATTTCACCTAGCAATAAATTGAATTCAAGAAAATCCTGCAGTCCATCAAAAACTTTATTTGACACTTCTAAAAGTATTAAGAATTTAGACAAATCCATTCGCAAATTCAATGACGCTATCACTTCCAAAAATTCAAAGCACGGTAGCACTACAGCCGAGGAAAAGTCTAAAAGTATTAGAAGTCTGAAAACAAAATCTATGTCTGAAGGAAACTTTAGAAAGACATCAACAGAGGAGGAGGATGAGTTAGACTATTTAATAAATGGTCATGTACCGTCATTTAATGATACACCAGTACAGAATCGTATGAGAAAATTCAGCTGTGAAACTACACCCTTATCAAAAGTTATTAACGAGAATGTTACACCACCAGCAAATTATAGTGCTATGAAGAGTCCTGAGCTTAAGGTATGTATAACAGGGAATGATTCATTCTTAATGATATATCTAATTTGAAGAATTCATATTACAGAAAGAATTACAAAAATATGGTCTGAAGGCACAAAAACGAAATAGAGCAAAGCAATTGCTGAGACACATATACAATGAGTTACATCCTATACTTACAGTATCACCTGGGCAGACGAATAGTGAATGTCAAGATATGAATACTGATGATGAACGACCACCAGCTAAAAAAATTAATAAAAATAAAACCCCTACAAAATCAAATACTGCTGACAAGGACGATTCATCCTCTGACTGCGACATACAATTATCACAATATAGGTAAATATATTTATAATTTCTTGTCGGTTAATAGATGTGTATCGCAATGCAATTTTGTATATTATAATATTAAATGCTTTGTAGTAACACCAGTGATAAATCAAACTGTTCGATGATAGCTGAAGAAAGATTATTTAATGAGTCAGAGACAACGACTCAAGTAAAAACTTCTATGAGTATCCAAGATGCTTTTCGAAAACTGATAAATGTGGACAGAGAATTACATAATAAAGTTTTAATGTATGAGCCCTTACTATTAGAATCATTGCATGCGATGTTAAAAAATCAAGGGGTCAAATGTAAATTAAATACTTTAATGGATTTTTTGGATGAGCAGGTAAATTTACTATAATTTACTAATTTTTGATTCTATAATGCATAAATGTTAAAATTTATTATTCCGTTTCAGTGTATTGCATTTCGCAGTGAACAAAGCAAACGGAGCAGAACAAGAAAAAAGAAACACCCCTAAAGTTATTTAGTGTATCAATACTTTTTATCAGAATCTTTAAATAAAAAATGTCTACTTGACCTCCATAAGGCAATATAATTCACTATTTTTTTAAAATAAGTAACACACAATGATGTTAAAGTGTTCTATATATTATGGGCACGTATTAATTAATTTATCTATATTTCATATTGAAATGAATTACTGTGTAACTGGCTATGAACTTTGTTTCAAATTAAAGCAATATCATTCTTAATCTATTTTCAATAAAAGTAATGAAAAATATTATAAATTGTTGTAAATAATATTGACTCATTACAATAATATTTGCCGCTTAAATAAATTGTTTTGACTTCATGCGTACTGATTAGCCATTGGTTGTGCCACAAAGAATGAGTAATCATCTGTCCCCTGTAACCATTACAATGAGTGATAATTTAAAATTAGATGCTCTTAAATATCTAATTGATACTGGACACTTAAACAAATGTAAAATTTTGGCCTCTCAACATTCCGAAAAATCTCAGGGTATCGGGATAGCCAATTTACCATTTATATATGATCTCGAAATAGATCTTATTCTCTTAAATGATTCTTCCCGTAAGTTCTATTTTAATTATATTCGTATGAAACATTGAAAAATTTTATCCAACAAATATATTAATAATCTTTCCAGATAATTTGTATGAAAAGTTTGTTCAGTATCCCGAAAAAACAAGAAATATATTCCGCGATGTAATACAAGAAGAAATGATTAAATATCTTACGTGTAATAAGTGTAGGCCAGTTCACACGGAATTACATATCCATTGTACAATACTTCCTCATATATCGAAAATACGTAATATTAAACCAACCGCATTGATTTTATTAAAACGTTATGTACTCACAGCAATGACTGTGGCAGTTACTTACAGGTAAACCCTGTATGAATTAGTATGCTTTTTTGAATTACTATACGTGATGAATAATGTAATTTATAGTATTTGTAAATTCTATCGATGCACTAATACCTTTTGTATACGAAACCTGATGGGATTTTATTTAACGGAAGAGGATGTGCAGATGGAGGAATGGAAAAAATGCGAATTATGTTATCAATCAGTGATCGAAGATCAAGCACGCAGTGGAGAAGGTCAAAGAGTTTTAGTGAACTTTATTCCAATAACTGGATTTAGATCTCATAAGCCCGGCATGCATCGAGCGATCACATGTTCTGTAACAGGTAGCTTATGATTATTAAATGTATATGTTTTTTAGTATTATTATGTACTTAAATCTATAGACGATTTATTTGTAGAATCTTTGATAAAAAAACTTGAATTGGGTTCAGAGTATCACATATGTGGATACCAAAAGACTCAATGGTTTGAAATTTTGGGCCTGGAAAAATATAATCCATTTGGAATAAAATACGAGCCTTACGTTTGGCCTTCAACAATTCTGTCCTTAAAATCAATGATAGAGTAAGCCATACTTTTCTTTTGGTGTATACTCAAAATTTGAAAATTAAGTATCTGACACATTTTTAGTCAAACCCATCCTAACAGTCCATGGGCATTTGTAATGTTTTTGGCTTCCCAACTTGGACACAGTATTTGCCCATCAAAATCATCTTTATCTTTGAAAATGGGATTACTGTTAAGCCTCAGTAACTTGGTACGAATTTAGATAACCGTTAACAATAATTAACCACAATCTATTTTTTATTTATTAATGATTCGCTTTCAGAATGGCAACAAAGTTGTTCCCGTTATGTGCGTGGGACCAAGTACGAAAATTGCTGCAGAATTGATGAACCACACCTCGAAGTTTGCAGAAAGACATTTGCGAAACGGTTTTCCGATTGTTGGTTTTATTAAAGAAATTGGTAATTGGACTTGGCAGGAAAGCGGAATACTTATAATGGCTAAAAATGGAGTTTGTAATTTGGGTAATTGGGAGGGATTAAAACAGAGCGAAAGGGAAGTGATTTCATCAAGTACGTCTGATCTTAATTAATGGATAGTACAATATTATAGTGCATGAATAATAAATCATTATTTTTAGCTATTGGTGCAAACAAAATAAAAGTTAACACGAAATGTGTTAAAGGATTTGGTACTATACCTATATATTCACTTAAAACTGCTATCTGGACGTATTGGGGGTATTCTAGATCAGAACGGCACAATTCTATGGTGAAAAAATGTGTAGAGTAATAATTTTATTGTCAATATTTTACAGCAATAGTATCAATTCATTTCTTGTGGTTAATTATTTTCTAATATTTTATTTACAAGCATTTTCGGTATACCGTTTCTCGCCGACTCTAATAATGATGATACATACGTCTCGTATGTCTTAAGATCGACTACTGGAGTGAATATATCAATGATTGAAGATACTGAGTATCGCGTTTCAAATCTTGATATGGCAGAAGTATAATTTTTAAAATTAGTTTTGATATTTGTGATTTTAGCATGTAATGAAATATTTGTTTCGCAGTACCTACGAGTTATTAATGGACGTGATGTATTTCTCTCTGAAAAGGCTAGACAAATGATACAAAATTATTTTGTAGTTTGTCGACGTGCTAGAGGTGATCAATTGCCATCGTGTTCAATTGAATTAATGTAAATTGCATAATTTTATTATTTATTTACCTTCAATAATTTTCTACTCATATATGACCTAATGGTAATATTTTCATTTTGAGATCTGCATTAGCTGAGAATCATGCAAGATTGGCCTTACGATGTGAAGTTACATCCGATGATGTCGTCGCGATTATTCGTTTGTACGAGGAATCTCTGTGTTATTTGTATGGATATACTATCACACGCCCACCATCTTTGGAATTTAAAGATATTGATAAGATTGATGACCACATGATGATATTTGAAAAGTGGTTGAATAATTATCTTAAATCCCTAATCAGCGACACTGATAGAGAAGAGTGATTTTATAGAAAGCCAAATTTGATTTCAGATACAATTTATTAATTGTATTGTACATAACATCCAAACAGATAAACATTGTTTTATCCTATAATAGATATGTATTTTATAATGAAAAATAATATTTTTGATAGTACAAATTGGAATGACGTAATTTTCTTCGAAACAATATGCATGAGGAACGCTTCTAATGAACATTTTTTTAAACGCAAATGATAAGTGCTAAATAATGACGATCATTACGAATCAAACGATTAGTATGAGAATTTATTAACAGTTAGTTGTGACAGTTAGAGAATGATGATAGAATTGAATTGTATTCTTGACATTTCTCAAAAATATTCTAAAGGAATAATGCGATGACTAGAACAGAATGATACAATTTAGTAATGAGTTTGTAATATGAATTACGAATTTCTAAGTGGTACGCACTGATTATAAAACTACCAAGAGACCAGCAGCTGGATTTTTTCTCTACAACTATTCTGTATCAAAAGAAAACATTACAGATATTAAGAACTACGAGGTATAAGTCCGTTTACTTCAGGTTGAAGGAATTCCGTAACGATAGCCGAAACCATCTCGCTCAATATTCCTTTTAGTTCATTCAGATTTCTGTAACAACGCAATACATTTATGCCATTTTGCATTCATGAAAAAATTACGATTTTAATGGTGTCTTGCTCATATCCTCTGACACTGATTAATTTATTTCATAAATTGTATCAGACTACTGATAAAATGTAAATCCTGTTTGATAATTTCATTTAAACATTCATCCGGTTGAGTCACATTTTCCAACAGACATGCGCATCATAATCGCTTGCAAATGAATGTCAAACTAAATACAACTTAAATTAAATGTAAAATTGCTTTTTGAAAAATATCAATGAAAAAAAGAAACGAACTTGACATCCAGACAAATACTTACTGTTGTTCAGGAGATGCACATAGCTCGCTGTAATATTTAATTTTTGGTTCCGTGCCGCTAGTCCGTAATGTGGTAACCAAACCATTCTTGAACGTAAAGGTAATCATCTGACAGGATTTGGATACAGGCAAAATCGCTTTGTTACCAGGCTTAGTATTGTCATAGCCAGTCGTTAAGTCTCTCACTCCGATTATTGGATATTTTCCTCCGATAATGCTGGTTGGATACTGAAAAAGAAGCAGATAATAGTCACGACGTGTCCTAAGAGGAATACGTTAAAGAATATATATACTAATTAATAGACAGATACATTTTAAAATAGATTTTAAATAGTAATAACTATTGTATTTATTCAAGTAAAATGTTGTACCCCTATTCAGTTATATTGTAAAAAGGATGAATAATTTTGTAAATCTCATTCCATAAATTCAATAGAGATATGGTTATTCGTTTTTCGGTTACGAAAATGTGAACTTACGATATCGCCGTTTCCTCGAAGAACGGTGTGAGAAAGTAAAGAGACTGTACAACAGGTATGGCTAGAATGCCAAGGAGGAGAGAAGGTACAAGTGTGAGTGACGTAAAGAACATATTTGTCAATGTGTTCAGCCACATTGTATCCTTTGACATCTTTGCAAACATTTAATTGATTAAAGAATTTAATCATACAATATACAAAGGTGAAATGTGCATTGATTATTACTTGAGTGAAAACAGCCGCAAGTGATTTATGTTAATATTTCAGGTGCTAATACTCCTAAGTGGGGACGTAGAGACGAAAAACACCATACAAAGCAGAAAAAAATCGTATTAGCAAAGGCTAACGAAACTACGTTTCAGATAATAACAGTATAACAACAGTCTAATAATTCTATTCACAAAATGAAATACTCAAAAGAGATACTCCATTCAAAAGAAATATAATGGAAACAGTGTGAAAGGAAAGTAAACGTCAAAACAAGTTAGAATCAGCATATAAATAGAATGAAGTTGGATAATTTTTGCAAGAGGTTGTAAACTTCACGCGTACACGTTAATCACAGTTGAGTGTACTAGTCGCAGTTTTAATGTACCCTTAGAATTCACTCTTTAATCCAGGATTGAATTCAGACATCCCGATATTTCCAATGTGTAATACGTGCAGTAAAATTTTCAGTGAGTCATCCTGATAAACAACAATTCACTTTTTGTAAAACGAATATTGAATAGCACAATTATAAGAACTCGTTGGTAGCGTAATCACTTGAATGTATTCTTTAACAAGTTTCAGTCTCGACTAAGTCCACTTTACAATAACTTCGTATAAGTACTCCTTTTTGTTCGTGCCAATTCGATAGCTGATAATGTAGTGGTGATCTGTCCTGTTGGGACAACAGTGCCCACCTATTGATTGGTTGATCCTAATCTGGTGAAGATAATAGAATTGAAAAAAGAACTACTTTGTGATAAGATATCAACGGTAGACTAAAGAGGGATATATTACTCAAGTCTTTAACAATAATTACTGTTTTACGATATGCTATGAGTTTCTTGGTTATTTTATGCTTCGCCAAGCGTTACGACACTGCGGGCACTAGTTTACCTTGAAGACAAACGCTACTAGATAGGGATTTAAACAATTTAATACTTTTCACCACTTTGACGTAATGTCCGATGATGACTCAGGTATCACCGACGAACTTTTTTTTAAATGAATTTGCATATGGCGACGCGCATAAGCATCACAAATATTGCCCTCTGACTTGTAAGATAAACAAATTAAATTCCAGTCTTTTATAATTAATTGTTACATAATGTTATTATTTCATGCAATGCGCAATACTGTATATACAATTGCTTATTCCTTATGGAAAACTGTTAGGCATGCTTTTATAGAGAAAGTTTATCACATCTCAGCCTACCAGATATTTACGTATACAGAATATAATACAATTTCGTACTATCAATTTTAGGAAGAGACTCTATTTAATTAGTATTTAAAAGTTTTTATCATCGAAAGATTGAAATTTAGTTTGAGTAATGAATAAGAGACTTACCGAATTAGGTTTTCCATTGTGGTTTCTTAAACGTTCAAAAATGGCTTTAATCGTTTCCGGCTCGTGACAAATCCAATAAGAATTATCGCTGATGTGATGACCATATCTGCATTTTACATTGAAATTCTTATGCCCACATTTAAGAGATGTATTATTCCCACTATAAAGGGTACTTAAAATGTCAGAACTTACTCCGCGTATAGTTCGTCCAGTTTATCAATAAGTGTAAGGCCCATAGTTTCAAGGTAAGCTGCCATTTCGGCCACACGCACTCCAGCACTAATGCCATCCTTATCAAGGACATTTGAACTGCACATAAAACCTATAGCCTCTTCATAAGCAAATATAACATCTTTACCGTTCTGTATCAATTCCGTAGCCTTATTGCCCATCCACTTGAAACCCGTTAAAGTCTCCTAAGAGATCACATTCGCTATGTTATACTTTTATACTGAAGATATGAGTACAATATTTATGCAAACCTCATATTGGAAGCCATCCTTCTTAGCCATTGAAGATAATATTTTACTGGAAACCGTGGATGCAAGCATGTACGTGTTACTAAGGTCGGCATCGGGATGCCGAACTTGATAAACATGTAACATCCACCAACCTAATAATGCACCCAATTCGTTGCCAGTAAATACTCGCCAATCTCCACTATATAAATAAGAATATATAATTTTGCAAAATAAGCGTATAATACGTAAAAATGACCTTGGCTGCTTACTTTTTGGATTTTACCGCACAAGCTAGTCGATCCGCATCTGGATCGTTGGCCAGAATTATAGTAGATTCATTTAAATTAGCTGTTTTTATACTAAGATCTAATGCACTCTTTCCTTCTTCAGGATTAGGAAATTTAACTGTAGGAAATTCTGGATCTGGATTTTTTTGTTCTTCAACTACTATAAATGGCTACAATTTCAAAGCAAAATATTCAAATTTTTTAGTGTGTGTATCTGGGTACTAGTGATGTTTTCAAACTTATATTGTAGAAATATTACCTTAAAGTTAGCAGCTTCAAAAGCTGCTACCATATAATTATATCCTACACCGTGCATTGCAGTGTACGTAAACTTTAATATCGTATTTCTATTGACTTCTGGATATAAAACATCGTCTTTCAATACTGCATAGTATGAGCGCATAATTTCTTTCAGAGGATCTTTATAAAGTGGGCTATCATAAATTTTTGATACATCCCAAGATGCATCTAAAGGTACAAGATTTGCTAAAATGCTTTTTTGTATTCCTTTGTCATGTGGTGGAATAATTTGAGCTCCATTCTGCCAATAAACCTTGTATCCATTATCTTCCTTAGGATTGTGCGAAGCTGTGATCATTATGCCAGCAGCACAATTGAATGTTAATACTCCATATGGAATAAATGGAGTAGGACAAACAGTGGAGTACATGTAAACCTTAATGTTATTGTTTATGAGAATCACAGCTGTTAGTTCTGCAAACCTAAAGTATAGTAAATATTTAAAATTGTGTAAACTTTATAAGGAATATAACTATGTATAATGTTTATGCATATCAATAGAAAAAAAAAAATTTATGGCTCTTGTTCAATTACTCACCTTTTGCTATTATAACGACCATCATATCCCAAAATAACACCCTTATCTTGAACATCAAAAATTGTGTCCAAAAGATATTTTGTAAGACCTTGACTTGTTTGCACAATAACTAAATCATTCATCTGACTATAACCAGGTCCCATTCTGCCTCTAAGGCCAGCAGTACCAAATTCCAGTCTTTTAAGAAATAAATGGGATAATTTTTTAATATCTCCATTATCAATATAATTCTGAACTTCTTCTGCAGCTTTTGGATCCTATGGGGCACATTTCATGTAAATGATACAAAGAATTTTATGTAACGATTAATTAAAGGTATAACATTCAATTAACCTTATATCAATTATACTTTATAAATTTTTGAAATTATTAAGAAATAACTAATAGAAAAAATTAAATACCTTATTCCAAAGTAACCATTCTTTGATCTTCTCATCTAAGGTTACATTCCCAGTATTCACAGAAATATTAGGTGCCATGATAAACAATTCTAATTAATATCCTTCTGGAAAAAAAGCAACAAGTATTTCTTCAAATTTAGTTAAAAAATTAGCGCACAAAATATTTTGTATTCGAGAAACAATGGCGCTGAATTTATAAAGGTGAATCAATACTAGCGTTTGAAATGAATGAATGTAGCAAACCTCAAATAAATATATATATATTTTTACAGGTTTATTATCAAAACAAAACAACATATTAAACTATTCTTTTCAGTACACAATATTTTACAGACAATCCTGTTTCCTAATTAACTATAAATCAATTTAGTTAATATATACGCAGATGTCAGGCCGAATGTATTGGTTTGCGTCTGCTACGATCTCAATGATATAGGGATTATCGTATCAGTTCTGTATTGCGTTTAAGAATATCTTTGATATATAAAAATAATACTCGCAGCAAACGTAATTTTTGAACCGTGGCTTGTTGGCATTAAACATTATTTATAACACAACAATGACGACCGGTAGGACCTAACCTGGCGAGAATTCTGACGTGCACAGTGACGTCTTAAAAATGACAACTGTCAAGCATCAGCGTCAATCAGCGTGTCGGCAATCTGGCGCCGGGCACCCTATGTAGTCCCTTAATTAATTGGATTTAATCGATAAATAAAACTTACGAGCCAAGCAGAAAGCTATAAAACGTATGAGATGGGACGCGCAGGTCTTCTCTTCTTGGGTGGGAGGGTAGATTTTACCGACTCTCGCGGCACCGATGATTTTACCGTTGCCTTCGCGTACTGACTGTTCCTTCTTATTATTAGTCCATTTTCAGTTTTTACGCTGCCGCTTAATAATTCAGTTACGCGAAATTTCCTATCGTATGTTACATTCGTCGACCCGTTGATATGACTCTCTTATCGTTTATCTGATCCGGCCGCGTATCTTTATAGTTCAAGAACAACCGTGTACGTCGAATATTGCGTTAGACGGTATGTATATATTTTCTACTTAATTTCCACATATTTTATTAGTAACATATGATCTTTGTTATTGTATTCTTATACAATTAAATACATGTTACGTTAGGTTAAGGGATACTTTTTCAGCATGAAAATTTATTGTTTATCACGAGCTATACTACCTTTTTTCATATTTTTTTCAATAGTTTCTCTTATTGTCATTCAATTTCTATTTCACTTTCTTCTTTTATATTATAAATAGAATGTTTTGTGATGTCATGCATTTATAAATGGTAAATACCTTGGATTGTCAGTTAGATTTAAGATCCTTGAGCCTTGAAAATTAGAAACAATATTTCTTATGTTGTATATAAGAAATTTAGACTGATAAAACTTAGATAATTTACAATAGATTAAAGGCAGCTTATTCTAGCGTGGATAAAACAGCAAGTATTAGGCAATAAGCAACATGATTCATTCAGTGGACATAAGATAATGTAACTTTATAGTCCCAGGTAAAAACTTCTGCAAATCAGTAGTTGTATAATGACCCATGAATATACCTGTCAGTTTGTGTGTAGGCTCTGAGTACAATGGATATTGGAGTTGTCAAGATTGCTGAAGACAAAGATTTTGAAAAGTTGAAACGACTTTACGATGACAACAATGATTGGAGGCTGGACTACAATAAGCCTGATATATCTGTTTGGACCAAATCTGTTCCAGGAATTAGTTTTCGTATGGTGAAAGTAAGTGAATTAAAAAAACTTTTGCTGTGTTTGTTGTTGCTAAGCAGATAACATGCTTACGGTGATAATTGAAAGAGATAATGTTCAAGACCTTTGACAACATATGTTTTAAATGCATGACCTCGTATTTATTTAAAAAATCATATCCATTGTGTATTTTTACTTGAAATCTTGTGCTTCGTCGTAAGTCGATGGATGCTCATTGTAGATAAGAACAAGATTTCCTGATGTCATGCCTGAGACCTTGTACGACGTTCTGCACGATCCAGAATATAGAAAAGTCTGGGATACGCATATGATTGAGTCGAAAGATATAGGCTTTTTTAATCCTAATAATGATATTGGTTACTACTCCAGTAAGTATTTTTAGAATTATCTTTCGACTCTGTTTCCACTGCTTTTGCATATCTAAGTACATTATATATTTACATAATTTAGTGGCTTGTCCATCACCATTGAAAAATCGAGATTTTGTACTGCAGCGGTCATGGCTCGATACAGGATTGGAGCAGCTTATTTTAAATCACTCCGTTTTCCATAAAGATTACCCACCCAGGAAACATTATGTAAGAGCAACGTCATATCTCACAGGTAGGTACATCCTCGCTAGAGATTGCTTTATCGCAAAGTTACTGGATATTTGTAAAAACAAAAATGTTTTCTATAAAGCCTCACTAACCTTTTACATTAATATTTCTTAGGATATATCGTACGACCTTCTTTAAATGGGGATGGTTCAGAATTGGGGTATGTTTCGCATACAGATCCTCATGGAAAATTACCTGTATGGCTGGTTAACAAAGTTACGCAGATATTTGCACCAAAGGTAAGAAAGATTTATATAAAATAATATGTATTGATCTATTTTATAGTTAACTCTTACATTACATATTCTGGATTCCATCTTTCGACTAATAATTTGTATTATTTAAATATACAGTTAGTAAAAAAATTGCATAAAGCATCAGTAGGTTATCCAAGTTGGAAATTACAAAATAATCCAAATCTTAAACCCTGGCATTATCCTGAGCAAATAACAGCACCTCGAATACAAATCGAAGATGTAAGTAGTTAATGGCGCTATTACCATTAAAAACAAAAATCCATTTTGGTTCAAATAATTTCAGTGTGTAAAGTCATTGGAAGAAAAGAACTTGAAAAATAATTACGTCGACGAATCCGAATTAAGGGAGGCACCGAGTAAAGAAGTTTCCATAATGGACAGTGATTAGCATTTATAAATAATTATACAAGTAAGCCTTCTCGTAAATAAGTGTTAGTACCGTTGAATCTAGTCCATTCGGTACAGTATTATAGTTCATAAAATAATGTGATCAATTTGGTTGACACCATCATAAGGAGTTCTCATATAGTCCTATTTGCGACTAGTTACAGTCGATAAAATATCAACATGTGACACACGTCGAGGCCTGCTTTGCATTAGAAGCTAATTTAGATGTTTTTGTGAAATCGTCGTTACACGGAGGATGGAAAATTTGCATAGATTCTTCGTGCTTCAGACATCCCTTAAAAAAACGTGACGCACAATATAAAAGGTATATTAAATTTTCCAAGAATCTCTGGGTACTATATCCATTAAAGTAATATACTTACATAAGAGGAAGAAGAAGAGAACACACAAAAATTGAGATTTTAGACCGTATTCAGAACTCGCTCTTAAAGTCACTAACAGCGTCGCTTTTAGTTAAAAGTCACTATGAAAAAATTTAAGAGCGCGTTATTTGCACTAAAAGCGAGTTCTGAATACGGGCTATGGTGTCTACAAATTTCGTAAAGCAACAACAGAATTTTATTCGAGCAGAATATATGTCTTCGTATATATATACTGATGTACCAATTATATTGTGCGTTTTCGAATCTTATTGCTCATCATGATTAGTAATGATAAGAGCCAAAAGAGGTTCACGGCTTAATGCCGATAGCTAAACACTTATGTCAAAGATCAGGGAATTTTGAAATTCGTATTACGAATATACCAGCGACATATAGATATCGAACCCCCTACATGATAAAGCTAAAGGAATAAAAAACAGTTCTGTACAAAGTATTTATAATCGAATATTCTATTTAACGGAATGGATATTGCTTTCAATCTTAAAGTTTTGAAACTTGGACATGTTTAAAGGAAATGAAGAGTATAGTGTATAACAGTCGAAATATATTGATTCACTGTGCGATCAAAGCATCATGCATGTTTCTAATTCTGTTTCATTTTGATGTTCTTTAAAATACGTAAATATAGCAGCAATGTACAGGTGCTAAAAATTTACATAGTTTTAATAAATATCTCAGACTTTTCATTTCAGTTTCACGCGGTTTACTGTACTTCGATTAAGCAGGGTCAATTTCTATATTTACCCGGTAAACATTGGAACACTTGGAAAAACTGTGGATCGTTCTGAAAATTTTGGAGAATTTTTTAAGTAGACAATGTTTTCCAAACATTCCATGTTTAACGGGTATTTTTCTCAGATCAAGCGCGTTTCTTAGATCTCACTGTTCTGCGTGCAAATTATTATACCTGTATCTTGCATCCTGGACATTCACTACTTTAAAATGCATCTCTATTTTGTAATCATAATTATGTACTAGTTTTCTGTACTTTTCTACTGCGAATACGCAGGCCTACTTTGACTGATACAACAGTATATCGCTTTTTCAATTCTATCGAAACTTATTATACTTATAAGAAAATAATTATTTCACTATTAAGTGATGATATGATATGATATATTGGTTTAAAAAAACTGTGCACTCGTCATTTATTAATGCACCATAAACACCGTCTTATCTACCAACGTTTCAAATCAACAATTTACACGCCTATTAAATTTTATCTCCATAGCGTGGACGACAAAGAATTATTTCTCAAGGCGTTTCTATATGTCGAGGTGTTAGGTTCGGCGACATAATAATTAAAATCCGAGCGTCAATTTAAAGACAAATAATTAGCTTAACTCCATTTTATTTCATGGCGCTAACCTCGCAGTTTCGCTGTTATATAATATTTAAGCGAGATAAATTGTTTATTTACTTGCAGAAACGAAGTAGAACATATTTCTTCTGTCGAATTGACTCTTCCATAATCGATTCGTATATACCTTATAGTACTTAATAATATGTTTATATAACGACTCATCTCGATCACAATTAAATATTAAGTAACGTATACGTATATCAAACCCCTCTTTCGTGAGATCAATATAATCATTGTTTCTCTACTAATTGAAAAGTACGTATATGTACACAATCTAACAGTACTACTCGACTCGTGAGCCTTATTACTCTTGTATTACTATTTGCTACATTATTTCGCTTCCTATATCGTTTTCTTTCGTGTAATCTATAATGGAATGAAATTCCGTGTTTTTTAAATCATTTAAGATACGTATTGAGAAATTGGGCTGTGGATACAATAAAAACAGTTACTTGCAATATAGTAAAAATCCTTTATTCGGTTTCATATAATTATGATGTACAGTCCTAAAGTCTAAGAGATCCTCTTTAAAATCCTGTAAATAGCTTCGAAAATTGTGTCAAGGCTCATTAGTTGTAACGTATAGAAATTTTCTGTGAATCTTTAACGTCGGATGAAATTTTTGGAAATATTTTGATGCTTAGAAGCAGACGTTTGAGGAGTCACGTTGAATGGTTTAGAGGTTTGCGATGACATTGTATTAGCCAATAATACATATGAACTGCATATTCACACATTGTATATAAATAATTATACATGATACAAATGATTATAAAATTGGTTAAAAACTTTCAAACTTTTCGTTTCGTTATTTCATCTCCTTGATCCCATGCTTGATCGTATGTATTCTGAAAATCGACAGAACATCTTCAAATTATAAATACCATATCCGGAATGAAATTTCCCACAATTTCAATCGATAAAAAATTTTCAAATGTTCCCTGACTACTCTTCAGTCGGCTTTCGATTTAAAAAATTTAACTAATCCCATTTGGCATGAAAATTAAACCGGCAAATTTTATATAAAAATGGACTTTCCAGGGGAAATAGAGTTAGCTGCAATTGAAAGACAGATTTTTAACTCATTACTGCCGTTGCGCAAATAATGAATTATATCCACTTATCATAACCAATTAAAATTTATGCTGGCTTCAACAAAACGGTATCATGGATAATGCAGTATTAACTACAGGAAGTGAGAATTTACTGACGAAAACTAGAAAATCTGTCAGTCTTGCGGACAACGTCGTGATTTTAAATAATTCTGCCAGAGCTTCGAGGAGTTCTGAAAAGTCTGAGCAAAGCGTGACAGATAACGGACCATCGAGTTCAAATACTTCATCGAAGAAAGAATTGCGTAATGCTGGCTCAAAAAGAAAAGTACGCCGCGTGACCAAGTCGGTACACTCAATTCCAAGCAAAAATAATAATAGAGTAATAAAATCGACTCATCGTACTTCCAGACCTTCGACAAGAAACGTTTCTGTTTCAACTTTGCTTGAAACGAAAGATCGTTCCACTTACGTGGATACATTAATTATCACAAATCAGAATGATTCACGAGTTTTAGCATCAGCATCAAGTATTTCCACCTTGGAGAAAAATATTTGGAGCGCATCGTCGCAGGAAGAAAAAGATAGTTTTAGTACACAATCGAAAGAAAGATCCGATAAAAAAATCACATGCGATGGGGTAACGGATTATTCAAATGAAAGGAGACCTAGTAATTTATCATTTATCCAAAATGTTTTTAAGAAACTCAAAGATAAGAATAGTCAAACCCAAAATGCACAGAATAAGAAAAATTTAAATAAGAAGAATGTATCGAATTTTAAAAAGAGAATTTTACGATTACTTAAATCGACTGGAAGATCAAGGACACACAACCAGGCGAGTTCGATCATTTTTGATGAACTAAACAAGGATTCGGAGGGTATCAAAACGAGAACAGAAGATAGTAATGTTCCGATTAAAACTCTATATACAAATGAAAAACCAGTCAAAGAAGCAGAACTGTTAATGTACCCTTTATTGAACGAAGTAGAGAAGAGAGATATATGCGAGACAAAAAGCACTCTGTTTGTGGACAATGAACAAAATTTGTCCAATTCGTACAAGAACGATGCGTTTGAATGTATTATGAGAAAGGAACGAACCTGGTTGGCGGAAACATCAGTTGCTGATAAGGATCAATCCAATAAGAAGAATAAAACGGTTTCTTGTATACCTTTGCTTAAAAATCCTTTAGATTTTCTCGAAAAGCGTAAGAAAGGTTATGAGAAAGTTTCTAGTGAAACACGTTCCAGTAACGAAGAATTAGTTGGTGTTAAATCAAATTCTGTTGAGAATAATCAAATCGCATCACAGAAGAGCAGTTTAGGATCCGATTTTAAAAAAGTTAGTACTGCATCGAAGAAGGGCTCAGAAATAACTGATAATGCTAAAATATCTGGGAAAAATTATGCTTCAAAGGATCACGATGTATTGATGTCATCTTTTCCGGTGCAAGAAATTAATAGTGATAAAAGATCATTAAATAATCGTCGAAATATCACGGAAACTGCGGGAACAGAGATTCGAAAGGTGGAACCATCGACGTCTCAAAATAATATAAAAACGTTAACGAAACATTCGACAATAGATATTTTAAATGATACCATGAAATTAAATTCAGAACAATATTACGGATGTAATATTGGATTGATTATATCTGATCCAATGATAAATGATATGAGACAAACTAAGTCTTTATCAAATATCTGTTCAAAGACAACTTTAGATTTGAAGGATGTAAAAGTCCAATCTAATCCTCGTAGTAACGTGAGTCAAAATGAAATTTCAGTAATTAACGAAGGAATTGACAATAATTCGAAATATCAAAAATCGGGCAAAATATTCGAAACCAAAATTCTGGGAAAATTATTCGCAACGCCTGATCCAAAATCAGGCAAAAAATCTAAAAATAAATTTATCTCTGGATTACATCCTCGATCACCAAGATTAGACGATATTTCGAACGTAAAAGAAAAGAGTGAAATAATATGCCAGCAACAATTGATCGAAGAAATAATTATTAAACCGTCATCCGAAAACGAAATCAGCAAACAAAATGAAAAATTTCTTCATGAAACAAAGTCTACGATTTCAGATCATTCTAACGAGCGTTTAAAAAAATATCAAAACGACGAAATATATAGAAATGAAAACTTTATTTCCATATTGCCAGAGGAGACTCCGGTGAGGAATTTTGATTTGACTAAAACTGATTCTGCGCCGCTAAATTCCGAAAATTTATCTACGTATACGCTTCCAATAGAAAACCCAGTTTCAAAATATATTGAAATCCAAGAAAATCTTCGATCAAATGATTTAAGTACGTTAAGTGGGCCTGAGAAATTAAAAAATGCTAGTACCAATAGATCTAAAAATTCTCTGAAGGCTCTGATATTACGACATTCAAAATCCTCTAAGAAATCTTCGGATAATAATGTGCACGATAAAAGGACAAAAGAGAAAAAATTAGAAATTGCTACTGAACAGGTTTCCCATATCGCATTTAAGGACACAACAAAATTGCCGGAATTCATGACGCGGAAGAAAAGAGAATGGATTCAAAATTCAACAGAGATTTTACAGAATAATAAACCTTCAATATCAACAAAAGATTCAGTACAAACATTCAAGAAAACCTCATCTCTACTTTCGCGAATATTTCACTCAAATCGTAGGACTGTCAAAAAAATATATAATAATTGCTCTAATTCTCATTATCCTACACCAAGCGCAGCAGACACTACTATGGCATCTAATATTGTCACTCTTGGAGAGGATATAACTCGTAAGAGTTCTAACATTAATCACGTAACTGTCAATGATGCAGCAAGTACCTCAAAAGTTTTCTTCGACAAGAATTCAGTGATGCAACAACTAGGAAGGCATTCAAAGTCAGCAGATTTGAAAAATGTGAATCAGGTACATCAATTATACAAAATATTAATCTCGATTCTAGTATGCATACTTATAAATGATTCCAATAGGATGGATATGTGGAAAAATCTACAGCATCAATGTTCAAAAGACGTTCTTCATTAATTATGACAGTAGTATCCAGTGGAAAAACTACCAGCCCCGTAACAGCAGATAGTAGCGAGCAGTAAGTGCAAATTATATGACTATGTATAGAATTACTATAACACAATCCTAAATTGTAAACTATAATCACAGTGATTAAACATTTTCAGTAACACTTACTGAATCACTATTCATAAATATATTCTCGTTTGATGCAGATGCTATTATTTTTATTACTTCCTGGGACCGCCATTGGATGTGGCGCTAGTGGACATCGTAACGGTGTTAAAGCAACTCATCGACAAAATATCAAGTTGTCAAACACATAGGCCTAGATAGAATATATATTTTTTAAGAAAACAAAAATTAGAATAAAATCCACACAACGCTATTTACTTCTAACATCTTCCTTCCTGTTATCTAGGCATTATCACCAGATATGAATCATTTACATTTTATTATTTGATGGTATGGCTTTCAAGTGGCTGAGCTATACAATAAAATTTGATTATATTAATTCTTATCTGTAGTACCACAGTGATAATAAGACTAACCAATTTGAAAGCGTGTATTTGTTTTACATATTACAAGAGGATGTTAATAGTAAGGATAAACATATGGCTGCGTTGAGAAATAGCGTCGCTTAATACTACATTTAGTATATCCATGCAGTTGTACGTGAGGAGTTTACATGTTCATTCATTTGTCATTCTATGACATTTTCTGGCTAAATAATGACTAGTCTCTTTTCCTCGACGTTTTGGTAAGCTCCTGCAATCAATGTGTCCTTGTCGTCTATCACTCTTGGCGCCTTAAGTCTCTATTAAAAGTACTCATCTTTATCTTAATGACAACCATCATTTTTATCAACAGTTACGAATCATTAAGTGTATGATATACTGATGTCTTTCCATATCCTGTATGTTTGACGGTTCTTCGAGTGGGTTTGATGAGTGCCATAATTTACATTATAATATATATATATGCATAGAAAAGCAAATATTAGTAGTACTGTACGATTTTAAGACTAACTTTTAAATGCAAAGATAAATCAGTGTTACATGGTATCCTGAGACAAGTGAGTTCAAAAGTGTCCAGTTTTGTTAGAAAATTTCCATGTCTCATTGAAATCTCATGCGTCGCTAATTATATTCTAGAACGAGTCATACGATAACACGAGGCGTGTATAATCTAGATATTAGAAGGCACTAGGGTTGCTTTTCTAAGTTAGAAAATATTAACATACGAGCATCAGTTATCTAATCCTAGTAGTTTAATACATTAAAATTTTCCAAGAGAATTTCCTCGATTGAAAATTGTTAAATTGTGAAATGAGCGTCAATAAAAAGTAGTTTGAACAAAATTTAATTTTTATATATAAAATTCAGCTTTACGTGTATCAATACTTTTTTGAATCCCTCGAGAAATAGAAATATATCATGAGGGTGATAAGGAATATTGATTAAGGAATCTTGTTACGTCTACAGGGTAACTTTCGAATTGAGAAAGCGTAAAGGAAACAAAATTTTATTAGCGCACTATAAATCTGAATTACCGAAAAAAACGAGGAAGTCAGTCGTATAGGTGTGCCAGTGTGCACGCTCGTCATTCTACGTCACTCTGTGTTCATACGGATATTTATGTGAAAGACTAGTAGGTGCATTTGATACTTTGATTTGGATGTAGAGCTTCGCGCAAGCGTTTGCTCCGAGTCTGTCCACCACCTGTATGATTCAGTGCGAAATGCGAATCAGCTTAGGAAAGTAAAACAGGAGAATATTCTTGTGCAGACATCATCAATGAGATATAGAAAATAAAATATTAATAAATAATAAATATTTTCCTTAGTTATTATGAAGCTGTGCAGTGTTAAATCTAACTTAGAGAATCATTGTACACCGAAAATAATAAAGAGTCTTGGTGCATCTTTGAAGAAGGATTAAAACTTTATAGAAATTAACATGCATTCCGAAGAAGAGGATATCGAATTAGAAAGGTTCAACAATGAAAATCTTGGTTCGACGATAAACCAAGATTCCGCAGAGAATTCTAAAAATCATAGCTGTGATCATGAAATATTCCTATCAAGAAAACTGACTCGTTGTCGATCTTATATGGAGTTATCAAAATCATTGGAGATTCCCAGAAACGGAAGTAGTAACAAAATTCAAATTGGAATCGCTACAGTGTCTGTGATAAATTTGGAAATCAAGGAAAACCCCAGTGAAAGGTCCTCGGACGAATGTTTTCTCGATGAGGAAACGGCCAAAAATTTTGTTCGTATTTTGGGAAACCGAGTGCAGAACAATAATAAGGAACCAGACAATAAAATAAAGGATTTAAATGGAATAGTAAAGGCCATTGTCGCAAACAGTGAGAATACCCAGGTAAGGAAAAAGAATTTCCCCAAAACACCCATATACTTAAATCTAACAACATTTTTTGAACTTTAGAAGAAAGAAATTCACTCTACACTGGAACGCGACACATTGTTAATTTCCAAAAAGGATGATGGTCGCAAGGTAACATCGAAAAGGAAATCAAAAAAAAAGCATGCCCTATCACTCATAGACACTTTGATATCCGTCGTGATAGTTGGGCCCTTCGTTATCGGGCATTGGAGAGGAATCTGGACCCTCATGGATTGTTACAGTGAAATGTGAGTCATTTAAATTATACATGACCTTGAATATGGAAATATATTTCCTAGTACGTAATCGAACATGCATCCACAAACTACTATTTATTCCACCTTCGTTACTCAGTCGATATTTTCATGGGGATGAGGAAGCGAGTGGCTGGCTGACAATGATTTGTATCGTTCCTTTCACATGTTTGATAGTCAAACGATGATTTATAAGCTCTTCGAATAATTACATCATTCGAGATATCATTAATGTATTGTAGATTGAACAATGATCTTTCCATGATATTTTAACAAAGGCACTAGGTACTCCTATCCATAAGTGGATTAACCTAATGAATAAAGTAGATATACATATGACGTATATATGTATAATAAAATTTCGTATATTCTCTCTTTGTACAATAAATAAATAATTATTAATTATTTTACAAGTTTCCATGCGAAAGATTAGCTACGAGTGGAACGAAACTTTCCACGCAGTCGTTTGCTCGATTGCGAATAATTTCCATCGTGCAGCAATCAATTAGTTAATTGGAGCGAATTCGAAATTAGAATTCCCTTGTGTCGTCCTTAATTCGACACTCTTGTGCTCCCTGTAAACACGCATGAATTACGAGAGCCACCCTCTATCGCATGCTAAATATATTATACGGAAACGCGCGATTCTATTTTTTCATTACAGGTTCCCAGGTGTACTTTGCTTTGTTATTGGTACCGCTCTTCATGTGCTTTACGCCATTTTAAAGTTCCATCTTCACGGTGTCTTCGCTAAGAACATTCAAAAGGGCGGTATAACTGCTCGACTTGGAGCCAGGATCATCAGGATGTTCTATATATACATTTTTAGTGTTACTTGCAATACACAGTGGCGAGGAGGTTGGATTGTCTTTAATGATTACCTTGGTTCTCATGTTTGGTAAGAATAATTATGGATTTTTTGTATCGATGATCCTATAGATGATCCTTTGACTCTATATTTATTCAAGGTTGCATTTTTATTTTTTTAATACAGGATCGTCGTCTCCTTTACCTCTACTTTTTTAATTGCCCTGATTGTACTCCGATGCGTTAGGAATCTTCTTGCACCACCATTCATAGTCGTGATCGATAAACCGAACTATGTATTTCGATTTCCAACCAGATATAACAGAGTAAGTATTCCATTGATCAAAACTATTTTCATTGAACCGAAGAGCAATGCATTCTTCGATTGAATGAAATAAGGAAAAATATTGATTATCTATTATCACAACAGACAGTGGCAAATTAAATCTATGAGGAGGAAGAAGAGTAATGGGAATTTATGATTGAATAACAAATTTTTGTATAATACCCTGGCACGTTCATCAGCTGATATTTGGTTAAGCAATAATTACTTGATAACGCGAGGTCTTTTTGTACGTAATAGTAGGATACGTAGGGATACGATTTGACGAGCCAAGGTGAGAAGATTGTTGAAACCGAAGCTTGATTGGGATACAAAAAGGTGATGATTAGCGTCGGCTTTACCTTAACAAAGGCTTGGAAATTACTGGCAGGAAGTGCCACTCAGAAAAATCAGATCTCAAGGTGGCGAATCTTCAGTTCAGTTACTTTAGGGTAGTTCGTTCCAGTCATTAGTACTTCGAAAGCATGATCTGGTTTCAAGGATATTTCATCCAAATAGAGCAATCATTATTACCCTTTATACAGTTTCAAACATCCCAATTGACAATCTCGAAAAAATCTATAGAATCAATACAATCAAGTTTTGACATTTCCACGGTATTTCTGTATTTACTTAATTCTCAACAATTAAATTGGATTCGTTATCTGATAAGAAATATTGAAATTATCGATTCATATTCAAATATACAGTAAAACGGGTTTGAGTATGAATGAAACTTGAAGCTGATTTTGTTATTATACAGGAATTTTGAATTTAACTGAAATTTATGAATCTCCAAAAGTGATTCTTTGATTCTTTTTAATAAATGCCTATATCGCGATCCTTAAAGCTCCTCGAGATTGCTGGAGTCTGCGAACCAGCATTACCCTAGGAACTGGCTCTACCTAACAATCTAATCCGTGAGTGTGCAGTATAGTTGGGATGATTATTGCACGTGGGAGGGGGTTGTCAGAGACTGAAGAGGAGTAGAGTAACGAAGGCAGGGGGCTAGGGGACCAGCGGACAGGAGTAGGGCTCTGTCCTGTGCCATTCCGTATGACACGATAATATGATAGTGTTAGTCTCTGCTCAACAGTTGATAAAAGATAGCAGTGACAGAAGAGAGTCAGTATTCACCCGTTGTCCGACCTGCTGGTCCAATCCAAAATACACAGGTCCGGAGAGAAGGAGGAATAAAAAAAATATAATTCGTGCAATATCTAATTTGAATCTCACGTCGATGAAAGCGAATCACGTTGATCGTAAATCGGGAAGTCTGTTGATCTAGTGTTACTTTAAGTTCATCGTCAAACAAAGATAAGGCCTGATTCTACTAGAAACGTCAGCGAAACAGTATTTTATCGTAAGAAAAGGAAGAAAAAAGGTGAAGGATTGGCAAACGATCAAAGATGTGTGAATAGCGTCAATTTCGGAGCCGCCACTCGTATAATTTAAATTGAGTATTCGAAGAAGAGAAGATTGACCATGTTTAAAAAAAAAGATCCAAATGTCGTCCGGAACTCATTCACGTAGCAAGAGCAAACTTTTGTATCCTTTACCGCGAAGGTAAGGCTCTTGTCTTGAATTTTAACAGAAAACCTCAAGAATTCTTTTGCCCTCTTTTTCATTGGGAAAACGTTAAAAATTGCATCCAATCGTTAATATCTTTACATTACGAAAGATGCCTTTGTGATATTAAACTAAGAAGACTCTGGGCGGCAGGACCCGAGAAGAAAAAAAATGAAGGATGACCTTTGACCACGTCTTAAAAAAAGCTTCTGGATCTAGTCAATATATATTTTCTGATAATCAAGAGATAGAAAGCGGAAATCCATCTCGATCGGAATAAAGAAGCGTCGGTATTTTATCACACGTGAACAATGCATAATGAGCAGTGCAACTAGTACAACCGAAGGCAGGAGAATGGTCGAACTACGCGCAGGTGCCGGAATGGCTGGAGCTCTGGACAGACCATCTTCAAGTCGTTTTCACTATACGATTTTGACAATTCTTGATACCATATTTTCGGCGAGCGTCGTGGCGCCCGCCGTCGTGGGCTACTGGCGTAGTACCTGGGGACTTAGCGATGTCTATATCTATCCGGATGATCCTGTCTTAAGCAACATAGCCTCCATTGTTATTGGATTCTCAGGACTCTTCGTGTTCAACGTTATTCAGCATCAACTCAATGAATTACTTCATCCCGACAAGCACAGATTATTGTACTATCTTGGATCCAGGATTTATACTGCCGTTTTTGGATTCTGTTGCGTTAACGCGTTTAGAGGACCTTGGCAGGCTCTTGATCTTTATACGGAATTAACGCCGACTACCGTCTTTGCCACTACGGGCGTTAGTCTTCTAGCGCTTGCCATTATGAGAGCCATTAGAAATATTTCGGCACCACCGTTTTCCCTCAGTCTTGACTCTTGTCCTGGCTATTTCGAAGTACCCACCATGTTTCGAGTAAACGTAAGTAAACGTTTGACACTTTTTTCTGCTTCCTTTACTGGTGTATAGACGACTGGATAAATCTTTCAATCTATTCATTATAAATTAGCGAATATTATTCTCTGAACACACGAGCCCTCGAAATTCCAATTCTTTGGCACGTTTCTTATATTACTTTCATACGAAAAACGTAAAGAACTTGATTTTTCCTTCTTATATAACATGCTTGATTGCATCTTCATATTTTTATGCATCTCCATTATTTTTATAACCGAACAGTATAAATTTCTTATAAATATTTACGAATCGCACTGCATCTGCTTAAATCTATAAATTATCCTGCATATCAATGGTCCTTGACGGGTTTCCCTGTGGAGGAAAATCATTGAAAGGCCAAAGATCCTAGATAAAAAGATATATCGATAAAAACTGTTTTCGCACATCGTTCAGCTCTCGGTATTGCATATCATCTATATATACGCGCAGTTTCCGGCTATCTCCCCCGATCGTCGACCACTATAGCATCTATAGCATCGTATCCATAGTGACACGCGATCAGGTTTATGCGAACTAAACATTAGGCCAAAGCTTTCTTTCGTTCTACTTTATCAAATCGATTGAAATAATTGGCATCATTTAAAAATGCATCCGAGCATCATTCGTTCTTTACATACATTCTTATCGATAAATTTTATGTTTGCACAAATTTATCAAGAAATTTATTACCACGTTAAATTTATTTTTAATCGTGTTACTCAATTGTAACGTGCAAGATGAAACCACAAAATTTTCTTCGCCACTTATCAATTAACAATCGGTCGTTCGATAATAAGTTCACGACCGATAAAGCGAAGCTGGATTAAAAAGTAATAGTAGATAGTGACCTTCTTTCTATCATACAATCAAGCTGAGTTAAATCAGCTTGACTCCGCGAGGACGAATGTTTACGTGCGTCTACGTTTCTCCGACGTCTGGACGACGCCATGCGTGCAAACACGTGCTTTCGCGGATTCTTCCCAATGACGAGATGAATCTTCCGAAATTAGCGCGACAATTTTTTCTCACTCCTTTAACAATGCCAATAACATTTTTCAAAGCCATAAATTTTACCAAGACTCGAGAAACTCTTTAATCTACTTAAAAAAGAATCGGGAGATATATTTTTAAAATACTGGGAAAAAAAATAATAAATTTTTCATTGTGAAGGCACCTTTCTCTTTTATACAAAGAGAGATTTTCAAAGGCACCAGGCGTAGCATAGATTATCTCTTTGGATTAAATACCGAGTAAACTTTATGTGTAATTCTGTCGACCTACGTAGTATATATGTATGTACTGTATATATTTTCATTAACACATCAAGCCAAAGAAGATAACTTGAGTTATAAACGTAATCCAACAGTACCAAATGTCCTCGGTGTTGTCTTTGACATTTAATTGTTAGTACTTTTGAAATATTTGACAAAGCTTAAAAAATAATAGTTCATAGAACATAAGAAATTACACATTTAATTCACTTCTGAATAAATTTCATCTTTTATTTTCACTGTGGCAAGAGAGTTATACTAAGATCGGTGATAAAACTTTACGACCAAGAAGACACCCGATAACAAAACGTTAAACATATACATATATATATATATATATATATATACAACTGTCTACAGATGTATATAATACTAGATATAACTCAGTTGCACATAAATCATAGAGAATATCATGGTAAATGAATTTGTATTTTTTCATGATACACCCTTATTTACGGATTTGCTATGTTATTCATAGATACACAAAAGAATCCCTCTAATCTCATTAAAACGTGTAACCAATGTGTTAGAAGTTTTGACTAAGTAAAGGTCTAGGTACTTGGTTAACTTCGAAGCATAATGAACTATCGAAAGGAACTGTTGTGTCGCAAAGAAAAAAGTAATCACAAAACTTCGAACAAACGCCAGAAATAGAAACGTCGATTGAAAACATTTATAAATCAATTGTGACTTTTAATATCATCAGCCCATACATTATATAATCAAAAGTTTTATAAATTCTTGTATATTTATTACTAACCGACAATCATCATCAAATATAATATCAGATAAAATAATTGATAATAGATTCTCAATGAAGCATAAGTTCTTTATCAGAACAATATGAACCCGATTATTACTCTAATAATAATTTTGGTGTTACAGAATACAAGAGACTGGTCGCTGTACATATTGGATTGTGCCTTTAGCGTCGGTGTTGTTGGCACCCTTGTAGTATTTGTCTGGAGAGGATTCTGGGTTCTTTTCGATATTTATCTGTTTCCGCAGAATCGTGAATATTCGGCTCTAGGCTCTGTAGTGAGTACTTGTTAAATATTTACGGAACTAACAATAATTATCCATTAATTGATTAAACTGTTCAGCCATGATGGATTCTGTTGTACTACTGCTTTGCCGTCTGACTCAATACAGACTGCCTCTACTTGTGCTACTTCCAACTCTTTTCGCTCTTCGATTATCAATGACCCATCGATGAACCTTTTTGTCAATCGATACGTTTCTGTGACATTATTTCCTGTCCACTCGACGTATACGTAGAATAAATTGAATCAAAGCGATTAGATTGACTAAACCGTCAAAGTAGGCTTAACCTAACATATAATGTCGCATAAGATTTCGCATGTCGGTGCTACGCCACTGGTTCGATTATATAATTGAATATTCGCCAATTGCATGATTGTCGAGGCGCATGGCTGACTGGTCTATGTGTATGTCACTTTAATAGAGCTTGTTTATCACACCACGTACAATGATACCAATAAAATAATTCGCTCAATTCGTAAATAGATGATACTTAGGTGTCTGTATATGTACAGAGGCTACTTACGAGTCCTGAACCTTCGACCTGCTAAGATACTGATTTCTTAAAGGGTCAATTGATAAATCTTTGTCTGAACCTGACTTAGGTACTAACCATTTATTGATGTCAATCCCTGATATGATTGATGGCTCGCGAACTCTTGCTTCGCATGATGATATTACTGCTAAGCAAATGTGATGAATGGCAAACCAGAAAAAGGAAGAGCATACGGACCCGTACTTCCTGTACTTGACATTGAACCAATGTACACGCTCTAAAGAAACTTAAGTAACCTTAAGTAACTCCTACTATTCTAGATACTGCACGTGACAGGACTAAACGTCACGATACACAGAACTAAACCATCCCACGTGTCAGTAGTTCTTTTGTCAATTCACTCCACATTCGTCATGTCGAAAGGCAGGAAGAAATATTTCTGGCATTAAATTCCGTAACTGCTCGAGTCAAATTGGAGAGCCTTAATCGTAACAGTGACAAAGTATTGTGAGTTAGGTTACTTTGACGAATGGAAAACTATATCAATTGTAAATTTAGGTGCACTGTCTTCTACTGACATTAAAATAATGGCGGCAAAAGCAAAACTGAAATCATTGGTACGATTCACGTAGAAGACATGGCAAATTTGTACAATGACTTGGCTTACCAGGAGCAACAGCAGAACGGACAGTTTAGCAAGAAACGATTAAATAATAGAGGCTGGCGTTAAGTAGGTTAATTCACCGGGATTCTCGTACCTTTTGCATTCGTCTTATCTAACTAGGACGTTAACGAACGGCATGAAAGGATTGAACTTGATCCCGTGTATTTGAACAGATGTTATAGTCTGTTCAAACGGTCCTGTGTGTTTGTCCTGTTTGAAATGTATTATAAAAAAATTCCAATTATAATTCTAATTACATTCGAGATGTTCGACAATGAATATCGATGCTGCTAAACTTATTGATATTTCAGGTAATAGGTTACATCATAGTTACAATAACATTTGTATTGCAACCGCTGATGCGTTACGTCTGCGCTCGTCTGAAAGGTCTCGCACGTCTCGCAGCAACAGATGCCTTCCTTCTCCTGAGCTTCCTGGGAACCGTGAATGTCTGGCGAGGTATCTGGAACGTTCTCGATCTCTGGTTACTTCCCGAACAGCCTGAATTATCCTGTTGGATTACCCATGTCTTCTGTTTCGTCTTCCTGGTCTTGTTGAACTGCAGCAATTCGGTCCTTGTTCGCGGAGTCTACATCGACGCTGAAGAAGAGGATGGAAAATGTGTAGTTTTTCCGTGTCACTACTTACGGCTCTTTTTCAAGGTAATATTCTAAAATGTCCGTCGGAGAAACGAAGCTTGTTCGAAGTAATTTGAAAGATCAATATTCAGCGCTTTTCTATTCCACCTTACAGATCGAGCGCGAAAAAAAGGAGGCAAGACGGCGAAACCTTATAGCAGCTTCGAGAGACTTTTCCTCGCGTAACGAAGCGAGAGGAAAGGAAGCTGAAAATGGAGCGCTCTTGAACAGTGCTGTATCGACGATTATCACCGGAAATCCAGAATCCCTCGTGTAAGAGGAAAGAGCCACTGAAACACCTAAAATGGAAGAAATAGCAGATTATAAAAACTGTGCGGTAAAAATTCCTTGGAACAGTGAATATTTAATTACATTTTACAAACCGTCAGCTTATAAGTCAAAATCAACGTAACGATCACTTGGCGTAATACATTGAGGAACATTCAAAAACCGGAAGCATCGACGTCATCGAAAAGTCAAGCCGATCAGACGTAAATCGTTCGAAACTATTAAAACGATATATTTCGTTCTCGCGATGACGGCGACCATGTAAATCCTGTACATAAATAATATATAATAATATAACTCATAGTTCGACAAGGTGATGCTAAACAATGCGTGTAAGAAATGAAGCGACGTGTAATGTGCGTGACATTAAAAACACGATGGATAAACAATATAAAACGGTAATAAAGATGAAAGTGACATGTGCTGTAGTCGCGAGTCCAATACTCCTATCGGTATGCCTTTATCGTAATGATACAGTAACGTTGCGAATGGCTGTGAACGAGTATAAAAAGTGCGTATAAATTTCCGTTAAAAATAATTGTTATTAAAGAAGGAAGTAAGAGCAAGGAAAAAAGGCACCGTATGTAAATACCGGAGAACCACGCGAAATCGTACATCTTCTGTTTGAACTATAAAACAACGTTAATATGTATTAATAAATTATAAGTGATAAACGAGAGGGAATGACGGACTGTTGGAAGGGCGTGCATACCCTTGGCAAATACGTACATACCTATATATGAAAGAGATATTAGAAGTACAGTACGATTAAATGCTATTTATATATTTATTCTAATGAATTTCGAAGCCACTGCATGTCTACACGTGCGTACAGATGTATATATATATATATACCATACGTAACGTCGGCTTGTCTAATTACACTCATGTAAATAAATCGCAATTTAATGTTCTAAATGTCAATGACAGCTTTCCGGTAATTCCTAAATAAGTCAATGATAAATTATTAATTTAATTTCATGCTAATCATCCTGTATGTGCCGCCCCGTCATGAGGAATAGTAGGTGCACAATAAATAGTGAAATAACAAAAATTCAATAGAAATGCAAGTAACGTAGAATAAAAAAGTATTAGAGTTACTGAAGAACACCAATTTTATGTTGTTACGTAGCAGCCACGTAAATGTTACATAAGTGTAGAAAACATATTTGCTGGATAATTATTCAATGGTAACCATGACGAGAATCAACGACGAATATGAAATCGAATTGATTCGTACAAGTTCAAAGTCTTCGGTATCTTAATTAATCTGGTACAATGGGAAGTGTATAGGGACTTGTATGAAAAAACAAAAGGACCTTGGACAACAATGGTAATAGGTTATACACGATAAACGGATCATTATGAATTGGCCTAACCTTCTCCCCGGCATCCTGTACACCCTGCAGTCTCTGCTCTTATACAGCAATTACGACGTCACGGCGTACTAATAATTAATGAACTAGAATAATGACGGGACAATGGCGGTACGCACGATGGGAAGTGCTTAGTTCTGCGACCATCGGCTGCCCTCCTGGCCTATATTTAATATTTATACAATAGCCAACGCCGGTACAATTGATAGGGAAGGTTGGCGGAGGTCGAGGGTTTCGAAATTTCTTATACGGTCAATTAGTTATGTGCATACCTCGATGGACAATTAGACTCTTGGGACGTAGGGGTGTTCAAGGAGGGACACGAGGTAGGGGCCTCGTCGAATACATTATTTGGATGCATCACAAAAGCTGCGTAGACAATTCGATAGATGGAGCAAGGAATAGTTTAGAAAAAGAAAAAAGCCACAGAGGTCGTTACCGTTGTGTGAAATTGAATTATAAGATTTTATCATCCTAAAGTTTTATTTAGATCTTTAACGCAAACGCGTCGCGGTGCTTTTTTACGCGAACTGCTATACGCTTTACGTAACGGTACTTGGCAATTTAAAGCTAGTATACTCGTTTTTTCTTGTTTAACGCAAAATACCCTGGCGGCTAACGAGGACTCGGCGGGTTGCGTAATAAACTGTCAACGTCGCGACGACCGCTCGTGACCACGGAGAAAAGTTAACGAGCCTGTTTATTTATTGGCGTAGAAATAAAGCGTTCTTTTTAGGACAGTGGTCACTTTTTTACACGACGATGGATTTAGGTTTTTTAATGCCAAAAAAACTATAATGATATATGAGCCTGTGAAGTGTCAAGGTACTCGATGAAATTTTATGAGAACTTACGGAGATAACGGAGTCGTGATATTATTCGATATTTTAAGGATGATTTAGTTTATTTTATCATAGAAAAAAAGTCATATACCATTTTTCACGAATAAAAATGTCGAGCCGTATAATTAATTCTCCCGTATGGCAAATACGGAAATTGTCATTGAAAACTATAATATATCATGATGCCCGTGAATCGATATACTGTGGAAGTAAAGAAATTGCTAATGACTTGTTGAAAGAGAGTAACAATTTTAATGGAGCAAATAATTTCTTTACAAAAGATCATGACTATACCAAAGGGCTTGTTAATTTTTGTATTTCGCGACTAACGAGTCTGCGGGATGAAATATTTGAACAACGTCGATCGATTGCCAATCAATCGCCAATGGGCGGTTTGTCTAATGAGGAAAGAGTGGGGAGTCTATTTGAGGCGTCGCGACGCCACGAGTGCAATAAGAGTCAGTTCGTAAGTCGTATCAAGAAGAGGTGAGGAAGTGCCACTGATCGTAGTAAAAAGAAAAACAACTAAGAGCGTAGATTGGCAAACAGTATAATAAAATAAGCCAGTCGGTCAAGTGCTAGGGTTTCGTTAGTTTGTCGAGAGTTTCGCCCACTCGGAGGTGAAAGGGCTTGTTAGATAATAAAAGTAACAAGAGGAAACCTTGACAATCGTCGAAAGAATGGGAGCCGATGACCTTCTTGCTGACGAGCCATTGGTATCCGTCGAGTTCGAGGTGTTCGGAAAGGTGCAGGGTGAGTTCTGTAAGGTTAAGTGTCTCGAGTATATCTGAGGCGTGTATTAATCTGTGAATTAAAAAATCTACATACTCAGAGACAGTATAATCGGTTTTCTAGGTGTGTATTTCACTAAATATGTGAGAGATATCTGCCTGCAATTGGGAATAAGCGGCTGGGTGAAGAATAGTAAAAGAGGAACAATCCTTGGAAAGATGCAAGGACCACGTGCCCTGGTTGATCAAATGTAAGTGAATCTTTACTAATGAATGGTTAACAAGTGAGAGAATGATAAAAATGAAAATTAATGAGAAGAACCTGATTACCTATTCTGCTTTAAAAGGAAGAGACAGATCGTGATGATCGCTTACGCGTGATTCGTATTCGCGGTATGTAACCACGCTTGCGATTACGCGCAGGATCTTGCGATGATTTGAAAATTGGTGAGTGACGTAGTCGACAGGCGCGTATAATGCCTTTTTTGGAAAAGGGCATCACGTATGCAGTCTTTCCAAGTATTTTCTCCCCCTATCTCTCTCTTTCTCTCACACATACACACACCACACACACACATTATTCTCTCTTTTCTCGGATCGTTTGTACTCGTTGACCGTTGCGCGCGTGACCTCAGTGGTAAATTGAGGAGTACCATTAGGTCGAAGACTGGCATTAATAACGATTTAATGGAGTAATGGGGCCTCCGATGCATCACCACCTCCTTCGTCCGCGAGTCATCGCCGAATTACTCGAAAGAGTCTTGCCCCCTTGTATGACAACTTATGGTATAGATATGTTCATATAGATAGAATTGATATCATACAGTTCCAAGAGACACTGTCCTCGTTTAATACCGTCTTTCAAAAGCGTGCAGGAGACGATCGAAGGCCGATGAATGTGAAGAGAATCGAATCGCTGTTGTTATTTCGAGAAGTGAGCCAGACCTACTGATCCATTTTCCGTGTTTGTACATAGTACCTAGTTACGATAGGCAAGATCGAGTGCTTAGTATGTTCCTTAGAAGATTGACAGATGGCGACGTTCAAAAGCGTTTTGAACATTGTCATAAGGTATAATTCTGTCGGATCAATATTGGTCATACAATATAGGTGGATCGTTAGAAGCGGACGAAAAATTAAAAGAGAATAAGGGAATTAAATTCATGGATTTACCTTGAATGTAATCAAATTAGCCTCTTGACGTTCGTGAACCTGTTGAACGTATAGCTTCTCGGTCTAGGCCGAAAGTGACATTTTCTGGCTTAACCCCAAAAGGAAGTCGACTCAAATTAAACCCTGACATTGTTCAAATATTTTCAATGCATTGCATATAGATGTCAAAGATATTGGTGAGTTTGACTGCTGAATTCCTTCTTGTTGCGATGACAATATGTCAGTTAGCTCGGCTCCTCCTTATTCGAGTATTCAACTTTGTCGAAGCTGCACAAAAATACCTGAACGCGGTCTGATTAGATTCTAATAATAATTAAGCAGTATGTGAAGTGGTATGTAAGGTATACGTGCCTATACTAGATATATAAACTGAGGGAGAAGATAGTCGACTGGTATTAGTGAGCAAATGACAACTTCGATAGCCAATTTGGCGACAAAGCAAACATCTCCAATGGCGTAGAATGATGTGAAATGTTGATTGAAACTTATTATGTCATATTATTACAGGGCACAATGGTTGTCCAATGTAGGAAGTCCCGGAAGTGTGATCGACCATTGCGAATTCACAAACTGGGAAAATGTCCAGAGGCCACAATACCAAGGATACACGATTCGCTTCTAAATGAATGGTGTACCACGAATTCGTCTGTTGGACTATCATCTGACAGTTGGCGGGACTCTGTAAGATGACTGGGACGTTAATGAATGAATTATCAAGTGAGCATTCGAAAATCACAATTGCCAAGAAATGTACAAGAGGGGAAGATTACTGAAAGTAATCAAACGACAATGGCGCAATGTTTTTAAATAGCCTGTTACTATATTGTGTGTATGTATAGCCTTGTATGGAAAGGAGAATAATTTATATGTAACGAACGACACAGAATATTTCTACGAAATAAATCAAACAAAGGAAAATATATTCGCGCTGGTAATTATATTTCATGTGAAATCAGCTTTGTAATTCAAATATATCCCCAATTTCTTATGAACGATAACGACAGCTGTTAATACTCATATTCATTTATATTCAGCAGTTTAATTCGTTAACGTGACTACGTAGTTAATTAAATTGTTCCTGATTATCTGATTATGCCAATTCATTAGTCAAACTGCAAGTGCTAAGTCGCTTGGCAATCGTCCCTTCTGATCATTGGTGATATGTACATACAGTTTGTACACCCCAGGGCTAATAATAAATTCCATTAAAATTATTATTAGAGACGAGGAATCGTGACTTCGCAAATTTTACAAATTATCCATGTCAAAATGTTAGCGCGTATTGCGAAAGAAAGTATTTCACATTTCGATTCATCAATTTCTTTTTTTTTCTGTTTTTCGTCCAACGAGGAAATGTCCCAATAATCGGACTGTCACGTAACTTGCGTACAAGTCTAATGATAATGCGTGATATTTTGATATTGCTGGCAAAATTGATATTAAATCGAAAATTGTGACGAAGAACACTTTACACGGTAAATATTTTGTTATCGATCATTGTCTTATTTGTACGGCATATGGAGACAATATTTAAGCTGGATAAGAGTCAATTATCTTACGTAATACAATTGCCCTAGGAATAAAATAAAAGTCGGAACGTCTTTCGTTGAAGTTTCAGAATACGTAACATTGGTTTTACAGTTGCGATTCTGTGTAATGAGAATATTAATTGCAACGATAGTGGCTCTGCCACTTCTCCGAGCTTCCCTTTTCGAAGAGTATAAAAAAGTAAAGGCCGAAAAAAATAGATTTCAAGAATTGATCGACACAACAGCTCTGATAGTGAATGAGAATGTAAAAATCTTAAAGACTCGTTGTGTGGCGACTATAGGCACCGGGAGTGCCATAAGTCAAAGTGTTTTGAAAAAAATTGACTCAGGCCTGGCTACACCCTATGAAAAACACGGTTTGACAAACAACGTGTTAGTCTTTGTGGATTTGTATTCGAACGTCTCAAACCTAATATTACAAAGAATAGAATATTTTTCGAGGCGTGAAAGATTTGTACTGTGTGTTATGGATCGCTTTAACAGTGCAACGTATTTGAAGATGAAATTCTTAAAAGAATTACAGGATCTCTGGGTAAACAGAGTGTCCCAAATAATACTGATAGCAATAGTTGAGAATGAAGTTAACGTGTTCGGTTTGGAATTGTATCCACCCAATGTCTGTTTCCCGATAAACATTATAAAACTAGCCACGTTAAGAAACGGAAGCCTCATTCGTAATACGCCATTTTATCAACGAGTAAAGAATCTAAATGGCTGTCAATTACGAGCAGTCACTTCTAATGGATTGCCATATGTGCAAATTTATATAGAAAATAACATAACAAAAGTACGTGGCATCGAAGGAAACTTGATAAACATCATGGCGAAGAGAATGAACTTCACAATTAAAATAACAGATGTTGACTCTGGTATCAAGATAAATTTAACTAGCCCTGATACAAAAGAATTTATACGTGTAAATTGGTCGGATATCTGCTTTGGCGCAAAACAAGTGGCTAGAAATGACAAAGTTGAAGCTAGCGTCTTTCTATGGGATTGCGAGAAGGTCTGGATCGTACCAAAATCTCAACCGATTCTTATATTAAAACATGAATTTTTACCATTTGACAAGTATGTTTGGATATCAGTTATCATTACCATGATAATAGGATTTGTCGTTTTTAAAACTTTTATCAATGATCAACATACAAGCATTCTTATGCTATGGTCATTCTTTTTGGGTATAGCAGTAGAAATGACTAACTCGCCAAAACGTTTGTCTGCGAGGATTTTTCTGACTGCTTGGCTCATCTTTTGCTATGTTGTCACACGTGCATATCTTAGTTCTATGGAAGGTTTTTTAACAAAACCTAAATTCGAGCCAGAGATCGATACATATGATCAACTGATAAATTCAAATATTCCTATGTATGGAATGAATTACATGCGAATGTATTATTGCTCGGAGAATGATATAATTAGTAAAATTATATGTGAGAGATTTGTCCCCCGTACTAATAATGAGGTTTATGATGATATTAAAGTGAAGGGTGTTACTGCAGCTTTTATATCAAAATTAGGAATTGTGGGAAATTTGAAATTGCTACGGGACCATGAATATCATGTGATGAAGGAGAATGTAGTCAAGTATACAATAGTATTTTATGTAAAGCTTGGTGCACCATATCTCGAGGAAATAAATCGTATTATTACTTGTATGCTTGAGACTGGATTTATTGAATTATGGGTAAGACAGAATATGTTGACAAAGAGTCCGCTGAAGTTTCACCGAACCGAATTGAAAATACAGCATATTTCAGGAATTATGTGTATAACAGCTATAGGATATACCATGGCGATCTTAATATTTTTGATTGAATGCTTCGTCGGGTATTGCGTACATCATAAGAGAAAAAATATGTAGTAAAGTATGGATGATTACGACAATTTCTGTTTAAAGAAAATAGTGTAGTCTTTAAAGAACTGTGTATTTCTCCTAAGCTATCATTAAAATATTTATTTGTACAATGAGAAAGAACTTTTATTCTATATTGGTGCTATAATTAATCTACACAATCTGCTTTAGATTGTGATTGGAGTCGATAACAACTTAGATATTAAACCATTATCGCTCTAAATATTATACATCAAAATTGATAAATATAAATGCCGCAGAAAATCAAAATATGAACACAGTGCGACTCTCTGTTTCACTTAACAGATGTTTTATACACTATGAATTTTTCAATCTCAAGGAAATCAACATGAATGCGAATGGGTAATTGCTCGATTAGGAGGATTGATTTTTTCCTTTATAAGGTCACTCCATATCTAATCTAGCACAATAGTTTATTGTACAAATGTTTTCAATACTTGGCTAATAATGGTAAAATACCACTTCTAGCACTTAAATATCAGTGTCAGTAGGATTTATATCAGATCGTAGAATCTTACCTCATTGCAAGACTAAGAGGTGATATGGTATTCTAAATACCGTCAACAGAAGGGGACATTTTTAAATCACAGTTCAGGACTTTCGAGAATGGGCCGTCACGTTTTTCCTTCGTAGATGAACGTAGCATCAAGCATAAGCTGAGCAAGATGGTAATCACAATGATTTTCTGGCAAATGTCTCGATACTCTACGAACTAATTCAACAGTATCGTCATTTGAACAATTAGTAAAGACCTCTCCTGGTATATTCTGCGGCAAGAAACAAGAATCGCAATTATATTAAATTATATGTACTGAAAATAGCTATATTAAAATTAAATCGTTGTACTTACAAGGCTCTCTAGATATTTAGTAAGTGCTGGAATTATTCTTGAAACCTCTTCAAGAAGATCAGGTGTTTTGGACAGATAAGCCATCATTCGTTTTCCAGCAATAGGTAATAAATTACTGGCCAACGTTTCTGTATCATTTACAGCTGTCACAACCTGCATAAACGAAAAAAAAAAAACAAGAAAATTGTATTAGCGTAAAAAGAATTGTAAAAACGGCAACAAGTGAGGAACAATATGATACGCTTACTTCTTCTGCCAATCGGTCGAACCCGTTAATATATAATTGGCACACTTGATGAATCCGTAATTCATCATTATTGATTTTCCAAATGGATGCCAGTGTCTGACATTTGCTCATCCATAGAATCGCTTGAGTGGAACTTAAATTATTTCCTTGGGTAGTTTCTTGGTGAATTGAATCCATAGAGGCAGTGATAACGCGACATAAAAATTCTGTTCTTGCACTATCCCTCTTATCATCTCGATACCATGTAAGCATTGCTTTATCGGTTATATCTTGGAAAAAGTACGGATGTGCCTAAGCAGAGAAGTGTTTATTAAATTCATAAACAATCTATAAATATTATTATACTTACCACTGATTCAAACAAATTGTTTAGTGGCCTGTTAATTTTAAGATTAAAGTGTGCTATCATATGCAGCACATTGGCCAGTTGCAGATGCAGCATTACCAACTCGTAACAGGCTGGTGTCTGCGAAACAGCTAGTGCAGCAAAAGGCTGAGGACCAGCCGGATGTCCTTCCCATAATTCTTCAGTCTTCACAATCGAACTTTTCTCAGCCTCTAATACTTCTGTCTATATGTGAATGTACTATTATCTTAGATCTCAGAATTCAAATGATACAAGATATTGAAATATCAAGAAAAATGCCTTACATCCAAGAATATATCCAAAAAAGTTCCACAATGTTGTAATAATATTGTCAATTGTATGTCAGAAAGACCAATATCCTGCATGCACAACCTTTCCTTTGGTAGTTTACCAAGTTTATTCATAAGCTTAGCAGCTGCTTCCATTCTTTTTTTCATATGTAGAGTCCAGAGAAGGCAACACACGCCTAAGGTAAAATTTAATTGATAACAATTTCTTATTGATTAACCTGTTATAACTTATGTGCTTACCTTGTCGCATATGCTTCATAGGAATTTGACGTAACACTGCTAGCGTCGCATCTAACGCTTCTAATTCCGTGACATCTTTGTTCCACGCCATTACAAATTCCCAGCAAAGATTCGCAAGCAAAACGCTACTAGTTAAGCTATACGGAAAGTGGCGTTTCAACAATGAAATTTTTTCTGGAAAATATAAATAACATAATGCATAGAATGATAATCGTTGACCTATAATGTACTGTGTATTCTTATAATAAATACCTAATATAAAGGCCTGTGCAGTGGTATCGGCTTTAGCTTCGCTACCAATTTCTACGGATACAGACAACAGTTTCATTTGATCCTGTTGAGAAAGTTCAGACGCTGCAGCCTCGTCCAAGGAACCAGCCATTTTAAGGGAATCGATGGACAATTCCATATGATCAAATTCAACATCCGTAGTGTCTATTAAACGCGCTGGATCGAGACCAGCTGATGCTAGCCATTTGGCAACGATTTCAGAAACAGATCCTATACAACATCATAATTAAGACAAGAAATAATGCTACTCAAATTGTATTAAGAAAATTAAACTTTTGTACCTTTTCCTTTAGAGAGTACAGTTCCTAATGAAATATCAATTTTTTCAAAAGGTATCGAAAAAAACACAGTTGTGTTATCCGATGGAGGCGGATGGCTAAAATTATAAGGTCTAGTTTATATACACATATTTTTTCGACGATCCATGATATGAGACTAATAAAACATGTTTTTTTTAATTAAGTTGCTTTTTTTAACATAACTGACCTTACGACGGCATTCAGTATTGCAATATCTTCTAAATTACCAATGAGCAGCGTAAATTGACAAGTATCTTTGCTAACATTCTCCCATTCACTAGTTGAGCTATACGTTTCTTCCTCTGGTGTCGAATTGGCTTTCTTATCTTGATTTTGTTCCATTTTCTGTACCTCATTGCCATTCTTTACATCCTCATCTTCATTCCCATTATCATCCTTAACTTTATTATAATGTAGCTTATCACGATTCTTTTCAATGGTCATAGCAACGGCTCTACACGCTATAGCAGCTGTCAATGCTTGAAAAGGTTTTGTAGAATATGTCAATGTATTCCTAGCATCCCTCCACCATGAGGAAATTTCGTTGTATTCTGCACATATTTCTTCCACATCTTTGAATAAGAAAAATTAATAATTTATCCCTATTCGTATTAAATGCAAAAATATTCAGAGGGAATATAAAAAACAAAGTATCCTTACCACCCAAGAAGCATACTGCATGTAAAAGTTGAGTGAACCGTTTCAATTCCATTTGTAGGGTTGTTCCTGGTTTTTTTTTTAACCAATATATCAGAGCAAGTTGCATCATTGTTAATGGTTGAATATTACTTTGCGCTGCAGCTTCACGCCAGGTTGTAACTGAATCATTTGAATACATCCATCCTTGGTATATTAATTCAGCTGAGGAATATATACACTTATAGTCATCCAGTGATAGATATATAATGAAAAACTTATTGAATGTATATACTTACAGATTTGACATTTTTTCTCATAAGTCAAATCTTTATGTAACATGACAGGACCAGAACTACCAAATTCGAAACATGATAGAAAATCTAGAAAAGTTCTGCCATCTTCTTTAAAAGTTACTCTTCCTTGAGATCTAGGGTTTGCATTTTCGAAATCAGTTAAGGTCTTTGAAAGCTTTAGGATTCTATGCACCTCCCTTTCGGATGTTAATAGCATTGATGATAATTCTTTTGCAGTAGGAATTTTATCAGATACAATAGTATCATATTCCGGAGGACAATCAAATTGTGAACGCACAAATTTATAGAATTCCGTTGCTCTCTGTAATTGCGTGGACATTTGATAAAGAGATTTTGCAGCTGGTTCTAGTTCATCCCCTTCTGAAATATTCGAAAAGGCATAAGCTATAATGATATAGCTCTAGAAACCTAAAGTCTAAAACTGCAATCGCACGTGAATGACTATAGTTAATAATTATACATACCGTATTGCACAAACTTATCAACAAAACAGTTTAGCGCCGCAAGCAAAGCGTCTGGCACAATATGCTTGTTGGTCATTAACATTTCAATGACCTGTAGTCTGACTTCATTAGTTTTTAAATCGAGGCATATATTGGCCACCTCGTTTATCAACCTTTCCTCATCGAACTCTTCCTCACGCATAAAGGCTTTCAATTTCTTTAATAGATGAAGGTCTCGAGCTCTTTTACCATTTTTACTACTAAGTGCAAAATGAAAAGGCACTGTAATCTCCTTTAATCCTCCAAGAGGATCCATGAATACGCAGGGATACTGAGCATGATTGGTATGATTAATAACCATGTCGTTTAAGCCTAACAGCCCATAACTTGTATAAAGTAATCTAAAGAGTAATGACAATTATTTTTGAATTCCGTATTAAAGTCTGAAGCACTTGAAGGAAGTGATGTATCATTACCTACCGTCCATGTTTACTCGCAGAAAATGTTGTGATCTTAGTACCCTGCTGTGCACCCCAGATATCTATGATTCCTTTCTTAGGTGCATATATTACTAAGAAAAGTGCGGTGCGCAAGGGATGACCATGGGACGTCTTAAAATTACTTTTCCCATGGCCTTTGTGCGATACGCGATTTTTCTCTTCACTAACTTCAATCCATCCACATTGGGCATCCCGATAGCCTTTCCACATTCTTAAAGCAATGCCTCGTCTATTGTCTATCAAAGTGACCCTACCCATAGCATCAGTGACAACCGAGAGCATCTTATTTGGACTGATAATTATGCAGTCACCCTCTCTCATAATGTCGCTCAGACCGAATCTACAAATCATAGCTTCGGCTGGTTCTTGTACCGGTCCCTTTACTTTTTCAGGAGAATTAGGGACCTTTGAACTTCCACGAAACCATCTACTCAGCGAAAATATTAATTATTCTCTATCTCAATTGTACATGAAAATTTATCAAAATCTTGGTACTACTTACGGAACCGCAGTTCCTATAGCACTGGCTAATTTGCTAGCCATTGCAATGGCAACATCGGATAAAACAGGTGCAGTTCCTCCCTCCAATGCATAATGAAATCCAATAAATGGTCTTTTGCCTGTTGCCATGATCAAACTATGCTGTGGAGCACTAGAGCGATACGTGGCATTATATCCACCGCAAATCGACGCGGTCATTAGGTGATCGAAAGTATTAACAAACGTTGTACCAATAACTTCGCAATCGTTTATAATATCCTGATTTTTGAAACCCCATTTCTTATACGTCAGATTTGCCGCTGGGGGCTTATCGTTACAATTCGCCTGTACTAGAAAGTATATATATTATATTTACTTAGCCAATGATATTTTTTTGTATGCAACTCAGGCATTCTTTGTAACATTGCATCAAAAAATGTTTGAATTACCTCGAGCTAGATGGTTTCTACAAGCTCTGAGAGTAGAAAATAATGGAAACCCCTGCAGTATGCATACAGCACTACTGTATGATACGTAAACTTCTTCTGATAAACTAGTGTCCCCAGCATGTCTCGGTGCAGAATATGACTGGCATTTTATTCCTAATACTGCTTCACTGTGAAGCTGCTCTTCTACTAGTAGTGGTCCTGTCTACAATAAAAAAATTCTGTTGTGTAATTTATGACCCGTTGTAATTTATAAATTTTGCGTATTCTTACTTCTGCATAAAATCGAATAAAACCTGTCGAAAATCCTACAGCAATACATGTCCAATCTGGACCACTACCAGCACTTGCTTTACCCAGCGATATTAGAGGCAGACATGCCACTGAAGTTATCCATTCACTAGAAAGTAATCCAATAACTACATGGTATATATTAAAAATTTATAATAGTTCAGTATGTTAATACCCTAAATGTAGAATTATATATTAATCAAATTATGATAGCATGCTTACCTTTGTTCCTTTGCAATTTCTCCATTCCATGTTACATAAAATTTATTTTTAATTTCTCCTGTCTCTTGAGAATCCCATTTTGCTGGAAAGATATATTTTATAATTGAACAAATACTCCTAAGATTATACCATATGTACATAATATCGTTTATACATCTAATCATCTGCTAATTATTTCTATCTTAAGACAGTATATAGCAACTATTAAAATATATTTATAAAAAAATATTGTGGCATAATCTTGTAAAATATATGTTATTATTCCGATATAATAATATTTTATTCAATGAATCAACAACAATATCATCACAAAACTTACAAAATGGAGACTGATATAACAATGACAATATGCATCTACAATCCACATTAACAATATGTTTTAGAAGATATGAAATTTAATACTTACATGATAAAATGACAATGTTTTTATTCCATGCCATTACCAATACATCTCCAGCTGATGACAAGGAGATCAAGATATCTTGAAGGGGTAATTCGTGTCCAGGAACATGATCAACTGAAAAGTTAGTTTAATGATTTTAACCTCATTGGCACCCATTATAAACATTAGCAATAACTAGTGTAATGCACTTTGAAATATGTAACTAACATTTGACAACATCATTGCCAAGTAAACGATCCTTGACGTTAGATGGATCAATTAAATTTGCGATCCCTTTAATTTGACAGGACATGTCTCATAACAATAGCAACAACAAGTTCCTTTCAATTTAGCCAAAGCGTAGCGCAGAGACTAGCGCAGACTACAATGTATGTACTGCAGCGCTTGCACTGGTCAAGATCAGTCAAGATATTTAGAAAAAGTAATATATTGGATTCAAAGGTTCCGAACTGTAACATGTTTTTGAGAATGATTTTATACTGCGGAAGTTTTTCAAACGTCGACTCAACGTTTATCTGCACGTTAATATATCTGTCAATTTAAGGGAAGGGATGTTCTTGAGAATGATAGTGTAATGCAGAGATCTCAAATTAACATAATTCAGCAGATCAAAATGAGATTTTCCTTGTCATCTTCGTTAATACCAATTGCAACAGTAAATATTCAGTATCGCGGTATCCAATTTTATAGGATTTTATGAATTTTGAAGTCAAAATGAAGCACACGTGTTTGCATGACGTCACGTGACGTTACGGCTGACGTCAAAGGATCTAGCCGCTTATCCGATGTACGATTGGACACATTAAACAGCCACGGCCAATCGTCAGTCACGTCTCTCCGCAATGGTCGCGTAAAATCTTCAGCCATCTTGTTATTATTTTCGAAAATCTTTAGGTTGGGTTTTGCGACGACGTAGTGCCGAGTTTTCTCGTTTTCTCTCGAAGAAAATAACACGAAATTCGCATGCAACTCGAGCGGCGGGGGCTCGACGAACAACGGCCTCGGTGGGTATCGCGCGTTCACAATTCCTACCTTTCGCTGGCGATCGCAAAACGGCGAAAGCAGAAACGCCAGAGACTTGAGAGAGACGGAGAGAAACGACGAGTGTGTGAAACGAGGAACGAAGTTGATCGCGCGCGGGAATTGTCGGTTGTGTGTTTGGGCCCTTTTGTGCTTGTGAATAATCGCGACTCGGCATATCGCGATTGCCGGTGCTGCGAAACGTGTGTTTTTTTACGTCTGAGACGAGAATTTGTGTGCGGGAGTCAAAACGGTACGTCCAAACATCTAATAGGAGACTTCGCCCGTTGGGCAACGACGCAACCAGAGAAAAACGCAACCTGGGCCCCAAAAACACGCCAAACCCAACCATTGTCTAGAACTATTTGATCTTCCTGATACCGCTCTTCATCGCGCGAGCATTCTTATTGACACCGCCAAAAGTCTTTCAGATCTTCCAAACAACGCGCTATTCGAATTTCACATAACCTTCTTTGCGTTTGTCAAATCTAGGTTAGGTCGGACGGTCGCAGTGCGCTGACCTCCCCCGCGGCACGTTTTCTCTGGTTTTTTCCGTTTTTGCGGCCAAGCCACGTCTCTCCTATAACTTTGGCTGCTTTGATGCGTGTCCTCCTAGGTTTTCGCACGTGTAATTGTTCTGAAAGAGACAAGTACACTATGTCTTATGAAAGACCGAACGTTTCATCTATCTTGCATCTATGAATTCCAGAAGTTATCTTTTCTTAATTTCGTCTAACTCTTCGCCTCGTCAGCAATTCTACGTGCACTTTTAAATTAGGCAGAACAATTTTTTGTAAAAAATAACGCTAATAAATCTATGTATATAAGATGTAGTAGTTTACTTTGTACTTTATACAAAGGACCATACAAGAGGCAAGATCTTAACTGTATCTATTAATGTTATTAAATATACAGCAAAAGAACAATGACTATACTTGAAATGTTTGTCTCGTGTTTATATAAATTATATCTCTTTAGCTACTTGCATACTTGGCATTATAGTAAATAATAACTTTTTTGGATATTATAATCATGAACTCCAATTTGCATATAGTATCAATTTTTATATCTTCGACAATATATCATAAATATATATTCATACAGTATCGTTATACTGATCAATCGATTAATCTGTATATGTCAATTTTATAGTAATTAATAAAAAAAATTATCAGATTTCTTTTTTTTTAATTTTTGAAGATATTAATTTATTTTTTTTAAAAAGTACAATATAAGTTTACTTCAAAGAGATTAAGTTCATTATATACTACATAACATATTTTATATTTGTCATCCAGAAATGGAATGCAGTAAATCATTAGACCTGGTATTCAGTAACGCAGCTAGAGTATATATATAATGGTAGTCACTTCTTAAAATTTTAACAATTATTTTTTAATTTAGATTGAGTGTGTGAAAGGAAATCCTCTAAATAAGCATTATGGGGACATTGGCTGAACAAGCATCCAAGCTGCTGGATTTTAACCAGAAACTGGACATAACACTCCTCGACAACATAGTAGGATGTATGTATACTGGAATGGGTGAGCAACAGCGAGTTGCACAAGAAGTGCTTACTACACTTAAGGAACATCCAGATGCATGGACACGTGTTGACACCATTCTAGAATATTCTCAGGTATCTGAAGTTTTTGATGCTTTCATGTACTACATTGAGTATTTGAATGTACTTCAATCAAATACATGAAACATCTTTGTTACAGAATCAACAAACAAAATATTATGCCCTACAAATTCTGGAGCAAGTGATAAAGACACGGTGGAAAGTACTACCAAGGAATCAATGCGAGGGAATAAAAAAATATATTGTAGGCCTCATTATCAAGACAAGCAGTGATCCAGAAACCATGGAGGCCTCCAAAGTTTATCTTAACAAACTGAATATGATCCTTGTCCAGGTAAATAAATACAGGAGTTTTTGTAACATAGTATATGTCATAGACATTCATTGTAAATACAAATTCGTTATCTCTGTGAATTCTATGTGAAATTGGATCCTCGTCTTACAGGTATTAAAGCGTGAATGGCCAAAGAACTGGGAATCATTTATTGGCGACATTGTAGGAGCAAGTAAGACGAATGAAAGTCTGTGTCAGAATAATATGGCCATATTAAAGTTATTATCAGAGGAAGTGTTTGACTTCTCTAGTGGACAAATGACGCAGACAAAAGCGAAACATCTGAAGGATACCATGTGTAGTGAATTCTCCCAAATTTTCCAACTTTGCCAGTTCGTTATGGATAATTCGCAAAATGTCCCACTAGTGGCCGTTACTCTAGAAACTCTATTGAGATTTCTTAACTGGATTCCCCTTGGATATATTTTTGAGACTAAACTCATCACCACATTGATATTCAAGGTATGCTTTTGAAGAAAAAAAAAGATATTTGTAATGATCGCTATTGCTTTCGTAAGTTTGATTCTATAATTTCCTTATGTGCCTTAATGTTTGCAGTTCTTGAATGTTCCGACATTTCGAAACGTCACTCTCAAATGCTTGACCGAAATTGCTACTGTGACTGTGACCAATTACGACGACATGTTTGTAGTTCTATTTGCGAACACGATGCAGCAGCTGGAGCAAATGCTGCCTCTTGAAACTAACATCCGTGACGCATATGCGGTCGGCCAGGATCAAGAACAGAACTTTATTCAAAATTTGGCCATGTTCCTCTGCACTTATCTAAAAGATCATGGTCAGCTGGTAGAGAAGAAGCAATTAAATGATACGCTTCTAAAGGCGTTGCACTATCTTGTACTAATCTCGGAGGTCGAGGAAGTTGAGATATTCAAAATCTGTCTGGAATATTGGAATGGATTGGCAGCTGACCTATACAGAGAAAATCCATTTATGACACCAGCACCTCTATTTATGCCCAAGAATAGTATATCTGTACCAACACGGAGACAATTTTATTGTCCCGTTTTAACAAAAGTGCGATATATTATGATCAGTCGAATGGCAAAGCCAGAAGAGGTGCTTGTTGTTGAGAATGAAAATGGCGAAGTAGTCAGGGAATTCATGAAAGACACGGATTCTATAAATTTGTATAAGAATATGCGAGAGACTTTGGTATACCTTACGCATCTTGATTATGTCGACACTGAGAGAGTGATGACAGAAAAGCTTCAGAATCAAGTTAACGGTTCAGAATGGTCCTGGAAAAACTTAAACACGGTAAATATTTATTTTCTAACATCGATACATCATTGTCGTACTAATTCCTTATACTGTATTTATATTTCGTAATCTCTCTATTAGTTATGCTGGGCCATAGGCAGCATCTCTGGTGCAATGCACGAGGAAGATGAGAAGCGATTTCTTGTAACAGTCATCAAAGATTTACTTGGTCTTTGCGAACAGAAAAAGGGCAAGGACAATAAGGCCATTATCGCCAGTAACATCATGTATGTTGTAGGACAGTATCCACGATTTCTCAGGGCCCATTGGAAGTTCCTGAAAACAGTCGTAAATAAACTATTTGAGTTCATGCATGGTAAGAATTTATTATACTTTCAATTATCATGTTATAAAAAATACGTTAGGATTTGAGGCATTTAACTTATTCAAACATTGTTAAATAGAAACCCATGATGGCGTCCAGGATATGGCTTGCGATACATTCATTAAAATAGCATTGAAATGTAGACGACATTTTGTTACGATACAAATTGGTGAAGCAATGCCATTTATCGAAGAAATTCTTTCTACAATCAGCAGTATCATATGTGATTTACAAACTCAGCAGGTGAAGTCTCTATTATATACATATGTTTCTAAACATATGAGTGGAGATCCTTTGATATGTAATGAAATATTTATATAAATTTTCTTGAATAGGTGCATACTTTTTATGAAGCTGTGGGATACATGATAAGCGCGCAGATAGATTCTGTGGCGCAGGAACTATTAATTGAGAAGTATATGCTTTTGCCTAATCAAGTGTGGGATGATATCATTAGTCAAGCATCCAAGGTACACTATGTTATTAATAAGCTTCATTAAATTTCAATTTTATTTACGATCTCATTGTATTAGCGGATCAAAGGAACACCATTGGGAACGTGCTTCTTTTTTTCAGAATGTAGACGTTTTAAAGGACCAGGAAGCAGTGAAACAACTTGCTAGCATTCTAAAAACAAATGTCAGAGCGTGTAAAGCGCTTGGCCATCCGTACGTGATGCAATTAGGAAGAATATATTTAGATATGTTAAATGTGTATAAGGTACGTGAAACCGATTTGATACTGACTGCAATACATAATTTACAAAGTTGAATGAGTTACTGTCAACGAAATCACGATTATTATATATATTTTCTTATAGGTAATGAGCGAAAACATAAGTGCAGCGATAGCTTTGAACGGTGAGATGGTGATGAAACAGCCATTGATTAAGAGCATGAGGGTCGTCAAGAAGGAAACACTGAAATTAATCTCGGATTGGGTCAGCAAATCAGCTGATCATGAAATGGTTAGTATTTCTAAACGGAATAAAAATTACCACCGCGTCCCTCTATTTCACTTACTTTGTGCTCCATGTACGAAAAACCAAAAGAAAAAAATTCATTAGACAAACTTATATTCCTGATCCACTTCCAACTCTGAAATCCAGTTTGACTTTTCATCCCCTGTCCCAGAAGTTAGCTGCAATTTCGATGTGAGCATCCTCCATGCCGACAATAGAATTTTGTATATCATTCACCATCTTTTTCCTTTGTCAGGTCTTAGAGAACTTCATACCACCGCTATTGGATGCGGTATTGTTAGATTATCAGAAAACAAATGTTCACTGCGCCAGAGAGCCTGAGGTTCTCAGTGCCATGGCTACCATAGTGAATAACCTCGAAGGCCATATCACCAGACAGGTGCCGAAAATGTTTGATGCCGTGTTCGAGTGCACCCTCGAAATGATCAACAAGGACTTTGAAGAATTTCCAGAACACAGGACAAACTTCTTCCTTTTATTGCAGGTACGTGGCAATATCCTTTCTCAATATTATCACCATAACCATCCATGATCGAAGGAAAAGTTAACATTGACCGTTGTTCCGTTTTTATCAATAGGCAGTGAATGTTCATTGTTTCCCTGCATTCCTATCAATTCCCCCGGCACAGTTCAAACTAGTCCTCGACTCCATCATCTGGGCTTTCAAACACACCATGAGGAATGTTGCTGATACGGGACTTCAGATCTTGTACCAACTACTGCAAAATATCGAGAAGCACGAACAAGCTGCACAAAGCTTTTATCAGACCTACTTCACGGACATTCTACAACACATTTTCAGTGTAGTGACAGACACGTCTCACACAGCTGGTACTGCTGACTTTTGCGATTATTTTTCGAGTGAACATAATTTTATGGTCACTCTCTTTCAATATATAATTTATCTGTCTTTACCTCTCTCCAAATAGGATTGACGATGCACGCTACAATCTTGGCGTACATGTTCACGTTGGTCGAACTTGGCAGAATCCAGGTGCCTCTAGGACCTCTACCGGACAACACGCTTTACGTTCAAGAATTCGTCGCGAGCTTGCTCAGGGCAGCTTTTCCGTACTTGACGGACAACCAAATCAAAATTACCGTACAGGGACTGTTTAATCTCGACCAAGATATCCCTGCCTTTAAGGAACATCTCAGGGACTTCCTCGTTCAAATTAGAGTAAGCAATAATTCAATGCGATCAGTATCTTGACAATAATCAGTAAGGTAGATGTAGATGTAAAATATTTGCTTACTAAATACCTTGAACAGGAGTACACTGGTGAGGATGACTCGGATCTTTACTTAGAAGAACGAGAGACTGCTCTGCGAGTGGCCCAAGAGGATAAGAGGCGGCAACAGATGGCAGTCCCGGGTATTCTCAATCCACACGAGATGCCGGAGGAGATGCAGGACTGAATCATCCATAAACCTTATCCTAATCTCCCTGCACTTTCGAACGAAAAGCGCTCTGCCGTAGGTACTACCGTATCATTTAATCTGCAACAACTCTTACAACCATTGCCACCATCACAACCACCACGACCATCAACACAACTACTATTTACTACTACTACTGCTACCACTACACCAGATACATATTATATACGTACCAGGGCCGACGAGTGTAAAATACTATGCCTTTGTTACGGACGTAAGTCCGAAACGTGGTGACTGTTTGTTTGTCTGTTATAGGATTTGATATGAAACGGAGTTTTTCTTGTGGGTAAAATGTGAATGCCTGCTTGGCGATGCTATTTCATGTACCCTGGAGTCTATATTTCTTATAGAAAGTTTTTGTTCCGATGAGTATATAGAGATAGAACGCCGGGTAGCGCCGAACTGTCGACTGCCAAATAATATCTTCGATCTCTATACGCTACCTATATGTATCCAATCAAAAAAATCTTCACTTCGTAAGTTCTCGTATGTACCATGCGATGATATATCGACCCCGTAAATACTGTTTTATCTTAGAAGGAGATCAAAGTACCGATGCTGACGATAACAATAATATAAATAATTTCAAAGAGCAGCAACAATAATAATACTTAAAGTTACTCTCTTGACGTTAATTCGGTTCAATTTCGCGGGTCGTTATAGCCGAATTCATCGTATCGATATATTTCTATTCTTTTTTCCTTGCCCAAGTTATTCCTTCTTTTCGCGAGTGTTTCACTAAAAACTTAGCCAACTCTCTTACTCCGCATATCATCGGCTCCGTATGAATCTGTTTATGTATAAATGCTGTTGATTTTATTATCGTGTAAAAGAATAACGGAGAAAAAGAGAGCACGAAAGAAAATGAATGCAGGTATGAAAGCGGCAGCTCGCACCAATGGCAATTGTATTTTCAATTTGAACGTATGAAATACATTTTCACTCCAATTCGGATTATTTTCAAATTATAAATTGTTCATCGGTGGCTCGATGTTCGATCGTCACTACATTCATCGTCCCTCTTTACGTCGTGGCGCTTTGTAAGGGCTTCAAACTTTTCATAACAACGAGGTGCTACTTCACACTTTTGTCGGTTACTTTCATTTTTTATTTTTACTTCCTTTCATCAGTACTCTAAGCATTTCTGCGTCGCCAATTCAGACTCTATGGCTGCTAGATATTTAAATATTTCGGACTATACCATACTTTTGCATTTCATCATTTTTAGCCGGCATTTCTTTTTAAACCCTTAATATCTTGATAATATTTTTCGACCGGTGCTTACAACGAGTCATCGAAAAGCAATGTCTTCGTCTCACAAAACTGCAGAACTTCGAGGTGAATGACAGTAATGGCGTTTCATTTTTTTTATTATAATTTTCCACGTAAAATTAATTCCTCTCTCAGTTGACTTTCCATCCTTCTCTCGAGTTTAATCAATAACGCATCATTGTGAAATCGTGAACTTCGAAGAAAAAAGGACGCCAGTCAGAAACGGACATGGAGGAAGGGAAGAAGAGAGGCATGCCAACGCATTATTCTCTCGCGAGAGTTTGATTCGGTATAAAAAGAGGAAAGGTAGTAAAGAAGAAGAGGGAACTTTTGAATGACAGAGTTAACTTACGTAAAATAGTATCGTCTCAGCAGGCTCCCATGCGATATAAATGTACTAGGCAAATGTGTATTTTTATTCAAATGAAATTGTATTATAATACCACATTATTATGACTTAGATAAAGTCGACCACGTTACGAGTCGTTAATTGGCATCTTGTAGATTAAAAGCTGATCGCAACTCACTATAGTTTGTAGGGTATCTCTCTATCGATCTGTCTAACCTATTTCTTTCATTCAAGCGATCTATCCCGATCTTTACAAAATACAAAGAAATTACTCGTGACACTCTCAATCTCGGTAGTAAAATGTTCAAGACAAAAGCACGACGTTACACATTGTTCTAATCACATTGCACCCAATTTCACGGCAAATTATTCTTCCGACTGTTTTTCTTCATTTGTCGTCTGTCAACTGGTAAATTTCAACTCGTGCCACGCGAATAATTATACTTTGTCTATGGGACCGCTGAGAACTGTTCGACTTTTCGTTTAACCCTCTTCACCCTTTTTTCTTCGTTACTCACGGTTATATACAATACACGTCCATCCTCGATAAAGGCAATGGCCCTTACTCATACCTACATAATAGATATACATGCAGCATCAAACGGAAAGAAGAATTTTCACGTGTGGCGTACGTCAATTGGGTCTTAACCAGCCTTTCTTGATATTGGATTTATTTCTTCATTTTCTCAATCAATCGTGGCGATAATTATACATGCTGAACGTGAACTCGAGAGAAAGAGCAAACTTGTACTTGCTTACATGCATTTTCATAGGGATGATATATATATATGTATATATGAATTCTATGAGAATGCAGGTTTGTTAAATATTTAGTGCAGGATTCAAACAAATAAACGTCTGAACGCATTGGGCGAACTTCATAAACCTGACAGATCTAGATTAGCGCGAAACTTTTTAAAAATATTTTCTACATTAGTGATTTAGCCGTGTTTTATAAAACGATCTGATAATACCGCGTTGAGTAAGTACCTTCGATCGTACGTTCATGCCTGACGAGACTACGTTTTCATAACTGAGAGAAAAAGGGAAAGATAAAAGGAAAGAAAATTAAAGACAGTACAACGGAATTTCATGAGGTTTCAAACGAAGTGAAGAAAATCTTATGGGGCAACGATGTTTACCTCCGATCATCAAAGTTAATAGCGGCAAGAGTTTAAGTAAAAGCCCAGCTATAAATATCCTATGCCAATTGATCGAAGTCATATAAAAGTTAATAAAACAAATACTGGACGAACGGCAAAAAATTTGGGCACGAGTCTTGCAAAACGTCATCACGATTTACGTCATATAAGTGAATCCAACGACTGACAGTACTACGTTTCCTCGTATCGAATTTTGAATTTTTGAAAATTAATACACAACGTACTTTCGGACACGACCTATAATATTCTTTCAACACAAACAACCATGAACCTTCGATGTAATTCATAGAATAATCTTTCGAATAGGGTATTTACTACCAGGTATTTAAATACGTGGTGGATGGAACATTGGGATGGTGACTGTTAGCAGATGCACGATTATTAGATAGATAAAACTGAATCTACTGTTGCATTTGAGTTAACTGGTGTTCACGATATTCGAAGATATGTACCATAATGATTAGACGATTGACAGTAGCTCCGCTTGGCACACTGGAGCCATTACTATACTGTACCTATGCGACCCAGCACTCGAGCCGAGCTGCTGTCAGTTCTCGTTTCGATGAAGAATGAAGTGAAAAATAAAAATAAAAGAAAGAGATTGATGAACGAACGAATTAATTAACGAGCACGATTGCATCTCCTTGTCGTAAGCTGTATTTATTTGCAACCAGCACACGACTGTACCCGAAAATAATGTCTATGTAAGGGAGAAACTTCCATTATTTCCCATCAGAGAGGAAGATACTTTCTTTTTTTTTGTTATTATATAATTAAAAATACGATACAAACCTCTTTTCTATCGACAATGTCTTGTATGATGCAGAGAGAGAGAGAGAGAGAGAGAGAGAGAGAATAGCGTGTGTGTGAAAAAGAAAGAGAGAAAGAGAGCGAAATAATAAATAAAAAAAAATACATTTACGGTGTACGATCTTGATTGTGAGATGGACTAAGTATAGTAAGAGCTATTACATAAGGTAAACTAGATTACAAGACGATAATAAAACATTAGATACAGGTGTATGATTAATATTTTAAAGAAGTATGTCTATTATATGAGATTTTTAAGGCAGCGAAAGAAAGAGGATATTCCCACTTGTACTGAACCGATTATGATGAAGGCTAAAGTTTTCAATATATATGTATGGATATATATGTATATATACACACTCAGTGCATATATACTTGTATATATATATATAAATATTCGTAATAAAATGTACTTTTCAATTATTTTTCTTTCAACAGTCACCCCGTATGTCGCGTATCTGCATCGCTTAATCATTACTTAGCGAATTTAATTATCGTTACTTTTTTTTAGTATCCTTATCCGTGGCCTTGATACATTTCATCCTGTAAACATGATCGAATTAACGAATGACAAGCGCTATCACGTACTAGAGTCTTAATGATCGATCCAAGGACCACCTTTATGATCTTGCCAGGGATTTTGATCGAGTCAGTATGTGAGCAGAATGATCCATTTTTTGTTTCTGAGCCTTTCGATGCAGATTCTTTTACGATAACGTTCGAGACGATTACTATTTTATTATTCTATTCCGCCTGTGACCCTGTACTAAACTAGCGTACGTAAAGAATGAGATCCTGTATGTAATGAACTGCCGTGTACAAAAACGAGGAAAAAGAAAAGAAAGCTACCGAATAAATAAAAGTATCCAAATAACATTATCGTTTCGGCTATAAGTGGCGACGTGCTTTTGCTTGGAAGCAAATAAGTACAGTTACGAGTTTGCCGGGTGTCTTAACGTGCTGGAACGTCTGTGAAACTTTGACAGATTTTTTGTATAATATTAAACAATGTTGTACTCGCCTAAGATGTGTCCCGCACGGCGTTAAAACGAATGAAATTGTCTGACGACATACGTCACGAAGGCTTTTCAGCTTTTGTTTTTCTCTTTTTAAGCTTTTAATTTCTCGCTAACGTTGCAAGGACAGAGTGTGCGAATTTGTAACGATAGCACTCCGAGGTTGTAAGATTTATTAATTTTTCGCAAGAACACGAATTTTATGTTAATTCCCTTCTACGTGCATTTAGAATTGTACTGAACATCGGAAACCTTTTCTATGAATTATTCGTGGATAATTTTGAGCCAGTCTTCTTTTTCATCCTCTCCTTTGCGACTCGGAGACACGTTGGATGTTCGATAGTTACTTTTTCTTTGAGACACAAAAATGTAATAAGATGTCTTTGATACACGCCAGTCGGTCCAAGATAAGAGATGCCGTTTACGTTAGATGATGATCTCTACACCCGCATGCGATTTTCTTTTGAGCCTTGAGACGAATCAGCAAAATAGATTTTGTATGTCGTTAACTGACGACAGTAGACTAATGTAATGTCGAGGGTCGTGTGATAGTATGTAGTTAAGGAAATAGAGATGATACGCGTGTCTGAGTGTGTGGATGTAATAAATTAAGAGCTCTATCAGTTATTCATTGTAACGACAAAGTATGTAAAGAGTTTAATAATACTTACTAATAAAATTTAAAATACTACTGTATTCGCTTCTTGACGTCAGTCCAAGTAAATACGCTTCGTCTTCTGTTCATGACGTAACGAAACTTCATGACGTCTCGTTAAAATTAATTTATTGTCGCGTCGATTACTTACCTGTTATTTATTCTCAAGTTACATCGATGTTAGTAAGTACGTTAGCAAGACGCTTATAAATCACATTTATATCGTAAACGCCTGGCCGTATGCGGTCGCAAAGCTTAGACGTTCGCAAGTCGTCATTGGCGAGCGACGCTATGTACGATAATGTAGGAAATACATCAGTTAAATTAAGGAGAAATTATATTTATTTTGAGAATTTAATTTCGATCGCGTATCAAGGTACCTGTGAATCTTTTTTTTTTTTTCAATACCAAAGTAACATTTTGTGTCAAACTACGTGTTATTTTCGATGGTCGCCCTGTTTGTCGCTTCGAAAAATAAGGTTAATGCTAATTTCAAACGTTCCAACGACACTGGTAAGTATGTAGCGTAAGGAATCAGGTAAACGTAAAATGCTGATTCTGTTAAACATTCCTAAGGAAATTCATAAGGACTGATAAAAAGAATCGTGAGGATCCGAATGATTAAATTAAATAAAAAATTAACCGAAAATCAAGTAAGTCATCCAACGGTCTTGTGGTTTACTAGAAAGAAAAAAAAAAAAGAATCCGTTATCCGTAAACCGTGGGTTTTCCTTCTCAGCGACGGGTTATGCGGAATACAGAAAAATAGCATCTTCTTTTTTATATAATACTTTTTCATTTTCTGGTAAGTCTATGGTAATTAATAATTAATAACAAGAAAGAAACCTTTTTCATCAATGTGTCTACAGTAATTATTAAAAGGTACAATTAGCAAATTACTATATTGTGTATTCACTTTGTGTAATAATAGATAATAATATAATTGTAATATTTTCTTCATAATTATAGCGCGATTTCTTTTTTTTCGCGTGCTCATTCGTTTCTACAAATATAATATGGTATCTAATATTTTATTTTTTGTTTTATATATCCACTTCGGTTATTATCAATCATTTACCTTTACTCCTATTTATATCGTTTAACCAAATACTAAAAATACAAATGTTTTGCGTTACGACGCGCATCAAAGTCATCAGAGAGTACTAAATTTAGCCTGATGATTTTCATACGCAATCCCGTACGCATCATATAATATTTATATCTTTGCCTTGACAATTAAGGGGCTCCCAAAGATTAATCTTGCGCCTCGAAAGTGGCACGTGAACGTTAGCAAACAATTCAGTACGGTGACAGTAAGAGCCGGCCAAAGAAATGACATATTTCTTACGAAATTCTGCGTTCCGCAGAGACAACACACAAAGGGTTTCCGCCACGATTCTTGGGTCCGAGGTGTAAAGAAAAGTAACTGCGACTGCACAAATTTTAATAGATCGAGCAGAGTCAGTCTAACAGTAAGAGTTAAAGCCTATGTATTATAAAAACCAACCAGTCTGTCGAATTTCAAACACCGACGGACACGACTATGCCGATCTAGTCATTTTGCGCATACAGACAGACAAATGCATAGAATGAGACATTATTTCATAAAGAATCTGTATTCTTCGGCGAGTTTCATTTTGATATCAGCTTTTTTTTTTTTTTAATATATTTATTGCGTATAGTCTCATATAGTATATAGTATATATTGTATGCATATACAGATGCCACAGACAAACACTTTAGAAACCCCTTAATAGTATGAGCATCCTTAAAATCCACTTAGACATAAAGTATTCTCGTATTTACACATGAAGCTTGCTTTCGTTATCAACTATACAGTTACGTAAATGTAATATTCAATAATAAAATTGTAACATAATAATACCTAGCCTACCTACCTAATGTCAAAGGGAATATTTTACATCGAAATTACAATGTTCCTCGTTTGCAATAAACCTTAAATTCATACATAACTATATTACTACATTTTACATTACACTTCATCCCATCACAATGCAGGCTTGTATGGATCATATTAAATGTAATTCTTGTATTTGTTTCACCGTAAGGTATATATACAGTTTTTATTCTTCAGTTTCCCCGTCCGCGTAAAATAAGTGCGCTACTATGTACAATAGACGATTGGTGAATTGTTGAAATAATTTTCATTAAAAAACAGGCAACGTTCTAACTAAATAATTTATATTGGGATTAGAAACAGGGAAAATTTGACTGAACCTTGACCCAAGAGAACGACCTCGTCTCGACAATCTCAGATCTGCTGAAAGTTTCCCCCAATTTCGAATCTAACCAAAATTCAATGCTTAACATTCTCACGACAAAGGATTATTTTAATGTGTACATTTGCCCAGCAGCCATCGAACTTCTTTCGGTGGATTTTATGTTAACAAAAAATATCGCCTCAACAAACAATACCGTGTTATCGTGCACGCACTTTCTTTCGCGTAACATAAACAAGATTTATTTTTTGAAAAAGAGAAAAAAAGTCTTTCTTTTATCTTACGGCGCACAATAACAGATCGAAGACAGTAAATATTTCGGAAAGCAGTCCGACTGCTCGTCAGAATCTAAATAATTAGAATAATCATCGAATGCCACGTTAAATAAAAGCTAAATCCAAAAGAAAGAAAACAACAAAGTAAGTGTACCGAACAAGATAGATGGCTACGAATGGGCTGCTTAAACCTCGAAACTTTCAACGGTATAATTTATATTTATACAATATAAAACTAGATTTATCTGTTCACAAAAACAATGTTTCATTGAATTTTCATGTATATACATATACATTTGTATATATATATATATAGATATATATATATAAATGTTTATTTTGCGTTGAACAATGCTGAGAGAAAGATATTAAAACGTTTTAATTACACGATCGCGAAGAATAATAATTAATAATAATGACAGTGAAGTTGCACGAGTTCAATTACCACTAATTTAATAAAAATTTAAACAGTTCCTATATGTACATATAAGAGGTGCGTGCGTGCGTGAGTGCGTGCCGTGTGTGTACGTGTGTGTATGCGCGCGCGCGCATGTGTATATGTACGTGTGTGTCTTTACAAGAAATTATTTACAAAATATATTCATTCATATATTACCTATCAAATTAACATTGTATTCATTGTTTTTTTTTTTTAATAATAATTATTCTTATCCGCTTCGTATATTTATGCATGATTTATCCAAACGATCCGTTTATCCTTTCTTTTTTATAAATAATATAAATTCTTTTTTTTAATGTCCCTATACCCCAGCCCTTCGCTATATCGTAACTCGGAGACGACCTTTCCTTCGGCAGACTGTGTTCGTCGATCGTGAGGAAATAAGAATTAATAAAAAAAAAATTGTAACAACGATCAAATGCGACTACGTTCCATTGTCCAAGAAAATAAATCACTGAAAGCATGATTATCTTCGTCCAGCTATCGGATAAGGTCGTTAAACGAAACTAAGATAAAGAACAATGAGAAGAAAAAAAAAAAGAGAAATCAAGAGTTGAATCGCAATCGAGCTAGTCAATTTCAGGATACATATAACGATACAAAAGTACAAACGTACTGAAAATAATTAAACAAATGCTTTTATCCTTTCACACAATAAGTAACTATATAAACGTAGCGTTAGATTAATTGTGTCGCTCCTGAAACTTGATTTTCTCAACCGACATACGTAAAGGCTATTCGGAAGTAGCGACCGGCACGTTCAGAATCGTATGACTGACGCACAGCCTAGACGGATATGTATACAAAGAAAGTAAACCCGTAAAAAGATAAATGAAATGAAATAAATAAATGAGAGTACAGTAGAGCAAGACATATCAGAAACATAGTCTGTCAGGTAGGTCGTCCGTAGTAGCCACCTAAAGCCCCACCAGCTAATAAAATCATTTAATCGCGAGAAACGTACAAGTCAATATACAATATATTACGGCAGTACAGTCCGATTCATACGTGACGTGTCGACTCTGGGCTTCCTTTTACCAACTGCTACGAGTACGAAGTGTGGTGAGGAAGGGAGAGGGGGTAGGGGATCAAAAAGGAAGGAGATTAGAGAACAAGAACTTTAATAAGAATTCCATGCCAATTTGCTGGAGCAATCAGTCGTTAAGCAAGATGCTCAAAGACAATATTCAAATTTTACGCGATAACGTTTATCAGAATAATCTTTCGGAGGTTCGGAGAGGTACGATCGCTTCAATAATCTGATTAATATCTCATAGATAAAAAAGAAAGCACAAGATCGTTAAATTGATTTTGTCAAATTTTACTATTACTACCGATAAAAGTATTATCTCTGAAAAGGTGCATAAATGTTCTACGCGTTATTGCATCGCACATTGTAAATAAGACCGAGGGGTCATTTAATAATTTGTGGCGTTATTCCGCTTGAACCGCTTAAAAAGTCAGGAAAAATTGTAGGATTGAGGGAAGGAGTAACCGTAGCAAATGTCGTCGTAACGTTAATTGAAAAATGGTGATTAAAGGGACGACACACAACAGCGAAATAATGGTAAAAGAAAGTTTTAGATTGACTCGGCAGTTTTGAATCCGGTTTAGTTACTCAAAACGGATTATTGGATGGCCAAAATCCTTTTTTTTTTTATTAATCTCCAAGTAACCAAACGTCACTGTTCGAGAGTACCACTGACGTAAGAATGTTTGACGGCGGAAGGAGGAATGGCAGAATCATTAAATTCAGCATCCCGCGTGAGAGAGGTTCTCACGAAAAGGACAGAGGTCATCATTGACGTAAATATAACGGATTACAATGGTCCTTAACGATTCGAAGAAATATATAGTCGCGACAGTTTTATTAAGGTATGAGCTGTGACATATGGATTAATAAATGTATACGAAATGAAGAGGATAATAATGATAATGAACGTCTACGCTCGCCTCGTACGATTATTATAAAAATTCAACAGATTTCCACCGTCCAGGACTTTCTTAGCCTCGATACTCTATGGTACTTGTATAGCAATGTTGTGCGCTGTTGACACATACAAATTCACCAGGTGGGGTCCAGCCACGCGGCGATCGAATAAACACTGATAATAGACAGACAACCAGACGGACAGGCCTTGACGAGCGACGCTAGCTAATCGCTGTCAAGGTCGCTTCCCGAAGGTCATTTGGTTTCTCGGGATATTCGCCTCCGTTTTGCTTGCTCCGCCGTCTCGGCCGTCACTAAAACAACGTTCTCGCTGTACGAGGTGTCTTGAATTAAAGTAGAACGTTAGTGCGTAAGTTTCGTATTAAAGTACGACACACCGAGATAGAAGGTTAGAGATGAGAGTAAGACTTTCCAATCGGTTAGATAAAAAAAAGATGTGTCAAAGAATTTTCCAATAATGTTACTGCCAGTCACTCAGGGGTACGTTCAGAAATCTCTCTAGAGTCGACTCTAGTATCATTCTATTCTCTTGATAATAACGATAATAAAAAGAGACGCAACGTGTTCGATTTGCCCTAGTAAGATTTTTGAACGCACTCCAGAATGTAATACGAGCCTTTTTTTGAGAATTAGTACAGAGAAGAATTTTGATAATAGTAAGAAGGTGCATCGGCTATGTTACAAGTTAGACAATCATATTCTAGGCCGACGGAAGTTGAAAAAAAAGGAAGGAAGAAGAAATGTGCACATTTATACGTGTAACATTACTCACCAGCTCCGCTACGAGTTTTTCTTCTATTTACATCGTCCACGGATCTGGAAGCACCCCTGGTGTTACTTGCTGGTGTTGCTAACGGTGAAGCTGTGCTTTGTCGAACGGATCTTCTGGTGGTTACTTCGCCGACGGATTCGTTACTAGATACAGATGTGCCACGTAGCCGTTCCTTTGCTACAGTACCGGTGGTTGCGGTAGCGGGTTGTTTGGTAGTCAGTAATCGGCTCTCCCTTTGCGCTCTGTTACTGGCATTCGAATTCGTTATGTTACTGGAATTGGTTTGTCCAACAGCTACTGCACTGCCCGTATTCGTTCTAGACCATAGGTAAAATAGACGGCGGTAAGTTAATACAGCCGAAGAGTGATTCATTGAAGTTGTGGGATATGAATAATTATATTTACTTTTGATCTTTAGACTTTGGGGATGCTGCGGATGTCTCGTCAGACACTCGCGCTCTTCCCTTCCCAGCAATCTCGATGAGCGGCTCGTCGTCCGATGAATCTACTTCTACCAAGATAGGACCTAAAAAGGTGTAAACAAATGTAGGAAAATCATCCTCAGGGCGTATTAAGCGCCTTGTAACTAACGTTAAGACATATCATAGAACGAACAACACACATCGCTATCCTGAACTAAGTTATCTATGTACAAACATGATATTACGTCTTGATGAGGTATTCCGTGCAATTAGGAACAGGGCCTGGGTAGAGCATGGGGCAAAAGTGGGATATGGCTGGTGATTCTACGTATATGGAAATCCTCTGGGTTGAAAAAGCCTCGAACGATGGCGATTCAGTAGGACATACGAAATGGAGTTCGATAATAAGGACTTTGTCCTGGTACCGTGTATACTCTCGTTCGCTAGTGGAGGGTTCAGCACTAGGAGTCCGCAGCTATTTCTATCCTGGATGGAAACTCCGGGAAGAAGGCATACGGTTACAGGAAGGAATGGTATTCAATCGACGCCCGATGTTAGCCGGTAAATTGCAATCCCATTTGATATCGGTAACGTAGGCAAAAGAAAAAAGTTCGAGGCGTTAGCTGAACGTTCTACAAAAGAAGGTATAGGATAGACACCTTTCTTGGCCTTGGCCAATATGTTGAACCCCTTCTTTGACTGTTCCTCCTTGACGGGTACTTGTTTCTTATTAGGACCGCTCTCCTCTACGCCCATGCAAGCCTTAATAAGTTCTGCAGCGTTCTCCGAGCATTTCCGTTTACCTGGCCTTGGTTGGGGATCGTCAGCCGTACTCGACGCTACCGAACTCTCGCTTTCCTGCCTTTTTCGCTTTCCTGCTTTGACCGTCGTTGTGTTAGGCGACAACTTGGAAACGCCTAACTTTGGACTGGCTTTCGCGTACGGCGATATGCTGCGTCGCTCCTCCAACTTGTTCGGGCCGTGAGGACTGCTCTTCGGGGTTCTAACGATGTCCGGGCTGTTCAGTTTCTGTGACCGCGTCCTCAAAGACCTCTTTTCGCTACTGTCGTTTGGGATCTCTATCAAGAGCTGCTCGAGGAGCGACTTTGGTGGACGTTTCACGTAATCTTCAGTGCTATTTGGATTTAGTCGTTCGACGAAATGACTCTCGTCGGTGTCCTCTATACATATCACGTCCTGACGACCCTCCAGGTCTTGTTTTCTTCTGCGTTTTCTCTTAGCATGATCTGCCTCGCACGATTCGACATCTGCATTTTGCGCAGCCGGGCTGGGGGTCTCCTCACGTTGTAACACCACGGGGTTTGAATATGTATAGAGAGGCGGTGTTATTCTTATTGGTTGAGGATCTTCACCCAATGGAGACTGGATACTGATATTTGCTTCACTTGCCTCGCTCACCATTTTCTTCACCAGCTCGTCTGCTACCTTTTGAAGGTTAACCGACGGCTCTCTGATGGACACTTGTTGATGGGTTTGTACGTTGGCTTTTTGGCTTCGATCCGAACACAATTCTAATTTAACGGAGGCGGTTACACTTGGGGACGCGTTTGAGGTTTTTGTAACGTCTAATCGATCGGTTTGCCTCGTGTCGTCCACTTTCACTTCGGATTTGGGTTCAACTTTAACTTCGGAATTAAAAGTTTGAAGGTTTGAGCACGGATGTTCGCTTTTTACACTGGATTCTGTCAATAGGGCACTTTCGCTTTTTTCAATTTTGACTTTAGCATACGCGACGTGATTCGGAATTACAGACACACCATTGTTATTCTGACTATGAGTACCGTCGTTCAATTTAATCGCAACGACATCACTCTCCGACATTGATTTGGCATCGTTCTCGGATGTATTTTCCATAACTTTTGACAGCTCGTGATTTCCGTCCGTCTTACCCTGATCGTTTTGGTTAACGATACTCTCTAATTTTACCGTCTTGACGGCATAACTGTCCTTTGCAGAAAAGTCTTTGACCTGCGAGTTCGCGCATTGCAACAGTTTATTATTATCGCTACCCGTATTGCTCGGCAAAGAGCTTGTAACGATCGTCGTTGAAGCCGTAACCAACGGACTCGCGATACTTTTAACGTTATCGTTCATCTCGATACCGGAAATCGAGTTACCGTGCTCGCCGCTTATCGAGGTTGCCGTTGTCATCGTCACTGATTTTTCACTAGACACACCTTTCACGGCATGCTCACTAGTAGACTTTGCCAGCGTCATCTCGTGATTTAGCCGATTCTCAAGATAGCTCGCGGCAGACACGGGACTTAACCTCTTCGGATCACCGGACTTCAGAAGTTCCGAATGCGAATTTGAACACATATCACTACTGCTAGTCGAGGAAGGCACGTTCTTATCGGTGGTTTGAAGAGGAGGCTCCACCTGGATCGCATTCTTGTTTGAGTTGTTGCTTTGCGTTACAGACTCTGTCGCCGGCCTATGCAAGGGTGATTCACCTTGATTTGGCGACTTCTCCGAGAGGGCATCCATCGATTCTATTCCAGAATCCTCGCCACCACCTCCATTACCGACTCTCTCCGTACTCGCGTCCACCACGCCAATCCCTATGGGTACACTTGTATTTTCCAGCAACTTTTGCTTCACTTTCGCCTCAGTTACATTGATCTCACCAATCGGTAAGGTCGGTTTGTTTGAAGGAAGATCAACGTTTTGCGTCCCTATCCCTTGCTGCTCCCCAGTATTGCTGCCGATCGTCAGATTTTGAGCAGTTTTGAGTAAACTTACTCTTTGCGCATTTTCTGTTTTATTGGTCAGGCTGATGCGCTCGACCTGCTTGATTACGTGATTTTGAACAACCTTCTTATGAACCTGATGCTCGACCTTATGCCTGTTGATGGTAGCGTTCGTGTCGCTTTTTGCGATTGTATGATTTTTCAATTTCTGATTGACGCTCTGCGTCTTCATGGTGGCATTGGAGTTTGCCTTGACAATAGGCCTCTCCATATCTGATTTAGTTTTCGCTGGTAAAATTCTATTTACAGGCTGCTGGGGATTCTTCGTGGCTGTAAATTCGCAGTGCGAAGGTGGCGGTTTGCTCTCAAGATTGCTGGGTGGATGTGGAGTGCTCTGCGTCGGTGGATTAATGCTCTTTATGGCGGGACTGTCGTTATCGAAAGACGAATTCGAATTCACTTTTGAGTTTGGGACTGCATTCGGTGTGGTATTGTCGGGAACGGCCTTCTGACTGTGAAGATGCGTTGCCTCCACGCTTTGAGATTCTGCAAATAATTTTTAAACGATTATCGAGTAAATATAACATCATAGATAATTAAAAAAAGTATCACAAATTCAATATAATGCGAACCTGTAAAATGTAGATCCTTTTCGTCCATTAAACTCAACCTTCTCCTCTTCTCTTGGCTGACGAGGTCTTTCCTGATGCCATTAACTTCCGTCAACCGCGACGTAACGTTTCCCAGGGTGTTGGCCTTTTCAGCTGTAGCCCTGCTGATGTCGCTGTCGCTCGTTCTCCTGATCTCTCCGACCTTCTTGACTGTGCTCGAATCGCTTCCGGATATAATCGAATCCGATTTTTTGCCGGGTTGACCAGCTTCGCCCTTGTAACCAAGTTTTCTCCACTTAACTTGATTATCCAGAATTCTACCGCCAGACAATAGATTTTGCTCCCGATGCAAACCGTCTCCGGACTCTGATTTCTTCTTAGAATCTCTTCTTTTCGTCTTACCTGTAAACACAAAAGCCAGAATAGAAAAAAAAATTATGGTAAAAAACTAAAGTAACAAATTGTGACCAAGTCCAGGATGATCGTACAGTCGTCCTTGATACGTTTCGAAATGTATTATCCTGAAAATATATGGATCTATCTTTAATAATTTTTATCTCCTATGTGCGTAGTGTTTGTCGAGGTTTTTCAATTTCAAATGGGACTATTTTGTGAACGATTGTTCAATAATACTTAACAGGAAAGATAGCACGATCCCCTTTTGGAAACATAACATATATTATCTTACCTCCACCAATTTTATGTTCATTCGTATGGTTTTGAACTTCAGTCTCCAATTGACTCTTGGTTAAAGCTTGCTGGGTATTTGAAGTCTGATTTAAAATAGTAGATTTGTGCTTTAAGGGTGATGGTATCCTACTGTTTAACGGTATATCATCGACATCGCTGCTTTTACTGGAACCCGGTTTAGTCATCCCAGTTTGCAGCCTTGCAACGTCTATTGGTACATCTTGTTTTAAGGCATTGGGTTTGGTCACAACTGTTTGAAGCGTACTGTTCATTTTGACAACAGCATTCGCGCTATTCACGATGGTGGAGTTGGACAAAGGCAATTTGGACGCTGACGATGTACCTATTATCATGCTTAACGATGATTTCTTTTGCAGCAACTTGTTCCCGTCCGTGCACTCCTTCATTTTCTTCAGCTTACCGCGTCTCTTGATGGTGGCTGATTCAGACTCGCCCTCTTTTAGCGACTTCTCCTTCTTCTTTCTGATTTGCACAACAGAAGCATTGCGACCCCTCAGCGAAATGTGTAACGGAGGCACACGTGGCTCATCCCCGCCGCTACCAGAGTTTGGCATGCTCCCCGAGAACATCTTATTCACCGATTTGTCGGCCTTCCTGACAGGCGGCGTATTAACAAAGGAAACATCCACTTTGTAAGCAGGCGTTACTGGCTCCGATTTTTCTAGTTTTAATCTGAGCTTGATTTTCTCGCCGGGCATAGGACTGTGGGCGCTGTCCCTGCTGGATTTGATCCTATTGTGTTTCAGACTCCCTTCGCTGGCTGTTGACTTGACAGTTGTTTCGGAGTCTGACTGATCGGTATTTGTCGTGGTGTCGTTTCTTCGGGAAAAATTACTGTCTGCATCGTCGTCGGAGAATATGGAATTTGACCGGTCATTGGATGGCGAAGGAAATGGAAAGAAATCGTCCTGATTATCGACAGCACTCTCTTGCTCGGAATCGGAACTCTCACTAGGCATGGGTTCAAGATGTCCAGTTAGCGGATTTATTAGAAATTGTCTTATCTTTCCTGTGGACGTATACTCTGGTTCGGGAGGATCTTCCTCAGGCTGTGGCGGCACGGGAACCTCGGCCGTGCCACTTGTCGGAACCACTTTCGCAGCTGTTAGGTGATTTAAACGAGGTCCGCACTGTGGAAAGGCACTCGGAGCCTGGCTTGGAACAGGCAGACGTTGAGTTGTGTTCACTTGAGCACCTTGTGGAATTGAACTATTCTGAGCGTTCCACGTCGTCTCGCTTGCATTGCCCTGGGCACCCTGATAATTTCTGCTGAGAATATTTTGACTCTGACCATAGCGAAAATCGCTTGTCGCTCCCGTATTGACATTCATGTTTTTTAGTTGATTGTGGTGCAATTGTTGTTGTACGTTCAGTGCTTGATTCTGTTGAGCCAAATGCGACTGTTGTGGTTGTTGCGAACCCCCTTGCCTAGGATAAGGTGGTGGCGTTTGCTGTCTCTGATTGCCCAAATAACCTAACCGTTGCTGAGCAACATTCAGCCCCGCAGCAGCAGGGTGTTGCATCATTTGCTGCTGCTGCTGTTGTTGCAATATTTGTTGACTCCCAACAGGAATAGATTGCAATGACATAGGAGTGTTCTGCTGTTGAAGTATCTGCTGCTGAGTAGTCGTTCCTTGTTGTATCAACTGAGAACTGTTAATACCCTGCTGTCCAAGTTGTTGCTGAGCCAGAAGTTGTTGTTGCAGTAGTAGCTGCTGTCGCTGCTGCAAGGGCGTCCTAATTTGCTGACCATTAACCGGATGTCTCGCAGTCAATTGATTTTGCATTTGCACCTGAGAAGGTCTGTAAGCCAACTCCTGCCTAATGGGAAACTTCTGCTGCATTTGTACTTGCGTATGCAACGTTGGAGTTTGTTGTTGCATCTGGCTAGCAACCGATCCATGATGTACTGATTGCGAGGCTGTCATATTGTGTGTGGCAGCACCGATCACGTTAGATGTATGACCTTGAGGCACCGTCGATGGCTGATTCACATTAACAGTCACGAATGCCGATGGACCGGGACTTTGTGCCAAATCGGGAATGACTGAGGATGCACCGATCAGATCCTCCGTTCTCAACGAATCCAAACTCGGCGGCGAGTCGTTGTTCGATGGCATCTCTTTCCTTCTGACAGTAGGTTTCTTGGTGGGCCTCATGCGATTAGCTATACCAGAATTATCCACGACAGCCGGTGGTAGCATCTTCTGAGGAGGCAAAACGTTATTTGGATGCGAGCCTCCATCGTTTTGCAGAAGATTCACGAGCAGCGGGCTCGAAAGCGCTACCTGATTGCCACTGCCGTTGGAACTGGTCGTTAGATTGCTACCATTGGTTGGCGACAGACTAGGAGCCATGGCAGGTGGAGACTTGTACTGACTCGTCACAGGTCCAGTCACGGAAACGGGCTGCGTGGTGGTATGGCCAGTCGTTAACGCAGTGACTGTCGACAAACTGTCTTGAGCGGGATAAGGCGGTGGCGGCTGTGTATGATGTTTAAATTGCACTGTATTCTTAATGGTACTAGCTTGGGACTCGCGGTTATGTATAGCTTGCGCAGCATGGGTCATGCTGGCAAAGGGGAATGGACCGTTGAAATTGTTTCTGGGCGAAGCGCTGGGATTTGTCGTCTGTTGACTCCCGGTCATGCCGCCACCGCTACCACCAGCCGTCGGTTGAACTGTTTTCGCGAGAAATGGTGGGATTGGATCACAGTCTGTTGGAGCTACGACATTCGGTGAGCGAAATTGTGGTGCCTTCTCCGACGACGAACCTGAAATAAAATATTTTTATTTATTAAGCTAACTCCTCATACTATGATCATAAGAAAAAATAAAGGGCTATTAGGACAAGGTGTATTGCTAAAAAATTTGAACTTGCCAGCTGTTATAATTTGAGCGACACTACGCAATGTTGAAGTAATGCTTGAAGAATTGCTTGGACCTGGTACAGCAGCCGTTGTATCGGAGTCGACATTCGATGCACTGTTGCTCGTATCGCTCTGTGATTTACTTCCAGCATCTTGAGCAGGACCGGAGCGCAACACGATTTCTTGTGCTTCTCCACCGAACCTACTAGCTATCCTCAGCGATATCACCTACAGATTATGATAGTAATATAAGAAGCGCTATTGCTATGTAATTATCATCAAAAATATTTCAAATACTCTAAGTACCTGATCCCCTTCAACCTGGACTGAAAGAATCCCAAGCTGCGTGAGAGTTGGTGAACCCTGAGCAGCCAACTCTCGTAGACGCAGTGCAGCCTCCCTCGGTATCGAAAATGTCACCCTCACGGAGTTCCATGGTTCTACCTTGCTTATTCTGAGCCCTTCGCCATTTTCTATAAACAACAATGACAATGATTTTTATACTCGACTTCATGATATTGTTTTTAGTTATTAAATTTTATTACTTTTTTTATCCTTTATCCGCTAATATCGCGGAAAAATAGTTTTACGTAAAAATTTCAAAACGAACCTTTGCAGAGCAGAGACTTCAGGCGATCTACAATGACCTTAAACTTATGTGGAAATTCTGGATCCCCGAGATCTCCCTCACACGTGACCACCGTCTCGATCAGATCACCATCGCTGTCTGCCGCCATGACTGTGACAAAAAAATTGAAATTGTCTCTTCATAAATCGAAAAAGTATTTTGCCATTTAAATGTAATTATAAATCAATGTCTCCGTGCAAGAATATCTATATATATATATATTTAAATTACATAGTACAGATGATATCTGTGCGCTAATTGATCATGAGGTATATATGTAGTGTAAGACTTGCATCTGTGACTTTATTATCATTAGAATATGGTGATATATTTGTATTTTTGTGCACATACCTAAACTTTATATATGCGAAATTTTATAACACATACTTGTAACTACATCAAGTTGTGTATAATTCTAATATTCTTCTACACATAAAACTTAAGTATATTTACGGTAGCAAAAGGATGTAAATTCTTTGTTACAAAATGAAGTACATTGAAGAATACTGTTACAAGAGAGTACTAAAGAAAAAGTATATTATAACTTACTTTTACACATTCATAACTGATATTTTAAATAATTTAAGGTTATGTTCATTTAAGTAATGTTTCTTGGATATAAAATTTAAACTTACCAATCATCAATCACATAACTACCCAGGGAGCCTGGGGACGTCTCAGGGTATCACTGTACACTCTGGCTACGCAGCTGTTCGTCCGTCGGTTCCAAACCGACGGCTCCACACCACTCCAGCACTGCCTTCCTAGCAATCTTCCTTACTGTTCATACAAAACAACAACAACATTAGTCCCAGTGTAAAATTTTCAGAAGATTCAACAGTTTATCGCCCTTTAATTTTATTCACAATCTCCAAATATGAAAAATAATACTGACGGATTGCCTTTAAAGTTTTATAGAAAAGCACTGTCACATACTTCAAGTATCGTTAGTACATTTAAACAATTAGTCCTATTTAAGTACACTGTATCTGATTCTTATATTCTATAAAATTGGAACATCATGAATTATAAAGAGTCATTTATGAACAAACTTCTATACTTGATCTGCCAAACGTATGGACAGTAATTATTGATTTACAGAATTGTGTTTTTTCCTTTACAGCATTTAAAAAAATAAAAATCTCATCCTTTTTTACTATAAGTTAATGTAAATGATATCGTAATGAAAAAAAATCTATTCAATGTATTATACTGTATATGTGTAAGATAAAATATCACAACTAAAAAATCGTTTAATTAAACAAAAGGGAAGAAGACAAAGTTTATTGCTTCCATATTGCATTAAAAAGAGAATAGAACTTGTCGTCTTAATATTAATCCAAGGTAAACTGTAATGTTTCTCCAAAAATTGAAACAAATCACATATAATTCTCAAGAAAAAAAAAATGCTTAAGACAAAAAACAACATTCCTCTGATTACTAGAATAACAAAACGTACAAATATTACAAACATAATTTAGTGTACAGAAAACCAAAATCAAAATGTGCTGTTATGAGAATAAAAAAGAAATAAAAATAAAATATACATGTAAGATAAGTTTCCAGACTCTCCGTAGCACTTGTGAGTTTTTAAATATCATTGCGTAAATTCAGTGCAGGAAATACATGGATTTCACGAAGTTTCAGAAATCACATGATAAACTTAAAAAATCGAATTGATAAAATACTGCTGATTAACATAAATTAAATGAATTCAAAAGACAACTCCGCGGAAGGATTGACACGTATCAATCGATGAAATATCAAATGGTGAGCAGCGAAGATATGGTGCATCCCGAAAATAGTCGCAGAAGTGAAAACAATCACAAAAACATAATGCATAAACACAAAGTGGGGCCAACGTACACTACTAGGTTATAATTGGATGACAATTTCATGGTAATTATGTAATTTTTTTTCGAATATGATTGATAAGGAATAATCCGATCTACCGATTTTCATGAAATTCGCGCGCGAATAGAAATAAAACGATTCCAGAAGCAGCTTTACCATTCCCGAACAGCAATTAAAATCTTTTGGGCCACAAGACGGGGGCTCGATTTCTATACCACAGAAAATAGGTTATAGAACAGATCTTTGAACTAGGCGCAAAGTTGAGATCTTTGTATTGCTCGAAACGGGATGATTTCGCCCAAGAAAACGGTTGTTCCGGCGAGTTTCCGGGGGATTTTCGGCGAAATAAGGCGCCCAGACCATTGGATATCGGGGGGCCACCATTTTGTCCGTCGGGGGAGGTGTACGTGAAGTGGGCTGAAGCATGCTCAAGATAGCCCGTCAAAAGTCCAAAACTTTTTAATTCACGGCTTTTTCCTGCCTCCCTGGCTCATACTTGCTTACCGAAGTGAATTAGGGTTCAGTGCTAGGGGCACAGGGCCATAGAGGACTCACGAAGACCTTTACACAGAGCGATTTGATACCGTATGAACACAGGAAAATTTTAACGTTACCCCATTTCTTTCCAACTTCGTGCGGGATTTCTCGCGTCCGAATTGCACCGGGACACACCACCAGAGCACTAATCTTAACCTAAAACACACCGCGCGAGCTTTATTCCACTTTCTGTACACGGCGCGCGGCAGGGATCACGAAAAAACTCGACATAATCGGCAATATAAAGGGACAAGTCATAAAACGCCATGAACAATAACAAGGAGCCGCCATTTGCAATGCAGCCAACTGACATGCGCAAATCAATCGCGCGGGGCACACTGGGTACTCACAGGGCGCCATCTTGCCACTCATTTAAACATCTAACCAACCTAACCTCTATACATACGAAAGCCGACTCTAAATGCTTTGGTTGCGTTTATTCCAATATTTGTCTATCCTATTTTTACCCGCATACGATGATTCTAATTACATATTACTGAAATTTATTAGATTTCTTTTCCCATTTCTATCCAAAAAATCAAAATTTTGATTGTCACATAGCACATCTCTAATAGCGGCATAGGTAACCCTTGTGAATTACCATGGTTTTTTAAATTAGTTATACAATTAAAATTGTTTAATATGAACCAAGAATCATACTATTAAAAATCACAGTACTAAATTAACCAGTATTTTCTGCACAAATAATCCTCATTATGTTTATATCACACAGTTTACTTACCATACATATATAAGAATTTGTATTCACCTGATTTTTGAAAACTTATTTCTCTCATTCATTTTATAATGTTCAATGCAGTTATCAATGAATATAACAAATTATATTAGAAAAGTGTAAATATCTGTTCACAAGATTTTTTTCTCCTCAATCACTATAATTATAAATACATGACATGCTTGTGATTAGATACACTTCTACAATAATACTAAGTGCCTGTGTGTCAAATACATGTATTGGAAGACTCTGTTTTGCAATAATTTTGATTTTCCTTTCACATCCGCTATAAGAAATGTCAGTTACTTCCATCAGAGATAAAAATTAGAAAAAATTAAATTATATGGATTTATCAATTTATTGGATACTCAATGATACCAATTACTCGATAATACAGACCAATTAATTCAACTATTTACATTCCTAAGAAATGCTTATTATTCAATATTGCCAGACTGCATTAAACCAGCATCAATCATTCGCTTGAGAGACTTCTCAGCATCATAGGTCCTAAAAGAATTATAATAATTTTATAAAAAAACATATTCAAAACTTTCGAATAAAAAATAGTGAAATGATATTACTTGTAGAAATCAGCATATTTCTGTTTCCTTGGATCAGCAACCAAGTACTTAAATGTTAAAGCACTTGAAATGGATACAATAACCATTGCTACAAGGTGCTTCTTGGTATTAGATATAAGAAGGTTCCTAAGTTGAGGCTTGGGAAGTTTGCCAGTCATCTGGAACAGAGCAATTATTCAAATTTACACTTGTTGAATTAATAAACAAATTTCGTTTATAAAGAACCTATTCTTAAGGAGAAAAAAGAAACAGGAATTACTAAGTTACACGTAACCATCTCTATCGAACGTTATTCATAGGATTAATAACAATTAATATAGTAAAATCTATAAATATTCGTTCATATGGAATAAGTTTTGTCTGTGAAATTCTTGTTATATAAATCCACATATAAAAAACTTAAAATATGGAGAGCTTTGTCAATTGATCCTCCAAAAATCATTATTTAATTTTTCCTGTCCAGTCATGTTATGTAATGACAATCTAGAATAGCGACTTATTTCTTTGTATTCATTTGACTGAGGCTGCGTAAAATGATTTCTAGCTGTTTAACATACCTTATTCAGTTATTCCAAACGTTTAAAACTGTGCAAAAAGGATCTACTCGACGAACAAGTAGAAGAATAACTACGCAACGATCGACCGAGTGGAACCTTTGAGTGGAGCACGGGAGGACTCTCTATATACTTTTTTGAATTGATATCAGTAGCCTAATGATGCTAATAGAAAACATTACGAAATGAACTTACGTATAATGTTAAAAATCACCAAATTTACATGAAATACTGAAAAACTAAATAACAAATATCATTTTTGTAAAAAAAGAAAGTAAATATCCCAATTCGAAATCCTAATATCTTCATAACGAAGCTATCCACGTTACCAACTGAATCTTATTACGTTTTACTTATAAGAATATTATTGAAAACGTACGATATAGAAATTCAATAACGATATTCCTTTCTTCTTATACATATTATTTCTTATTAAATATCATAATTGCATAACAAATATTCCTAATGATCGCAAAGGGCTCAGTCACACTCTTCAAATATGCGTTCGAACGTGAACTGTCGACCAATGGTACAACGCGTACATAGGAATTTACCATATGTTATTCGTTGAAGTTGCGTATAAACGTGTGTAACGAGTGTAACTGGGCTCTAAAGGAACACAATTATGACGTGCCATCTACGTCGGTAAATTTTATTAAGTAGAACAAGATGGAAAATCTTGCCACAAAGCAAAATAAAATGGTAGCAGTCGTATCTCACAATTTTTATGTTATCGATGGTAGATGCCAACATTAGCCAACATACACATAGAGAACTATAAAGACCTATCACTACTTGCGAGGAGAAGGAGAACGTTAATCGGGAAGTTTGTCGAGGCCACAATAACGGACGTTTCTGTGTTGAAAACGACTATTTTTTACACGTGACATTTTCCTCTAAGTCAGTATCGTTGTCTGGAGAACTTTGGTAACGACGCGCAATTATTTAGTAATAGAGCTATCGAAAATTAAAGCTCAGTGGCCAATTTATGTGAAAAAGTCTACAGAGACAGCGACAGCTGACGAATGTAAAGTGAAATTCAGGGTTCGCGAGTACGCGTGCACTCAAATCGCACTGTTGCCCTTATACGCTATAAAAACAAACGTTACATATTAAGACAGTGGAATAAGGCAAGCGAACAGGGTACGTATGATTCATAGGAGAATACGATTTTTAGGCTTATGTAACTGGTTACTTTTTCGACAAAGGTTCTTTTGCAGGAGCATGTAAGATTCCAAGAGATAAATGAATATGAAGTAGGTCGCATTTTTTTCTTTGTGTGGCAAACTGACATTCCTTTTGCTAGACCTTCTTGGTTGATCATCATTATCCTAAATTCTTTTACATCAGCAATTGCGCTAGCACTGTTATGACTGTTCAAATGGCAAAACAAAAACTAACCTACTCTTATACGAATATATAGTATCTTTAATTATATAGATTCTTAGCCTTTATTTGTATTTACAATGTGTTATCTTACGAGCGAAAGCGCTGCTGCCAATTTGTTCTTTTACGTTGGAAACAGAAATTTTTTTACTGTAGAGCTGTTTTTCTTACATGAGAGTCACATTAGTGTGTACCTAGTAGTAGATAAGATTTCACCAATTATCAACATCATTAAATGAATAATCTGTTCATTATCTTTGAAGTTTCGTTACGGATGTCAGAAGAAACCAGTGTAGGAGTATGAGAGTTTTTGGCTATGTTTAATTTTTGTGACGAAAAAGCCAATAATGTTATTACCGTGGAGAAGAACAGTTCGGTATTTAGTAAACGTGAAGTACGTACACCCTGAGTACAGCAGATAAATTTTACATGGTGTTTAGAAACTATTATTATTTCTTAGTAAAAATGTTAAGTACAGATTGGGTTTTAAATTAAAATCAGTAATTAATTATTACTGTTTTGTAACCAGTGCTAACTCAATGACGTATGGATTTGTATATTAGTTGATTTAAAAAGGAAATCTCATCGTCGTTAAGGCTGATGTAGAGACAGTTCTTAACCGTAGAAACATAGCACGAAAACACGGCGTGATAACGTACGGTCGAAACATTCTTTGTAACATTCTCGTGTATTTTTTATAATTTTACCAAAGTAACAGTATTGTAGTATTTCATATGTTATGAAGAATTTAGTTATACTCCATTTAAATCGATTAAAATCGGAAAAATACTATATTTAAAAGAAATATGTTTAACGATGTTTTAACAAACATGATGTTACTTAATTCTTATTGTATTTTTTTCGAAAAAAAAAAATTACTTGATCTGAATCCAAGTTCATCGACTTTGTCTTTAATATAAGGAATAGGAAAGTATACATATTTTATCAAAGTATTAACGCATAAACGAGAATAACAATGTTCAAGATTTCTTCGCGTTTGACGTCATCGCGTTGTCACATGTGCCATATTTCTATGTACTAGAATGACTGAATTGGAATTGTCTGAACAACAGTCTCAATTGCTACATGTAATTAAGAAATTCCTTATTTTGAATAACGTAAAAAACTATATTATAACCTACTGTTATGTTGTTTCTGTTAAATTTACTCTTTTTTATATTCTGTATTAACAAAAATGGTTAGAAACGTTGTTTGATAATATCAGATAACAAAATTAGATCATGAAAAAGAGCAAATATAAAACATTTAACATAACTATAATTAAATTAATTATCGCTAATTGAAAATTAGTTCAATATTATTGATGGAACAAAATATTTATTTTCATAACCAGATAGCACATGATAGAATCTAAAAAATTGATTATATTTCATTGGTCAAAAATGTGAGAGTAATGTTGTAGCATGACTGTAGTGTCGGTAGAAAATGAGGAAAGACTATTTTATTCCTTTATTTACATAATGTGCCAAACATATATAAGTTAAATGTATTTTCTCTTTTTTTCAGGGGACTGCATTTGTGCAGTCCAGAACAGAGCTGGTGATCATGGAACAAGTGATTACATTGAGTACTCAAAATCCATTATCCCTCTTGCTAAAGTTTGGCATGATGGCTTGGAACAATACCTGTGGAATGGATAATTGTTCTGGTCATGGTGAATGCCATAATGGTACATGCCTCTGTGAGGTAACACCTTATTACATATAATTTAATTTTGCTAGAGTGATATGAAAGTCATATAAATATCTGGATATCAATTATTTTTTATAGATCCAGTTTGATGGAACGGAATGCCATGTACCAAATTTCAGTTACTATATTGCATTTGCCACTATGTTTTTCATTTTGGCATTTGTTTGCTTAACACAACTAGTGATGTGCATTGTTGCTGAATGGCAAAAAATGAAAGCTCCATCATTCCTTAGAGCTTGTCGTGTAACCACTCAGAAAGTACTGTATTTCGTTGTATTTCTTGCATCCATGATACGTGGTGCCTACTTCACTTCACCGGTAAGAACGTTCTTATTCTATAGAGTGATCCTAAAATAATTAATAGTTTATTAGAATAATATTATAACGATTATTATATTTTTTGCCTCTAGAATGCATTTAAGGAAGGTTGGTCGAGAAGCTTACTATCTGCTTATTATCCGCTTCTTCTAAGCGGATCATCATTAATCGTATGCTTCTGGGCTGAAGTTTTTCACTTGAGGGATATTCGGTGGGACAAGCCACAGTTTCTTTCGAAATCGTTCTTGGGCTTTGTTACCTTCAATATAATAACATATTCTCTGTTACTCGCTGAATTCGTCACTGCACAAATGAACACTCAAGTAGATCAAGTATGTGTATTCTAATTTATTAAATGTCATACACAATGGGCATTGTTAACCCTTTGCACTCCACAGTTTCTCATTTTCCATATATTTTGATGCCTAAGAGGGGATAGTCGAGTTCAAAGGGTTAATTTAAGAGGAGCGCGCTCGATTAACGACGCATATTCTTTTTGCTCTTTTCAGAGCTTCTACACACACATCTTCAATGGCTGTTATGCCGTATTACTGTTCATTGTTGTGATATTCTTTCTGATCTATGGCGTGGAAGTTTTCTTCAAGGTGAGAGAATACTGTAATAAGTGTAAGATGTCAGGAGGTTCCAATACGCGTATATGAAATTTTATTCATCTAACTAATCCTTTCTCTAAATGGTGATAGGTGCGTGGTGGCTTTTTAAATGATTATCAAGTTGCATCAATTGCAACAAATAAACGAACACCACTGGATCCCAAACTCCACGAAGAAGACCCAGCTTCTGCAAAGTTATTTGAACCAATTGCTACAACTTCTGTGGAAACAGTAAATATTCAACAACAAGTGAACACGTCGCAATTACATCAATCAAGATTTGGATTGCTATCCCAGGCGTTCATGTTGTTTATAATCGTTGGATTCTTGTTCAGTGAGACGTTGAGTGAATTCTGGAAAACAAAGTACGTACTTTGGGTAATATGCAATTGTTCCTGTAATAATTCCTGTATTTTTTTATATTCAGCACGGAAAGATAAATTGCATTTAGTTGTTAAATTAATGTGAACTATAATTTTTTTTACAGAGTTCCACTATACAGCAGAAACTGGCATGACGTTGTGTTTCGACTTATTGAAGTAGGCGTTGCTTTATGGTTCCCTTGTGTGTTATGGAATTGTATGAGGTATGTTCCTTCAACATTTTTTCATTGTAGTTAAAAATTGATCACTATTTAATATTTTGTCATATTACAACTGATGTTATAGCCCAGAACAGTTGTGGATTTTGAACCCGAAACGAATTCTAAAGAGACTAGATCTTGACCAAACGAAAAACCTAAAGGAAATAGAATTGCAGGAAAGAACTAGTTTAACAAAGTCAGATGTCACAGACGGAACTTCCATCAGTAGCAAAGACTGTTGGATTTGTTATGACAGCGAGAGACAAGATGCTGGATGTCTCATCCAGCCTTGTCAGTGTAGAGGCGATGTTAGTGCTGTCCATCATGATTGTTTACGTCGATGGCTTGTTGAGGTAATTTTCAGAGAAAGATAAATTCTTCCGATTTGACACAACACCGTACAAATTCAATATTAATTTACAGAGTTCAATGAACGTCGATAATCTCGCTTGTAAAGTTTGCGGTACCAAGTATAACGTAGAACGAGCAACTAGATTGGATTGGCAGAATAGTTTGACACCTCGTCACTGGTTACAAACAATTGCCATTGTCACAACCATGTGTGGCTCTTATGCTGGCGCCTGGTTATTTATTCAATTAGTTGAAAGTCCCATACTAAGAATGTTGGCGGCAGGTACTGCTTTGCTGGTAATGTACGTCTGCATAAAGTAAGTTGGTTTTCAGGAATGATCTTATTATTATGCGCTGTTATTTCAATTTCTTAGGCATTTGTTCACGTGTGGTGATTTTGGAATGTTCACAGATTCTTAAGTGTCAATACGGTTGTAGCTTATCAACGTGCCAAAATATCATCGCTGAACATCGTCGACGGGAATAGCAGTCCCAATGAACAGGTAAATACAATAAGTCATACGGTATCCGTGGATTTAGCCAGATCTGAAACAGCTACGACTTAATAAAATCGCACTGTTCACGAGGCTACAATGTCCAAGATTAATTTCATTTGGTGCTAAAAGGGTAAGGGAAATAAAAAAAGAAAACAAGAAGTGACAATTTAAGGATACCGGATTCGAGCATAATCAGGAACATTTATATATATATATGCCGTATTGTCAGAGGCTAGATGAGTGAGTCAATGACTTTAAGTAAGGAAACTACAGCCAAATTTGCGGAAGATGCATGGACGGCATACGTCCACAATTAGTATCTTACTTTTAAATTACAAACAAAATAAATCACATTGTCGACTCTGTCGTTCTATCGATCGATCGTGTTCTTCTTGCCAAGTACTACAATTTTTCTCATATATAAACTTAGGCAAATAAATTAAGGTGACAATTCCACGGCAATTCAAGTGATCGAGTTATTTTCTGTCTTGGAAATGAACTATATCGCTGTTACAATTATAAGTCATTGAATCACATGGATTTTCAAGATTTTGAAAACATAATTATAAATACACATTGTATTATTGTCTTGAATAGTTTCCTTATCTTTGCGTTCGTCGCTGTGCTATTGCAACAGTATGAAATTCTAGTGTTAACTTAAATTTCGGAATTGTGTTTAATCACCGTTTTGTGAGTGCAATCTATTTAGAGCGATTTAAGCCGTAAACTTAACTGCAGTGAAGTAATGAAGCATATAAAAAATAAGCGTAGTCATAACAATTTCAATGTGGAACCAGAAATCGTAGCTAATATCGCAGAACTCAAATAGTCAATAAAATAAGAAATATAGATTAAAGTTTTAGACAGATGGGTATTACCAACGATCATGTTGGTAGGTAGGTGGTACATTTTTAGAATTATCGTCACAACTCAAACTATACTTACCATAAGTACGATGTTTGGAGTTGTTCTTGAATGTTATATAGTATGCATAATTTATCTAGATTGTAATGGTAACGTACGATTAATTACTAATGAGAATAGCACTTAACCATGGGGTATTTTGTCAGTTGGGGATATATGATATAGCATAACAAATGTGATAGAAATTATTGTAACAAGTATCGCGAAATAACGTATCAAAATCCGATATTGAATTTAACATCACTATGAATAATGGATAGGACAAGTTTGATACTGTCAATAACTTTTTTTATCTTACGTGGTATGCGATTAATAAAAATTAAGTATGAAGAATCTTATTTCAATTAACTTACAATATATGATCTTCGACTTGCAAAATACTCTTAGACGTAAAAGTATCATTATATATTGTGTATATACGACTAATATAGGATCGTTTTAACGTGTAGCATTACGTTTTACTTATTATATATGAAAAATGTGTATGAATTAGACGATATTGATGAACTTAGATATTCGTATTGGAAATACAGTTAAGAGAGAATTAATTAAGGGCGCAAGGCGCTCTTTCTCGCGTTCTATATGAATTTTGTTTTCATTTGTCTCTTGAAGCCGCTGGATAAAACATTTCTCAGGTATTTGATTGAATCTTCATTTGTATCGTTACATGAGATTGAACCGAAAAACGTTTTGTTAAATCGAATAATTGTAACGATACTGTGTTTCATACAGTGTCGAACATAAACATGTTAATTATTATTTTTGTCAAGAGTCATTCATGGTTGCGCTAAAAAAAAAAGAAAGAAGCCTTTTACGACAATTGAAAAGGGAAAGAAAGCAACATATTTTTGAAAAGTATGCAGTTTTAGAATTAACAGTTTATTGAAATGCTTTATTATCTTCGTGAAATTCCAGTTTGAGTTTTAGAAGTTGTATTGGGGTACCAACAATACTTTGCACGCTGGCATACCACTCTTACTTATCTTTATAGACTGAATTAAAAACATTTCTCTACGGTATTGATATATAGACACACTTTTTTGAAGAGAGAAATTATGCTGGATATAATGGCGATCAATAGAATATTCTGAAGAAATTATGTTCCACACTGATGATAGTAACTTAAGTTTTGAAAAACAGATATCTGATTGACTGTATCATTACTTCAGACTTTTCTTTTTGATGAAGTTGTGTTTTGCGAAAGCGCAGTTAGTTCGACGATTCTGTTTGATTGATCCTGCTGGAAGAATTTAATTGTCGTTGACAAAATCTATTTTGATTCATTTAGCGAAACGCTGCGAAAGATTTGAAGAAGTGTTGGTAAGCTGTGATATTGCGGAATGTATAAATCTGACAGAATGTCCCTAAATAAAATTTAAGAAGTGACATAAATGTACATTTATTTGTTTATCTTGTCATAAACAATTTTCTTTTTTTTTTTCCAGAAATTAAAGAAAGTATATTAGGAGAGTTTTTTAACACGTTCCGTGCCGCTTCATCTCCACGCGATTTCCCATTCACGTTACGTAGATTACGGATGAGCCACACTTCCGATCAAACTTGAACGAAAAGTCCAACATAGATCACCGGTGACTCACGCGGCATGGAAAGCGTTAATAGGATTTTGATATTAAATTTTAACGACGCTTCATCGTTTGTTCAATCATCTACTAAATGTAGGAATGATTTCGAGTCATTCTCTTTATTAATCATTACTCGTTAAGACAATTACTTAAGTATGTACGAGGGATACATGATACCAATTGAATCGAGTGGTTGATAATTAGTATAATATTATAGAGACATACAAATACAACAGAACTTAAATTATCGTATAACGTTAACTGCTAATTTTTGTTTGTTAACTCCTGTCGTCGGCGTTTGTTTGTTCGTCTATTAACATTATTGATTTGCCGCGTGTATTAGGTGGAAATAATGTAACGGGTTGTATTCTCATTTTTTAAAAAATTTGTTGAATATTGTTGGGTATATGGTAAATGCTGTTGATGACCTGCTCAACCTCAACCTGTAAAATAAATAATCAGATTAGAAAATATATATCCCTATGATTACAAACATGTAATTCAGTACACAATTTAGAAATTGAAAAGGTCAGTGTTACTCTCAAATTATAGTTTTCGTAATTTCTCATTAACCAAAAAAAAATGGAAATAACAACGCATATCAGAACCAACGAAGAACAGACTCCACGCAATGCTAAATGCATAATGCATTATATAAATGTGCAAGGAAGGATAAGAAAGGTACACTGGGTTTTCTCTTTGAGTGCAAATTAGAGGTAAGCATATTGACGAATTAATATATCTAAAGATTACCTGCAATGCCGGAAATTGCCTCTGAAGCAAAGTATTTCACATCTACGTCATCATCGGTATTTAGTTTTTCAAGGACAGGCTTTACTTGAGTCTGAACTGCACTAGGCTCTAAGTAGGGTCCAATACGCTGCAAGGTTTTAGCAACATTAAATCTGACGTTGGCAACATTATCATTAGCCATTGCCAAAACAGTTGGGAGCATAAACTTTGTCGTTATTTCCGGTCCGCATACCTCAGCCAATACCTATCAGAAGTGAAGGATATTGGATAGAAATAAACATGTAACTTATACATTTTACACCTTAGATCAGATGAAATTTGCATGAAAATTTTTTAAATAGCCTAATAGGTTTTTTTATTGACTTACATTGATGCAGAAAAGACATGTCATCCTATGAAGGTAATTTTGATCCCTGGACATGGCCAATACTTTGGGAATCACTGTATGTTGTGCCCATTCTGGGCCAAACTTTTCTACAAGTTTTTTCAAGTTTAAAGTAGCAGCCTCTCGGATCGCGTAAACGTGGTCAACTAGCCAGGTCATACAGAGAGAGTTTAATTTTTCATCGAAAAACTCCACACCCAGTTGTCCTGCTAGTAACGGCATATATCTGAAATCACGTCATAGACGTAATTAATTTTTTTTTTATTGAGTATCTATCAAGGTATATCAACTTACTCAATAATGGCCAGCCGCACTCGCCATTTGGAGTCCTCTGCTAATTCCACAATAGCAGGCAGGAGGGATTGCGATAGTTGTTGAATGCCAATCACTTCATTGACACAGTCAAGGTTACTGATTATATTAAGACGCACTTCAGGGCACTCATCTTTTAGTTGACACAGAAATAAGGGTAACAGATGTTCGATAGTACTGCATATAGAAAAACGAAAGTCATTTGAATCGTACTAAGAAAGAATTTCATATTACCAAAATATATAGACCGATACTAACAGATGCTTTCCCAGAATCGGACTGAGACCCATAATAACACTCGCTAGTGCTGATTTGACGTGTTGATTTGGATCTGATACAAGTTCTTTTATGTAGGGTAAAACGTTTGACATGATGATAGACTCTTGATTAAATTGATCCAGATTTTGACAGAAGTCACGAACTTTGTCTGCAGCTGCCGCGCGAACCTCAGCTTCGGCATCCTTAAGCAATACTTGAAACGCTGGTACCAGGTCTGTCTTTGTTATTTCTGGGCCAACTGCTTTTTGCAGCTAAGCGTGATAATATTCCATTAAAGTCTCATTGCACAAAAATCTACGTACATACAACATGTATGACGACAACTTACATCAGTGAATTTGTCAGCAACCATATATCGTACTCTCCACGACTGATCGGATGCGCAATTTCGAAGAGTTGGCATGACCAATTGTTCGACATCCTCTTGTTGCAAGAGGGTAGCAATACTGACGCAAGCTTCAACAGCTAACAGACGAACTGAGTCCTAAAGAAAAAAAGTGTTAGTATTTAAGCTCACTACTCATCCATTGTATAGCAATTCTTTCTTGAGGAAGAGATACTTAAAGATTTATTGAAGAAAACACCAAGGGCTATTGCTGCAGTGGATGTACTAAAAGAACTCGAATATACGAGCGCCAGAATTACTGATTTTAAAGATTGGGGCAAATAATAGGTAATCAACGAACCGAACTTGCCTGTTCATCTTGGGCAAGGATGACAAACATTGGGATCAGGTCTGATTTCAAATAGCCGACCTCTACAACTTTCGCGAATTCTCCTAGCTTTGATGCAGCTGAACGTCTAACCATGGGCGTATCGTCCTGACATAGATTACGGAAATGATTTCGCAGCTCAGCTGAAATATGTTTAAAAGGTTTTGTTAATATAATACTAAATAATAGATATTGGGTCACATTCAGTTTAAAACAAAATCCATATGTTTTACCTTTTAATGTAGGGCTTACACGAGTATAGCAAACACTGAATAATCCACAAGCTGATGTTCTCGACGTAAACCAATCTCCAGAGGCTAAACGTTGTACCAAAGGAACAAAGTGTTCTTGTAGATCAGTAGGACTGTGCTGACTTGCGATGTTACGTAGGGATTCAACAGCTTTATCACGTACTACTGTCTCTTCCACTGTTGCAAGAGACTCCAGTGGAGGCTGCAAAATAAGAATAATAGAAATTCATCCAAAATTAGAATTACCAATTTTCGATTGTTCTACAGAAAATACTCATATATAATATGAAAGACTTTTTAATTTATCTAAGGATAATTACCAAAAGACAGTGTACAAATTCAGGTCCACCAACAAGAGGAGTGAAAGTGCCGAGTTGCTCGGCAAGTGCAAGGAGTACCTCATCTTCATCGTATATGGTTTCTGTCAGAAATGGAATTAGTTCGCTGCGAGTACGCTCTACGCCCAATGCAAGAGCAATGGTAGATAACTTTTTGATAGAGTTCAATCGTAGCTGTAACAAAACAAATTAATACTTAACAGTGAAATGTATGCAGGACTTTTTATTTTAAATAAGATAGTACTGGTAACTAAATAACAAATACGTCAAAATTATAGTTTGTTATATCCTTTTTGAGTCACCTAATAACTATTTATCATACACAAAAATAATTCGAATATTGAGCACAGAAATACGCTATTCACACAATTGAGAAATTCATAAGGTTCTGACTCCAATTGCGTATCAATTATACTTTAATGACATTTAGATAAATAACCATGACAGCATTCTCAATCATTTCCTATCTATGTCTCCGTACACAAGGTAAATTAGCTATTCCGTTTGCGGGCAAGAACCCTTAGCCCTGTGGTGTTTAATGACTGCAGAAAGATGGCTAAATTACGAGATTTCTCAGTTCATTTACCTGGACATCCTCGTTTTTCAATTCGTCGATCAAAACAGCGATCGGGTAAAGACTGTCGTCCGCGATAGAGTCGCACGCTGCCATTTTGCTGCTGACCACACTTTAACACTTTCGTGTCTCGCACAGTGTCGAACCGGATATACGTTCCTCACGACGATTTTGGCAGACAATTTAATGATACTCGCGTTATAAAATCGAATAATGTCGCCCAATATGTGTGAATTACAGCATAATTATAGAGAACTGATAATTATTGTAGAGCGGTCGGAACCTGCTTTGCGACTCCATGAATCACTGACAATTTCGTTGGCGTGGTCACCGGTAGATGGAGGTTTTTTAAGCTCGCCTGGTTGTATCCGAGTGCGTCCACGAAAAATTATACTTTTCAATAGTTTAACATCTTCAGAATAAAATCGCAACTCATTTTAAATTATCTAAAATCGATGATAAAAATTCCAATTGATAATTCTAGGAACAAAAGGACATTCTTATAATACAACGTGATATCTAACATCTGAAATGTAAGGAATGCGTTTTCGAGTATTTTTATTACTCGGAAGTTCGTTGATCGTTACGACAATACACTACATTAGCTATTCGACGTCAATAACAGAAATAACAGTTTATTCTACCTATTGATACAACTGTCTGCATAAATGGTACCGATAGATTTCATTGAATATTAGAAAGATTTACCACCACTACTTTTATCACATTTCATAGTTCTGAATGATTATACTGAAATTATAGTACATTCGAAAGTGATTGGAGTACTTGGGACAACAGTCTCTCCTATCATAATTAGAATTAAGATATTACACAAAATGGGTAAATGATATTTAATTCATCATCTTTGCCGAATCAAATTTGTTCATGCTAATGTATTGTTACGATATATAATATACAGATATTCTGTTATTTTAAAAGTGTTCTACATTTTAATGCTTCGTGCCATCGACCAATAGCATTGTAAAGTTCCTTTATGAATACGCTTGTACGCGGTACGACTGTGTAGTATGTATGTCCATATACTGAAATTCAGCTTCAAGTTCTATTTTTTAGCGTCGAATACGTTGCAGGTAAAGAGAATGCAAAGTACCTGTCATTGCTTGGCGACGTTTAATCTTAATATTTCTATTTATCGTGCTCTTTAATAAGCGGGTAGCTCACTGTGATTGTGAAAGTTAAGACGCATTCATTCGTGACACGTTTCTTTCGAAATCGAGGGAACGAGATGAGTTAAAGAGTGGATAAGCTGACATTCCAGGTAGCAGGTACACCTGACGTCACGGAACGTTACTCATTTTAAGAAAATGTGCTTCTTGTAACGATCAAAGAAACGGGGTGTATCTGAACAAATCATGTTTAAGAATAAATTTCAACATCCTGATGCTGATTTTATCAGGGTAAAAACAAAGGTAAGTTTACCATTTATAACAAGGGGTCACTTGATATTGGAAACATTTATAAAGAAAGTGCACTCAGCATCCTTTAATAACATTAATGTTAAGAAACAATTATTGTTCTCTGTACAGTTTAATGAAGATATCATAAGATTCTCTTTGAAGCGCAAAGAGCCTATCAATTACGAAGACTTCAGGACTTGCTTAGCAGAGAAACATGACATTAGCTTGGACTCAAATTTTCTTATTTGGTATACAGATCCTATAGATGGGGATTTATTGCCTATCAACAATGAAAATAACTTTGCTAGAGCACAAGCTACAGCAAAACCATTGCTCCGAATTTTTATACAAAGAACTGGTACATTGTCATATATTCAATATGTAGATTGTTATTCTTATTTCTAAGGTTAATATATTTAACACTGTTTTTTGTAGAAGACAATACTGAAGACGTAAATGGATATGGATCGGTAAAACCACGCAATCTGATTAGCAGTATTTTACATGGAACACCTGGAAAGTCCAAGCCATTACAAATTTCTAATCCCCACAACTTTCGACAAGTATGCATGTCTTACATTTACTTCTCAGAATTATACAAAAATAGTGATATCTCTAGTGTTATACTTATGGGTTGGAACTTTTTCTTTCTAGGTCTCAGCTATAATAGATGTTGACATTCTGCCAGAAACTTGTCGTCGTGTTCGTCTATTAAAGCATGGCTCTGACAAACCACTAGGATTTTATATAAAAGAAGGAGAAAGCTTTAGAGTACTACCACTATCTGCTGGCGGTGGCCTTGAAAAAATACCAGGTGTGTTCATTAGTCGTGTAGTACCTGGTGGTTTAGCTGAAAGTTCGGGTTTACTGGCTGTGAATGATGAAGTACTAGAAGTCAATGGAATCGAAGTGGCAGGAAAGACTCTCGATCAGGTACACTTAAAATTCATTACTCATACCACTCGTATAATTGGTGGTACATCCAAATCAAAAATTTATTCTTTATCAGTGCACAAATTACATACTGTTATTATTTCATGTTCTCATACACTAGGTAACGGATATGATGATTGCAAACTCCTCCAATCTTATAATCACAGTTAAACCCGCAAATCAACGTGGAACATTAGCATTACCACGTAGAGGTTCATTTTCTCGTAATAGCCAAGTGTCATCGGGAAGTCAACAATCTATGCAAAGTATAGCGACCGGCAGCGACGACGAAGCTGATGACATAGTTGACCTTACGGGTATTACTTTACATAACGATACTTCAACTTTCACCACTGTATCTCAACCACTTCGTCATTACCATAATCATTTTAGTCAGGATCAAGGAGTTCTGCACTTCTAGAGAGTGCGTAGCATTAATCAATACGGTTGTTCAAATTGTTCTTGATATATGATAACAAGAAAACCACTATAACTTTACTATTAATAACTGGCAGCTAATTATGAGCAGGTTTTATATCGCGTACCGTATTCTATGTAATTAATGTTTACTTATAGCGGAGGCAATATTGTCACGCTAAAAAGTTGATTCAACCAAACAGAGAGCTGTGGATTATATTTTTTAAAGATTATGGGAATAGTAAACCCATGCTTATGCTGTAACACGTTATGCGTACGTAAAAGTATTTAAAAAGTGTATAGCATGTCCAAGGAATCACATAGTGCCTTGGTATTCCTTCGATACAGTTTAATGTTTTGCATTTAATCATCCTATTAATTAACATTCCTCGACATGTTCATTCTACATTCCAAGTGTAGTAATCTCTATTTATTTTCGCCGCCTTTAAATCATTCATGATTGCGCTGCTTAATCAGGATATTCCTTCACACATTTGCATATTATACATGGGACAGTAATTATCAGTATATTTGGTAAGGGTGGATATTTATTCTCACACGAAGAAGAATACTCGCTAAATCGTGAGAGTGAGTTATCTTTTTCTACATATCCTCCTATACTATAAATCGTCAATTGTCATCCGAAGGGAAGCATCCTATATATTATTATGGCGTTAAAGTTTTTGAAGTTTATGCTGTTATATCACGTCCCTTCGTAATATAAACTTGCGATTGCTCGCGTCTACAAAAAATACATTGATACGAATCAGAAAGTACTTAGATGATGTACTTAAAATGCAGAGCGAAGAACAAATCCTTACTTCGCAAAGCTCTTTGCCTCTGCATGGTTTTTTAATGAAATTTAATATGTTCTTATAGAAGATACTTAATAAAAGGAGTTGCATTCGCACGATGGCTCAATGAAAAATGAATGACATAGTTCACTTTGGAAAGAAGTCTTATCAATAAATATAAACAAGAATATAATAGCCCTCAGTAAAAAATAATATAAGTTGTACAAAGGGCTGACTTCTTTAACGTGTAATTAAGAGATCATATCTTAGTATTAGAAGAAGAACGTACTGCATGCGTTTATTATATTTTATTTTCACGCGTATATTATAAGATACAGCTCTTGAGCAGTCTGAAAAAAAGCTTCATTTCGGTCATCATTGTAAAACATGTTTAATTTCGTCGCCAGTATGAATAGTATACCATTTGCTTTACCAAATTTTAACTTTTAATTATTCGACAATAATCTGAAGTGTTTCATGAAATGATTTATTCATTTAATGTGGTAATACATTTTTAATTGGCGTGGATTCTGCGCCATTGACTGATTCACTTTGCTGAGACTGAAATGGACGTTAAAATTGATATACAATATAAAGTAACAAAGGATATTGATCAGAAGTGTTCTTTTTAAGATAAAGCATTTTTAATCAGCGCAAAATTAAGCCAAGAACGACGTATAGAAAAAGTACGCGATCCCTTGATACAGGTTTTAAAAAAGCCGCGCAGGATGCTACATTTCCTATTCACGTCTGTCGGCAAAAAGAAATACGAAGTGACTGTAATAATTTTAAATCGAAGCTGACATACACGAGTCTACACAGTTATATATTAGGATTAGAATATACATCCACTTACAGATGTATATATATATCTCCAAAATGTAGATGTAAAACCATTTCTTTTATGATGGAAAATGTATTTTCTATGAAATTGCAAGAATAAAAGGAATATATTATATCGTATTGAAAATTTCATTATTTCTGTGCAAACCTAAACTTCCTTTTGTATAATTTAACATTTTTTTTCAGGTCTAGAAGTTATTATTTTAATACCAATACGCAGTACCCTTTTGGTCCAGGACTAGTATCAATCTGGTCGTACGCGTTAAGCAGCTGTTTATGTTAAAATCGAAGAATATATTCTGATATATTATGCTTCCCATTTTTTGCTTTTTTTCCAGAACGTGTAACATTGTATTTATTGATGAGGCTTTATAAGATTCCCAGTTCCAGCAAAATCAATAAGAAGAGTTTCCTTGGAAAAGAAATGCCGCCATTAATAACGATTAAAAAATTGTTATTTAAGCATTCGTGTATGATTTGACGTTAATTATATTCATTAGGTTCTTCATTGGTGTTAAATATATTTACCACGTGCTCTTCCTCATGATCGGGTAAACAGCCAGAGGAAAAAAAACCGTTAACAGAAGTAGCCAGTTCTATAGCGTAAGCACCCACGTCTTTTCAGAAGAACCAATCGCCCACAAGCAATTCTGGTGATAAAACTGGCGTCAAACAAATAAATAAAAGGTGAAGACCAGCGCGACCAAGAGTATTACTAGTTCGGAGAAAGACCCTGTAGAAGCGCCAGACTACCTGATAGGAAAGTGTTCATATGAAATTACAGGAGAAAAAGCTCCTACAGAGGCCGCGGCAACCAACCATAGTAAATATGGTTGGGCCGATAAAATCGAGCAATGAAAGTCTCTGCATTTCTAAAAGCCCTTCTTTCCTCCTATAGGTGAACGAGCGAACAGAGTACCGGAGAATCTATTGTCCGAGAAGAAAAAGGAATAAAATGACAAGGTCTGAGACAGTAGAGCGGATTTAAAACGAGTACAACGCAACAACTACAACGTGGACGCGAATATGCGCGCTGACTTGATTTTGTTGGCTTGCTAGTCGAACCACTTGTCACAAGCGGTATGACGAAGAAGTCCTGTAACCAGTCAATTCTGAGAAACTAAATCCTCGATCGATAGAAGTTAGAAAGAGCTCAGTGTACTGTAACCACGTAACTGATTAAGTTCTCATGAATAGAAATAATGAAATTTTCAGTACGATACAATACATTCCTTTAATTCTTGCAATTTCATATAAAATACATTTTCCATCATAAAAGACATTGTTCTATATCTGCATTCTGTATCTGCATCTATAAGTAGATGTGTATTCTACTCGTAATATGTAAATTTGTAGAGTCGCGTACTTCAGCTTTGATTTACAATTATTACAGCCACTTCGTATTCTTTTTCAACGATAGACGTTGCAGGTGCCTGGTTACAGTAAATTTGTTTACCAGTGATTAGGGATGGTAATGTATTTGTCGGCGTACTTAAAAAATGTTTTTACACAATATAGGACATTTGCAGATATTTTATCACGATAAGTAGTTGCCACTTTTTAGAATACTGACATGAACTCATAAAACAATAAAGACTTAGAGACGACCGCATATTATCTATAAAAATTATTACCGCGATTTTTATTGCAAATAAATGACAGGTTTTGTTACACTTCATACTTATCACTATTTATACTTTATTAATTACTTAGGAGATACCAGTAAACTGGGTCAATTACGGTTATTGAGTACCTGATGAAACATTTGTGGAAAGTCAGTACTCTCTGGAACTTAACTATTGATCTTAGCATCCCGGAGTATCCAGAAGTCGCCAAACAAAAAATTTCATAAACCTGATCTACCTTACTGGTATATCGTAATTTTTCACATGACAAAACGCATTAGTATTGGTCGAGTGTATCCAAAATGACATCTACTTTGAATTTTGATGAAATCAGAATATTCGAAGACTGTAAGGACGATTTGGATATTATCAGAGAAATCATTGATACTGAAAAAACGAAAAATGGCTTTCATATTTTGGATGTTGGAGATGTGATGACTAAGCATAAGAATTGGATTTCTAAGATACCAAAAGTGGTACCACATTTCGGTATGTATAAAAGCCAATTATATTTGTATATCCAAATTTTCTATAAATTATAAAGATTTTACCTTTTAGCTATGAAGTGTAATCCTAATCTTACTGTGATTAAAGTATTAGCTGCACTGAATGCGGGATTTGATTGTGCGTCTCAGGTATTTATAACAAGATGCTTTTATGTTTTCATTTAATTTATTGTATAATATTTGAGACAGTGATACGATTGCAGTACGAAATAGAAAAAGTTATAGAATTTGGTGTGACCGGAGATAGGATTATTTTTGCAAATCCTACAAAGTTGCCAGCCCATATCGAATTTGCCAGGAGAGTCAACGTCAGCAAAATGACAATTGATAACGAAGAGGAACTTTTGAAGATCAAGGAATTATTTCCAGACGCAAAGTGCGCACTAGATATAATATTCAATCCGCATATAATAGCCATTCGAATCGTAGGGTGTTTTTTTTTATAAAGTTGTGTAAATTTAACTTCCACAGAATAATCATTCGTTTTCAATGCGTTTTGCCGAGCTACGAATGTCACCTGAGTGCAAAATTTGGCTGTGATCCTGATCAAGAAGCAATTAACTTGATCCAGGCGACAAAAAATCTTGGAATGAATTTGTATGGCTTCAGTTTTCACGTTGGCAGTCCGTGCGACGAGCCAGTGGCTTATAAACGTGGAATTGAAGTTTGCAAAAGACTTATAGGTGTCGCCACATCAATGGGTTGTAATAATGTCAGGTTGATCGATATCGGTGGTGGAATTCCTGGCGATAAAGGATTTGAATTAGATGAGGTATGCAAAATTCCTAAGAAATATCTGTATCATAATATTTTCTCCGTGAAATTCTACCATTTACAGACGCATTGTAAAACTTTCCTTTGTTCTTGTTCAGTACGCTGAAGTCGTAAACGAAGCTCTGAAGAATCTGGATCCTTCCATCGAAGTCATAAGCGAACCTGGAAGATACTACGTTGCATCGGCGTCTAGTGTAGTCAGTTATTTGCACAGTAAAAAAATTGTACCTGATGGTGATAATAAAAAACTTATCTATTACGTAAGCGATGGCGTATACGGTTCCTTCATAGAGGAGCTGCTGAACATACGAAGCAGACTTCCGATTTCCTTGGATAAAGTGAGTATTGTCCTAATCTGGTATTTTTGTTTATTCGCAATTCGCACGAATTTTTGCTTTCCCTTGTCCTAGAGAGCAAGTAAAGAGAAATTTGTCTCTACCATCTGGGGACCAACTTGCGACGCTTACGATTGCATCGTCAAAGACGTTTTATTACCAGAATTTTTTGTTGGCGATTGGCTAGTCTGGAAAAACATGGGCGCTTACGCTATAGCATTGGCTACTTCTTTTAACGGCTTTTTCCCTCCGGCTGTTTACCCGATCATGAGGAAGAGCACGTGGTAAATATATTTAACACCAATGAAGAACCTAATGAATATAATTAACGTCAAACCATACACGAATGCTTCAAAAACAATTTTTAAATCGACATTAAAGATGGAATCTCTTTTTTAGGGAAACTCTTCTTAATGATTTTGCTAGAGCTGGGAATCTTGTAGAGCCTCGTCAATAAATAAAATTATAAGTAAATTCTGGAAAACATGCAAAAAATGGAGAATTGAAATGTTGAAATTTAACATAGACAACTGCTTAACGTGTGTGACCAGATTCATACTAGATTTTGACCAAAAGGGTACTGCGCGTTGGTATTGAAATAATAGCTTCCTGATCTGAAAAAAAAATGTACAAAAGGAACTTTAGGATAATTTCTATAAAAAGATTGTTTTCTGTTATACTCACGCGTTATGCGGAGTGACGTATCCAAAGTATATTTTATCGTTATCCTTGCATGCTCCAGAAATAAAATTGGTGTAAGATGTACACTTTACTGCCATAAAAGCGTATGGGTTTGTAACGGATTCTGCGTAAAAACGCCAGGATCTCCAGTGGCTACAAAAATCTGTTAAAATTTTATATTCAAGGTAAATTTATAATAGTATAAATTAAACAATCGATCGATAATTTAATTTACCTTCTGGTGTAAATGGTATCGTAAGAAAGGGACATCCTGGCTGAGGTCTACTTCCTCCATTAGCAAAAAAATCGACAGACCCGGTTGGAACAAAAGCACCATAGACTCCGCCATCGGTATGAACGATATCAACGACTTTGGCATCTGTTTTATCAATGTGCTGTAAATTCAGTACATAAAATCCTGGTTTAGCCGGATCTAAGCCTGGATCAACGTATGAAATTTGCACTAGCCATAAAGAAATTAGAAACGAGTAATTTGAAAAATTTCAAAAACGTACCTGTTATTCTTGGAAGCTGGACGTTACTATACTTTCCAATAAATCCAGCTATCTGTGCACCTAACGAATGCCCAATGATATGCAAAGTATTGACATTTATCCCGTAGGACAGAAGTTTTTCCAAAGCTCCAGCTATTATTTTTCCTATTATTTTAATTTTAATAACAAGAGTTATATAACGTTCCAATGCCAAATCGCTCCAATCCACCAGCAGGATATTGTCATTACCTCGATCGAGGTAAGCTGCCGGAAGACAAAATGGACGTTACACAATTTCATATTAGTGTGAATTGTAATGTTGTTTCCGATAGACTATTGTTTTATTTGTATTGTCACATTTGAATTATGCGCGTCTTATTATTACTGTACCTCCAACTACAGTTTGTACACTTTCATTGGACGGATGCTCCCGAAATCCATGCAGGTAGATAACTAATGGCTTTTTGAAATCTATTTCATGAAGAATATTCTCAGGATAAGCAATGGAGGTATCGTACGAGTTTAAATTACAGTCTGATCGTCTAGAATATTATAGAATGATAAGAATTTGAATTGAAAATATAAAAAATTTAATTGTTGCACAAACCCAGTGTAAATTTTCAGCCTTATCTTGTCGACCAACTGTTCAACGTCTTCTTTGTTTTTTAATAAATAATCTACAAACATATTCAAATTTTAATGTCTACCTATGTAATGTATGAAATATTAGTGAATTTTTATTTTTTCTGGGTAGGTGTATGTATATTTAAATTGACACTGAACAGTCAATACTTACCCCAATTAAATAATCCATTGTAACAAATGTGACATTCGATAAGGTTTATAAGGATATATGTAAGGACAAGATACACACTCAAAGCGTTCATTATAGGAATCAACAAATTCTTACGATTCTGCAGTACAATGATTTCTCGCAATTGTGATACTGATCACTTCGCACTGGTCCTGATAGTTCATTCCTGTTCTAGCACAATGTTAAAAATGTCATCGTAGCTTCTATCACAGATACTTAATCTGGGACAGGTGGGATCAGATATTCCCCCACATTGGAAAAATCTTGTCAAGGTTCACAACTTTTGCAGTCACATAGTTCGCTGTTGGTGAACGTTATAAAATACTTTCTTGTACGGGTTCTTATGTTTGACCATTGGAATATGTATGTATTTCTTTAATGTTTTGATCAAAGTAAACAATGATCAGCATAAAGTTAATGTCAGTAAAGTTTTATATGAATAATCAGTATGGTATTAATATCGATATACTTGTTTATAAGTATGTTGTTAATGCGTTTTGTTTATAATGTTAATCTATTGATATAATTTTTAATTTTTAAAGAAATTATTTGACATGCACATAAATGCTCATGTCACTGAGTAACCGTAGTTTGATCTGATGAAATTGTGGAAGTTGAAACTGATGGCTCTTCGGAAGTTGAAACTGATGGCTCTACGGAACTTGAACCTATCGTATTTGTCCCCTCCGTTGTGGTGGTAATTATAGAATTCCATCTATAATGAAAAATACAATATATGTTATAGAAGAATATTAATTACTAAAACAATATGAAGAAACGAAACAAGAGACATTTTGCTTCGCAAAAAAAGTATACTCCGTAAAACATATCTTTCGTATGATGTTACAATACTGGGCGACACAGAACTCGATGTTTTGAAATAACTCAATATACCATAATTAAATTATTTCAATTCATAAAGTTCGGTATCTTATTTAATATATCATATAGTTTATATAATACCAAACTTACTCAATGGCAGTTTGACATTCTCCAGGAGTCAAGTTTTCAGATAATTGAGCATTATACAATTCTTGTCTGTCGATTATATCCTCGTAAGGTGCTTCTGATGACAAACTGTCACGCACCTGTGGGCATTAAGTAAACATTAGAAGATATGAACAAACAATAATCTGAAGATTAATTATAAAAAGTTCTACTAACTGCTTCCACGGCTGAAAAGACCCGAATAAAATTTCGTCCAGCTAACTTTTCGAGATCCTCCTGACTCCAGTAAGGTTCATTATCTACATTGGTGTGCAGTCTATCGAATAGGTCAGGATATTTTGAAACGTCATTCAATCCTTCGGGCATCCTGAAATTTGAATATATGTTATAACGGGGTGCCCGGCTCGTGCCCGCTATAATTAATTTTTATCCATAGAGCCGCCAGGGAGCGCTAGAGGGCTAGAAATTTCCGAAAAACTAGAAGTTCTGATCGGGATTCGAACCCGATACCTTCGGACTGCCAAATCGAGCACTTACCACTGTGCTATTGAACCCACTGTCCGACCTGATAAGTCCTAATTATTTATTTTTCGGTCATTCCTAGGTGGTATCCATTCCAGCTCTGTAACGCCACGTTACAATGTATATACATATATATCAATAGCCCATATTGTTCGAACTAATACGACCACCTGCTGCTTTTTTCCGGCACGAAATCAAATAGAGTTTTGAATTCTATCTTTGGAACAGTCTCAGTTTATATTTATGAAAAATCAAATTTTATATACTAAAAAGACTTACTTGTCGACTCCATCATAATCAGCACCAATGCCGACATGATCTACACCGATTAAGTTTCGAATATAATTTATGTGATCTGCAAATAATAAGATAATCATTTAACCGTTTACTCATGATATACGACACCTCAATGCCTCCTTGCTTTACTTACCTACAACGTCCCGCATTGTTGCATTCCTCAAGTCATTGCAATTCACAAATCCGCTGTAAAAGTTCACCATAACAATACCGTTGTTTTTTTTCTGAAATGATATACAATGTATAAATAACTCTAATATATCTCTACACTGTCTCCAATCTAGATTACAAAATAAAATATAACAAAATTACACTCACCACTAATTGCAGAACATCATCTGGAACGTTTCTGTATTTATTGCAAATCGCGAAGGCCGACGAATGGGAAAAAATAACAGGAGCTTTTGTGACAGCAAGGACGCGTCTCATCACGTTGTGAGAGACGTGAGATAAATCGACGAGCATTCCTAATCGGTTCATCTCGTGTATCACTTTCTAGATGAATCACACAAGAGTTCTATATACGTATATACCTATATATAATCATTGCGTAGTCTATAAATAAGTTTTCAACTCACAACACCAAAATCTGTCAAGTTATGCAAATAACTGTTACCGATAGGAGATGCATCGGCCCTGTATGAGTAAAAAAAGAATTTTTTAAATTTCGTTTTAAACTTATAAGGAATATATTTAATATAACTGTCAAATATGTTTATATAAATTGTTTCTGTACCTAATCAATATTTTTATATCTTATCACAAAACTTACCATGGTGTATTGCAACTGTGCGTTAAGGTTAGATACCGAACACCAAGTTCATAGTAGAGTCTCAAAACAGCTAAACTGGAGTCAATAGAGTGTCCACCTTCGACACCTATCATAGAGGCAATTTTTCCAGATTTCCAAACATTTTCTATATCAAAAGAGTTAATAACAAGTTCCAAATTGCTTGAATACTTATTAATTAATCTTTTAATCACGTCAATCTGACGCAATGTCAGTTGTATCGAATCCTTGTATTGCGAGCTGCATGATGTATACGCCACCCAAAACTGTAACGATAGTGTTTACAATAATTAAACAAGAATAATAAAAACATGAAAAATAAAGTCCAAAATACTCACTTGGGCTCCCACTTTTCCTGTTATTAACCGTGATAAATCTGTATGGCATGAGGGACAGTTAGCTTTGCCCCATACGGAATCTTCGCTAAGATCCTCAGCGAAATTGAAAGCTGACAATCTGTTGTTTAACAATGCATAAAGATTCCATGGCAAGTCGTTATGTCTGAAAACGGTATAGATCAAGTAAACAGGATGTCTCGCGAACACTATACGATCTTACGTATCTAATTGAGTGCATGCAATAAATATTGAACAATAAAATTTCGATTGATAAATAATAGCATACCCATCAACGAGTGGTGCATGGTCGAGAGCGTCTCTTCCATTAAAACTTATTTCTTCATGATGAGAGGGTTCATCCTTACCAGAGAGTCCAACGGAGAGGCCAATTATCAAAATAATGACAACCGTAAAAACGGCTGCACTTACGTATAGTTGTTTTCCTGCGAACAAGCATTATTTCATATAATAAATTATTAGAATCGTCTATTAATTTGATCTCTGAAATTAATTATAATTGGCAACCATAGTCTGATAAATATTCAAACGCTGATAAAAGTGCCCAGCAAGCAATGCATAGACAAGAGAATTTTATGAAACATATCATTGGAGATTATCTTCAAGGACTTTTCGATTGATGCATCAATATTAGAAGACACGTACGTCCAAAAGTTATCTTTAAGCTATCTAAAAAAACTACAAATCTCAATAGACGCCTGGAATAACATTAATTATTAATCATCGATAGGATGCTGATTGGTTGTTGTTCGTGTGAAGTAATGCATATAATAGGATGTAAAGGATTCTATTATAATTAATATAGCTATGACACAATTCGGAAAAATTGCACGAAACTATGTTGTTCATTTGTCTTAAGAATTTTTAATTTTTTTTAGTAGTGTATTTTTAACCGCATAATCGACCGTTTGATAAATTTTTCTGTTTTACGTTCCGATAGTAATTTTACGGTAGCTGAATAAATTATTTTAAAAAATCATTCCTCTCGGAGTACTTACGTGTCGCGTGGAAGAGGCCAAATACGTTAACGTACTCAACCATATTCGTCTCAAATATTATACTACTTTACAGTGTGTAGTCTACGTCCGTTTGTCGGTATGTTAATGGTACACGAGGTCCACGCAGACGGTCGTCACGTTATTAAAGGTATTCCTTCGGAAGTCTCGAGCGAAATTAATATCCATCGGTATCGAAAGCCTTATTAAATATAAAAGTATCAGAGTGTGGTAGAAATATGAAATACATAGAACGTTACTAAACTGCCAACTGTTATCGTAAGAATATCTACGAGATTAGATTAAATTACATACTATGTTATCATAGCCATATATTTACTATAATAATAATTCTTCTGCCCTTAAAAATCATTAATAGCTATTGTTAACAGTATTAATGACAGTAATATTCCAGTAACTATCCGTGAATCTGGCATATTAGCATGAAAATTCTCTTAAGAATTGTGAACCAATGCTGACGCAGTTAAACGTAAAAAGTATAGCAGTGCGCATGCGCGTGAATTTATCCTCGCTATTCGTTTTATGTACATTTATGACACAGTCAATTTTTATAACACCGTGTGACATTCGTATACAATTTATTTTCTTTACGATAATATTTTGTACAATAAGTATAGAATATAGTCGAGCTCTCCATAAGTTGACATATAAGTCACGAAATTTGAGTCATTCGCATAATCTGACTTCTCCTCCCAGATATTTCCACAACCACATGTCTATTCCTTTCCCAAGCAGTAGATTCAACGTATGCGCACTGTTTGTGCTGGCATAAATCAACACTGATCGGTGAAAGAGTGAGGATAGCGGGGAGGGTGAAGTTACGTGAGGTTTTTCGATCCAGAGCGGTTAACTTGTGCGAAGCTGCACTGTAATTATTATATATTAGTTTAGAGCAGCTCTCAAAGAAATTGTCTTTCCTATTAAAAGCTCATTTGATGGATCCTCGTATACAAATCTGCCGGATTAAATTAATTATTATAATTTATTACATTACTCGTTGTGTATGTTTTTATAACGACGCAGGAGATATAAGGTGAGACAATAATTTTAAAATTAAAATGCCCATTGTAAATAATCAACACTACGAAAAACATATTAACTACGTTGAATAATATTAACAAAAACAATAGAATTATTATCAAGTAACAGTTTGTATTTATTTTAAAAGTTCATGGTAATTTTTCTTACCTACCCATTTAGGAAAAGACTCCTTTCTCACAGTGAATATCAAACATACTGACACTCTCTGTTCATCCTTATATCCACGCCATAAGTAATGCACCGCCCACAAGTGATTACAATTATATAGCATAAACTGAATCTTTGTGTAGTCTTTGTTATCGAATTAGGTTCATGTTACACAAGTGGATACTATCAAATGTAGCACTTGGTAGTGTAATGTGATGTGACCTATATGTGACCGGTCTCTGGCTAGAAGCCCTTAATTGCGACATTCTGAGGATTAATTCTGATCTTATTGTACACACAAGGTCTTGAAATTATGGAAAATAAAAATTGCTATTCATGGATGTATATAAGACTTTCATAGAATTTAGAGACGTCCATAGAATATTACGGACTTAATTAACCTACTAAACGTTTCTAAGACGCGCTTTTGTGATTCTATGACTGTAAGTAACGTAAGGTCGATTCCACCAGTATGGTTGCTTTTATAAATTCGATTTAACTGTGCAATTAGTCAAAGAGGTACTTGCATTTTGAAGATAAACGGAGTTTACGTATTGAGCTGTGTAGATGAAATGGAGCCAATCCTCAAGATTAGTTTATTATTATAAACTTCGAAGGATCACGAAAGCGGTTTGCTTACAAAGTCCTACAAAACTATGCATGATAACATACAAATAATGATATACAGGGTGTTCCGAAACTACATGACCCGGTGGGTATGGCGATGTTCGGGAGGCTTCACTGATCACGAAAATGACCTTCTTTTTGTCCGGAAGGTCATAGTTTTTAAATGGGCGCAGGTCAAAGTTGACCAATCAGAGGGAGGCGTCAAGAGAAACGCACCTCAAGAGAAGGCACCTGCGAACTTTTTTTTTGCTGCGAACTGCGAACGAGTTTTCTTCCCTCGCTTTTGTTTTTCGGTGGCTTCGGGCAGGATGACGTCAGCCGAAGACATGCCTATTGGAAATAAGAAACAAGCTACCGAGAAACAAAAGCAAGGGAAGAAAACTCACAGTTCGTAGGTGCCTACGTTTCTCTTGACGCCTCGTTCTGATTGGTCAACTTTGACCTGCTCCCATTTAAAAACTAAGAGCTTCCGGACAAAAGGAAGGTCATTTTCGTGATTAGTGAAGCCTCCCGAACACCGCCATATCCACCGCGTCAGGTAGTTTCGGAAGACCCTGTATATGTTTTGTTTTCAAAGTGTTATCTCTGACATTCACGACTTGAAATGGCTCCATATTGTTCAAATCAGCTAGAACTCTCCAAATAAAAAAAAACCATATCACGTTTCCATAAATTTGAATAAAAATTGAAGCAATAATAAAATCACTATTAGTGTTATGAGCAAAAGCAAATAAGTTACTACAGATAGCTTTTAGGGATTATGTAATTTTTTGTGATGTCGGTAACAGATATCTTATTCGATGTTCGGCCAGTTTCCGTAAGCGGTCTCTACGGTAGTAGCCTGTTCAGACATGTGTGGATCTACTGTTGTCGCAACGAAAACCTGTTGATTCTGCATCGTTTTTTGTTGTATTTGCGGTACAGAGCACTAATTGACAGTGTATGAATAATTTGGATGTATAAAAAGCACGGTTCCTATATTATTCTTTAGCTGTCAATCATTTATTTATCGTTGAATGACGTAAAGTGGGGTGACGGATAAGAGGTTTTGTTATGCTGTAGGTATGTACTATGCATTTTTTTATTGTATTATTGATATATTTTTGTATATGTGCCGGTAATTATGAAAGTAGTCTGACACAATTTTTTTGTTAGATAATTGAGCTTGCGTTTGTCTGTATTAAAAAATATTCTTTAACGATTAACCAAATTCTTTTATGTTTTGACTTAGGGCACTTTCATAAGTACTGGCACTATGTATAGAATTTTGTATGATAGAACATGATGAAAATATAAATACTATAAATGTTAATTTCAGTTGTTTATTTCATTTACCGTACATTTGTAAGACATTATGCAATTTTATTCATCTTGTTTTTACATCACTACCTATTTACTTATGGTGTATTTAATTACAGTACGTTGCTAAGAAAATATTTAGTTTCCTTTACATTTATAAGTAATTCTTATGCGTTTTTCCATTCAGTGACATTGAACACTTCAAATTACATAGGATACAGTCTTCACATCTGGTTAGATTGTCTCATGGTTGAAAAACCTTTCTGTTATGGTATGGTTGAATGTTTGAAAGGTATGAATTAAGATTTGAGATTTTTTTAAAATTAATCTAGACATCACCCAAGACTTATTTGACGCTAAGGAAATTCAAAGTTAAAATGACAACGATTAGACAAACCTTGTTGGCTCTTGCATGTTTAGTAAAACAGTTTATGACCTGAAATATCATTCTTATAATGGGAATGTATATTCTTATTTAGCTTGCTACTTATTGTTTTAGGCAAAACATATTAATTCAATACGACTTTTAACATTGTGCGTGATAATAAATCCTTACTGTCATAATTTTGCTAGTAGTCAACAAATTTGGAACAATATTATGATTTATGAATTATTTGTCTTCCGGAGGAAAACATACTGTGATTAAAAAAATAAATTGTAATGTATATGTGGTGTGATATAGTTTACTCTGAGTCACTGGGAAAGCTACTTGTATTAACATGTTTTGTGTTGATTCCTTGATCTTGTTTTAAAGTCAGAATGTCTTATTATACTAAAGACCGAACGAAGTATCGCATGCACTAGATAGCAATACATTGCACAGTATAATGCAACTGTACTAATCATCACATAAGTTTAATTTTCAACAACTTCATTGTATACATTTTCATTCGTACGTATGCTGTAAGAAGCGTAGAGATACTTCTCGAAACCATAAAAATCACATGGTCAGAATATGATGTGATTTTCAAAGTTTCTCAAGCATCAAAGTCAATATAGGGTAACCGTTCGTCTATAGGTAATATAATCATACTTCAAAATACGAGGTACCCTCTGATTGTATTCGCGGAGATCCTCGCCGCTGAATAAAAAGTCCAATTAGGTATTTCATCTCGTCAAACAAGATTCCGAGACTACATCTAGATACGTTGTACGTTCGGTGACAATTTTGTATCTCATATTTGTTCATGATACATACATTAAGTTTCCTTATACGTTACATGGAGATTTTGTTAAACGCTATTTCGCATAAGCTCCAATCTTCGCAGCCTGTCGAGTCCCACGACGACAGTAAAACAATATTATATCACTCTGTCCTGTGGTAACAACGTTTTTTTACTGAATAAATATCTCGTATAAAAGAAGCTGGACGGATGGTACTATTTACTCTTGAATGGCTGCCCAGCGTATCCGCATCCCCACGACGACGGATTACAATTGTCACGTTACTCGTATTTACTCAAATTATTCATAATCTCTAGCAACGAGTAAAATTTCATTTTGAAAGCCGCGGCTCGCCTGTCAAGAGCATATAAAGAGCCTCGAGAGGCTCATGGGAAGTGCAGCGTTCGAATCTCCGTCAAGCATCTAAGTCCATTCGTTATTAGTCTGCGCGAGACGATATTGACGAGTTTAGTAAAAAAAATGAACTTAGTCCTTGAGTTTTTTTTTAAATATTTCAAGCCCTTTGCGCGCCAATCATCCCATTTAGGTGGCGCAAAGTGCTTTGAGGGACGCGCAGCAGCGATTTTTCACAGATTGTAAATGGCACAGCCACGTTCTTAGCCTGTTTATTAGCTCCGCGCAATCCGATCCCACGTCCGTGCATTCACCGTCCCCTGTTTCTAGAAAGAGGAATAAATATATCATTTTATAAATTGCCATAGGTGACAAATTGCAACGAGCGCTTTTTATTGGCTCTGGTGCAAGTTTCAGCACAGTCGAAGCACATTGATCGTTTGAACGGTTACAGAAATTTTATGTTTTATGCAGATGCGCCTTCACTGTCTTGTGGTGAATAGGCTATGATAAAGGAAAATGGAGAAGTGATCGGGAATGTATATTGCGAGGAAGCAACAAATAAAAAAAGTAAGATAATACACATAGACCAATTAATAAGATAAAATAGACGATCTTGAAACCTTCATCAGCTAAAATATTTTCTTTTAAATACCCAAGCAAACATATTCCTGTTAAAAGTCGTATATGTCATTTGTCCTGGTATTAGTCCTCATTGTCACAGTTGCGTCAAATAATTTCCCCATAGGCACACCGTAAACATGTAACAATTAATTAATTTAGCCATATTATCTTGCAACAGTTCTTGCAAGAGGTATCGAGCACGCACGATAGAGAAGGAGAATCAAAGCAGAATTTTGAAGAACGTCCAATAAATTGGAATCTGTAGCCAAAGTGTGATAAGTTATCGAAAGATTTGGAAGATGGTAAAGATGTACACGCCACATCGAAGTAAATCGGAAGAGAAAGAGAGAGTCAGCCAGAGAGAAGTAAAGAAAAGGAAAATTATCGTTTGAGTCACATTGTGTTTCTTACCATGACCATAACTTTGACGGCCATTTTGATCTCCGTCGCTCGTTGTCGCTAGTGACGTCACTGTTATGGGAACTTTATATTTGAACGGTGTTACTTTTGGATAGTTTACGTCGTTCTGTGAGTAACCAATTTTCAACGGGGAATTCGTCGTCGAGTAGAGGTTATAGTAATTCGAATAACTACTGCCCCTCTTATTAGTTGGATTGGTTTCAGTGCTAACGTGACCGTTATTATCGTAGCCACTATACTCTCTATAGTTAATAGAGTTGTCCAGGACGTTAGACGTGTGCCCCGTTATCGGTGTAACCTGCGTGTTATACGCCAGGGCGTTAACTCGCAGAGTCGTTGAGAAAGGCGGGAGACGTTTATAGGGATTGTCGTTTGTCGACGTCGAGGTAAAAAAATTGGGATATTGCGACGAGACCTTAAAGTTTGTCAGTGAGGTGCTGTACGTTGTTGCTTCCCATGGATACCTGTGCAGTATTACAAGATACTATTTTATCCTCTTTAGAAATGCGCCGTAGCCAATGAATATCGTAAATGCGTATTTTTATTTCCATTCAGAAAAAATTAAATGCAGTGAGTGAATGGCATCTCCGTTTTATGACACAAAAATTACTCTCTCAATGACTATGATCCGAATTGATTGTTCTCCTAGTTTTCTTATATGATTCAAAACTGTACTATGCATATCGAATTGCATACATTTTTCAGTGCGTATAATTTAGGTATTACCTGTGTTCTGTATTGTTGTATTGCGCATAAATTGGACGATTTTGCGCCCCGGAATTGTAGACATTTTCCCGGCGTACATAAGTCGGTACGTTTTGAGTGTAATCCGGGATAATATTCTCGTGCTCCGCCACGCATTTTCCATTTAGACAATACTAAAAATTCAAAGTTTCATGAAGTACATTTTTTTTCAAAATAATATTGTGTTACTCTTACAAAAAAAAAAAAGAAGTGAATCCTACCTGTCCATCTCCACACGGGGAGCCTTCAGCAGCTGGTCTATATGCAACGCAATATCCGGATCCTGCATCGAAGCAGAACAGCTGAGCACATACGCGATCATCTTTCTGCAAGAAAGAAGAAAGTGAAATGAAGTCCTCGTTAATTTTACAGTTTATTTTAAATTGTACACCTAAGCTAAGGAACTTACGAAACAGGCGCTTGTACCGCGATCCTTACGGCATTGCGCGTCCAAGGACAATAATTTTCCTGGTAAGACTCTAGGCAACGCCTCGTCCTCGTGCGGCGCATTGTAAAGACAAGTCGCCGTATCACCGCTGAAACAAAGTATTACAATGTAATTACTATTCCCGATGAGTTTGACATGACGTGGGGTTAGGATCACTCAATCTGATAAGCCTACTTTAAGAAATGATGAAAGGATGACACGCTGCAATGCGACCATTTGAATCCCTTTTCGGTATGTCTGAGGTCGCTCATTATGTAACCGTCTTCCCAGCGACACTTTTCCGCGCCGGGTCCTCCAAGGTAACTGGGAGGTGGTGATCCATCGTGTACTGCGCCCAATCTGTAATTATTATTTTTTTTTGTCTACATAATTTATCCTGGTCATTGATTACAGTTCGAATTTGGCGGGTACTTACAAGTGTCCAACTTCGTGAGCCGCTACGATGATCCCGCTGAAACCACCAGTGTCTTCGATTATAGCGACTGAATTGACCTTTTCCAATCGCTTATTCACGACGCATGCTCCTCCGACGTACGCGAATCCTGCGTACAGAGAAATTTTATTAGTTTCTGTTATTGGAGTTAAAAATGCTCGAATGGCTCAATTTAATTCAAAGTTACAGTTACTGTCAACTCTATTACTTTCCTTGTTATTAATAAGCTTAATTATATGGGGTGTTAAATTAATACCAGAGCAACGATTTTCATTAGTGTCTCCAATTTTCTTATTCAACGCATGATTATCAATTTAATTCACTTGACACGTATCCAAGTTCATGTACAAGAGTGATGCACAGTATGTAATAGTAATGAAATTGGAGACACAATTATTCGCTTTGGTTAATTGGCCACTGTTATTATTGGTATTAGAAATGAGATAATCGATGCTTATTGGTTGAGAAAATTAGTCCGTTTGAATAATTGTTTTTATTATTACTTAAAGCCAGACTAACAGCTTTCGCAAGCGGCATGCATCTGGTGTTAATTTTTTTCATTAATCAGGTAACGAAGGATTTCGGAGAATTCCCAAGTGCAAGTGTCGGATGCTGTTTGAATTTTGTATTACTATTGTTGCGCAATGTCACCAATTCTCTGGTATCAATTTTTCTTCAGTATCCGTCACGCACTTGAGAATCTTCTCTCGATTTGAAATGTTTTCGTACCTATCCTTTAGGACTTTTTATTTTCCTTTCCTTCGGAAAAAAAAAAACTTACCACCCGCGATCCTTATCGGTAAGGCATCCGAAGATAAGAGAAACATGAGTAAATCAGTAGAGACAGGGTACAGATAGTGCATATACATATATATATATATATATATATATAAAAGGAGACAATAGAAGATAACGATACACAGTGATATACATAATTAAACAATATATTGCCATTGCGATATATTTCCTTTCATTATGTCATCGTACAAAAGAGATTCTGTGCCGAAAGGAGACAATAGAAGATAACGATTCGGAAAAAAAAAAACTTACCACCCGCGATCCTTATCGGTAAGGCATCCGAAGATAAGAGAAACATGAGTAAATCAGTAGAGACAGGGTACAGATAGTGCATATACATATATATATATATAAAAGGAGACAATAGAAGATAACGATACACAGTGATATACATAATTAAACAATATATTGCCATTGCGATATATTTCCTTTCATTATGTCATCGTACAAAAGAGATTCTGTGCCGTAAAAAAAAAATATAAATTTTTCGTTTCGATCACGACAATATTTGTACTTTAGTATCTCTCGGGTATCGTAGAAAATTATCATAAACTTAAGTGCGACTGTCTAATTAAACTAATGTCTTTGCGTTTCGCCGTATGAAAAAATATCCGTGCCGTAAGGATTTTGCATGCAAGAGCACAAGTGCTCTTGAAAATACCGGCTGAATGATAAATTGAAAATGACGACCGAAGAGAAAAAAAGAGATGAAAGTGAAAATAACAGCGGAGAGTATTTTTTGGTTTTTAGCGTCGCGCGAGGTACGATATGTAATTAAAAAAAAAAAAAGAAAAAAAATTTGTAAAAAATTAAGAAAAAGTACAAGTTTAAAAATTAGACATTGCCAATTAGGATACACAGCGTCCGTTATTAATCAAAAGGAAGAGACACAGACAGCAAGAATATAGTACAGAGAGAAGTTAACAATAACAGACAAAAAAAAACCAGAATTTATTAACGGCATAGAAGGGAAAATTTATGAGACCGCGAGAGGTGCGCAAGAAGATCAGCTTTCGAAGATAAGACAAAGGTGGAAGAGAGCGAAGATTGAAAAAGAGAATCACATAAAAAGTGCACTTTGTGTAAGAGAAGAAAATAAAAACGAGAGACAATAATATTCGGTTTTTCTCACTTGAGAAACGTACCTGCGGTTCCTCTATTGCACACGTCATTCGCATATTGCCTCCTGCACATATCTAATCTGCAATGCAACAATAAAAAGTTTCTTTATCATGTATGTCACACGGTCGGGCATTATACGCAGCCACGTCACGGGACAATCGAACGAAAAACGTAGAATAAGAAAAGAATAATAAAAATAATGCAAAGATCAAATCGTCTCGGTCATGCGACACTACAAAGGATGAAAGAGAGTAAAAAACAAAATCTAAAAAAAAAGAAGTAACAAGACCAAAAAAAAATTTGAAATTTTTTCATCGACTTGATTTATCAACAACACCCAGCTGCTCTCTGTATCCATTCTAGGACGGTGAAATATATTTGATATACAAATTCCTGCGAAGAATCACTACTCCGTCAGAACGAAGAGCTTCTCAACTCAGAGACATAAACATTCCTCGAAGGACCTTGACTACAATAAGTCTTGGCGATTTTTTCAAAAGCTCATTACAAATCGTGTTAAACGTGTTGTAGCGTAATTGAATGAAGATATTGCGCGTCGAATAATTAACAACACACGTTCCATGAATATATTAAATATTGATAAATATTCCGATTCGATTCGTAATGGGTCTTGGGAGATTTCCGTATGAATAGAAATCTGATTTTTTTTTTTTTTAATCACATTCTTATCTGAAACTATGACGTTCAAATGGATCAATGGATCCGGTGAATCAATTATCTTAGAGTTTTATCCTGAAATGTTTGTAAATCTGTCAAGAAATATTTTATATATATGTATGGGAATGGACTAAAATTGCCAAGCACGCACCACTAATTTATTAGTCTACGATCCCTGGTTGCCTGATACATTTTTACGGGCTAGCTGTACGTGATACATGACATACAAGCTGATACGAATCACAAGTGGCACAACTCTGCAGGCTTATCTTGTTTCTATTTTATTAATCCTTTTGCGCGATTATATGCTGGCGGATGTGAACGTGTTCGTATTCCAGTGTTCGATAACGCGTGAATATTCATTTGCGAGTCAACGAGTTGCGTCCACTTGTGCTTTGGATCCCATATGTGAACATAATGACGAGTGAGGATTCGCCTTGCTTACTACCAAATTCTATATACACCCTAAAATTAGAAAAAAAAAAACAAGTAGTAATCAAAACTCCAAAAGAGATTTTCCTTCCTCGTTATAAAATTTCGATCGCATACAGCGTTCATGAATTTGTATTTTTGTTGCAATTTGGAATATTACTTTTTGACATAAGATTGTGACATTTTATATGTCCTTATGAGGTAGGGAAAGTCTCTTTTTACTTTGATCCCAAATATTAGGAAACCCATTAGAACATACCATGGACATTGAGACTATTTACAGACAATGCTATATAAGGATATATAAAAAAAATTAATAAAATAGGGAAAAAAAGCATTATCGTTATTATTGTAAACCATACCGGCAGTTCCCTTTGTGCAGCGGCCGCCTTTCCTACGACGGCACATATCATACCTGTTTTTTGAAATGGAAAGAAAAAAAAATGGACAGTATGAATTCATCAGCTTTGTCGGTTCTTGAAGATTCGTTGTAAAGTAGGGAGTGATAATGCTTGATAATTAGCTGAAGGTTGTGTATGTATATAAATATCCGGTATTTAACTCGTGTCAAACCGTTTGGCAAGACCTTCAAATTTGAAGGCATCTTCTTTAAACATTACGAAATGATACTTGAGTCGTTTTGTATTCAGAATAATTTCATGAAATTCATAGCCAATTGAAATTCGGTAACAGTTCCTTTGTCCATTTGGTTATGGAAATTTTAAATGTCTAACATCTTGGAGTACATCTCACGGAACAGTCTATTGTTTTTCTGGTAACTTGACATTAATCGTTTACCCTAAGTCAAACCGTAGGAAATTCACATGAGTAAGATGAATTCTCCATCGCAAGAAGAACACTTCCTTGCCATTGGTCAAGTCCTCCTTTTTTAAAATTATTATAAGGATCTAACCTATTTATATTTATATTATTCATTTTATCTCTTGTTTGTTTTAGGAATGATAATCCTTACTTTGTGACGGCAACAGCAATGTCGTAGACCGGAAGTCTCCTCTCCCGGAAGAGATACTTTCCCATATCGGTCAGCGCAGCTGCCGAGTCTATAGCATCTCGTCCCACACGGTTTCTCTCCAGATAAGGGGTGGCATCCCTTCCCTGAAACGTGCGAGATATATTCAGGATGCAAAAATTCTTCAAATTATCTCTGATTTAATATCATGCCTTTCATCCCTTCAGAGAGCACGAGTTATGGCTACGGAAGCTGTATGCGAGTATCTGAAGATACAAAATAGACCATACAGTGTAAATGACATTGTTATGAATCTTCACAATGAATATGGAAAGTCAGCTGTACAGAAAGCCTTGGATCAGTTGGTGAGCAAGGGGAAGGTGTTTGAGAAAGTAAGTTATCCAAGTAATATGAGGATCCAGTCAGTCTTGTCACAGTATCGGTTCGCCACTATGGTGCTTAATAATGTACAATAAATTTGCTTGTTTAAGATTTATGGTAAGCAGAAGATATACTGCATCGTACAAGACTCGAAGTACGATGCTGAGGAGTTAATGCGAATCGACAAAGAATTGCATGCACATGCAAATGAGGTGGAGGCCAAACTTCAGGAAGTTGAAAGGGAAATCAGATCCAAGGAAAGTGCTCTGGCAACTTTAAAGTCGAGTCTTACCCTTAAAGAGGCTCTTAAGCAGCGCGACACGTTAAAATTGTCAGTGAAGGATCTTACTAAAAAATTAGACAACCTTATGGAAGCCATAGGCACCGAAGACCTCAGTGAATCTAAGAGGAAGGCCGAGACTACGCTTGATGATTATTCCCGTGAATATTCGAAAAGAAAACGACTCTGTACCGAAATCGTAGACTGCATATTAGAAAATTATCCTGGTGGCAAGAACGAATTGTATGAAGAAATCGGTATAGAAGCAAAAGTCGTATAGTGCCTTTAGAATATAAAGATTAAATACGATAATATATATTTTTTTAAACTTCAACAAAAATTCGATGTCATAAGTAATTTATTGAGTATCAATGATATTTGTTCTACGACAATATAAAGTTATTTTTGTATGCTCCTTCTATGCGTCGCGGTAGTTTGCTTAAATTTTGAAAAAAAAAAAGAAAAATTTGCACTACCTAACGTTTATGGTTACATAATGTAATATATTTTACAAAGCTTTCGTTGCGTTTAGATTATTTAATTCAATTCCTGCCTCCATTGTAATATGTCACGGTCGTGTGCATGCTCGAGAAATATATTCTCTAAGACAATCTACAAATCTTATAACTGCCAAAGGAAATTATTTCTGTGATCGCCGAGATTGCCGAGCGAGACCGAGAAGCGGAGAAAGTGAACGTGGCAAAGTTTCTTTTCCACTCCTCGGTCCATTAACATTGAAATCTTACCCGTGAAATAATTATTCCCGCGATGCTGATACGTATTTTCGGACCTTTCAATAATTTATACCTCAGGTCCACGCCGTTCCAAAAGGACACGAAGTACCTTTTAATCTGTACATTGTCACCACCGTGCAATCTGAAAGAAAATTCGTGTTCTTTTGCTCTTTTTCGTTTATCTTGCCTCTCATCATAACTTCGCAACTCGCTATCCCCTTTTTACAAACTTTTGATTTTACAAACAAAAAGGAAATGACAAACGCTTGCAAGTATTTCATTGCGCATTTTAAATGCAACAGCGCAGAAAATTAATCTCTTGTAATCGAGTAGAACCGTAGAATGGCCGACGAGCGACCGCAGGGCAACTAGCGGTTGATAAATATTTTTTGAATTGTTGACCAGAATATATAATAAAACAATAGATACGTATATCGATACGGAGACTATCACTGGGGACAAGATGAGGTGAATGACATTGCCATTGAATTGTGATCCAATCTCAGTTGATAAAACAATTGCCAACAGAGTCTTATTTAACGTGTTGTCCTGCGGTCTGTCGAGTGTCTTTGAACTCACCTGTATCCATCATAATCTACAATACATAGGATTTCCGGGTAAATCACGTATGGCGCTTCGCGTTTTGATCTGGTGCTGATCGATCGCTTCGATCGGAACCTTTTGGCTAGGTGATCCGGTTCCATGAACGCTAATACAAAAAACAGTAAGATACCGGATCATTAATGAATCATCACGCAGGAGAGATAGAGCTAACTTTCATTTGTTATTTGTTTCTCAAATAGTCTTGTTGAGACATTGGAAACTTAGATTTCGATTAATTCTTGATAATTGACACCCCATCCACTTTTTGTCAGACATTGTGAAACTCACTGAAGTCGCTGTACTCATCGTCAACGGGACGAGTAGATCTCCTGAAGACTACGTGATGATTCGTGTGCTTCAGGCTTCTTTTACTCCTCGTGACGTTGGGCAGCAAGTGGGCTTCATGAAGACCCTCAGCTTTGCTAACAACTTCGTTTATCACACGTTCTGGCAATGGACGTATCACCAATTCCGAACCGATGTTACCTTCCTGAAATTAAATCAATATATCTTTGTATAAACTTCAATTCCGGTTTCAATCGGGTCACTTATAATTTTATAGCTGTCAAACTGGTCGCACAATCAAACAATACTAATAAAGGTGCATGCAACCAGTTTGCATAACAATACTATAGTAAAATGATATCCGGTTCTACCGGAGCTAATCGCCTTAAGAGTTTAAACAGGATACAATATCGAAGGTTTTAATGAATTCCGTTACTGCCTGATCCTTAGTAATGTAGATCGGGATCTGAAGCGAACAGCAGTGCGAGACTTCCGCTTCGGCCAGTTCAGTTTAGATCGGATCTCTCTACCTGGGTCTTTACGAAATTCAATCTACGAATAAATTCCACTAGTGGAATTTATAGTTCATTCAGACATTTGACCTAGGTTTCAGCATGGTGTTAGTTTATTTTTTACTATTTTTTTTTGCTTTTTTTTCTTTACTCGACGTCACAACCTTGCCATATATTATGGCGATACTTTCTTTCTCGTAACCTCTAGCTACGCCTACTTCTCGATGCCGATGCTTCCAGTCGCATAACTATATTCAATCTGGGCTTCGAGAGATGCATCGGTCAGATTGAAGAGAGAGTGAAAGCGAAAGGTCAGAATGCTAAGGGGTCACTTAGAACAACGCTTTTACAATTTCGTTACGTAACGGCGATGGCTCTTATGAATATAAGGCGCGGTAAACGGTTTTTGCTTGGTTGGCAATTTTTTCTCTGCAACTTTTTTTTCTTCCTACCGAGTAAAACCTCCATGCAAATTGCTAATAAAATGTTAGCTTTTTACTTTTACTATTTTTAGCAGCTCGTGAATAACGTGAGACACGCGTAAAATTTTTTTTCTATACTGACGATCCTCGTGGTTATATTATATTCTTGATTTTTCGAAATTAATATGATGTCCGATTATAATCCGGGAATATTAATTTCCACGCTGCTCTTTATTATAGCGAATAAATTGACGTACCGTGCGCGTTAGGACACCGGATGCTTTATTCTTTACGCCGTTTGTATTAATTAGCATAGTGCAAAAATCACGTTTAGTTCGACGAACGTTCCCGTAGTTCTCACGGAACAATCTCTGTAGTGATAATCATATGCAAATATTAAAATATTAATTAGCTAAATATTTGTAATAACAATTTTTCACAAAATTCCCTGGTACGTATTATCCAAGAAAAAAAAAACCCCAATTACGTAAAATCATTCAGAAGTACTCCAATTTGTTATTATAATTAAAATTCGATGGCGCCAGAAAGAAGTCGGAGCAGTCAACCCATTTCGCGGGAATATTTATCGAGATGGTTCCTTCGTTAAAAAAAAAGGGTATTCACGATTATATCGTAGAAACCAATGGGTCTGTGTATCCAAAAACAGAATTGATTATCCGCGCGAGCGAATCTCGATAAAAATAACAGATCGTGTCTTGCCGATAAGCTAGTCGTACAAGTGATATAACGCGTGTAAAAACGTGCGAGAACGGATTATCGTTATTGGACAGGATTCCGTGGCATGGGAACGGATCGATATAAAAAAAAATAACTAATGATTATCAAGATAGCAACGAATGCCTAGAAAATTCGATCGCAGACAATGATATTTAATTTTTTTTAAATAAATAAAATAAATGATCCCTCCTGGAATTCCCGTCGAACGAGTTCACCGGCCGGTTTCAAGCGGAACCCCGATTACGAAAGTGAGGATGACAAACTCGCGGTCACGAGGACGACCCGTGCATGATGACAGTACCGTAATAACCTAAGACGCCAGTCAAGTTTTTCCTGTGGAAATATACAAGTATATAGATATAACCAGATACAGCGGGTTGTAAAGATACACAGACGACGCTTAAGTAGGAGTACGAGGTCGCAGGCAAGGAGCTCAAGATGGTCGACAATTGTTTGCTCCGCGACCTGCGAGCGTTACGATAAACTCCAGCGACAGTAGCTTCGTAATTATATCGCGAGAGGCGACCAGTGGTCTTGACGAAAGACGCCTGCAATAATGGAACGATGTCGTAAGGTACATTAAGAAAGAATGGATGCTTACAACAAGTACTTTCCCATTCGCGTCCTGGTGTAGCAGAATGGACGCCATGCTGCTGGCGTCTTGATAGATATCACCCACGTCTGCGATGCTGGCCTGTAAAAGTGAAGTAACGAGATAAATAAAAAATTAAAGGAAAAAAAAAAGAAGCAGTCAATCGACGACGATGACTATACCGATTGATATTGATTAATGTATTACCACATAGTGAAACATTATCTTTTGTCTATTTTGACACGTGTCATTTTGGTCAGGCCCTTCCTAAGTAACGAGGACCCCCTTTGATCGACAGTGTATAAGAATAGTATTGTGGGGGTCAAATGTCTTACTTTGAAGCTGAAACTTTGATGCCGTGTAAAAACGATCTGTACGTGAATCAATGACCAAGGCTAACCGGCCCCTTAATTTTTGTTCAGTCCTTCAAGCTTCTTCTACTCACTTCCGGCACGTCGTCGTAATGCAGGCCATCGGGAAGGGACGCGTTCCTGGTTACTGTCCACATTGGTAATTGTTTCCTGGAGAACAGCCCGTCAGTCGGCTGAAGGTATAAATTAATATCCTTCCCGAACGCCTTGAGATGCACTTCCTGCTTTATTTCTGGACTTCTTCTGTGCAGCGTGTGCAACACCGGTACCACCTCGTATGACGGTACTGTAAAAATTTTATATACGTTTTATAACTGAAAATAAGCTTCGTTGACTTAAGTTATACTGCTTAGAGTCATTCAAGATCACGCGAGTCTTCGGATGTTGGTGATTGAAAAACGTGACGTTGCACCAGTCGTACTAATGTCAACAGTGAAACTGCAACGGAACGACGAATGGAGTTTTATGCATGAGGCGAAAGGCGTTCAAGGATACATTGAGAATAAAAGTTGACAAAGTCAACTGGTCAAGGTCTAAAAGAAAATCGGATATTTTGGTACAGCTTATTCGACGTTTTTTTTTTTCTGTTTTCATAGATATTTTTGCAAGGAACGTTAACGAGGATGACGCACCGATATCTGTACGCACAAAGAAGGTATCTAGACGACGGGATGACGCGGCTGGTAAAGAAGTCAAGAAATTTTTGAGCTACGTAATTTCAAGCACTAAGAGATAGCTTTATGTCTTCGAATGAGTAAAGGAAGACAAAAAATGGCGAGGTCAGCAACGCCCAAGAAGACCTTTATCACATAAATAAATATTCATGCGTATGATTCACGTCGATAAATTAACGATTTATGCCCGTGTCGCAGAAAAAAGAGGCGAGGATCATTGGTACCGATCCCTTCGATGTACGTGGTTCGTCTTATGTGCATATATTGAGGTAAGTATCGATGTATCGATCGTGAATCATTTGACCGATGACCCGTGTAGTCTGCCGCACCTCGACTCGCGTGATTTTGGCGACGGTAATGTGGCGTGGAAATAAAATAAAAATTATAAAAAAAGAGAGAGCGAAGAATTAGACGCTGAGAACTCAAAGCGAATAAGACAATTTACTGGCAATGAGTCTTAATCATTTACCAGACTCGTGTCCTTCCGTCTGGAAGACCGACAGCATCTCGGCTGTTGTCATGTGTTCGTGAATCTGAAAAATAAATGGTTCCAGTAAATAACGGTGCTTGGACGGTCGTTGTATATCGAAAAAATTAAGATGTTTATGAATGAATCAGATTCATTGAGTCATTCGTGCTTATGTTTAACGATTTGTCTCTTGATAATTTTCCACTAAAAAAATTAAGCCCTATAGCCAGTCAACGTCTTTTATTTCTAGTTGCGCGCATCCGTGGTTCGTTCTCATGAAGCATTGTTTGAGATTTCACGTGCTGGCACAAAGCAACAACTGCTGGTAGACTGACTGGATGTTGGGAGATAGTTGTATACGGATTTTATTGTTGAGCAAAAGTGTCTTGTAGCCTCGTTATCCAGGAGACACGCTTTTGCTGATCTTCACGGTGTTCCACTATTGCAATATCCGATGCGAAACTTTTTAAAGGTATCGAATTCAATTTTCGACATAATTAACGTTCGGGAGTTTCATTATTTTACGAACACGCAGGTGGTATATGTGTACGTACAAATAGAAAAACATAATTCCCCTTTTGTGACTGCTTGACGGTAGACCGACAGCCGAGAGTTAAAAAGATATAGGCTGTTTGTGGTAGTTATTTTGGAGGTACTGCTATTTTTAAGGTATTGGAAAAAAAGTGTATATACGTTACGACAAATCCTCAAGGCCGGTAAATCTGATTTACGTAGATTTGATATTCTTAAAGAATTTCTAAGCGAATAAATAATCACTCGATATCTTTGACTTGTTATCAGTGTTTAAAATATTTTCTATATTCTCGAACGTATATTATTGTAGAATTGTCTTTTCTTTCTGTGATATCTCTTCTGACGAGTATTTAAAGCAAATTCGTTGCAAAGGCTGCCATTAAATTTAAGACCATATATAATATTAATATTGTTATATTTACACAAAAATTTAATTAATCCTCGCTAATTAATCTATAAATGCATTTTGTCCTTGCTGGAACGTCAATTTTACACCATATGAATGAGTTTGACTTCAGTAGTACGTAGCAAATGGGGATGCCTTAAAGGGTAATGGTGACTTCGATTTTCTAAGCGACAGCTCCATAGTAGCCACATGGGTAGCTGGCTAACTAGCTTGGTCGCTTGTTTGCTTGCTAGCTTACTTGTCCAGTACAGGTCTAGAAATTCTGGTTTCTCTTCCGATTTTAAAACGCGATTGATTCTAAGTCTGGTTTTTCTTAAAAGCATTGCCTATTGGCAGTGAAATTCCTGACTACAAATCGATTTGATCAGCCTGTTCAATCGATTACGGGAAATCACGACGATTTTAGACTCGCCAGACTCTCGGCTATTCAGGCAACTCGTCTAATTACCAAGGCATTTATATAAAGTGACCGATAATTGGCGCACTCAAGCCAACGCTATTCTGTGTAGCAACCGAGCACTCTTTTATAAGACTCATTTCACAGTAACCAATGTGACATCGATCGACTAACGATTGGTTCTCTTTTGCACTCATTATTTTTTATTTTCCATCAGACTTTTTGTCTGTTTAGGTTTTTACATTTAACTAAGACGCTTTCGTAATTTTGGGTTTAGAAAGGCTTTCCATTATTTTTCGACACTTCAGCCCACGCAGATATTAAATAGTTTGGGAGATATTTCGAGATATTAATTTACTTTTGATACGAAGCCAGCTGATTTATAATAAAAATATATATTTTCAGCGAGTATTACATATTTTGCTGTTATTCAATACGGCGTACGCAACCACGTGTCAGAATTGCAAGTCTGAGTAAGAAAGCGTTTGAAAAATGCAACCGTTAGCTCATAATGGTATCATATGCGCTTACTTTCAGTCAACCTAGAGTCTTAGTCATCTATCGTTCATATGTTTCATACGATTTCAATGACATTGAGTAAATTCGTATTGCTTACAAAGTAATATATTTAACGATTGAAAGGATAAAAATGAAGACATGTTGAACATGGAAATCATTTACTTCGTATTGTAGAGGCAAATAATTTCTTACCTTGTGACATTGTGCGAAAGGTAGAATGGCCGTGCACAGAAGGACAAGGGCGCGAATCATTTTGCGTGGGAATATTCCTGATAGGCCGCGCCACATCGCTGAAACAAAGTAAAATAAAAAAAGGACTATAAATCAAAGCATTCTTAACGATTCGAAGAAAAAATATAACCATAATAAAAAAACATCATTAAAATTTATTAACTGAAGGATACATGCTGAGCAAAATACATGCATAAGCAATTATTAATTTCTAAATAATAAAAATGGCATGCGACTAGTTCACTTAATGCACGTGACATGACGTTACAAAGTTTACATTGCAATTTCGAAAGCATAAACTGCCATTATGAGATAGTTATTTAAATTTTGCGATAGATCTTACGAAAAACTCGCTATAGAAAATCGTGAGTCGAAATTTATGAAACTTAAAAAAATCATTATCATTGCCCAAGATGATAACAGTCATTAATTGTCATAAGTGCATAAACGCGTAACGTGTCCCCGTGCAAAGGAAAACTGAATTGCGTAATCCACGAGTCACAGCCAATCCACCGACGGCTCGGCCCACACGAAGAAAATGAAATATCGAAACTAACCTTCGTTGCGATGGCTTCACGCATGCCTGGAACTAAAACTCGTTACAGAACAACAAATAAGAATACACAAAGTACCAGTGGCAGCCACACAGCGACAATCCCGGAAAGAAAGTTTAAATCGTATTAAACTAACGTGGAGCAACCCGAGCGCGAATAAGGAGCTCAGGACGTTGCTGGAGAATTTATAAACTTGTACACGAAAACTAAGAGAGAAGAAGAGATTGGGATGTTTCTTTGGTATAAAAATACAATAGTATCAACACCATCATTCACAACACATAAGTATTAAAAAGATATAGAAAAACATATTGGAATGAAATAAGTGCGGTTTTCTTGATACAAAAAAGAAATTTTATTTCATAGATTTCAAAGTGATACTAGATTTTATCCTACTTTCATCTCTCCTTTCCACTTTGCCTTTAATCCCGTATTCTATTTTCGTTCAGGACAATTCTTCATGTATATAGTTGGTAACGTCCTCCCGCGCTAGTTTCTTGTGGCCTCGTGAAAACAAAAGATCCCTCTTGCGTGATTCGTCGAAAGTGACTTTAGAATCCTAGCGGTCATAATGTGTACTACTGCAAGGCGCGAGAACAATAGGCAGAAACCTATCTTGTAAGTGGCTATTGTATGAAATGGTGTCTGCTGTTCGGTATTCGATCATCGAAAGTCATTTACGAGCGTAAACGACTAGTTTATGTAAATTTCAAAGCAATTATGCCTCCCTCGTTCCATTGTGAGTTGACAGAGCGCAGAAATCTGAAAGAACCGCGGGAATTTTTCCATTTTATCAAACAACGATTAACCCATAATTCACTTATTCGTCTACGCACGTGCACGAATCGATCTCCACTTGCTAATCCCATATGTGTACAATTAGCATAGTCGTCAGTCACCTCTTGCCCATTTTTCAAAACCAAGAATAAACACACGAGACTCGAAATAAATGATTTACAACCAACCGTCATTCTCGCATAGATAAAACCAACGATTTACCAGTCCAAGATAGAAATCATCAAATTTCAGTTATATTTTAACAAATCATTCTACGAATCCAATCATCGCCACTTTAACTATCTTATTAGGATCGCTCGTGAGTCATTTATAAATTCAGTATTCGTTATCAACACTGACAGTAATTACGGTAGCGACGAACGGTAAGTTCTACGTCAGTAATTTATTACCGGTTAATAAGGCATCCTCGGCATATGAGAGAATTATAAATACAACTAAAACAGTAAAAAAATAAATAAATAAAAAAGAAGAACATCATCCGTAGTTCCCACGTATACATAAATGTCGCGGTTTAACTATCGATGCATCGATACTGGCGAATGGGATCTTCAAAGCGGAGTGAAACGAAGTGAAGTAAAGGGCAACAGGTTTTGCCAATTGCAGCCAAGGAGAGCCGAAGGATTGCGAAGTAAGTTCCTCCCTGTATCTATCGATACGAAACTTTATAGACATGCTAAAAAGTAACTAATCGATAGAAAGAATTGCTGGACTTTTATAACTAGATAACAAGTCTCGATAGTAGCATCGTGGTGAAACACTTTCATTTGGTATACAGACTTGACAGGAAGTAACGAATACGCACATTCGGTTTCCATTTTTCTATTTTCTCTTATTTTCACTCGATTTGTTATACGCCAATCTGGCCGATCATGTCGATCGTGTACGGCACCTCAAGGCGATTTACTTTTTACATACTAGATCAGCATTTGCATCTCGATCAACGAGCTTCGAACTACCCGTTGCACGTTTTCACACGTGTGACTGACTATAAAGCTATAATTACGTAATATTTCGCTTCGTGATATAATAAAATAATGTAGCTGTCATTATATATTATTTTCTGTTACGTCGACTCAATTGTATCGAACACGGTACGAGTATCTAATGTCATCGTGTTTGTAATGGAGTTTCAATTTTTTCTTTTGTCACAATTACCACGCAGATCGGTCGATCGTGAAACTTTGTTACTGTCGTACAAAACCAATATCGGCGCGCAATATATCCTTGGAAGGATCTTGAACTCGCGATCCATTTATGGTTTCGACAAGAATCTATGTAGTTCGCCTTCTTGTCGTTAATCGCCCTGTTAATGTATACACCTTGACTCTGCCATAATCCGAGACTGGATCAACTTTATTCTACATTTTTTTCATACTTGAAATTCTTGTTGGATCAATTATTTATTTAATACAAGATTGTTTTCCGTGAATTTGTCGATTAACAAAAAATTTATCTCATACGCCTTAGACATATTACATATGCCCTCTGGTATTAATATTAAAGAATACGTATCTGTGGCCATATACATTCCCGTTTATCTTTAGTACGGATTGATTATGGCTAAATCACTTTCTGTCAGCTCGTTGCGATCACTTTGTCGTGATTACTTTACAAAGGAATCATTTCCCAAGGACAGCTGTGACAGAGCGAACAGTAGTCATAGCTGACTACACAATATGATATACTTTTTAATTTATAATATTTGTCGTCCAAATTTTACAAGATGGAAATTTTTTTAATGCACACTTTTTTACCGTAAATACAGTATAAAGTTTCATGTACCAGGTAACCTTACGTGGCAAATGAATGGGAACAAGTTGCACAGCAGATTTGTATAGCGAAACTATTTACGTCGGTTGCACAGCTGGAGACGGGATTGCTTTGAGGCCTATAATGATTGCTTTACCTACATCTATTTTTACAAAAAAAAAAACCATACTGCAAGGACAACCCCATTTTCTCCATAAAGTGCAACATCATACGAAATACGTATAGCCTCACTTACGAATTACATAATAGAATAATACAAGTCATATATGTCAAATTTTCCTATACGGCTTCAGTACACGAAGTTGAAAAAAAATACCTTGTTTTGTCCAACATTTTTTTCAATAACGTATCACCAAGTATCTAGTATACAATTATCAGCGATTTATCACGACCCTCCTTCAACGACAGGTCTGATGTCGGATATATATATATATCCAAAATTATATCAAAATTATATATATCCATTATACAAAACCGGATATCGATCGAAATCAAAAGAAATTCTAGATAACCCAAGGACAATTAAATCATAGCAAGTGTGACGTTCGAACAAGATAGAATCATAAGCTATGCTACATACAAACTGCAGTTGCACTTTGTGTATTAATCAGTCCAGCAAAGTACCATGTGGCAATCGACATAGTTAATGGCAAATACCCGCAGTGTATTAAAAAACGAATGCTTATGGGAAAGGTATACATATATATATATATATGGTATACAATATATTCGTATGAAACAAGAGTCAGGGATGTCTAGATAAGTAGGTCAGGAACGATATCACCCTGACATTTTTTTTGGAAATTCTCAGTTGCTACAAGCAAGATAAAGATTCGTATGACGTATAGAGTAATAATAATAATAAGAATGGTCCGGTCCTTGTCGCATTGTGGATAAAGTGCTATTCATTCGATTACATATGCGTGTACATGTGTAAACCAAGATTTCGTATTGTGATAACGAGATGGGCAATGACCAAGGTCGAATTTGCAAACGAGCACGTACGTCCATGTATATAATGTAGGTACATGACACGTAATTATCATTTACATAGGATTCACTTTGATCCTTTTACTACACGGAGGACACGCCGGGTCTTCTTTCGCCTTCCTGTCTCGAGTGTCTCTTGTCTGACTAGATAAATTTTGCCACTCACAGTCATCCCGACCGATTCCGAACATGAATCTCATTGATTTTCATTGCGGAATATAAATAATGCTCGCTTCTAGAAATGAATTAGGAACTAATTGAATTAGGATTTTACGATCTTTTGTACACTCAAAAAAGTCAGGGTCGACCCGATGCCTCCAATTTGTAAAGTAGTTATCTCTGTAGGTACATGCTTCCTTATAGTGGCCCTGATGACCTCGCTAGGTGGCCGATCGGAGGACTCGGACCTGACACCTTGATGCATTTTTCTTGTACCGACAGGACTAAGGCTACGGTTCAAGGATTTGCGGTGCTCGGAAGTTGGTTTTATTTTTTTTTTTTCAAATATTTATGGTTCCCTTGATTATTATCTTATCGGTTATACGAATGGTTTTTCCTTTGGTCGCCGAATCTCATTTGTTGTGTTATACGCGCACAGGCGGATGTGTATCTATGCTATACGGGGCCATCATCCTTGTTATCGCTACTGGATGAATTTGATAAAGGAATTGTTATTCTTATCTTCGTTCGGATGGTCGTCAGATTGCGAACTCGGATTTAGGATTTGACACGTAATGGAAATCTATTTATAATACCACTCCGTTTTTGTTACAGTGATTTTTGGATTTTTAAAAATTATTTTTATTCGGGGGTATTGATTTTTGTATATCTTCAGTACAGTTTATTTGAAAATATATTATTTCTTGATAATAACGTGAGAACGATTCTGAATAATGAAGCATCCAGTAGGGATCGTCTTATACGCAGGAGACTTTAACGATCCCATT